AGATTCTAGCTATAATAGTAGAAATCTAAGATAAATTTTTATAATAAATCCGAGATATATAAAAAATAGACGAAATATTATAAGATAATTATTAGATAAATAACTAAAGATAGTAAATCTATTTAGGATATAACCGGAATAGTCTATATATATAGATTAATATATATTCTATTATTATTTAAAAATAAAGTTATTCGATAATACTATAATAATCTTATATATAGATATATAGAAGTAGAAAAGACTATAGAATATATTTTATAAAATTACTATTTTCTAAATATAAACTAAAGGATTAGATTTTATATTAGTAAATATAATATATACTAAAGGAATAAGCTAATATAATATATACTATATAAAGAATTATAGTTATCTAAAACGCTAATAACTCTATAGGAATAGATTATAATAGACTTTATTATAAAGCTACTAGTCTTAGAAGGATATAATATAATTATAGTTATAGTTAATAGGCTTATAAAATATACCTATATAATCCTAACTACTAAAACTATTAACTTAGATCGAATAGCTAATCTAATACTATAATATATAGTTATAAACTATAGATTATTATATAAGATTACTTTAGATAAAGATAAGCTATTTATATCGAATATATAGTAGTTATTTATAGACTAAATAGATATCGAGCTAAAATACTCTACTATATACTATTTATAAACTAATAGATAAATAGAGAGAGTAAACTAAATAATAAAATAGTATCTCCGATACTATATAAACTACTAATAGAATAACTAAATAAGACTATTACTAATAATATAACTAATATATAATAATATAGTATACTCTATAATAAAGAATTACTATTTTATATAAATTATAGATATAATCTTATAATATTTAAAGAACTAATTAGTAAAATAGCTATAGTAGAAATAGTAAAGCTAAAAGCTACTAAACTTAAATAGTTATATTTATAACTATTTAGAGATATTAACTTTATTAATCTAAAAATAAAGAAATATTATAATTAATAATATAAAAAAGGCCCTAATCTAAAGAGGGGGGAAAAGGTTTATCTTTTATACTATAATATTAAAACTAAACGATCTAATAATAAATTAGACTATCTATAACTAAAACCGTTTAAAATTAAAGAAAAATTAGGACTAGTTAGCTACCGATTAAAGCTATTATATAATATAAAAAGACTCTATCTAATATTTTATATCTTATTACTCGAATCTATATTAAAAAACGCTAAATTTACTATAAATATAGAAATTAAAGAAAAAACCGAAAATAAATATAAAGTTAAAGAGATTCTAAAAATAAAATAGATAAATAGAAGATCTTACTATCTAATAAAATAGAAAGGATATAATATCTCTAAAAATATATAGGAATCTATTAAGAATCTAAAGAGCTACCTTTAGCTAGTTTAATAGTTCTATTAGAAGAATCGCCGACTAAAAAAGATAAGTCTATCCTCTCTAAAATAGAAAGAGATAGGGGACTAAATATCTAGATTAGAGTAGGGTTCTTTAATATAATAGTAAGGGCTTAAATATTATATTTATTAGCGAGGCGATCTAGCTTAATAAGATCTTTAATAGATAGAGGATCTTTAGTATCTAACTACTCTATTAATATAGAATTATAATCTAATATCCGATTATTCTAGGAATATAAGAATTAGCGCTATTTATATAAATATATTATTTTTATTATTATATCTATTTACTATTCTTTAGCCTAAGTAAGCTCTTTATTAATTTTCTACTACTTATATAATATCTTTTATTATTTAATTTCGCTTTAAAACCTTTTAGCGTACTTTTAACCCTAATAAATATATCTAATATAGTTATAATATTTAAGATCCGCTATATAGAAGATACTATAGGAAAAGTAATATTTATAAAGATATTTAGTAACTAAACTATTTATTAGAATTAATCGATATTAAATAAGACTATTTTATTTTTAAGTTATATTATTAACTAATATAGTATAAAAGATATATAACTAAAAAATAAGAAAAATAGAAAAGAAAAATAATCGATATTATTTATCTAAAAGGTAGTTAATAGTTTTAAAAGGCTTTAAAGATAAAATCCTAAAGGAAAAGGAGATAATATTATAGAACTACCTATTACTAATCGATAGTATTTTATTAGGTATATAGATAGGCTATTAAAAGCTAACTAATCTATCTATTAATAGATTATATATAGTATCTAATACTCTAATATCTCTAAATATTTAGAAAAAAGAATCTATTTATACTTAGTAAACGGAAGTATAATTAAGCCTAATTAAACTTACTACTAGAAAGATTCCGATATATATATACTTTAGGGTATCGGATATCGCTTATACTAGGAATCACTATATATAGAACTAGAGATATATAACTATAACTCCTATATTAACTTTAAGAAGTATATATAAAAGTATATAGCGGCTTTAGTAGTAACTCTAGAGAGTCACACTAGGAGTAGGAAGCGAAAGATATATAAAGACACTTATTTATATATCTAGTTTAGTTCTTTATCTTTAATTATATATTATTACTTATATTTACCTTTTAGATTACTAGTAACTCTCTTACTTAATTATAATTTAATAACACTTATAAATAGACTAATACTCCGGTATAGATCTATTCGGCGCTCTACCTAGCACCGTTCCTCGATACCTTAAAAGGACCTAGTCTATAGTAAGGCTTATTAGGCAATAGTACGGTTAAGAGTACAGATCCTTAACATTAGAAACCTAAGCGGTATAAGGCAAGTATACCCGGAACCCTTCTAACCTAACTGTGACCAGTTGGTAGTGCGTAACAAAAGTGATATATTACCGAATCCTTAGGGCCTTAACTTATATTTAATATATTTACTTCTATAAAATCTTTAATAACGTTTATACTATATAGTAATAATATATAAAGTGATATTCCGGATCTATAGTAACGATATATAACTTAAGTACCCTTTAGTTACTACCTTTTAAAAGAAATATACCGCCTAACTAAATAGCCTTAAATAATTATACCGATTAACCTTTTAAATATTAGTAAGGTTAGGGTAGGTAGTATTAGGGTATAAAAGCTTATATACTATCACTATATATTAGTAGTATATTTTAGTATTAGAGTCTAAGAACCGATTAAAGAGTGTAGGTAGTGATACTAGTTTTGGGACGTAATATAACTATTCTAACTTCTTAGGAATTATTAGTGAACATTTTATAGATAGATATAATATAGATAAAGATCTAATAGAGAAAACACTATATATATTAATAGATACAAAGAGAAAGAGAGAGAGAGAGAGAGCGTATAGGCAAACTATCCGGGTTATTATACCTTAGGTATCTAGTATCTAACATTCTTCTAGAGAGTGTATAAAAGATTTATTAAAATAATATGATTATATACAATCTCTGATAAGTAAAAGACATTCTTATCGGCTAATATTCCTAGAGTAGATAAAGGACTTAGACAAAATTTTTAGCTTAGCCTCGCTATCTATATTCTATATTTTATAATATAATTGATTTCTATCTTTAAAATATATATATAACACTCTCCTATCTTAGGCTTTTAGGAACTGTCTTAAGTCAAAGCCTATAAGCTAACACTTTACTAATTTAAGCCGATATAAGGAAAGTAAAGGGATAGAGGATATAAACCCTAGAGACCTAAGGCTTTCTATTAGCGTTAAACTCTTAACTTTTACTAAAATAGCCTTTACAATTTCTAGGATATTATTATCTTTAGTGGCTAGTTTAGAATATATCCTATTAATCACTATATAGTTTAAGGTTAATCCCATAGACTAAGTAATAGCTATACCCCTAAATACCGCCTTAAGGTAAACAAAAAGTGGGTCCCTAAGAAATATATAATTAGAGAACTAAAGAAGCTAATCTTCCTTTACTCTATAAAAGGAGAGCTTAATAGTATTTAGGTTAGAGAGGTACCGAAATGATTCTATAAAAGTATAGATATCCGTCCGCTCTTTTAAAAGTAAACTCTAAGCTCTTATAAGTTCTTTAAAATATCTAAAATATTGCCTTATAGGAAAACTGCTTTCCTCGGAGCTCCTACCGGAAATCTTCCTAATCTCTTATATACTCCTATAGTATATAAATATAAATAGAAAAATAGTCCTAATATAGGATTACTAAAAGGATTAGTAAAGAGCTAGATAAAGAGCTAAAAAATCATATATATAGATCGACCAATTCTAATATATTATAATAAAGTATTCTCACGTATTATACTAATAAAGAAATTATAAGCCCTTTTAGCTTCTTATCCCTTTTTCTATAAACTCGACTTTAAATATATAGAAGATATCTAAGGTGCTAACCGATCTATATCTTCTATTCACAAGCGAAAACGATCTTGAGTAGTAATCGAGGTCAACGACAATCAGTGTTAGTAGCTCGAAAGGTAGATCCGCGAAAATTGTTATATTACTTCGAAGCTAGGAGAGCCTGACGAAAGTGTGTATCAAGGAATTCCCTAGCAGGGAGTGGCTTATCCTGATGCCCGTCCGCCTGACGGAGAGTGACCAAGGCACCGTTTTGAATATGCGGATGAAGAAAACTATTGAAGCGACAGTATTTTTTTACGACATATTTGTTTGTATTCTCCTAAAGAAACATAATTTAGTATAGCTGTGTATTCGTCTCGAAAGCCTTACCGTTGGTTGGAGCGCGAGTTTGAATTCCTGGAACTCGACATGCACATGATTGTGCAGCGTGATTCCGTTTTCCACGTCATTTATCTTTGCAACTCGCATTGTTGCTTTCATCTGTGGGAAGGCAGTGTAGACCGATGCCCACTTCACAGCAATATTGTGATCATCCTATCAAAAATAGCAATATGTCACATATGTAACTGGCAAGTTTGGTATATCATATTACCTGTTTGTCAAATCCCGCTAACGAGAACGGGATTATATGATGCATCTCAAGTTTCCCCCAGCGCTCACCCTCGACCTCGCCGTTCTTTACCCATGTTCTGTTACTACTCCGCTTATGGCACAGCGGTGACCATCGCGGTCTATACAGCCCTTCACAAAATCCGGAGAATGGGTCTCGGGGTCGGGCAGCTTCGCTTCTACGTTTTGAACGCTAGCCTGGCAGCCGTGGTGCGGAGATGGCGTAACGCAAGGAGTCTTTCCGGTCGAACGGACTAGAGAGAAGATGTTAGCAAAAACGGTCGTGTGTATCGACCAGACAATTGTAATATAAACTTACTGGTTTCGATAACTGTAGTTCGAAAGTTGTCGAAGACTTCTCATAGAGTTTCGTCATCCTTTGCGATAATGATGTCGCCGGCTAACTGACCTCTACCCCCTTCCGGGAGCCAGTTTAACGCTGCGTTTAGCGTCTTACTGAGACACTGCGCATTTGAGCGACTGCAACATTCGTATTTTTAATACGAGATTTGGCTTGACTTTTTAGCTCCTCTCAGTTGCTTTCGTTAGTTAGCTCGACGGAGGCGATGCTCGGGACGGTAGAGGGAGACCGACGTGTGGGATTGAATCGACGGCGTTTGCGGTGGGTCGGAGTGGGAGACTCAAGGTTAGTCGACGCGCCTGGCTGCGAAGAGGCGGGGCTGGAGGTAGGCAGTCGGAGATCTAGGTTGCTCATTGAAGGCGCCGGAAAAGTGGGGATCGCCTTTCGATGGCCGAACCAGCCATAATGGAAGAGTTCAGTAGCTCAAGACGAGATTGGCTAGATCTGACCTGCTCGTGAGGAGGTTGCGAATAGAAGGAATACGGACTGAAACGCGAGAGGTCAGGTCTTGGGAGCCGGAACTCTAAAGATCGGACTTGCCCAAAGTTTATATGGGGGCGTTGTCTGGGGGTGTTCCTGTCTAACAGAGTTTCTTCGCCTTCAATTTGATGGAGGTTCCATTTTGATTCAAAGATAAGAACAAAGGTCTTGAAACGAAGCAAGAGTGACGAAGGAATGAAGAAAGTGCCCAGTATAGATTGATTGTGGATTCTGACCTATCCCGAGTCCGTCTATAGGCTTGGCAGTTCCCGGGAACACGTTCAAAGAGACTAGATTCCTTCGGAAAAGGGACGGGCTTCGATAGCATCCCTGCGGGAATCTCCTCGCGGCTGTCCTTGAGGGCCTCGGGGGCCTTAGGAGGCGGACCGGCTTTGACATCATCCCCCTTTGGGGATCTCCTCGCGGGTCTCCTTGGGCTGCTCGCCCACAATGACATCTTTGGGGCTATTTTACGATACATTAGCCTCTGTGCATAAATAGGCAAAGATCTGCAATATAGTTTCCATGAGAATCATGGTTTACCACTTACCGGGTATCCTCAAGATCCTCGCTCTCTTGGAGGCTGGCCTCCTCCAAAGAAAATAGCCGGAGCCAGCAAGGCAGTCACGACGATCATAAGGCTCTTCCAGATGAAATTTGATGAAAGGACTAGAAGAATATGATGGATATGAGAGCCTCTAAGAGGAAAGTGATTCTGTAAGAGGAAAGTACAGGATGCAAAAGAATCTTTCTACTTTGATGTATACCTAATAACGTAAACTGTCTCAGAGCCCCTTCAACGCACTTGCCAACCCACTACCTACACGGACATCTTTGTCACGTCTCAATGAAGCTACCGCGCTCATTTATCACTGAAGAATGAGAGCTGAGAAGCTGGTGTGGAACATGCTCATTCAAAAAGTCGAAATCCTGAGGAGTAAAAGAAATGCCCAGTGGACCTCACGAAACAGCCATCGGTGATTTCAACTATGTCTTCGACAGTTGGAGAGGACTAGTTGATGGGAAATTTCCACCTGATTCGACAGACGGAATGACGGTTAGCGGTAGTCTCCGTCTTCATCTCCCTACAGCTTCACCTACCGAGCACTAAAGGTACCTAAACTTTCTACTTGCTATCACGGCTTTTCGAGCATCTCTAACTTCACTTTAACTTCACTTTAATCTTACCGTTCAGTTCGCCCATCTATTACATATCACTACCTACATAGCGACCTCTCGAAGCGCAGATGAAAGCGCACCTCAAATTCTCAAAGGATGCCTCTCTTCTCGAAAAGGGCCCAGATATAACTCGAAGCTCTGCAATCCATCGCACCACCTCCGTCGACTAGCTTGGCGTATGGAACGGGTTCGAAGCCGATGTACGCCAGGCTTTTGACCGTCTCCGTTAAAGGAACGTAGCTGTCCCATATGTGCAGTGCAGACGGCAGAGCACGTACATGTCGGCGACGAACACAGGGTCCAAGGACGCTTCCAAAAAAGAGTCGGACAGATCCTTAGCCACATCGCCCATCGCAAACGCCGTCGACTCAATCCCCCACGTCGGTCTCCCTCTACAGCGACGGTCAACATTCGCCGTCGATAGTCCTCGAAGTGGCATACACAGAATCCAGGGCACACCTTGAAGACGACTACGGATTAAATAAAAGCGAAACGGGGAGAACGCTGCCGTGCATCCCGCACCGCTATCCAAAATTTGGAAATCCGGAAATCCAGTGGAGAAAAAGAGTCAGTTCAAGGACATCTTCATATCTCATCCAGAGATATTCATCTTCGGCCGAAGCAGAAGCACGATTCGGGACAAATCTCCGGACTGTTTGTGGACCCCAATCCACTCACGGTGCGGATCGCTAAGGTCTCGTTTGCTTATGACCACGCCAAATAAATAGGAAGAAAAAGACAAAAGGTCGTTAAGACGACTATCTTGCCTTGATGGAAGATTTCGGCAAGGAAAGCTTCCCTTATTCGAATGTTGTCGGGTTGCACCAGGTATATCACAATCTAAGCTATATCAACGAGGGCCTAGGGTGATTAAACCAGGTTCTTGTCTCCATACTCAAACTTTTACTAATTCAAAATTATAGTTATGATCAGCCACCGATCAGCATCGCTGTCGTCGAAGTGGACTGGTCTGAGATACGGAATACAGAAAACTGCGTCGCAAAAACACTACATCGACGTCATCCGTGCTACTGTCACATCCTGCTATGAGCTTGGCTACTGGGCTTAATGTTATGGAAAGCCCTGGAGGTGAAGGCTGCACTGCGAATGTCAACGCATAAACGTGGGTCGGCGTATACTCTGGAAACGGCATCACCTTAACAACCTTGCCGAACATCGTGCAGATGCAACCAAGAAGTGGGTCCAAAAGACCTACTTATTATGGACAAACGGGACGCTATCGACGACGCCGAATAGCAAACCAAGCTCGCAAGCCCCTACACGAGGGCCACCTAAGCCGACTCTGAATGGATCAGACCGTGTGGTTCCGAGCCAGCGGACCGATACTCATTCGCGGATCGAGGCGATGCGTGGGATGCGCATTGGAAGGGTTCGACCCCGTCAGGAAGTTATGCTCGCTCTCAAGGGGTTGCAGGTCAGGCTAACACTACGCCCTACATCGAACGCACGTCACATCGATACCATTTTCATGCGCGCTGGCCGGCTGATTTCAACACCGACGGGGATGTGAAACCTAATAGGTGGCCCATGGGGGAGCCGGTCATTTTGTGGGCCTTCGGCTTGCCGTTCCTGGCCGTCTATGGAGACTACTACGTGCTCGCGGGATCCGACCTCCGACAACACCCGTGGCTACTGGATAAAAAGACACGGCATGACGCCTTGGCCTCGTAGGGTTTCCACTCCGGCCAATTGTTGGCCCCCGCCTTCCAACCTCAATCACCGACGAATACGAGCCTACACCTTGAGTATGACACTCATGACCCGTGCCTTACGCAATTCGACATGGACGAGCAAGGACTGGGCCCTGGCTGTCCTGGCACACTTACAGACCGCAGACTGGGTTCACCAACGGTGTGGATCTCCGACAGAGACCCGAAGTTCATCCGTGGGTTCTCGAAATCGATGTTTAACGCGCTGCGTGTCACTCTGTTTTTCACCACGGCCTATCACGCACAGGCTGATGGACAGAGCTTTATCTTAGCCATGTATCAGCAGTACTGAACAATGAGCCTTGATTGTCGCCCACACCAAAACAAATAGCTATATTACATGTTGACTGATTAGTCTTCTTTAATTCAGATACATGGAACGACACGATAGAGCCGAGTCGTCGGTCTAAATGGTTAAACCAAGGATAGGTATATGTACACACTCCAGTATAATATCAACAAGATAATCCAAGAATACTTACATTCCACCCCCTCAAAGCTTCGCTTTCCCATTATTCTCGAACTGTTGTACAGCCTTCAACCCTCTTTCCCGGACAGCTTCGTTCTTATCTTCAACCTTTTCCCGCCACTCCAAGTTCCCAGCATGGTCATCCAACCCGCTCAAGACCCGAGAATACATCTCCTCTTTCATGGTACCGTAGATACCAGTGGCGGCCTTAGTCTGAAGCTTGCGCGTCTGGATCAGCGAAAGCGCTTCCTCAGCTCCACCAACGGCGTCAACAATACCAGCCTGGAGCGCATTGCGTCCACCAAAGCGATGAGCTTCAAGAACAACACTTCGGAAAGTGACTGGCGTCAGCTTCTCGCGGAAGATAGACATCATGGGCGTCTGAAGCGGGACGCCGAATTCCAGCTCGTTGATACAGACAAATCCACGATCTGGATTCATGATTCGGTAGTCATGGTACATGGCCAACATGAAGCCAGCAGCAAAAGCGTGTCCATTGAGTAAACACACTGTTGGCATGGGGTATCTAGACCGTTTGTTAGTGTTTCTTTTCTTTCTTTTGGAAATTATGCATGACTAGAATGTATTCTCATGCATGTGAAACAAAACGTACGTCAACAGCCGTCGGAACAAGCGCCACAACCAGTTCTCGAGGAACCCTTCGGTTTTCCCGACAATATCCAGATCAAGTCCATTGCTGTAGAACTTGGCAATTCCACTGGTCGTAACTACAACGCCTTTGGGATAGCGGTGCTCGACAATGTCCAGTGCGAGCAGTAGAGCATCAATGAAAGTGGGTGTCAGCCGGTTATCAGGGGGTGAAGTAAATGTAAGCACGTAGATGGTCTCGTGCTCCTTCGCTGTGCTAGGGTTTGTGCAGACGATCGAGCCTCCGGTAGAGCTGATCGGTACGGTGAAGAGGGTCGTCATGATGGGATGTTTGCGGCAAGAAGGTGGTTGAGGAAAGACGATATCTTCAAATACGATCTCGGCTCTCCCTCGGGACTTGAATACTAATCAGACCTCGGCGCCATCACATGCGATGATGTCATCACGTGATGGTCGACGCCGTGGCTTAAAGACGCGTTGGTGGTCGTATTTGATTATTTTGAAGGTCTATTTATGTTCATTTTAATGCAGGAAAGGATAAATGTTATGCTGGCCCAAATACAACCTCTTCATGCTCCTGGTACGCCTTCTCCACATTGTCATTGATAATGATCTTATCGTTGCTTTGAGCGTCGGCATATTCAAGTTCGACTTTAGCCCGTGCTAGCCTTTTCTGAGTATCCTCTTCGCTCTCAGTACCCCGACCTCTGAGACGCGCCTCAAGGGCCTCAAAGCTCGGTGGTTTGATAAAAACATAATGTCGGGATTTGGGGCCCGCGGACTATGACCTGATCATTACATATGTGAAACTGAACAGACTCGTTCAGTGAACGTCTTCTTTATTAGTCGCTCAGCGCTGTAACTAATTCCTTTCTAGTGCACGCTAGGTATGTGTTCCTGTCTAATTCTCTTGCTAGGTGTTGGCTCCGCGATATGAAGTTGAAGATGATTCTCTCCCTGGTAGTAGACCTTGCATAGTAGCCCCGGGTGTCACCGGCAAGGAACCAAAGATTCAAAAATGGAACCCTCCAGCGCCATATTGTAAACAAATGAACCTCCTCTCAAGTATCATATTGTTACCAACCACAAGACCAACAAGATGTCTGAAGCCCCGGAGCGCCGACCTGTAAAATTCACAATTACGCACTACCGCCATCAACATCACTCCCATGAGGCATTCATCAAGTGGATGGTCGAAGAGCACCTACCTCTCGTAGTGCCCATCTTCACTAAACACAAAGTCGTTGAATACTCGCTCGTGAGTAGTTGTCGCACTCTGAGCTGCAGCCATGGCTGACCTCTGTTATATAGTTCGTCACACCTCCTTCTATGAATGACGCACTGAAACAGGAATTTGTACAGCTTCGACCGAGCTGGGATGTTGCTGACTTCGACTGTTTCATTGAATATACACTTCCCGATGTGGCAACGATCAAGAATATTATGTCGGATGCTGAGTGGCTGATAGCGGTCAAGAAACAGGATGACTGGGTTCAGGTCTCCAAGGCTTTGGTTTCCGTGGGGTTCTCTACCCCGTATGTGTTGAATGGAAAGCCGGTGAACTTGCCGAAGTGACTGGGCATAGGGCTGGGAGTAAAAGTCAGGCATAGACAGCCAATTTGCCATTGTTAGATCTCCGGGTGGATTTGGAATAGTCCCTGTTTGAATGGGTCAAGACAGAAAAGCGAAACAGTAATACAAGAGCCGAGAGAGAGGAGTAATTCAAGGCTTGGTGGCTGTGATGGCTTGACTCGTTTGCGTAGGATGGTCTAAATTGGTCACTTATAGTGGTTTTCGTATGCGCTTTTCACCGAATGAGTACGAGAAAAGTTGCCAGGCCTCTGCGCTTGACGACGAAGACTTTCATGATCCGATTATCAAGCTCAAGACGATATATATATAATATGGTCTTTTTAGGTGTTCTATTTATAGGGTCAATTAGATGTCTTTCTTTCTGGATAATTCTCCCTTTTTCGCACTTATAACTAAAAGGATAATCACTAGCTGTGGAAAGGATGGGAATAATAGCACGAAGTAGACGTCAACTACTTGCCGATATACTGCCCGAAGACGATCAATTACCTCGGCAACCCGAACATCAAAATGTATCCGAACCCTTCAACATTCGTGCTTCCTATAGCAAACGAAAAAGCAGGTTTAAAGTGTAATAGAACATAGGGAATATTGACCACGTCGGATTTACCACTGAGCAAAAGCCAACGTCATCTGACACTGCTCGCATCAATGGCAAACTCCACACCCAGACAACAACAAGCCGCCGTGGTACAAAACCCAGGAGAAAACGCAACAATTGTTCTTCGAAATGATATACCTGTCGCAAATCCCGGACAAAACGAAGTTCTCGTCAAATTATCCTGCACCGGTTTGTGGTAAGCGCTTAACATCCGGAAATGAATTCAACCCAAAAACTAACTCAATACCTATCAAAAAGCCGCTCGGAACTCCGTGCCGTTTTAGCATGGGGCGCATATAACCCGATCATCGGCCACGAAGGAATCGGAATCGTAGTGAAAGCAGGACCAGAAGTCTCGGAATCCCTTGTCGGCAATCGCGTCGGCGTCAAATGGCTCTACAGTGCATGCGACGAATGCTCAGTCTGCAAACGGGGGTTCCCAAACCATTGTGCGCAGCAGCTCAATACGAGTCGCCATGTCCCCGGAACATTGCAGCAGTACGTTATCGCTGATGCGCGGTTCCTGAGTTTGATCCCGGAGAGTGTGGCCGATGAAGTTGCGGCGCCATTACTGTGCGCTGGACTTACGATGGTTGGTGCTTTGTCGAGACTTGATAATGAGCTTCAGGCTGGTGACTTTGTTGTTATTTCAGGGTCTGGGGGTGGGTTGGGACATATTGGTGTGCAAATTGCGGCGAGGATGAAAAACTTGCGGGTTATTGCTGTTGATAGTGGGGATGATAAGAAAGCACTGAGTTTGGAGTCTGGGGCGGAGGTTTTCATCGATTACAAGTCTGAAGATGTGGTTGCTCGCGTACGTGAGTTCACTGGAGAGGGTGCGCATGCGACTATCGTTGTGCCGGGGACGAAGGAAGCTTTGAAGATGGCACCTAACCTGGTGAGAAACTTGGGATTTGTTGTCAATGTTGGCTTGCCGCCGAATGACTTGGACATTCCTCTTTCGGCTACGCTGTGCACAGCGAGAGGTAAGATGACTGGGGTGTGGTCTTCCCTGGTCAGAATCGTATACTAACCCTCGGTAGGTCTCACCTTTATAGGCTCGTCTGTAGGCACCGAAGATCAATTATCTGAGTTGCTTCAAGGAGCAGCTGTTGGCAAGATAGCGCCATCGATCGAAGTCTTTGATTTCTCGGCTGTGCCGACTTTGATAGAGAAACTGAGGGAGGATGGTATTACGGGGAGGGCAGTGGTCACATTACCACAGTAACTGGACATTCCCATAGTACAATTTTAAATCGGATCGTTCAGTCCTCGAACTTTCCCCAATGCTGCCGGATCTGTGGTAAAATGATGGCACGAAGATAGAGAGGGAATTGGTTGAGGCCAAGCGACACTCCAATATTCCTTGGCAAATCTCAGGCTACAAGCAGTCTCTTCCCAACCATCAAGAATGGATACTTCACCAGCCATGACTCAATCACCAAAAGCCAAGAAACCAGACCCAAGCCCCAAGTTATCAGAAACCGCACGCGCAGCAATCATCAAAGCCTTGAACATGGCGATTCGGCTATAAAAATTGCAAAAGATCTAGGCGTCGCGCGATCCACTGTTTACCGCACGAAAACGCGTTTTCAAGAACGCAAAGATATGTCTTCAAAGCCTAGATCAGGCCGTCCTTCTAAGCTGAGTGACCAGACTACACGTTACATTGCACGCTTGGCGAGGAAAGACGATCGGCCCAGCTGGGCTGCTATTGCTGCCGCCGTCGATGGTGGACTCTCCAGGTCAACAATGAGGCGCGTTGCGCGCGTTCAACATGCCAAAAAGAAGCCACAGGCTCAAGATCAAGGTTTAACACTTTCGAGGGCGAAGAAATCCGACAAGAAGGCAGCACTTCGTCCATAGGGCTCGGAAACTGTACAATGAGATATTGGAACCTGATTTGCACGATTGCTCGTCTCAGGGAACTTCAAAAACTAAGGCATATGTACTTTCGAAATTAAGGGGGTCTGTCAGATATAGATGAGAGCTACAACGAGCACCGCATTCGAGACAAATCAAGTCCTTGGGCGATGCTATCCTCCAGAGAGGTCCACCCTTCTCGCCCACAGAATTCCCGCAGGAGCTTTTCTGCTTCCTTGGCGGGGATTATTTCACTCAGATCACGTCCCTCATCAACGGGAGGATCGGGAATCAAAGTACTATCAGGCTGGAGCTTTCGAACTACTGAGATCATATCAGTGAGGTTCACAGGAGCAGCAAAGCCGAAGAGTCGACGAGAGACAGTGTTTGGATCGAGGAGGGCCGCTGCGTGTAGACGCGCAATATCGACGACATCGGAGAAGTATTCTGTTTTTGTACATCAGTTATGATCAAACACCAATTTAAGGTGTCCACTTACGCGGCACAAATGACTCGAAAATACGTGTATCCCCCTTGGCTAGGCCAGCGACCCAGCCCATTGTCGATCCGTGGATCTCTTCGTGTAGGATTCTCCCGAGCTAGTTAAAGTCAATATTATCCGTTTGGATGGTCTGCCACACGAGCATAGAAGGAACTCACGGTAAATTCTGGCAACACGGTGTTGAATTGGAAGCCTGGCTTGTTCTTCTCCATCCATCTCCATGCTGCCTTCTCTCCCTCAGTCTTGGAAGCAGCATAGCCGAAGAAACCCTTCAGATGCTCTGGGGCATCTGGATTATAGGCTTGCTTGATAGCCTCGTCATTCCAGGAATCTAGATCTGTCATCAGCCAACGTCCTTCCATTTCCTTCTCTATGAACTGGTCTCTCACCCTCACGAACAACAATACCCTCCTTATTCGGCTCCGGAAACAACGCGGTGATCGCGGAAGAGGTCATGACAACCCGCTGTATATCACAATGTCTCGACGCAGCCTCCAGCAAATTGTTAATAGCTCTCAACACCCACGGTACAACCTCTTCCGGGTTCGAGCTGAAGCTGACATCTGATGCCTACACATCCCAGCGCCTCGTTAGCACATACTCTCGTCCTCGAATCTATTTCATTGCTGAAAACATACCACATGCGCCACCCCGGATACACCGTCCATCACATCGACCAGGGTATCCACATTCTCAAAGTTAGCAAGAATAACAGACTCGTATGAGTCGTTCCCGAACTTCTCCCGGAACATCTCATCGAGCCATGGTTTCGGGGCGCGGACAGTCCCGCGAACCTTGAAGCCTAGTTCAAGCAGACTGTAGACAACATTACTCCCAATGAAGCCGTTCGCGCCGGTCACCAGGATCCGCGAGCCGCGAGGCAGACAGTAGAGTTGTTTAGCCATGGAGGATATATCAGGGGGTTCCCGGCTCCTGTGTGAAAAACAGGGAGAGGAGCATCGCGAGTAAGCGAGTGGGGAGACTGTGGAGTCGAATAAACTTCCCCTAATTGTTCCCTACGGTGTCGAAAGTCCGCGGGTGGGTTAGGGGGGTTGGGTGACAGACCCCCGGGACCTGGTGATTAGTATGATTAGTTGGATTACAGTTCGAGTTAGTCCATAATCAGTAGTGGCGACGGGGATAGGCGGGATATGGGATATTGTGTTGCCGAGAGCTTGGGACACCCGACAGTCTGGGTCGAAACGACGATCTGTGCGGAACAAGGTGAAAGTCCCGAGGAGAAAGTGGACATTTCGGTAGCCTTGACGGGTCGCATTTATTGATTGGATGCCGGGTACGAGAGTACAACAATACAACCTCAGTACATAATTGTCCACTTACAGGACTTATCTCATAAATTGCTCTAATAAAAGGCAATTGCACCCAGGAGACCAACCTTGGAAGTACCGATGGCATTGTTGTACATCCACTCTCCTCTCATTGGTCGAGCACCTTGACGTCACAGGTGGATACGCAGCTGTCACTTTCTTCAACCGTTTACTCTCCAAACACCTTGGACATATTCTCGCCTGTTACAATACAAATAACTTCAATCACAATGCAGACCTCAGGAACCCAAGACCAACCCGCTCAACCCCCAAAACAAGCAGCGTACGCCCAGTCCTCGAACCCCGTCTCACAGACGCCACAAGAGCAACGAGCACCGCAAGAGCAAAGAGCAACTACCGAACCAGTCCGACACCGCGGCGATACAATCGGGCCAATTAAACGCACAGCCGAATCCCGTCCCTCAAGCGACCAAGAGCGAGCTCGTCTAAGCACACAGCGCCAGCAGCAAGAACAGCAAATGCAAAATGCCCCCGACGTCGATCTAGAATATGGCGTCGAGCAGCAGCCTGCTGAGGGATATATTGCGGATACGGTTCAGCGTAAGGGGATGGGGATGCAGCGCGCGCAGGCTGGAGCCCATGCTGGTCCGGTTGGGAGTGCGGGTGGGCCTGGTCATCCCGGTTTCGGGGAGGCGGACGACCTAGCGGCGAATTTGGGATCGAAGAGGGTTGAGCATGATCGGATTCTTGGTGATAGGGTTGGGAGGAGTCCGACTGAGCCTCAGGAGGGGGATGTTGCTGAAAGGGAGGCTGTTCGACGACGTAAGTTGGAGCGGGATGAGAAGTTAGATGTGCAGGGGGCGATTAAACAGGCTACTGGTGATCCCGTGGTGGGTCAATAGGTAACCCAAGTGTATCTCGGTGATGGACCTGGATTTGGTCTTGGGATGTTGTCGGAAGAAGGGGGATTTATGGTTCCTAGGATATCTGGACATAAATTTCATTAAGTATTTCGAGCTAGCTAAATGCTGCTTGTATCAACACGGACCGGACTTGCACTCGGTCGGACAAACTGGGTATGATTATTGAAATGGTAACGCCGAAAAATCTCCATATTGAACCATAGGATGCGAAGAGGATGGGAGATCAGATATCGTCCCCAGCTGGCATACCCATAGAGACCTTCTTCAGTTGCAGGTCCTTCTTCAGTTCCTGGATACGTCGGCCCATCTTGTTGCGCAAAATGTGATTCTGCACCTTCTCCCACTGTGCGGTCTCAGTACGGATGAGAGCTTCCAGCTCGGCGACTTCCTCGCGCTGTTGCTGGAGTTGTTGTTGCTGTTCGATTTGATCGTCATCCAACTCATCTTCTTCCTCCTCCTCGTCGGAGATATTGCTCTCATCGGCAGAGGTGTCGCCGCGTTCGGTCGGTCCTCCAGCTGGTGTGAAAGGATGCATGGACGGAGTGTCTGCCTGCTCTGGTCCTGCTCCTGGTCCTTCATCATCCCCGGCAGCCAGTGCGGCTTCCATCTCAGCGGCAAGGGCGTCTTCAAAGTCGTCCATCATCTCTTCTTCTGCTTCACCGTATGCATCTTGTTCATCATCGTATTCTTCCGCGTAGTCTCCCGATTCCACCAAGCCCTCGACGCGATTCAGGGATGTGCTATCCACCAACTCGAACTTGGGAGGGAAAATCGAATGTTCGTCCTGAGCCATGAGCTCTTCCACGGCCTTTTCAACTTGTTCAATTGTGCGCGTGCTAACACGGTTGCGGAATCGCCGCTTACGAACCCAGCGGAGGGGTGGGGCGAGACCGTGTGCGTATTGAAGTGCTCTTTTCATCTAGTACGTCAACGCCCGGGGGCAGTGGGTATTCCATTGCTTCTTGGTCACTGTTGACGCGTCCCAGCACCAACAGCATTTGACAGATATCTGCTGACTTGTACCAGCCTCGTCGGTCCCAACTTTTCATGCCCTCGACGATGCAGGGTAGATCCACTAGGGCTGCCGCATATAGGCGGCCCCGAACATTCAAGATGGAACGCCGGCCCTCACGTGTGAGGGCTTTGATCCCGACATCATTCCTGAATGTCCTTTCGGTGATTGCCTTTCTCACGATCTCGCAATCCTCCCCTGGGAGCATTCGTAGGATAAATTGTTCTTCGATGGCCGGATCGTTTTCGGTGTCTGAGGCTTCGGAGTCATAACCAACGCCCACTGGTCTGTTGGGGACGATTCCCTTGTTTTTGATTCGGATTGACTGCAAGGCAGGCTTCTTGGATGGGAGTAGCTTTATTCGCTTGGGGGGGTTGCTGGCTGGTCTCGGGTTCAGGTTCGGGCTCGAGCTCGGGCGCAACACTTTCAGCCGGTCGCTTCTTTGTCGATTTCTTCTTCTTTGGTTTCTCTTCATTGGATTCGGGTTGTGACTTTCGTGCGATCTTAAGCGTGATCTTGCGTGGTGGTTGAGGAGTTTCGGCCGGGGGCGCAGGTGCAGGCACAGGCACAGGCGCGGGCACAGGGGCAGGCGCAGGGGCAGGCGCAGGTTCTTCTGCTGGCGGGTCCGGCCTCCTTGAGAATTTGATTTTCAGAGGCATGTCGATATGGTATCTAGGTAACAGGTGGAAGGAACGTAAGAGATAGGAAATGAGGATGTAAGGTGGAGGTGAGCTTGCGGGACGCGCCAAGACCAGGTGATCTGCGAACTGGCTGCCTGACTTTTTAATGTTGATGCCTGAATTATGCCTGGTTCTTGACCACCATACTAGTATAACCAAACATTTTCTATAATGGAAACTATTCTGATTGTACAGAATGTCTCTATGAGTTTATCCTTACAGCACCTACTTTGGCACGAGCCAGCAGAAGAGGATACGGAGATTATAGGACTTTATACGGTGGGAATGGCTTTAACATCTATAATTGGATGAATGGAGAAATTCGTACAGTAGGAATAGGCTTCTCTTCTTAAGGTGTCTGTTTTAAAGTGTACGATCAAATTACTATAGTCGTCACATGGCTTGTCTGGAATGCTGGAATAATAGTGCGAATACCTAGGTAGCTTCAATATACAGTAGGGCGGTGTCAAAAGCGGTCTGAGGTAAGGCATAATTCAGGCAGAAAATACGGGACATCGAGCATCAGACTCCAGGCCGCTATACACCTCCGAACACCTCGATCTCTTCCTTTACTTTTTGTCACACTTCCCTCACAACCTACTTTGCCTTCTTTAGACACACTAATCCTGCTTTCACCTCATCAACAAATTGTCCTCCACCAAAATGTCAGGCCCAAACCTGCACAACGCTCTCCTCCGCCCTCCAATCATTCAAATCCTCCGCGCTCAAGGCTTTCATTCAACACGCCCTTCAGTCTTGGAGTCGATTCAGGACCTAACTGGGCGATATCTGATTATTCTCGCCTCGGCTGCAGCTGACCACGCCGCAAATGCGCACCCTTACGACCCGGTTCCCGACCTCGAAGACATCTACCAAGCTCTCCAGGACGCAGGAGCCATACGACCACAATTACGCGAATGGGAAGAGGAATGGCAGGGAGAAGAAGATATGCGTGGTCTAGATGCCTTCCTCGGTTGGATTACTGGCCCTGTCCACCGTGAAATTCGACGTGTTGCCGGCTTTGTGCCCAGCGAGGGTGATATGGTTGATCCCGACGCTGTTGAAAAGGAGGATTATCTCACTGCATTGAAGAAGAAACACAGTAAGACTGGTGAGGAGTCTCGATACGCGGGAACTGTCCTAGGAAAGAGTGCCGAGGAACACCCTATCATCATTGAGGGTGGTGCCCCCAGCATTCAAGACTGGACTGCGCAGGTTCGCGCCCGGGCTTCAGAGGCGGCAGCGGCAGACAGTGACAGTTCGGGCGTGAGCAGTGCACCAAGCCATCTCTCAGATGACGAAACGATGGGTGTGTGAAGGGTTGAACATGGCCTCATGGATTGCTTGACTGGAAAGGCCACAAAGCTTGAATCTCGACTTCACCAATGTGTCCAGGCCTCATCCGACACGACGCCCTTCTGGTCCTTCTTCCGGTCAGACTCTCTTCGATATCTACCCTTCCCGTTTTGAAGCACGAAATTACTTCACAATTGTGCCCAGACCTGATATGATATTCCACCCTTGCGGTCAGATTGTCTTTCATCTCCATGCACTTCTCTATCGGAAGCACAAACAGCCCCAACCACCATGTGCTGGGGCAATCAAAGCCTTTCATCCCCAGTGGTCGGCGACATTGTTCCGACTCGACCTGAGGCATGGTCATCCCCTCCACTTCATTCTGCAATGCAGACAACTCTCTTCTGGTAACCCAACCACTAGAATCCCGCCTATGCATCGTGCGGTATCTAATGGGATGAGTGTGACAGCCATGAGATGAAGTTGCAAGTTGATTCAGTCTGTTTTACATGAAAATGGCTAGTATTTCGTTTAACTGTGGATTGACATTCATTGACGAGTCAATTATTCGTCTTGTTTTTATTTCTGGTCTTGTTTTCACTTCTGTTTGCATCTGAGCATTCGAGCGGATATGCGTGCATCACAATGGGATTCCGATATGGCATTTTTCTGCCTGTCCCAGCCACCGCAAGACGAGACACATGCCTTCCGATATTTGTTCTGTCGAATAGTAGCTTCACATGTTCGGAAAGATATCATATTTTCGAATGGCAAACAGCAAACTCTGTGCTTCTGTAGTATTGAACAGCGACCGTCGAGTTTCACTCCCGAGGTAGCGGTCTGGGAAAAAGACCATCGAGTAACGAAGAAACAGCCCGTGTACTTGGAGGTTGAACCAGCCGAGTCTCTTGAGGACCCCAGTTTGTACTCGTAACTGACTGTACGCAGTGGCGATGAAAGTGTCCGGTCCTTCAGGTACTTGGAGTTCACATGTTCATGCATCTGTGCCTGATATCCATGTCACTCATTGTTCATGTTTCTAGGAACGAATAGCCTCAAATGTATAGCGGAAACGCCAAAGATATTGTAGACAAATGTGAAACACAGCAGTCATTGACGATAATATCATGTCCTAAATTGATTAAATATACAGATATAGAAGAAGGCGAGACCTTATAATAAGTAAACATGACCGAAATATAGTACATAAATGACCGGTTAAGGAACCGCCTGGTAGCTACCTTTGCTACGCAATTCACTTTGCCTCCATCTCAACTTCGACTCCTCCAACGTCGTGAGCTCCGCGTTGTACTCACCGTCGTTCAACGCGCGTTGTAGACGGCCGTCCCGGCGTTGCTTCAAACAATAAAATATAAATGCGCCAATGAGAAGCGCACCAACAACAGCGGCACCGCAATACACTCCGATATGAGCCCCCTGGCCGAGATCATCCCATTTCTGGGATAGGGTCTTGGCTGATTTCTTGTTGATTTGCGTTATGGCGGTTGAGTTTCCACTGCGATTTGAAGTCAGTCACGGAAATCATTGAACAACTGGGTACTGGCTTCGAAACACACTCACCTGACAACGTCGATACTATCGTATGTCCCTGTATGTCCCGTGTACTTGTACTCCTTTCCACTGGAGAAGTCCTGAACCCGAATCTTTGACACTGTCATAGTAAACGGAACATCGGACCAGTCAACTAAACCACCACCCCAGTCGAGATTGCCTTGCGACTGTCCCTTGATTCCAACCGGCCAATTGCTAACCTTGACCTGACAAGGTGTCTGAGGATAGTTTTTGCCATACACAGTCAACGGCTCAGAGTAGTTGACTGTCCGCACCAAGTCACCGTCAATCCACCATTCAAGCCGGTCTTTATCCCAGTACGAGGTATAATTGTGGAACTCAGTATCCGCATTTGAAACCGCATGGTATCCGCCCCGGTCACTCGTGGTCGTGTTCCCCTTGCCGAAGAAATCGGATTGCACTCCGCTAGTGTTATAACCAACCCATTCCCAGTCGATCTCGTCCAGGTCGTCTGATTGAAGGATAACACTGCTGATGATGCCGGCTCCCTTCGCCATCTTGACGTGCGCTTCCATCACACCGAAGAATATGTAAAAATTGGATACTAGGAGAGTCGACGCGTTTTCGGTTTTGATGCTGAAGTCCGCTCCTTCGGATGTGTAGTCCAGAGTGCCGGTTCTCATGTCCCACAGCTCGCTATCGAGAGTTGAGTTGAACAGCCATGTGTGCTCGGTTCCGAGGGCGGGATCCGCACTGCATGTCTTGTTGAGGGGGTTGCAATCCGTTCCGGTGTATTCGGCATTGACATTGGTGACTCCGAGAATGGTAGTAAGGGCTAGAAGGAAGAAAGAAAACCACGATATCATCATGTCGGTGCTTTGTATCAACGGTCAGTTCGATCCTGGTATCCGCACAATGCCGCTCTATATCGCAATTTCTTAGCGGAAGTATCACGCTAGCAGGAAGAAATGAATGTGTCAAAGTCTGCCCCTAAGAAGTTCATCCGCAAGAGGCAATAACAAAGTCTGCGTGTGGTTAATAGCCGAAAAGTCCGACATGACTGCTAGCAAAATCAAGATTAGGGAGGTCAATAAGCGAGCTAGCAAGCTAAAGGCATCAACAATTCAAGCTGTAATTAGAACCTTGCCCCTACTTAGTCGAGCTTAGCGTGAAAAAGTGTCGCAGACGACTGATCCAGTTGAGATTCAAGCTATGGAGACTGAAGCTATCTCCGAGTCCGAGAGAACGCTATTACGAAGCTTGACTCGGCACTATATACTAGCTCGCTTCTTAGCGCAAATTAAACTGCCTCATTGCGTTAGCCGCCTGTTGAAGGCCCACTGGCAGCGTAATTACCCAGTTCTTTTCACGATGCCGATTGGCTATGCTACTATGTTTAGCCCACCAGCATCCACTCCGAGGAACAGATCAGGAACAATATCCGGCCATTGCCCATGTTCGTTAATAAAGAGAAGGTGGAAATTCAAAATTGGAAATGAAAAGCGCAAAAAGACGCGTATATTATTATTGGACTCACGAAACAGCCCTAAAGAGTATTTAAAAGAACTGCTCGCCTCTTCAACGTTCTCTTTCCTGCTTTGACTTTTTGTCGAGGAGCTTACATTGGGTTCAGGGCAATTGCCCATCGAAATGGAGGTAATGAGGTCTGCTAATTGTACTTTTCTGACATTATTCACATAATATAGGACCGTTCTAGTACCAACAGGGAACCAACTTAGACCGAGTTCCACTACTTTGGCAAGCACTTTATTTCCCTAGACCATCTACAGCTGAGTCTATTGCAAACACTTTCTTCCTCAAGAATTGGCTCTAGGGAATGGCAGGCAAGTGATGTCCTTGCCAAAGTAGTTGGACTCGCTCTATATTGAGGCCTTGTTAGGCCTGCTTTTGGCACAGTACAGTCATGCCACTTTATACAAGTTCCATTGTTTTCTTCTGCTTACTATCATATAGCTATATCTAGCTGCACAGTTAGACCAACAAGCAAAGCAAAATGCCGGAAGACCTGAGTGCGTAGGCGTCAGCGCTGTGTTTGCGTCAACTCTTACTGCCTTGGGAGGTTCTCGCCAAACGAACGGTTTCACAGATAGAAACAGCAAACTTTTCGTCTTTCTGCCTAGATATCTCTTGGTTTGGTCTTTCCTCCCTCGACTTGTTTTGTTTACCTTTTCCCCGTCCATTTTCCATTTCTCGTCCGTCTCTCTCGTTGACGAGACGCATCCGTTTCCCACAACAACTGGTTCACGTCAACCATGCAGTATCGCCTCCTGTTTGCAGCTCTGGCTGCTACTATCACTCTTGTTCTCGCCCACATAGGCCCAGTCTGTAATGCCTTCGACAACGCGTGTCCATCCAACAAGGGCAACATTGCAGCTCATATCAACTACAATTTGACTCAGGCTTGGGCGTTTGACGAATGGACAACCTTGGCGGCGAAGTAGTCGCCGGGCCTGATGGTGCAGAGTTCACGTTCAACAAGCAACGCGATGCCCTGACAATCGTAACCGACTACTACATCTTCTATGGCGAGGTATCTGTTGAGATGAAGGCCTCCCCCGGTACTGGCATTGTCAGCTCCATCCATATGCTGTCAGATAACAATGATGAGATTGACTGGGTGAGCTCCAACTTGCATTTTTGTCCCATGGGAAACGAACCTAACCATACATACAGGAAATACTGGGTGACTTTACCGACATGCTACAGACGAATTATTTCGGCAAGGGCGATACCAGTGAGGATTACAATCGCTGGGCATGGCAGCGGGTGGAAACCCCCCCAAGAAGTCTTCCACAACTACACTTGGATTTGGTCCAAGGAGGAACTGTCATGGGCGATCGATGGCACCGTTGTTCGGACAGTCCACTATGCTGATGCAAAGGGTGGCACCCGCTTTCCGCAGACACCAATGCGCATTCGAATCGGTATCTGGGCAGCAGGCGATCCGACCAGAAACAAGCGCACCATCGGCTGGGCTGGCGGCGAGACTGATTACTCAAACGCACCGTTCACGATGTATGTCAAATCGATTGAGATTGTCAACTACACCCCGGCAGAAAGCTATGTCTACTCCGACAGATCTGGCTCTTCGGACAGTATTAAGATAAATCGCCACACTTCCTCGAGCGAGACTTCAGCCACCACCGATACTGCCATGCAGGTTTTATCTTCTACCGATTCATCGACTATGACGACTTATCCCGCGTCACAAAATGAGATTGCAGGCTCCTTGACCGTTAATTCGAGTTTGACCGAATCCAAAAATTCAACCACCCCCGATATCCCCTTGGCCCAAATGACTATCCCCCAACTCTTGCATCATCTCGAGACCACAGTTGAGAATATCCTGGATTTCCTGTCGACCAAAGCTAGAGCGACCTTCATCTCGAGGAAGGGTACTGTCACCTCAGCGATAGGTTCTTGGGACCTCTTTTTTCTCCAGGCTTTCGGTGTTATTGTCGTTATCTTTCTGGTCCTAGGCATTGTTTTAGCGTGGGTTTGCTTTTTCTCGCGTATTTGCACTCCTCAGGATTATAGTCGAGGCAGCTGGTGATATGAATTCGTATCCGTGAATAGTTCACAGTTCCCAGAATTTGCGCAAGTCCTTCTATGAATCTTTGAATTCAACACCCGCTGGGGTTTCAAAAGCGTGATAGCAGCATTGAATTCCTCCTATGTAGGCTTGTCGTACTTCCTAGAAAGATAACAAAGTACATATGTGAAATAGATGATTTACTAGAGTATCTACAAGCCAGGAAAAGGCTTGAATTAGGTAAATATGTCAGAAGTACTCAGTTCTGGATTTCTTAACTATACCGTAGAGGAGTCAATCCCCCGAACACTCATGTCAAATATACCACTCAGTCGATTGCGCGGCAAGAAGTGCCTCCTTGAGGATACAAGCTGCGCTGTATTCAATATCATCCTCTCTCATCCAATCAAAAGTCCGGCTATTTATCTGATAACTGGTCCAATCGCTCTTGAGGACAAGGATTGCCTCGGGCAAACAAAGCCTGAGTGTCATAGAGAAACGTTGGAATTGGGCATATCCAAGAAGGTGGCTGCGAGGCTTGCCTTCATCGCATCTTGCTTGCAATACCAGATCGCGACAAAGTCTTTCTAAATTCTCGATCACTTCGTGGCGCCGCCATGCCTTGTATGTTAGAGTTTCAATCTGTGTTTCCACAATCTGGACTATATTGGTATAGTCCGTCTCCAGGCCTGGTCCAAACACGGGGACTGGGGACATTGTTGTGGTAATGTTAGTATTGTAAGTGTATCAAGTTTACTAGGGCTAATTGCTAGTTCGGCTAAGCGTGAGTATCAGGAAATAGATCGCCTAGGATACACCTAGAATGATGTAGGACTGAAGATATTTATCACTCCCTGCTTAACTGTGTAGGTTTCCGAAGATGTTACCTGGCTAGAAAGAGAGTGTCAAAGTGATTGAAGCTCGTTGTTATGGAATTTCTTTGTTGCATCCATGTGCTCGTGGTCTTGATCCCTCAATGAATCAGGTTACCTCGTTGTTGCTTTTATCCGTGAATTCATAACCATCCGAAAGCAGTGAGACAGGAGATCTGACCTCTAAAAGCAAAAGAGGCAAGACAGTAGGGAAGTGATTGAATACTTATACAACACTATCAAGCAATAGTATAAGAGCTGCCCTTCCATTTCGACTCACTTCATATCCCTTCTCATTAAGAACAAGGTTACTTAGAGAGACAGCATGGCTGTGTCTCTCGTGGCGGTAGAGGCCTGTCTACATGTAGTTCAGTGGCCATATATATCTCGTGTCCTTTTTCAACTTGGAGAAATACTATGCGAAAATAATGGACTAAAACGAACTCCAACTGATTCCACCGACGATAACATTGGAGACCAGCAATCGGCGGAATATTGGAAGTTTTACTCTGAAACCCATGGGCCTTACCTGCTCCACGAGTATCACAAGGGAACACGTGCAATCAGACTACAACCATTTCCAGTCAGCCCTTACTCCCTTAGAGATAAAGACTGCGTCTTACAGAGATCCTCCAAGTCAGATGCTAAATATATCATTTCACGCTAGCACCGATCTCTTTGTCCCTGATTTGGCTCAACTACCGAAAGGGGAAGCTACGCTTGTTCATCCACGTCTTGGAAGAAAGCTCGAACATCTACGGGAGGATTTCTTTGTTATAATTTGAGGGCAGTAATTTCGGTCATTGACTTTTGGATAATTCACAGTGTCTCGATTGAGAACGACACCCCTCTAAGTCTTTCATTTCGAAAGCAACGTGAAAGGAAGGCCAAGGTGATCCACGGAATGATTCCACATGAGAGGCGAGGAAGTAAACAAAGAATCAGAAGCTTACTTCCTTTGATATCCTGGAGCTTAAGGGAATGTTGGGATTTGACCTTCTTTGACTTTGAACAGGGCAGTTTCGGTTTGGAGCTGAAAGCTCTTTGTTGAGGTAAAGGTGGCTGGACACGGTTGCCAGTTCGGTCAAGGGCACTGATGGTTAAACGACCTGCATTTCTCGTTGAAGACATCAATTATGAAGAAAATAGGTAGTATCAGAAAGACTATCAAAGCAGTTCCTAGGTCCTTCGCACTGGCGGGCGTTTCTTTAGTCTATTTTCTTTGTTTGGGCATGTTGGTATGTGGTGTAGTCTGAAGTACAAATATCTCCCACAACACTCGACATCAAACATTGTCTCAATCTTCTGATACTCCACTGAGCTTCTGCACCTGGAAGATATCATACTCCTTTTACCATCTCGTTGTTCAAAATGAACCGTCCTCGGAGAGCCGCGGCTAGAAAGCCACAGGGTTACTATTCCCCTCTTCTTCTATAGGAAAGGAAAAGACTGTTGGTGGTCGGGTCCAGAAACTGCGCAAAGTAAAAGGTCAAACAGAGCATGCCCCGCCTCCTACTTCTATGGTTATGCCTGACCCATTGGATACGGCCGCACTCGAACGGGATTTGCAAAAGTCCTATGAAAGCAAAGTTGCACCACCAAAGCTGCCAAAACGGCAAAAAAGATGGCGACAGCCAGCAAAGAAGCCAATTTTCGATCTCGCGGAAGTGCCAAAAGGGTGGAACTCAGATGAACCTGATCTTGATCCTGAGTACGTCTTTCCCGCTTCTGTATCGATATGTGCGCATACTAATATATGCTATACAGTGACTTGGTATCTCAAATTGTAAGGTGCCAGGAACGGATTGATGATAATATCATGAGCCAGATGTTCCAATTCAAGCTGGATGACTTGCTGAAAGAGAAGTACCGTCGCGAGTGAGTATACCCAAGAGACCTTTCTGTTACTGTTGTTAACCCTATCATTAGCGCCATGATGGCCGCAGAGCCGGTTGGCTTGAGCTGGCCTGTCGTCCTGCGCTTGGACACCCTCACGAAGATGCTAAAATGTCTTCGCAGCGGGAACGATGAGTGCGATCTAATTGGAAATGTGACAAACATCATGGCAGCATACAGATCGGGAAATTTGAGATGGACACCAGGTCTTGTTACCTACTGGTCTAAAGGTGTCCAACTCTGCCAGCCGAGACCTTTCAAGTGGGATGAATTTGATTTCATCAATGCTAAGCATGACGGCGTCACAGGCTTTATGGTAGAAGGGGTATGTTTCCTTAAACACATGGGCTAGTCAGACACTAACATGCGTAGCTTGAAGGACCAGGGCCAAGCCCCCAATTGGCGTCAACCTATGTAGCTTCGCCAGGTCCTCAATTTGGACAGTATCAGAGTGGTGTGAGTTCAAGTGCCAGCAATCATTCTTTTCGTCTTCTAACATGATTGGAAGATTTACATCTGTGTGAAACCCCTTGATCAGGGTACAGGCCCAGCTTTCCCCCTTGAATGGGGCTTCATCGATGATACTGGGGCGTGTATCATGATGATCAACAATAGCGACCTCACCCAGCTCGTGACTTACAACCAAACCGCCACCGGAGTCGTCCAGCCCGCTCCACCATTGTTAGGTGCAATCCTGTTGGGTGTGGCTAATGGATCAGAAAGTATGCAAATTTGCAGGCGACTTGAGATTAACTTGCGGAATGTCGGCACCGGTACTTACCTGTCCCCGATATGGCATCCGGTCCAAGTCGCCATTCATGATGACAACACTACGAAGATACTCAGATTGAGTGGCCCATGGCCACGGCACAGGCTGTATTCAGCGTCGGTTCCGGATGGCAAGAGGACAACCTATTTCAGTGAAGACCACCCAAACTTGATGACTTTGCCCTGGTCAAACCCGCTGCAAATGAACAGGTTGTTGCCAGACCTTCCAATGGATCTAGTACCACCACCAGCACCAGCAGCGAAAGCGCCCTGACAGGCAAAGTCTTTTTCCATCTTCAGATGCGATGTGGCGAATCTCCTGTGTTCTATTATATGTGTCTTTCATTTTGGATTTTAGAGCTGTTTTGGTTGTTTTGGTTTGGACTCTAGAATCGTTTGTTATCTCGATATATTTCGTCATTCAATTTAAGTTAAACCTGCAATGCTGATTAGTACATCGTAGGCATAGTAGACATAGTAGACATAGTATCCCAAACTCAGTTGGAAAGTCTTGGCAGTGACATCAGTTCCGATCGAGTCCTCCCTTCTCCAACTCCCCCAGTTCACCATGGTCTACACATTTATCCTCCCAACCACTTCGCCTGTCTCGTTTCAATCATTCATCTCCTCTACCACTCACCCCCTCTCTCCCCCAATCCGCGTCGACAACCCGCCATGCCCTCCGCCTCGCACTCAAGGCCCACAAACGCTTACCCCGCGGCCCGCGTCAGGACGCCCACCTACCCACAGTTTTGTCCGCGTTGAATGAATACATCCCCTTCCTATTCGCAATCTCAAATGGACTGAATGGTCGCTCCGTTACAACCGAGCCATACTCTGCTCAAGATGGCTATACGTCAGGGGGAACGAACCTCCGCACCGGCGAGATAGTCGACATCACCATCCGCACGGAGATACAGTCAGCATGGAGATGTACATTGTCGTCCTCAGGCGGATTGAATTTCGGGTCCGGCGGAAATAATGCAAGCGGACATGGTATCCGCACGCGGAATGGACGAGTCTCTGGCCGAGGCATCCACTTCGAATTGGCATTCACGCTTACAACTCTGGGGTATGTACTGAGTAGGATGGCGCGTGCAGGAGTAGTCACTGCGCTGTACGCATCGTCTACCCCGTCTGCGGAGGTCCGTACTGCTGCTGTGCAGACCGCAACGCGGTATCTACTACAGGCTAGCTCGGTGCATAATATGCTTGCGTCCTCGCCGACTTTCACTGCAGCTGTGTCGGCAGTACCGGATCTTGAGGCTGGTACGCAGTCAGCTCTGTCGTCTCTGGCCATGGCTGAGGCTACATTACTAGCTGTTCTCAAGGATGATGCGTATATTGCCGCGTGTATCCAGTCGCGCAATCCAAATGATAAAGAGTGGATGGTTCGTGCACCTGAGATTCCCAAAGTGCGCGCTTTGTTATTTGCAAGGCTCTGTGTTCGTGCTGCAGAGTACGCCGAACAAGCGGCTGCAGGGTTAGGTGCTGTTGGATCTACGTCTGGTCGTGCAGGCCGGGTGGATGAAGACTTGGTTCGCTATACAGGAGTTTTGGCTCGCGTTGCTCGGGCACGCGCCTGTCGATTCTTTGGTGTAGATGCTGAGTTATCCGGTAAAGTTGGTGAGGGTATTGCCTGGTTGCGAGCTGCACGCACTTCACTCGGGCTACGTGGAGCTTCGCAGGATGACACTGCTAGCTCCGGAGGCTCTTCAAAGGGCGGATTGTCCCGTTTAAAGCGCGAGTGGACAGAGCGGCGCGAGGAGCGTCGAGTCACTAAAGATGCTGGCGGCAGTCGCAGCGAAAAAGGTCCATTGGATGCGGGGGACGATGCTGGCCGTGACGAGGAGGGACGAGTCCTAGCGATGCTTGAGACAAAATGGGTGAAAATGAATGACACAGTAAGTTCGATTTCGTTATTCCCCCATGGTCCAGGGGTCTCAATGTATATGGCTTACTGACTCAACGCAGATGAATACACACCCCATTCCACCCTCTGCACCATTACTATCTAATCTGCCTTCTGGTCGAGATATTCACTCTTCGCCGGCACCATACCAGCCCCCTTCTTTAGACGAGGATCAACTCATGCGGATGCGTGCTCCACCTGATGAGAGGGACGATATTCAGCTTGGAAGTGACGACGATAGTGAAGACGATGCAGGACAGCATGATGGCCGTGGAACTCCGGGTGCATTCCCGGATCGAAGTGCGACGGCTTCGAGTGTTTATTATTGAAAGATACATACCGACATTCAAGTACATTTGTAGAACATGAGATATGATATATCGAAGTTAACATTTACCTCGCGGTCTATGATAAACACAAGGGCCCGGTGATACACTGGCATCCTGACCTAGTGTGGGTCACCGGTTGACTACGATCTCTCCGAAGAGCAGTCCACATTGTAGAAAAAGGAAGAGTGATCAAACAAAGTGATATTATGTACAGTACAAATGAACAAGAGCACAGAGGGTAATCCCCAGACCCTCTTCTGCCATCTTTTCGTCTCCCTCCGACGGACCCGATCAGGGTGGCTATAAGATCAAGATTGAACAGGACTGAATCAAACCCACTAGGATTCCAGATTCCGTCCAAAGCCGACCATTTCATCCCGGCATCAAGATTGTCCAGTCCCATGTGGATATGGCTATCAACCCCTCGCCTCGAAACACAATCGCATAGCTGAACATGCAAGGAAAGACGTAACCGCTTATGCCGACTCTCCACCAAAGCGGTTCTTCTCCTGTCCAAGGTAACCCTTAATCTTGCTCTCCTTGAGGAGCTCGAAGTACTTCTCTGTAGAGGATAAACATGTCAGTAACGCATGTCAATCACAAATCCGCAAATGCGGCAACCCAGTCAGGTCCGATTGTTCCGGCAAAATATCGCAGAACATCGAAGCCCCTGATATGCAGCGTAGACGGAATAGCGGAAAATCACCCACCTCGGAAAACACCACACTTCTCGAGGTGGTTCACGCCCTCGCGCGCATAGCACTTGCCCAATTCCTCGCCGACCAGACGCGCCATCATGCTGCGGACCCATTGCTCGCGGATAATGGCGTCGCGGGCGTTGTGGACTGCGACGTTGTCCTCGAAGTCGACGCCGTCGTAAGTCGGGGCGACGGTGGGCTTTTTGGCGAGGAAGGCGGCGGACTCGGGGGTTGGCATTGTGGGTGGTTGGGTTGTGTGGTTTGGATTGAAGGTCGGGTGTGGTGAGGTGGTTGCTTGCTCGCTCGGAGGACAATGGCAGCAAGGATTGTTGGAGAGAGTCGTCTTTCGAGGCGCTTGATGCGGTCGTCGGCACGTTGATCTTGAAGGTGAAGGTTGGATTACCTGGTTTGTGATTGGGTGGAATCAGGGCGGTCAGCGTGCTTTGGTGCGGGAGACGGAGGGGGCCTTCTGCGCAGATCTGTGCGGTCACGTGGATCTATACAATCCGAAAACGGCAGGTCAGACAATAAGTGAAGATTCAATACTTTGGGATTGGATCCTATGTGATTTAGAGTGGTTAGGAAATGCTTGTGTTGAGTAAGGAAATGCTTAACAGGAATATCATATTTTCAATGACCATGGTTGTTCACACCTGCCGTACGCCCGATCAAGACAATGCGAAACCACTAAAGCAATATACATACAAAAGCAAGATTTCGACACAAAACCTCTCATGATGCGAGGATGACTACCTCAATGTAGACCTGCTGTGACAAGGATAATTGACATGAATAGCAATAAATAGTATGGATCAATCATCTCCCTCCTTTCCCATCATTCGGTCGTATACATCACCTAAACCGTCCGTGAATCGCTCCCAACTGGACCGGCCGAGCCAATTGCTCAGCTCACGGTAGTAGTAGATCTCTGACCAGCAATCACGACCAAACATGCACCCAGCCATATTGACGATGAGGTCATGTGCGTTCTGCTGATAGTGAATGACTGGATTATCTCCGTCGCCGCATGCACCAGGCGGGAAGGCATTGATGCTGCGTTGTGGTAAGAAGCCAACACTGCTCCGAACCCATGGTTGACTTTGATAGATGTATTCTAGGGCATCCTGTTCTTTATGTTCCCAGTCCATATGCATCTGCTCGTACATGACGGGATCCCACCAGATATCGAGCAGTCGATCGGTCCAAACAGATCGTCGCAGGAAGAAAGATCCGAGATTAAAGCCAGCACAGTCCTGTGTCAGAAGCATATTCAAAGACTCTGCCTTCCCGTCGCCCTCGAGGGATCGAGCCAGCTCGTCGAGCCAGAACTCGGGTAGTGGATGGGTGATGTTGAGAGGGTTATAGGCAGTGATATCACGGTAGACGTGCGATTCAAGGTCGTTGAATAGGTGGTGTTGGAGTGATGTGTCGTATTCCATAACCCATGTGTTCAAGTCGAGCCACCAAAACCACTCTGCGTCTGGGTACTTGCGCATGGCTTCGCGGATCACATCGCCCTTCTCCCAGCTCTCGCGCCATTCATGTGAATATCGCTTCTTGGCCAACAGATTGGCCAGTTCGAGCTCGTAGCCCCATTTTTTCACATATCTCTTCTTGTTCCATATGCTGTTGCGTTCAATAGCCCATTCGCGTGCACCTTTCCACTCCATGACGCCGCCCTCCACGTTCGATCCGAGTATGATAACGAACTTGCTCCCACCGCCTATAGGTGACCTTCGGTATGTTTGAATAATGGCTGGAACAGTGTTAGAATATTGGGTCGAAATGATCGTAGCAAGCACTTACTCGTCCAGCAAAATAGATACCCAATCCATACCAAGAACAGGGCGAACAGCAGCCGGAGTCGACCCCGGCGTATTGGTATCCGTAACGCACCTAGCAGGCCACGTCCACTACCCGATCGCTTCCATTCCCGGCCGTAGTCATCCTTATCAACATATTCGCGTGAGGAAAGTCTTCGAAAGCTAGGAAACCGAGTGGAGATCTTGTGTCGTTGTCGAGAGAAGAAGCCGCTATTTCGTGTGGAGAACGATGGATATCCGCGCACCTCGTCGCTTTTTGCCTTGGCTGCGGCCCACGAAATGCTGCCTGGTGTGCCTGGGGATAATGCACCAGGCGATGGACCGTTGGGGGATGCGGTGCCGCTAGCCGGAATGAGTCCCGGGCTGGACCACCCCCCGCCCGGGTGGGGAGAGGGTGATCGCGATAAGGTCATCGCGGTGATCAGCGCTAAACAGTGGATTTGCTAGAAAGCGATGTGAACTCTTGAGGATGCCGGAGGGAACGAGCGAAGGGATGGATTGGTGAGGTCAGAGTGACAGAGGTAACGAGTGACGGAAGTTAGGGAGAGAAGTGAGTTAAGACACACGAAACATCATTAAGAGGACATTATGTACCGGATTGCCCAGGTGGAGATGCGACCTCAGGAACTTGAGGCCGAATGCGGGCATGTCTGTGCCCTGACAGCAGGTGCGGTTTGAGTTTCGATCCTTCCCAGGGTTGAAGGAGAAATTGAATTTGGGTCGTTAGCCTCAATACTCTAACTGCTATATAATTAGCATCACTATGTTGTACTGTATAGTTGGTATATACCTAGTTGGGCCTAATTTAATCTGCGAACTCAATCAAGTGAGGCTCAATTTGCGCATCGGCAGATCGGCGCCACATCTCTACACTTTACTGCTTGCGGACAAAGACCATTGTGAGCTATGTAACGATGAATTCCCACGCAATTACTATCAATCTACGTCCAAAGCGGAAAAAGACTAATAACGCCAGAACTCATTCTAATCCCGATCACTTGCATTGGGGCCGAATCGGCATTCGGTTCGCCGCCCGTCGGCCTTGGTCATGAGAGCCTGTCGCACCATGAACCCGGCTTCGTGACCCGGTCGGGGCTGGGCACTCTCGCCATGGGTAAAGTCACACTGAAGCTTAAGAAACTTCGTTCTGTCTTTGTTTTGGTACACAGTGATGATGTCGCCTGTGTAGAGTTTCCCGAATTGTAAAGCTTCGGGACCATCCTCGGTCATAGAGCCACGGCGCAGCAGTGTGTCATTTACCCAGATGCCAAGACGCGCTTTGGTGGAGAGAATAGCCATCACCCCTGGAATATCGAGCCAGCTTTCCCCGGCTGCGATCCTCGCCTCGATTCCTGGAGTCCAGAATGTGACCTCCAGGGCATAGGCCGGGATTCTCGTGTCCATGGAATCGGCATGCTTGACGGTCGCTGACGGGCCCCGACCCCACGAGGTGAGTCTATCCTCAAGGTAGATTGTCAAGTCAAATATCGACCCGGGGAGGCTCTTCAGTTTGCCGTATCTCTTTGGCGGTTTGGTAAACTCGGGATCAGACGGCGTGGAGGGAATAGGTGGGTTGGGTCGGTGAACAATCGGTTCTGACGACTCTGTTTCATCGGCACGGAGCTGATCCAAGATAGCTTGGCCTGTCTGCGCATCAAGGGTTGTAGCAAACTCGACGTCGTATTCGGATTTGGAGGGGCGTAAGGGGTTGTTGGGAGCAGCGTCGAGGCGACTATTGTGGGCACTATTATCGCTCGATCCCTCGCTGGCCGTGTCGGGGATTGCAAGAGCAAGGTCAATCCGACGTGTGAACTTTGCTTTTGGTGTTGGCTCTTGTGGGCTCGAGACAGGTTCTTCTTTAGGACTCGAAGTCGGCGGAACAGAATCCCTGCGGAGGGTACTAGGTGGCATCGCGTCCTTGGCGTGCCTAGGGGTGGTCTGCCGCAAGGAGGATCTGTTAACCGGGCCACCCTTGAGTTGTAAAGCGGGGTGCAAGGAATCCATGTTGAGTTCTCCAACGAGCTTCTCTGCGCCCATCAAACTGGGCGCAGTGCCACCGAAGGGTACTGCCGGGAGGGAAATAATCGAGTCGTTGGGATCGTCGCTCGTCATCGACTCACCGGAAGAGAGAAAGTCAATGGGAAAGTTATTGGAGTCGTAGGCATCCAGGTTGCCCAGCGCGTGGGAGCTCCGTAGGGCTGAGGCGGAAACTTCGCCAAACAAACGTTTGGCATGATTGTCCACCGCTGCCTGCCCATCTTGGAAGCTCTCGATATTTGGAAGGCTGGGGTAGCGTACATCGGTGGGAATGTACTCGATGCGAGGCCGTTTGGAGATCGCGTCACTGCTGCTACCCTCTTCGCCGTCAGCTTCGTGGTGGTACCCCGGACCATCAGCGATAGACAATTGCGAAGCGTCTAGCTCCTCCTCGGCATCCTCGCCAATGATTGAAAGCCCATCTTGATGGTCAGACAGCAAATCAGCATCATCCTCATACTCATCCACGTCAGGGACCTCAGCGATCCAAGGGTGCTGGAAACACTCCTTCTCTGTCGGACGAGAGAAAGGGTCTCGGTTGAGAAGCTGGGCGACAAAGTTGATACCAGACTCAGACACGCCCGCCTTGCGCAAGGGTTCGAAATCAGCGTCACTGGTCATAATAGTACGAAGCATCTGGACACCTCGATCCTCTGCACGCCCTGTATATGGTGGAACGCCGGACAGGATATGGAAAAGAACTGCTCCTAGCGACCACATGTCAACAGATTGGCTGTAAGGAGATGTTGTGGGGGGGTCTTTCAATATCAGCACAGGCTTCCCAAACGAAAAAGAAATTAGCGACTTACGGGTCTCCAACGCGACGCCTCTTTCGGAGCTCGCCGCGGCGGTATTGATCATAGTCCGGGTACACCTCCGGCGCACAGTACAGAAGCGTGCCACAAAAAGTCTTCAGGAAAGTTTCCTGCTCCACCACTTTCGACAACCCAAAGTCAGACAGTTTGATCCTGAGCGGGTCCAACGAGGCAATCAGGATGTTGTCCGGCTTGATATCTCGATGGGTGATGCGGCGTTTATGCAAGTAGTGAAGCGCTCGTAACACTTGTCGTGCGATCGTTCTCACCATCTCCTCGGCAATCTTACCCTGGGTCTGCAGGTAAGTCGACAGCTCTCCCCCTGGAACATACTCCATGATGATATAGATCCATCGATCATGCTCGTGATGATCGATGTATTGAACGATATTCGGCTGTGATGCGTCAGTTGTATCGCTAAGAGGAAAACTGAAAGATATTGCTTACATGTCTGAGATCCCTCATGATTTTCATCTCATTGTCGACCTTTTGATCAAGGATACCGTTTTTCATGAAGCGGCGCTTGTCGAGTTCTTTTGCAGCATAGATGGCGCCATGTTGCTTGGTTGCAATCTTGTACACAGTAGCGAATGCACCCTTTCCAATCTGTCCAGTCACGTTGTACATGGCACCACCGGTCCAATGCATGCCATAAGCATTGGCAGATGACCACGCTAAAGCAGATGGGCCTGGGCCCTGTCGTTCTTTATATGCCGGGGTATGTGCATGAACTCGTTCGAAATAGCGAAACAAGTTCTGGTGATATTGGACAGCGAATCCTTCTCGTGACGGAATTCGAACAACGAAGCGGACCTCGTCCGAGGTTTGGGATCCGGTGATGACTTGAATAACAGACCCGTTTGTGAGCATTCGACTATTTCCCTCTTTCTGAGACTTTCGCAGGCGACAATTGTCCACGATGGTACCATTTGTCGACGTATCCTGGAGCATGAGAATGCCATCCTCGGTTAGATAAATGCGAAAGTGAGTGTTCGACACTCGTTTCGCATCATCATCAACACTCAGAAGAACATCACAACGAGAGCGATTGCGACCGAAGCAGAAGCCAACTCCCAGGTTGTGGACTTTTGACGAGAGCCTCAGCGCCAAATCTAATGCTGCCGTGTGGGAGGATTCGTGTTCCAGTATGTCCCTTTGAAGGATATGCTGAGCACACATTCCACCAGTAGCGCCAACAGCATCATGTGCAGCATGCGAATTCGGATGAAGGATACAGATGATGTCGGCCAGATCTTGGTCTTGAATGCCAGAGTTATTCATTCCCATTCGGCGGGGATCAGCACATGGCTGGGTAGATTCCTGAGTGGCTTCCATTATGAGGCTGAATGCAAGTGTAGATGAAGATGCTATGGGAATGAACAGAGAAATGAACTACAGGTGCAGATCCGATGGGGTAGGGTATATGTGCTGTGAGGTCAGCGAAGAGAATGTGCATAAAAAGGTCATCAACGTCGCAGACTAGAGATTAATATGTTAGTGAGGTCGCGCTAACAGGGAAGGTTCTTGGAGGGCTTCTATATATACCTCGAAGAGAATGAGTGCTGGGGCCTAGGAACTGCACACCCGGGCAAAAGTTAGGCAAGACAATGATACGCTTCAGGACCAATAACACATTCGCTAGGTATGTGTCGCCTGATCACAGATTGGCCACGAATATCTTGTTCAGTGGTTGCAAGGAGTGTAATAGGCAATGGTTGAGCGGTAAGTGGAAGGTATGCCTTGCAGAGTGGGGTGTCTCTCTTCAACTTTCCTCAAAACCAGTGTTGATCAACACAGATGAGGACGCTGCGCATGAAATGGAAGTGAGGCTTTCCAACCCTTGGCCCAAGCCATAAGAATACAGAGTGTAATTCTAGGTTTGAAGATGTCACACGGTGGAGGGATCCCGGGCCGTCAAGATGGGGTGCAATGAGAAGCTACCCGATGGTGTTTCCTTATTAACGATGCTGAAACGAAAGAATGGACTGTATTTGACGAGCTCGAGTGGGCAAGGAGGTATGTCTGTTAAATTCCGTTCCAACAAATTAGCAAATGTCTTTTTGGAAGCTTGAAGAGGCCTTCGTTTAACCTCGACTCGAGGTCGAGAATGAACTCACACAGCCTGGGGTACTCCTTGTCAACCTGTCCACGGCTGGTAAAATTGAGATAGTAGATAACACAAAAACGGGGACGCCGGGACAGAGCAAAATCGCACTCCTTGGTAGGTCGTCGTCCGAGGAACAAGACCAAGAACGAGCCGCAACAATCGTGACTGGTACCTGAGGCAACGACACGTTCCTAAGGCGCGTAAACTCCTTACTCATCAGGCAGCAGGACCGTTGATTGGTCGAGCGGGATGCAGCGGGGACTAACCATGGAATCAGCTCGAGTCCGATCTATGAGAAAACACACACATTGTACATCATGTGTATACATCGCGAAGGCTTTTAATACCTATACTAGGTTATTGTTATTATTTATTGCAAACTATTTACTTCCATATGGCTTGCTAGTATCATCGCTCCGTTTGAAATCACCCTTCAGCGCAGTATCGAACACTTGTTCCAGTCGTGCAAGGGCTTCGTCTGATACCTCTGTGACAGGTCAGATTAGGGTCATGCATTTTCAGCACAGATTAAGGAAGCACTTACGGTAATGGACCACGACGCGGCCACCCAACAATCTTAGCCCTTTTTGCTGCCCAATCTCAGCCAGGTCATTTGGACCCACTCCTGACGCCTCGAGGTCCAACCAAACCATATTGGTGTGCAGAGGGTACTCTAGCTTGCCACCGCGACTGGTCCACATATCGGCTACCCGCTTCGCCTTTTTATGTGTTGTTGCAAGCTTTCCAGTTTGGCCTTTTGGGTCCGTGCCAAAAGTTTCAGTGAGCGCAACACGGGCCGCAGCTGCAATCACGCCCGTCTGTCGGGCGCCGCCGCCGATAGACTTGCGGAACCAGCGCGCTTTCTTGATAAAATCATGGGAGCCGACAATGATACTTCCAATGGGTGCACCCAATCCCTTTGAGAAGCAAAGACTAACGCTATCGAAAAGGCTTGCATATTCAGGCAAGCTCCCAGCACCAGCCACGACGGCCTCCCACAGCCGGGCACCGTCTAAGTGAACCTTAATGTCATTAGCATGAGCCCATTCCACAATCCGCTTTGCCTCAGCGAGCGGCATGATCATTCCGTCGAGGGTATTCTCCAAACTGATCAACTTGGTCGGGCAATAATGAATATTATCGCCAAGAACTGCATGCTTTTTGATATCTTCCAAGGTCAAATAGACCCCATTTTTGGGAATAACAGGGCTCACGGTGGCACCAGTCCAAGCGCTCACACCACCAGCCTCATAACAGATGATGTGTGACCTGTGATCACATAATACTGAATGAGGTGGCTGCGCAAGATGCGAGCGAATAGCCACCTGGTTTCCCATGGTACCAGAAAGGACCAACAGACTTTCCTCATGTTTCGTGATCTCAGCGACATAGCTTTGCAGCTCGTTGGTGACTGGATCCTCATTGAAGACATCATCCAGAAGAGTCGTTTGGCAGATCGCTTCGAGCATCGACGGTGTAGGCTTCGTCATTGTATCGCCTACGTTGGATCAGCTTCAATCCCGTCATCCACTTCTCAATTGAGTCATACTTCGGAGGTCAAACTCAGCAGCTCCAGCCCCGTGCCAGGCTGTAGGCTTCTTGTCATTGCTGCCAATGACTGCCGAGGCACGGGCCAGGGCATCAGTTGTGAGTTGTGCCATACGTATTGGAAATATGGCTTTTCGTCTGTGCGGGGCAATTAATCGAAGCGCCGAAGAAGAGGGACGGATTGGATTCAACAGGCGATTCATGGATGAGTTTTATGACAGCAGAGATGTCTTGGGGGAATTGGAAAAAGAGGGGAGTCGACACGTGATCCGGGGACAAATAACCTGCTACATTGTGGAACCGGGAGATATAGACATCGTAGATGCGCAGGAGGTTGCACGGGGACCGGAGGGTAAACGTACTATCCAGTATCGTCCCAGGCTAGGCACATCACAAACTTTGTGTTTCGCCTATCAGAAGTGTATACTATAATCTGTCACTCGGTCCGCGGTTATGACGCCACTGCACTCAATATCGATAACCTAATTGGGACTAGTGCATCAAAAGGGCCCGGGCGGTCGCCCGGCCTCGACCGCTGACTCAGCGCTTGGCGTGGCCGCGGGCGGGCATTGCGCTTCAACGGTTCAAGTGTGCACAATCTTACCAACCTTCTATCGGCTTTATCCTAGTCGCGCAAAGATGGATCTGTCCCATCTCACACGGCCTGGCATCCTATGCCAGTGTGCTCGGTGCTCCAGCTCACTGGCTGCACTGGAGAATGAATGGGCCAAGCTATCTAATGCCTACTCAATCCCGACAGCATGGCTTAGTGTCGACCTCCATCGCATCGCCGTTTCTTCAGAGCGGAAGCAAATCCCTCAGACATCGGACATGACCCTTCTGCGTGGCCGTGTCATTCAGGAAGTATCATGTAAGCTCTGTCAGCAACGGACGGGGGGTACTTTGTCCACTTGACAACGGGTAAGTGGCTGTCGATAGAGACTGGCGTTTCGCACGGCTAACCTGGTTTCAGGATGAATATTCTGTGGAAAATGTCAAAAGTTGCTTTCAGGGAGATCGTTACCATGCGAACAGTGCAACCTGTATTCAAACAGGGGGCCCTCGAGCGACTGATTTGCCCCCCGAAAGAACCTCCGCGCCGAAACCCCGATCTCGTCCAGGGCAGTGCACTGGTGCCAGCTGGCTGCACCGACCCCAGACCCTCGATCCAACTATGCAAAAGCAAATGCTGCATCAGGGTAGAACCATCGATCAGATTTCGAACTCCGTGAACCACCTCCAAGACACAATGTCAGATCTCAAACATTCATTCACGGCACTTCGAATAGAGCTGAATGGGCCTGGCCGAAATCTGGGGGAAGGCTCTGTACTTCAGGGACATGATTTTGACATGATTGCCATGGTGCTGAAGGAGCTCAAGTCCAAGTCGGACGAGATCGAGAAACTGAAGCTGGAGATTGAAGCACTGAAACTGAAGAATCGCTACATGGGAGTGACCGTGCCACAGCAGCCAGAGTCACTGTCGCTCATAAACATGAATGCTGCGCTTCCCGAAGTTCGGAGCCCGGGCTTGCTCCAAGCGGGCCGAAAACGTAACTGGCCTGACGCATTCCCGGGCGACCGAAGTCAGGCAACCGCAGACTCTTTCGATGAGGATGATATGGTAGATGAAATGTCGCTATCAGATCCGCCGATGAACAGCTCTCGCGTTCCCCTGAATGACCAACGCCAACCTGCAATTACCAATGGGCCACCTGCAGAAGAGGAACTGAGGTCCATAGAGGTGCATTTGCCTGCTCGAGAGCCTCAAACTGCCTCCAACTCCGTCCAAAACCAAACCTACTCCTTGCAGCAAACCATAGCCAAACGCCCGCGCCTAGGTGCGCCGCCTGAAGATAGCCCCCAAGCAGCCACTCCGCAGCCGCAAGCTGTTCCTCAGAGAAGACCGCCCGGCAGGCCGAGGAAATCGATCAGCCAACCGACCATTCCCGACCCCACCCAATCATCCAGTACCGCTCCTTCTAGCACGCAGGGGGATGTCGAATCAACCGGTCAACAAAACACAGTGCGACGTCGAACGTCTCGCCGCAGCTTGCGTCCTCAATCCCTTGGTCCAAATACCAGCCACACACATAGTGAAGAGGACCAGCAGATTTCGCAAGATTCTACAGAGCCTCCTCCCGACATACAGGCAGCACCCAACAAGAAGAGCAAGCGTAATACTGGCTCTCCCAATGGAAAGCGAACTCCTGGTCCAGACGATGAGGGAGATGAGGCCGCTATGAATGAGAAGCGGAAAGCTAAGGTTGCGGCGCGGGACGTCATGGCCAAGATGGCTTTACAGCACGAGGAGGCTTTAGAGGCTGAAAATGCACGATAATTGTCGAGGGTTATCCTTCATATACCTGTACAATACATAGACAATAAGCAACACACAGCTGTATTACGACCAAAGCTTCAAATGAAAATGAACTGTACCAGCAGGAAGTTTCCAGCCAATCCCCTAAATCTGCGGTTATATATAGTGCAGTGATCTATTACCGCTTTAGTATTGATCCAACAGAATCTCTAAACAGAGCATTTAAACACAGGGCGCGTGTTCTTACATGTAATGTCCCAAACATCCACTCCAAACACGGTTTAAGGAACGCGGAGGTCATGGAAGTGAGAACTCGGGAACTCCGAGAAAGGTGTTGCAGTCTTGATGGAACGACCACAGTCGACATGGTTTTCTAAGAACAAACCTCATGTTAGGCAGGGGCTTCTACATTCACATAATTGCTCATAAAAAGAAAGTTTCCATTTGTTCAAAGCCAAGGAATCTTCCTAAATTAATCGGGAATTGGATTCCTAAGCTATGTGGAATATACCCTAACGCACTATCATATCTCATTAAAAATCATTATTTTCAGTCTGTGATGTCCCCGAAGCAAGGTTGTGAGTGCCACTAGCGAGTCGGGATGAAGTTCTTAGAATCGGTCTGTTGTTCACTGAATGACTCGTGGAATGCTGCGATTCCACCAATGATGCCAATAGCCATAAAAGCAAGAGAGATAAGAGACCAGATGACTCCCCAGCACTGGGAAGATCCACCGTATCTCTTCGCAAACACGCTGGCATCGGAGCTGTTTACTTTGCGAAGGATGAGATCATCGCACTAGAGCACTCATTAGCGACATAAACCAAAGCAGGTATAATTGGTACTCACAATATCCCAGACGCTATACAGACCAGACATAACACCAATAAACAACTGCAGAGAAAGTCAGGTTAGTATAAATCGATAAGCGGGTGAGTCAAAATATCGGACATACCACGACCCAGCGCAAGGCTTCACCATGGGCAATGAACCAGCATGCCACCAACAACCCGACCGCAAGAAGAACAGTCATGATAGTTAACCAGTCTCTCCGTGCCCACCATAGGGTAAGCAGGAAGCAGACACCGAGGACGATGCTGGCAACCTTGCTGGCGACAATATTAAATCCAGCGAAGATCAATAGAGCGCCGATAATCGATGACCCCAGGTACCCAGCAGGAAGGGTGATGGCACTCATACCGCCCTGCATGTGGGTGACGCCACCTTCATGCGGATCCAGTGAGATGGACTTGACTTTTCCGCCAGTACAGCAGGCAGTAATCGCATGGCCGAATTCATGGAAGGCAATCACCAGCATCTGTCGAGGGAGTCAGTCGCTGTCTGTAAATACGGGGTTGCGAGTATTTACCTTGAAGGGCCATAGTACCCAGCGGATATATGGTAGATTCCATAATAGTGCGATGACAACCACATACGCTCCCATCACACCCAAGGTGACGGCTTGGGTGTGGTTGACAGTCAGGTCACGCCGGGCCAGTTGATGTGGGGCGGTTTCCGCACTTTGGGCTAGCGCTGCATATAGGGCTGGCATCGTGAGTGACTCGGAGGATCGAGAGAAATGCAAACGTTAGAAATGAATGAAGTGCAAGTGCAGATTATTTAATGGTAAACTATTATTAGTCCCAGGGAAAGATCATCCGCGCGTCCCTATAGGGACGCGCATGCCACTTGTTGTTTTTGTGGCGCTTCGTGGCTGATCGTCCTTGGCTATTTTTAGTGGCTTGGCCCTTTAGGCTGAAGGATTTTATACTCTTTCAACGGTCTATCAGAATATATTAAGAATACTAGTCTTGACATGGAAATGCCCAAATGAGAAATTTAATATGATACATGATCCTCATAAAGATAAGAAAACTGACAATGTAATCCCTAGAGGGCCCCAGAGGGACCCAGAGGGTTAGACTCGATTATATATAGTTGCGTTTGATCAGCTGAATGATACATACTAAACAACATGCCTGACATTTTTAGCTTCTCTTTATCAGTTCACTAACCATCTCATCTCAACCACTAGTCGCACTGGACAACTCAACCTTGCCTCAAATAAGAGCAGAGAATGAGTTCTCTGGGACTTAGACCGTTAAGATGGTGGTCCACGATGTTGAATCTTCAAGGGCAGCCACAGGCCTCGTGGCATCGAGCCCGACTTCGAGAGGAACTATGCGAGCCTCGACTCGCAGAGACAACTTGGCAAAAGCTTAGTGAGACCTCAGATGTTCTTTTCTCAATCACCCGGGCCCAATACGATGGGTTTCCTACTCGGAATCCTTCTTGCTTGTCCGGTCTGAACTCTGGCCCGATATACATGTACATGTTGGCAAAGTACACCTCACGGTGGTCCTTCTTAAAGCGGCTGCCCTGTTCTGCAATGCCCGAGACTGGAAGCTGGTACACGAGGTGGTGAACCCGAGCAAAGATCACAAACTCACTGAAGTCGCTTCCTGCCATGAGATTAATGAAAAGGACTTCCGGCGAGTTAGCCATCAGCTTCGGCGCATTTGGCCTCTATTTCCATGAGTCACAAGTTATGATCCGGAATAGTACGTGGCCTGATTGCTTCGACGGATGTTTGCTTCTCAGATTATGTGACATCCATGGATGCTCTGATTGTTGATTTACTCTCTTTGTTTCTTTTTGAAAAAGGTCGCTTTTACATCGCAGATCCAATCCTGAAGGTATGATCAAAGTTTACTATAGAGCTTGGATCAGCTAGTCAGTCTATGTTGACCTTCCTCTTTAAGTGGCACCCTGTTTCCTACTTGATATCAAAGTCTAGTCTGTTCCTTTTCCGAGCTTCCTATTTACCTCACACCTTCCGTGTCCACAATGGAACCCTATGAGTACTGGGACAACCGTCCACACCCCGGAGACTCACCATCTACTAAAGTCGAGCCTACCGATCGTGCTAAGCCAGTTATTATCGGTCTGTATGATCTCCCTGGGTCTGGGAAGACTTCTTGTTTGACGAACTCAAAACCGAACTCAGCAATGACGAGTTTTTATTCTATGATGGCAGTGCCGTTATTGCAGCGGTGACTCCTGGGGGTCTCGAAGCATTGCAGAATTTAACGGAAGAGGCCAAAAACAATTACCGCGAGCGCGCCATAGCCAAGATCAAGCAGGAGTGTTACAACACAGGGAAAACCGCTATCGTGGCAGGACATTTCATGTTCTGGTCTGAAGATGATGAGCATGGCTGGTCAGTTTGCACACCAGGGGATCTGAATACATACACGCATATCCTCTATCTGGATGTTCCCGCTGAGCATATCGCCAGGTATCGTTTGAACGATACCAAACGGAGCCGTCCGAATGTGTCAATTCCCCATCTGGCTAAGTGGCAGACATTTGAGAAAAACGAACTTCGTCATCTCTGCAGACACCATGACATCCTTTTCGCACTCCTATCGCCACCGTTAGCATCTGTCACCAACCTCGGATCCTTTATTCGAAATTTTCGGACACATTCAGAGCCCTATAACAAAAGTTTCGCTGAAAAAACGATGCTTGAGATACTTGCCGCCGGCTCTGGCGAAGTGGAGACGGTCATCGTGCTGGATGCGGACAAAACTCTGGCACAGGAAAATAGCGGAGTGCTCTTCTGGGAGCATATCCGCGCACTGTCAGGCGCAGCCGAGGACCGCGGTCCCCTGGAAGCTTTGTTTAGCAGTCCCTTAGGATATTCCTACATTGCCTTCCGTCAAGCAACACTGCTATATGAAGAGGCTGCTGGGAACGCGGAATTCGAGGCTTACTGTCAGGCCGTGGCATTCAAGATACGTATGCACCGTGATATTGTGAATCTATTTCACTTAGTTCGTGGAACGAGACACGTGTGCGCAGTCGTGGTCACTTGTGGAATTCGATCCGTTTGGGAGAAGGTCCTTGAAAGGGAGGGTCTTTCGGCGACAGTCACAGTCATTGGCGGTGGGCGGTTGGATGACGGCCTCGTTGTCATGCCGTCCGTCAAAGCCGAATTGGTAAATTATCTGCGTACAGTACGGAATCTTTATGTCTTTGCATTTGGGGATAGTCCTTTGATTTGGAGATGCTAAAGGCGGCCGACCAGGCTATCGTCGTCACCGGCGAGGAAAAGACACGGAGCAAAAGCATGGAGAAGAAGTTAGCAGAGGCAATTGGAAAGAACGGATTCCACCCACGCCAAGCAGTCCTGCCTGCTTATGCGTCACCACGCATCGACACCCCTCGCCTGCCCTTGGTACGGTTGACGGACCAAGATTTCCTTGCTTCTGTCTTCGCCAGATACAAAACCCTTCATGTCCTTCACGCCACTGACCGACCAGCGGCCAAACTCCTCATGACTCCAATGCGCGATGCATCCATTTCTGGATTAGCGTTACGAAAAGTCCATCAGCGAGTTGGATTTTATCTAGCAACAGAATCCTGTACCCAAATCATTGGCCTCGAATACTACCATATTCCGCACGTTCAAGGCCATCATACTGACTGACGGGTATCGGCTACTGAACGAGAAGTCGACACTAATTGTGCCCCCTAATGCGCGGCGGCGAGCCAATGGCCTTCGGAGTCAGCGAGGCCTTCCCCCTCGCTATGTTCCATCATGCGAAGGTTCCAAGTGACCTTCAACATGAGCATCTGAAGGACATGGCCACAATCATACTGGTCGACTCGGTTGTGAATACTGGAAAATCAATATTGCAGTTCGTGCAACATATCAGGAGTCTCAATGCAACCATTCGCATTGTAGTGGTTGCTGGTGTTATTCACTCGCAAGCTGTTTTCACAAGCAGAATTGCTCGGGCACTCGGTCGATTTGACGGACTGTCCTTTGTCGCTCTTCGCCTTTCGGACAACCAATTCACCGGAAGAGGGACTACCGATACTGGTAATAGATTGTTCAACACAGTGCATATGGGTTGATAAGTTTGATGGGTTGATAAATTTGGGTCTCTACAGCAAGTGCTTTCTCTTTGAGGTCTCGTGGAAGAAAAATTCGATTTAATTTTCGTGTCTACATTTCGAATTTCGTAGCAACCAAATGCGTAGCACCTTCAAACCCTTGTTCTACAGAAGATTTCCCGTGTATAATCAAGGGATATATGTAGTTGTCTACAAATGGTTGTTTCTTCAAAAGAAATATCCAATGAAAAAGGAAGGTCGTCACTACCTGCCAGTGCTACCAAACCCCGCATTTAGGAGGTTGGGATCGTCGATCTATTTTACTCTCAGGCCTCAGATCTCAATAGTGAAGTCCGGGGAATGTGCGGAGAACTTGCCACCTACAACATTCCTCGATCATCATGCTCGGCGCTCTTACAGTCCTCCTAGCAGGACTTGTAGGCGGTGCATATTCCCTGCCAACCAAAGAGGCGAAGAAAGACACAACTTACCACGACAATGTCGGCGTCCTCAAATATGTCAATCCTCTTATCGGCACATACGGAACAACACCAAATGGCAACGGCGGCATGATCCCTTCCGTCAGCCCTCCCTTCGGTATGACCCGCTGGACGCCACAGACCCGCGAGAATTTCATTTCGCAAGTGCCCTACGGAGACAGTGACCGTCTTATCCATGGATTCCAGGCCACGCATCAACCAGCTATCTGGATGGGCGAGGCAGGTCAGGTCGTACTGACACCCGGAATTGGCGAAGTGCAGCCGCTGTTTCAAAATCGGGGACTGCAGTTCCGGAAGAGGGATGAGACGAGTACACCCTACGTCTATGAGGTACTTCTCGATTCTACTCAGCTCCTGGACCGTGATTGGAATGCGACGGCTGAGGCTGTAGGTGATGGGCCTGTTCCTGGTGGTGCGGGTCCCGTGCCGGTTGAGGTGAAGGAGGGTGCCAATGGGCGGACGCGAAAAAGGCAGATTGAGTCCCTGAGTAGTAGAGATGGTCATCACTATCAGCAGTCAATCCAGGTATGCGTACTGTTTTGGCGGTCGCCATGCATTGTTTCTGATTAGTTTCAGGTTGCTATGTCTGCAGATTCTCACGTTGGCCATCTTCGATTCGACTTCGACCACAGCCCTACTAATGCGGATAGCAAGGGCCAGCCCTGGATGTTCATTCAAACCTCGCGTCGGAACTGGACAGGCGAAGTCCATATCGATGAAAATAGTCGGGAGGTCTACGGCTATAATACTGAGCGTCAGGATTATCTCCTCGGACCGGACAAAGCATCGTCGTTCAAAGGATACTTCGTATCTCGCTTTTCAGAGCCGTTTACTGAATTTGGTGTGGCGAATGGAGGCTCAATCATAAAAGATGAGGTTCGGCGACACGGGAATTTCACTGGTGCGTATGTGAAATTTGCCAACTCGACATCGCGTGTCGAAGTGCGCACTGGTGTTTCGTATATCAGTGTCTCACAGGCAAGGAAGAACCTCGACATCCAGGCTCCAGATGAGAACACCTTCGAGGATACCGTTGAAAAAGTGAAGTCGGCTTGGCTTGAGAAGTTGGGCAGGGTATCCATCAAGGGCGTCAACAAGACCGATGCGGATAACGACCCCCGCACTATTTGGTATACCGGCCTGTTCCATGCACTCCAGTACCCAAGTGACTTTTCCGAGCCAACATCAAATCAGGATGATGCTCCGCGTGTCTTCTACTCAGGCTATACCGATAGTGTTCACACCGAGAACGACTCATACTACCAGTCCTGGTCAATCTGGGATACCTACAGAGCCGAGCACTCTCTTCTGACTCTATTTGCACCGGAGCGCGTGAACAGCATGATGCGCTCCTTGCTGCGCATCTTTGACTGGTCAGGTTGGTTGCCGATGTGGGCCAACCTGGTCGAGACAAATATTATGATCGCAACGAATGCAGACGTGGTGCTTGCCAACGCTCTAGAGCGAGGATTTAAAGACTTCGATATTGGAAAGGCTTGGAATTCTGTCAAAAAGGATGCATATACTCCGCCTGATCATGATACCGATACTCTGTACTATGACCGTGAGCCTGGCACTTCATACGAGGTCCGCGCTGGGCTCACGTCATACATGAAGCAGGGCTGGGTGTCGAATGACGGCTGGTCTGAGGCTGGGAGCCGCACGTTGGACTATGCATTCAATGATTATGCATGTTCGGTTGTTGCTGCCCGTGCAGGAGAGGACAATGCCACAGTGCAAGTCCTCAAGAAGCGAAGTGGAAACTACGCGTATCTTTGGAACAACGAGACTCAATTCATGCAAGCCCGGAACGCGAACGGGACATGGGCTAATAATACCTTTGGATGGACAGAAGGTGATGACTGGGTGTACACGTTTGACGTGATGCATGACGTGAAAGGACTGGCTGACCTTTTTGGTGGCCGTCAAGCCTTCCGCGATAAGTTGGATGCGCATTTCCAGGGTGGTCACAATGACCATACCAACGAACCGAGTCACCATGTACCCTATTTATATTCTGCTCTCGGTTATCCCAACCAAGCAGCTGGGACAATCAGGGACATTGCTTGGGCGAACTACAATGCGACTAGCGGGGGACTAGGCGGAAATGAAGACTTGGGGCAGATGAGTGCTTGGTATGTCTTCTCTGCATTGGGATTCTATCCCGTCAATCCCGCCAGCGATGAGTATATTGTTGGGACACCGTTCTTTGAGGAGGTGTCAATTCGCCTTCCCATTGGAGCGAGCACCGGTGGAGACCTTGCCAGTGGCATAGAGAGGACGCTTAGGATTAGCGCTCCGGGGGCATCCACAAAGCCGTATGTTGGCAGTTTAAAGGTTGACGGAAAGCGGATCAATGCTCCAATTCTGAAGCACAGTCAACTCGTGCATGCCGCAAGAATCGAGTTTGAAATGAGTTCTACACCCACTTCCTGGGGAAGTCGCCCCTTATGGGAAACTTGATACTAGGAAAATGTCCAAAAAGAGCCAAGAAATAGGATTAAAGCTAAATGCCGTGACTTTATGTTCCGATAGACCTTACACAGGAATCTGTCGGTCTCGTACTTTTCTCTTAAGGTCGATCTTCTACCTACATCTACCGACTTGCTCCCCCGTCCGATCCATCAATGGCCACTGATTCTCTGCCAGATTGATCTTCCAGCATACCCATGTCGCTTTCAATTTTATTCAAATGTGTAATTGGAGCTGATATTCAGTTCCACAACCCCTCGCCTGGGCATTGATTTTGCATCACCTCATCCTCGTGGTCTGTTGCAAACTATTGCGCCATAGTATATCGCAGCTTCGCAATGAACACACAATTCCTTGGCCATGATAAAGTTCAACTCCATCAAGTTTCTAACTGGTCGCGAGTTATTCCAAGGGTTTTCAATTGCAACCTAGCGATAGTATATGCTCATTTCCGCTGGAGGTTAGCATGCACGATCCCCAATAAGGATTAGAGCGCGCATCAGGGAAATACTTACCGAAGCTAGAATTTAACATGAACGCCACAAGGGCCAGAATCCCCGTCGGACATTCCGTCTTATCACATCATTATAGCAATTTCCAACGAGGCCTGCCGCACCCTGCGCCCCAGTTATTGCGGGGGCCCAAGCCGAACAACAGTATATGTATATGCCATGTCTCGCCATGTGTTCCACGAAGAATCACATTCACCTTAGCTTTCTCCTCAGCCTCCCAGCATGGGTCTCCCCTCCCCGTAAAGGGAATATACCGAGTCCGTCCCCCAATATGAAAGCAGTGACAATGATAGCCTGCAATATACCACCGAAGTCGGCGGGAACACCTCCAAGGCCACATACCAGGAGGCATCCGGAGCACCCGTTGAGGTCAATTCCCCGCTGGGGTATTCGGTCGGTTGGGTTACTGTTATCTTCTTGAATTTGAGTAAGATGATCGGAACGGGAGTCTTTTCAACGCGTGCGTGAAATTCAACAGTGGATTTGATTGAAGATATACTCATCTTTAATAGCATCGGCCGTCGTCAAAGGCGCCGGGTCCGTTGGTCTTACGTTGATATACTGGGTGATTGGGTATTTGATGGCATCTAGCTGTCTGTCCGTTTACATGGAATTCGCATCGGCTTTCCCCAGTCGGTCCGGCTCGGAGGTTGTCTACTTGGAACAATCGTATCCCGACCAAAGTACTTCTTTCCTACTGTCTTTGCGATGCAGACGGTGCTTTTCTCGTTTAGCAGCAGCAATGCCGTTGGTATGATTACATCGTTGATAGATGGTTCACCGTGAGATTCGCGATATACTGACTGCATCTAGTACTGGCTCAGTATCTCTTCAAACTTGCAGATTCCGACTTTACTCCATGGAAGTTGAAAGGAGTTGCTGTGGCGTGCTATACTGTTGCGGTACTGGGTTAGTGCCAATCTTTCTATCCGGGTGATATGTGCTAATGGACTTGCCACAGTTCTGGCATTTCATACTAGATGGTCGTTGAGACTCGCAAATGCGATCGGGCTTGTCAAGCTACTGACACTGATATTGTGAGTACCGACCCACAATACTTATAACAGAATATACAGATGTTCGACGCTGCGAAGCTAACCCATACTTAGCATCGCAATAACTGGATTGGTGGTTCTAGGAGGTCACACCTCAGTGAAAGACCCTAAAGCAAATTTTAGAAACGCCTTTGAGGGTACTAGTGCTGCGACAGCCTATGGAGCAACCAATGCATTGACCAAGGTCTGGTTTTCCTTTGCGGGATATGAGAATGCATTCAATGTTGTGAATGAAGTTCGGGTATGTACTCCACATGAATAGGGCGAGTAGTCTGCTGACAAGAGCTAGAATCCTGTCAAAACCTTGAAGTGGAGTGCTCCGCTCTCATTGGGCCTCACAGCAGTTCTATATGTGCTGGCAAACATTGCGTATTTTAGTGCTGCGAGCAAGGAGGAAATCCTAGAGTCGAAGGTCGTTGCCGCTGGTGTGTTCTTCGAGAAGGTATTTGGAACTGGTAGTGCGGCTTCAGCACTAAATTTCCTGATTTGCATGAGTGCTTTCGGAAATCTTCTTGCTGTGCTTGTTGGACAGTCTCGTATGTTAAGGGAGTGTGGAAGGTTAGTGGTGAACTGGTGTGCATATTCTGGAAGTGTTCCTAATCCGTTGCTTGAATATAGACAAGGTGTTTTGCCTTTCACTTCATTTTGGACTTCGACCAGACCGTTTGGAACACCGCTTGGCCCATACTTTGTGAAATGGAGCTTCACCGTCCTGATGATCCTGGCGCCACCTGCTGGTGATGCATTCAATTTCGGTATGTCCTTGTCTCTTTCCTGGCATGCTTTTGATAACTACGCGGCAACTATAAAGACCATTGCTAATCTTGGGGCATAGTCGTGGACCTCGGAGTGTACGCAACAAGTATCTTTGGTTTGGTACTCACTATAGGCCTGGTGGTCACTCGAATTCGCCGTGCGCGCCTTAATCTCCCAGCACCGGACTACAAGGCCTGGCACATTACTGTGGCATTTGCAATCCTCTCCAACCTATACATGGTGGTAATGCCGTGGTACCCTCCCAGTACTGGGGCCAATGGAGGCGATGTGAGCTTCTGGTATGCAACATATTGTGCGGTTGCTGTCGGAATGTAAGTTGTTGTCCCGGTTAATCCTCGTTAGTATATATCACTGACGTAACGAACTATTGATATAGTGTGGGGTTGTGTGGAGTGTACTATTATGTCTGGATCAAGCTTCTACCCAGAATTCAAGGATTCAAGTGGGAGCAAACGGTTCTCAAACTGGATAATGGTGCTCTGGCGCATCGGCTTGTCAGGGTTCCTAAGAAGACAGCGTGAAGGGTTGTGACAATGTAACCCAAGAGGTGAAATAGATAGCAGTTATTAGCCGACTACTACTTATATCTATATCCCTTCGATATACCATTTTAGCGTTTAAGACGTGATCTCACCACGTGTGGAGTCGGCCCCACTCCCCCCAGAGCCCGGGTATCCCGGGGCCGAAGCCTCTGCCGGCCAGTTGAGGTACCTGTATTTACACATCACGAAATACAGAACGGCAGACTCGTTGGGCCGACATGTAAGACAGCCGAAGCTAATCCGATCGTCGATCTGATCTCACCATGGGTGTTGCACGGCATCTGTTATAAGAGACAACTGCCCGTTGGCGTGGGGGGTGCCACCCGATGACCCGACGGATTATCGGCTGTGGAGCTTATTTCTCCGTCACCTTTTCGCATACCTAGCCAACAAAGGTTATGAAATTGGCTGATCCTCATTATAAATGTGGATGATGCCATGCTAATTGGCCCAAAGCTACAGACTGCCAATGGATAACAACTGCTACAACTGCACCAAGTGGGACAGGCATGGCCACAGATGTCATCCAAAAACTTCGCTGACCATAATACCGAGGCAGCGGAGACTGCACAGTTTTATAAGCTAGACGGTCGCCCCATGGACCCTCCTTGCTCCCATCAAAATCTCATCCCAAAATGCGCACCCCTAGCTTTTGGCTTTGGGCCTCTCTCGCAGCTCCATGTGTCGCGGTCCATGCCCCATGGAACCTAGGAAATGGCTTCCAACTCACGGTCAATGAGAATGCCAACCGTCTCTCTATTACCCAGCGTGGGAGATCCATTTGGGAAACCGTGCCAGGCCAGCCATTCCTCAGTGCCAGCGCAGGAGATGACGAGGTGATCGCCGCTAATGGTAACTTCAAGATCAACGAAGTAGACCAGCAGAAGTGTACCGGGCAGAAAATTAGCAATGTTGCTCTTCAGCCATGGCACGGCAGTGAGAATGACCATGCTGCGGTCATTCAGGGTCAGCTCACCGGATGTGGTGATGCCACGCCTCACTTCTCCGTTGCTTTCTGGGTCCCTTCGCAGTTCCCCGATCGTGTTGCTTTCAATGTCAATGTCGACCCTGAAACCTCTTCGGACGCGGTAACAAAGCTGTTCCTGACATATCGCTCTTCGCCATCTGAAGACTTCTACGGACTTGGTGCGCAGGGATCATTCGCCTCTTTCAAAAACCAGACTGTCCCCATTTTCTCGCGCGAGCAAGGTGTCGGTCGCGGTGACCAGCCCACGACTCGTCTGCAGAACGAGGACAGCTTCTTCGCTGGCGGTGACAAGTTCACAACATACACCGCGATCCCGCAGTACATTACCTCGAAATCTCGTGTTTTCCATCTGACACAAGAGAGCTCTGCCTATACCACATTCAACTTCACCGATCCTAATGCCGTCACTGTGCGATATGACGCCCTGACCGTGGATGGCTACTTCATGCAAGCCGAGAGCATGCTTGACGGTATTACCATGCTCACTGATTACACCGGCAAGATGGTCGCGTTGCCCGAGTGGGTTGACACCGGTGCCGTGCTTGCTATTCAAGGCGGGCAAACCAAGGTGAACCGGATTGTGGACCATGGGCTTAGCCTCAAGTGTCCCATTGCTGCAGTCTGGCTTCAAGATTGGTCTGGGACACACTCGCAGAGCGTGTCCTACATGTCGCTGAATGTATCCCGTCTTTGGTGGAACTGGGAATCTGACACCGCACTTTACCCGACCTGGAAGGAGTTCGTCCAGTCTCTGCGGGATCAGCACAATGTCCGTACTCTGGCGTATATCAACCCATTTTTGACAAATGTCAGCACGAAGCCTACTGGTTATCACACCAACCTTTATGACGAGGCCAGCCGGGCTCGTTACGTGATCCAGAACTCCACTACCAATAGCACCTCCGTTATTTCCAGTGGGCCCGGCCTTGAAGCTGGTATCCTGGATCTCACCAACCCTGCTGGACGCTCCTGGTTCAAGGAGGTGATGCTGGATCAAGTCTGGAGTGCCAATATCTCTGGATTTATGACCGACTTTGGCGAATACACCCCTGTGTATCCCGATACCCAGTTCGCCAACAAGAGCATCGATCCATTCTTCTACCACAGCGCCTATCCTCGTGAGTGGGCTGCCCTCCACCAGTGGATCGGAAAGAACGTGTCTTCGTTCTCCGACGCCATCCTGTTCCACCGTTCGTCCTCTATGGCCGCAAACCGGCACATGAATCTATACTGGGCAGGCGACCAGAACACAAACTGGGGCGTCAACGATGGTATCAAGGCTTCCGTGACCGTCATGGGCCACATGGGTCTGTCAGGCTATGCCCACGGCCACATGGAAATTGGTGGATATACCACTACCTGGGACAGCAATGGAATTGTAAACCGCTCTTCCGAATTGCTCGGCCGCTGGGGCGAACTCGCTGCCGTCTCCAGTGTAGTCTTCCGTACCCACGAGGGCAACGTCCCCCAGGTGAACGCGCAGTTCTACAACAACGCCACCACCTACTCTTACTTCGGGTACAACGCGCGCATGTTTGCCAGTCTTGCTAAGTATCGGCGCCGCATTTTGGAAACCGAAAGTAAGAACCTGGGCTGGCCTTTGCTCCGCATGCCTGTCGTCTACCACCCAGATGACAAGGTCGCCAAGGCTATCAGCTACCAGAGCTTCTATCTCGGCTCGGATTTGTACGTCGCACCGGTGCTGGACCCCGGCCGCACTAGCGTGAATGTCTATTTCCCCGGCAAAAAACCAGACTTTCACCCACGTTTGGTCTGGCAAGAAGTACCACGGTGGCCAGACTGCACGCGTCCCCGCGCCGTACGGGAAACCTGCGGTTTTCGTTGTCGGTACTCCGAAGAACAATGATTTGGATGACTTCCTGCAGTTCGTCCGTCGGGAGAATAACACCGTTGTCCATTTCTAGTCCCAACGAAAAGTCCGCGGGCGTCTGAGAATTTTCGATGTACCTCCCGACCCTAGTGTTTAGAAATATGTATTTAGAAGCTGTTCATCTGAATTGATGTCCTCCATAGATGATAGTCCAATACGGTCTCGAATCTTCAGAATCCTCAGTAGCAGAGTGACTTAAATGAGTCTATTACATATTGGTTCAATGGCATCGCGTGCTTATATTCATGAAACTCTAACAGTGGTACTTTGAGTGAATCTACTGAACCACCCAGGAGAGTCTATAGTATCTTACTATAACAGCTATGACTTAGGCCAGCCTTACGACTATTACGTCCATAATATAGTTTAAGACGATTCATCCCCCTTTGCCCTCATTATGGATAGATTGGGATATGCGGGGTCACGGCACCTTCCCAAAGTTCGTTTGTTGACCTTACACTTGCACACTTTATCTTTCTGACTTCTTCACCGTTTTATTTCCAACACGCTTCAACTCTGGAGCCATTTTATTGTGAGTTTTAATGATATATCTTGAGAAGCACCTTCCAGTAACTAACATCGGCAAATCGACTAGGCACCCGCTGCTTAGACTCCACAAGCAAAGCGAAAACTTTCATCCACCAAAATGCCAGCCACTGATGCACTTCGTACGTCCATCCCCTTTCGTGCCATTCGACACAAAGTGTGCTCTATGGCTGACCTTTACTGCAATAGAGCCACCTCTCACACCCGCTGAGCGGGCCATTGTCAAGTCCTATGGCGGCTGGACACACTTCATGCAATGCTTCGGGCTTAAGCCCTGGGAGGATGATGACGCTAGGGAGGGAAAGAAGATTCTGGAGGCCTTTGTTCGAGATGGGGAAGACCCTGAATAAGGCACTTACAACTGGAGTCTGGCTGTAACGGAAGGACTGGGAGAAAGTTTACCATACGTTTTTTGGGTTCGTTGACCTTTGCCATGAGATTCAATCAATAAGTGTTATTATCAATGCTCGATTATTCTTGCGATGTAGGATATGTGCTCAGTTTGTTTTGTTTACTCGGGGCCCTCAGGTGATAAACCTTCACTCGACTGGGCCACTCCAACCGAGGTTAAACTGTATTCCATTTAGATTAACTCCGTTGGAAGTACAGTAAGCTGTTTGGACTCCGTGGGGTCCTGCAGAGGTCGGCCCTGCGCATATTGTTCAGAGTGTTGATGGGAGGCCCCAAGGGTGTGCTTGCTTTATCCCTCGGTGATCCTTGTCTTCATGTCGCGGCTAAGCTCGACGACCAAGGCCAGGATAGCGTGGACGGGCCTATCGCGCACAGCACATTGGTGGAATCCAAGTCGTTGTTGTTAGGGACGTATATATGGTAGAAGATTTCTCCAAATGTAAAAGATCGTCGGATACTCTTGCCCATTTCAACTTGTTCCGTTAAACGCATCAAACACATAAAGCACCATACACATAAATAATGCGAGAAACGAACGCCTAAAAAAATTCAAACCCCAACCGACCATGACCGAATACCAATTCATAACCTTGAACACCTTGCCGACTGAAAAGAAGACCCATAGTCTAAACTGTCTTTCCCGCTGGGGCACCGAGATACCACTCCGCGAAGGCCTTGTAAGCCATTGATGTGGTTTCCTCATCTGAGAAGTCGTAAAGATCAGAACAGCGCAGAACAAGGCTTTCACCCTCAAAATAGGACTCCAACAAGCGTCCACGCTTGCCTATAAGCGAGACGATCATGATCTGCAGGATACCCAGTCAGCAACCGTGAAGTCAAATAGTGAATGAGAATAACCAAGACTTACCAGTGCGACATCATGATGAAGCAGCCGCACCTTTCTCAGCTGGCCCAGCATTAGGCGGAGGATAATCAATAACTCTCCGCGGCACACTTTGCTACCCTCGGTCTCCAGGCTGTTCCATATGACTGCTTTCATATGTGGGAATGCTGGTCCGGCGACGTCCCTGATCCCGAAGACGCCAAAATCGGGCTTGTCATACTTGTACAAGCTCTTGAAAGGGTTGTATTCGCAAACACTGTCGAGTAACATTAGGAACTGGAAACCGATATGACAATATATCTCAAAATAGGAATAGGTAGTACTTACGGCATTGAACGCCATGGGTTGTCGCTTCCACCTTTCAAACTTGCCCAGCAACTTTGAAGAGCATAAGAGCTCCATTGCCGTTCAGAGTGATACGCTCGGGACATTCCATCTTGAAAAGCCTCTCTGTCAGTTACACCATCGACCGCTTGACGGATCAGCTCGTCACTAGGTTGCGGGAGGTTGTGTCTAGGCGCGAAGAAGCGAGGCTGAAGGTCTGAGTCTTCGTTGAGAGTCATAGGTTGGTGCTTGATGTTCAATTCGTCAATTTGGGACGCATCAAGTGTATGGACTTCCAGTTGGTCGATGACTTCCTCTAGGTCGATCAAAATCTTGCGCTGCTTCAAATGGTCGTTTGATTCCGCAGGGGTTGGTTTTGAAGGCATGTTTATGTTTGGTAGTGTTGGGAGTGATGGCTTGAAGGGAGTTTTCAGAATTTGGAGCGTAACTGGGACACGAGGGTTCTTAAGCTCAAGCCCAAGCCCCATCCACTTGGTTACTCCAATCACACGGGAGCTCGCAAACATCCTGTACCCTCCAACAAAGGATGAACAAATTGTGAATACTGCACTAATAGTATTTCTAAATGCTCTCACCATCCACTTCCGTTTGTCATCAAAATGGACATTACACAGGAAACCTTTCACCGCCACTTTCAAGAATGCCCAATTTGAAGCAAGAACGGACGGATATCTCCACAGTCCTGGTGGAAAGCCTAGGGTCCTTATTGAGGTCAAACCTGTCTTGAGATCCTTGAATCTTCTGGCTATTCAGATGCAGGAGAGTGCCCAAATGGTGGCCTGGATCGAAAGTGATACCGAATCAGCTCAGAAAAGAAACACCACGTATGCTTTTACCCCCTATTCTTATATGCCTGGCTACGAAGCTAACTCTACAAGTAGGCGCTTCCATATTTCACAAGACCGACACTTGGTCTATGTGACAGTTGCTAGGTATGACCGAAAGTATCTTGAATACCTGGTTCACGGGAAACTGTCGCAAGATGATAAAGACAATGATGACAAAAATCTTTCTTTCATGACTATGGACCAATATGGTCCGTGGGATACTACCGACAGGGCTCATATGCGTCGGTTAGGGCCACTTTTGTTGGCAATTACCTTGCGAGCTGAGAGGGAGAGCCAACAAGAGAAGATCGAGAAGAAATAGGGGTGAGCTGTAGAGCTACATACCACTGATATTTAAGCGTTCAGTGTGGTGCGTTGATTTCGATCATTGTTATTGCGATATATTTTGACATTTTGCGACGCGGGCTATTCGTTGTGCTTTGGGAGTTCGTTTGCGTCTGTATCTATGGTCGTACCAATCCAGGTATCCGTAATCTGCACTATCACTATATATAATTACATCTATACGTAAGACCGACATCACACGATTGTGGTAGTTGCTACTTATAACCGTAACTATCTTAAATACCAGGGAAAATCTTTTCTCTTCTAAATGCCTGCGAATGGCCTTTGACATGTGTGCCTGCCATTGACATCACAGAGGGAACATGAAGGTTGAAAAGGCTTCGAGATGGCATCTCTTACACGGCCAACATTGAAAGATTAGGTATGTGATCGTGCCGTTACCCACATTACTCACCTTCGATGGAGTTTTGCCTAAGCGGGAGAGAACAATCGCCCCTCTGCCAGGAACTCAACCACGGTGCCTATTGATCTGGAATCTCCCCTAGTTGACAAGAACATCGCCCTGCTCTTCTGTCATTTTATTCGTCAACCACAGTGCAACAAGTCGATTCTGATAGTGATATAGACTCTAACGACTTTGGGGACGATACGGTCAGCCATTCGGCTCAGGTGCACACGACGCCATTTCCGAGGAAAGAGGCTCTCAGGCGACATAACAGTCCACTGTTTATTCTCGAACCCCTCCCCGGTCAACCAATGGATGGCTCACAACCAAAACTTCAAAAGCTGAACTCGCTCGCTCAACTTTGCTTTGAAGCATTCCAAGGGCTGTTTTATTTTATTTCGCTTCTCGGGCAAACTCTAAGGCCATTTGCTATGAGGCCTTCACGCAGCCCGCGGACCACTTAACCGGCCGGTGCGAGAGTGGTGAGATGGGTGTGTGGTGCATTAGCTGAGCATACTAGCTACCTAGGTAGTTCTGGAAACCACTTCTTACAAATTTGACGCAAGAGCAGATGGGTATCTCGACAGTCCTGGAAGGTGGGCTTGTGAGTTATCCTTTCCTTAGCGGGTACCACTATTCTCCGCGACAAGGTACTGACCCCTACTAGACCAAATGCTCGAGATAATCGATAGATCCGCTCGTCGACCCTTGAAAACCGGGGTATGATCTGCTGTCGCATGAATACCAACCTTCTCTCTGTACTTGACAGCACATTGATGTCGGCCCTAAACAGCGCACAGCCACTCAATTTGAAGCAGATAGGCAAGGGCCTGGCTGGTCTTAGCCTGGATTCTCCCAAAACCCCCAGAAGAAAGAGCCTGCACATTGGGCTAGCACATCGGCCAAGTCACTTCTCGACGGCAATGATGGCGATGGCAGTGACAACGAAACAAATATCTTGGATGAAGATCAAGTCCAATCACACAAGAGCTAGCAAATGTTTCGGACCCCCCTACAAAGGACGAACAAATGTCAATACTGCACTATTTCAGGGTCGATGCCGGTTCGGCAAAGCGCATGGCCAATATAATTAATTATATCACCTATTCTCCAGAGCTCATGCCAGTGTCCATACCAGATGTTCATGACTCCTTCCATCGAGACTATAAAGACATATAGTTCCTCTGCCTTTTGAAAGGGTGCATTTGGAAATTGGCAATTTCAGCCAGTCGAAAGTTAACAGATCAAGGCCAAATTTGGCCCGCTGCTCAACGTGGTTCGATCCTAATCGACAAACGACGCCGCAGTGAGAAATTACCTCTGAACTTGTCTTCCATCTCGCATGGGGGAATACTTTCACCCTAGGGTCAACCCTCCCTTCGGTATATATTTGAACAATCTCGATGACCGTGCTAAGCAACGTGCTGGCCCAGGATCAGCCTCCAATCTGACCGGAAGGTATTGTAGGGAAAAATGCGGTAAGACTTTTATTCTCTTCTTCGGCATCACACTTCACATAGTTTTGCCCCAAACACATGCTAACATCATCTCTCTTCAGACACCTGAGGTCATGATCTAAAGAACTCCTCGACACCTGAAGATGTGGCAGGAATACGACTCGATATTCACGGCTAACGGTCCGGGTATCGAAAGGGGACAAAGAATCCCCTCGAGGCAGCCATTCTCAAGCATCCAATGGGAGACGGAGGATGGACCAAGCGAACCATCTATAAAAATTCGATTCACCCGCTATACACCCCTGGGTCCTCCCGTGGGCGATTCGGGATCGCTCGTATTCAGCCGTGAGCTCGCTCGAGTACTCGATGACAAACATGCGACTGTCTTGGTTGGAGTAGGGTCTGGTGCTCTTTCGCCAGCATCTGGCTCTTGGATCGTGCCTGTGCCTTGAATCACGTCCAATTCCGATTAGGCAGCTAAGAGCCATCCCGTCCACAGTGGTCACTACAATTTCACGATTAGGCTGTCGAGTGTAGAACGTCACACATCGTTAGATTGGAAGTAAATCCGAAGCAAAACCTGCGTCTCATCCGAAACATTAACATTATCATGAAATTGGCGTGCCTTGTAATCAAGTAGGTAGTATTTCTGCTGTATCTGTAAAACCTAGAATCTCACTATTAAGCTACGTAAATGATACTCAGACTGTATCCCTGATAGGATCCTTCTCAGCATCTTCAATCTTTTTCAAAAATTCCTCTGCTCCCTTGGGGTCACCGGGGAATACATTTTCAGCAATCATCCGACGAGGCGAGCTACCAAGCCATTGGAACAGAGAGAAATCCCGGAATCGATCCGCGCGGAAAATCTCCAAAACCTCCAGCGGTTCGTCGTCACTCAGGTTCTCAACAAAGTGCCCCATATTCCGAGGCACGATGCCCACATCACCGGCCATATAGTTAAATGTCCTGGCGTTTCCTTCCGCGGCAAAGATCGTAACTCGCGCACGACCTTTCTTGAAATATGTCCATTCATCGGCGTTGGGGTGCCAGTGCATTTCGCGTAGTGCGCCTGGGGCAATCTCTAGGTGGGCGGCTGCTACTGTTTTGGAAATTGGGAAATTGGTAGAGTCGGTAATGCGGACTCGACCGCCGCTGGTTTCAATCGGTTCTTGGGCGTGCATACGGTGTGTGAAGTTGATCTTTGACTTTTTGAAGGTGCGTGGTTTTTCTTGATCAATGCTTCCGGGGTTCGAGCCTTGGAATATGTACTTCTCCGATTTCGGGATGTTGTCGAATTGTTCTGGTGACATGCGGAAGTTCTCTGCTAGAACTGCCTTGGGAGTATGAGCTGAAGACAGGGGTTAGTATAAATCATAGGCCGAGATACAGTCAGGTGAGCTCACCTAACCAATCAGTCAAGACGAAGGTGGATTCTTCAGAGAAGTTCCCATCGTCAAAGATCAGAAGGAACTCAGTGCCATTCTCCCCAAGGCCTTGCAGTGAATGCGGGTGTCCGGCGGGGAAATACCACAGATCTCCAGCCTCCAAGTCGTCCATAAAAGTGCCACCTTCCAAGTCCAGGGCAGTGACTCGTACTTTTCCAGCGAGTACGTAGGCCCATTCAGCTTCCGTGTGCCAATGGAGTTCACGGATGACTCCTTGATCTAGGCGCATGTTCACACCCGCGAGCTCACGGCTAGTAGGCAGCTCGCGGATAGTGGTTTGTCGCGTCCATCCGCCTTCCTATACACAAATGTTTAGATGAATGATATACATCCCTTACTAGGATGACCATACCTCGATGCGAATATGTGAATCCGCAAAGCTCCATCGCATATTCGGCATACTGCCATGATCAGTGCTCGGCGGACGCACAAGATCGGGGTTCTGGCGCTCGCGATCTCGATTCCGCGGCCCCATCACCGTCGTACCGTCTCCGTTACGGAACGGCAGTGGCTGTCGCTCATCGCCAACAGAGTCCACCTTGTGATCGTACGGATCGCGATGCCCCGGAGAAAAAGGTGGGTGTCTGGAAATAGGCTGTTGACCGAGCAATTCCGCGGGATGGCCAGCTGGTATTTGGAGTAGCTTTTGCAGGCTATAATCCGGGGCAGGGATAGCCCATGTAGCCTGAAGATATGCCAGGTTCAACACGAGATGTGTAATCTGCATGGTGAGCTTGATAGTGACCTAGTTACACCAGGGAAAAGAGAACAAATTCGATGAAGGGGAATGTGTAAACTGAGGAAGTGTTGTTATCCGCATCGACGTCACGACATTGCGAATATTCCGATCGCATATGCCGTTCTCCAACTGTTGACTCCAACTGATTTGCCCCTTACATTGTAGTACACTCGGATAATCCAAGGGATGACGCAGTCTCGTTTTCTTTGCCGAGATCGAGTTGGAGTTGCTATGCCAAGGACTCCATAAAAACAAACACAACTTCCCTCCACTTCAATCAACCACCTCACCATCAATGTCTGTGCCTGGCGAAACAGACGCCCTTTTGGGCAATACCAGACCCTTTAAACCATCTCGATTATCCCGGCTATCCAAACACCTGCGCAGCGACCTCGACCCTTCGCATGGCGACCTGGTTCTACTATTCTGTTACGTCATCACCGGCCTACTCGACAGCTCATCGGTACTCATATGGGGCTCCTTCGTGAGCATGCAAACTGGTAACACTGTATACTTTGGCCTGGGTCTCGTTGGCACGGAAGACGATCGCTGGATTAAGTCCGGGGTCTCAATTGCGGGGTTCTGTTTAGGTTCCCTTTGCTTCGCCACCTTCCACCGTGTCTTCCCGTCCAGACGGAGATGGGTCCTCTGTGCGTCGTTCCTTGCTCAAACCTTGTGTGTCTCCCTTGCCGCTTTGATCGTCACGATTTATCGGCCGACTCGCGGTGGGCCCCTTAGTTGGTTGGTTCTCGTCCCCGTTGCGCTCATCGCGTTCCAGAGTAGTGGGCAGGCGGTGACAAGTCGGGTTTTGAACTTTGGTGGTTTGACCAGTGTTGTCCTCACGAGTGTTTATTGCGACTTGTTTTCACACCGTGATTTCCTTTCGACTAAGGTCGTTGGTAATGCTGAGGAGATGCGGCGGATTGGCGCAGTCTTGTGCTTGCTTTTCGGGGTGGTCTTGGGCGGTCTCTGGGCTCATAGCTCTGTGGGGATGATGGGAGCCTTGTGGACCGCGGCGATCCTGAAGTCGCTGATTGTTGCCGGATGGTTGGCCTGGAAGGGAAAGTGTGAGGAGGAAACAGAATGAGACTTGAAGAGAGGTGGAAGATCACAGTTCTACATAAATTGTGAGCTGATGTTGATGTATATCAGGTGCCGGTTAGCTCGATATAGATGATAACAAATATTGTTAGTTGTATGCAATTGTCTTAATTCCCACTTGCGTGAAAGTTGCTGGAGTTTCTATTTACTGTTTCAGAAGTATCATGCCAATGAAATGTACCATGTGAAAGTTGAACGCTTCCAACGGTGCATCTACAGCAGTATAGCTCGAGGCCATCCACACCAGGGAATGCGGGGTGCGGAGGTCGACGTCCCCATATTTGCACTCCAATCCCCTATTGTGATATCGCGTTGGAGTAATTGGAGTATTGGAGCCCTTCTGAGTTCAATCGGAATCGCGCGAGGCCGAAGTGAGGGTCTGTCTATTACCTCGCCATTGGTATCTATTATTAGAAGCTGATGGACAAATGGATGCCCGTATCCCTAGTCGATCATTTATACCATAACAATAGGTGCCTACATATGAAGTTATGGACCTCTGTAGCTTTCTTTTCTCAAATTGATATAATAATCTCAGACTAGGATTGCTCCTTTTTTTGGCCTTTCTTTCTTCTTCCGGACAGCAATCTGGCAGACTTGACATGTAGCACTCACAATAGAAAAGCAACGGGAACAGGACAATGAAGGCAAAGATTCCCCAGAATTCCAAAAATGGACATAAACACGATTTTGTAGAGACCACCTTGGCACAACAAGAACATAGTAACCAATTCAAGAAAGTCTGACCTTGGATGACACACCGACTCTTTGCACAATCACTTCTCCTCAATGGCGAGTACCTTTTTTCCTTTGCCCCTAGCTGCACGAGGCTTGTGAGGGATAGTCGGTTTCACTTCCTCTTCCTCTTCCTCCTTTTTCACAGCAGACTCGACAATCTTCACATCCTTCTTTTCGCTTTCCTCTTCTTTGACAGGAGTCTCTCCTGGATCTTTCTGTGCGTCTTCTGCAGCCATATCAGGCTCAACAACGACGAGATCCTCTTGTTGTCCTTCCGTGTCTTCATCAGACTCTAGCTCATTCGCCTGGGATAGTGTCTGGAAAAGCCGATCGATGTCTTGCACCACGCGGTCGTAAACCGTATGGATCGACTCAAGTGCATGGCGCTTCTCTGAATACTTTCCTTCCGCTTTGAGGTCGGACTGGTCGAGCGGTGACTGATAGTAAGTGCTATCATACTCGATAGTTCTCTTGCGCTTCTTTGCTCGCAGGTACTCAAAGGGGATGCCATTCGAATCAAACTGTTTTATCTCTTTAGTAAACTTTTGTTGGTGTTACGCACGCCATGTGCTGGGAAAGCTTGACAGGCCTAAGTGAAGGTCACACTTACAGCACCACCGTCGGCCTGTGTCTGGGGATTCCTGGCTTCGGTTCCCTGACTTTCATCCACTGGACGAGGAATTTGATTAGTGAATATCACGTGGTGACTAGACAACAACTTACGTAGCGTGCAATAGGCAGAGCGGCAATTAAAATAACAGTTCATGCAACAATGGCGCAACAAACAACGGCGCAACATTGAGTCCCCGCTACAAGAAGAAAGAACCACACAACTTTTAAACGGCCCATTATCATGCCGACAAGGGCGGCATGACTTTTCTTTTGGAAGAATATCTCCACATCGCTGACCATGGGCAGCAATTGCCTGTTGGTTGGAAGTGAGACGGGTGTATTTCAGTCGAGTTGATCTCCAATCGACGTCGCGGAGAGGTTCGAGTCTAGATATGAGAGTCGCTAATTGCGTGCCATTTGTAAGGTCTTCAACCTTGACGTGTCCCTTGTCGTCCAAATCAAATCTTCGATCTGTAAGATCATAGTATTGTCAGCGTCAATTTCGATGGCAATGGAACAGCTCTCAATAAGGACAGGGCAACTAACAAGCCACCGGCATCTCGTTGTCAGACCCCCAGTCCAACTTCCCTAAAGCGAGAGATACAATAACCCTGACTACGATTTCACGGAAATGATAAGAACCAATTTGGGGAGATGATGGTAAATAGTGTCGGGGTATGAAGAGGGAAAGAGGTTTCAGGAACGCATCGCCAATTTATATCCCACCAGCTCCCAGGGCTACAAACATGACCTCAGGCAACAACCTTTGAGTCGCTTAATGTGAGTATCCCTCCCCTAAGTGAGTTCTACATAAGCAGGTCATAATGAGGCGCCAGTTTGCAAATAGTTGACTCCACCATCTCCCAGAGTCCAAGTCGAGAGTCATATATTTCATTTCATGGTCATCGTCATCTCGTAATAGCTTGGCTATGAACTTAAGCACTATAAGAAAGGCGGAGTGAATCCCACTATCAATCGTTTCGCTGAACAGTTACAACAGGGCCAACATAATGTCGTCGTCCCTGGAACAGATACATCGGGAGACTGATAATGAACACCCCAACGAAAATAACCACGCTCCAATTAAAATCTCGCGCTGAAGGCAAAGGGCTTGGAGGCCAGAAAGACCAAAAAAGCGCGAAAATAACATAAAGCAAGCCAATGATGTTTATTCCAAGACCGAAACGACCAAGACTCCATCGTCGAGGAGGTAACGTTTCAGGACAGGCAATCTTTCGGTAAATAACGCAGCTTATTGATACCGCGTATGTATACATGAGTGCAGCGACGTTGAGAGAGATGATTGCGTTGAATGCAACTTGCGAGCCGATATTGATTAGCGACAATAGGCCGCTGATCATACACGAAAGTGCGATGGCTCGTACTGGAATTCGCCGATGTGGGTCAACTCGCGAGATCCAGTCTGCGAAGGGTAGACCGCGGTCCCGTGCGAACGCATATGTTTGACGTGCGGTTGATGCGTTGAAGAGGATGTTGCTGAATATAACCGGAATCAAGATTATGGCTGTCAGGCCATTCACACCGGAGGTTGAGAGGAATTGGCGGAACACGTAAAGGAAGGGGAATCCGGTGCTGTCGTTGAGCGCATCAGGTACTGAGGGTCAGGGCAAGAAGAAAGCCAACGATTATTATCAATGCGAGTATTCCATTCCCAAAGTATCCCCATGCGATTGCAATTGGTACGTATCGGCCTGCGTCCTTGACTTCTTCGGACATGTGTGCGGTGGCGTCGGAGCCTATAAGCAGTATTTGTGTGTTAGGTTTGTACCTCGAAATAGTGACAGCCATATACATACTGAGGGAGCCATATATAGCTGTAATCTGGCCAATCATCAAGCTGATCCCCATAGTAGACCAATTACCGCCATTGTGGAACGAGGTGAAGACGGTTTTGGCGGAGTTGTGCCATGGCGAACAAGACAACCACAATGATGACCCAGCATAACAAGTGCAGTGCGAGAAGGAGATTCTGGATTCGGGGCATCCAGCTTGCGGCATAGACATTAAAAAAGTAAATCACAGCTATCATCGCGAACACAAACAAGGTTCCATGCCAATTTTGCGGTTCGTAGCTCGGGTCACGGAGGGCGATGAGACCTTGGATGATAGTTCCCGTCAGGAATGAGCCAGATGCAGCCCCAGCTTGCCAGGCAAGTACGGACATCCATCCTGAATGGCAGTCATTAGCAATCGCAAGTGTCATCGTTATACTAGGACATCTTACCAGTGGTGTAACTCAGAAATTTCTGGTAACGGGGCGATGAAAACTCCGATACCCAATGGTATTGGCCGCCTGACGTGGGTGCCCTGGTAAATAGGACGGGGTATGTCAGAAATGTCCGAGGATTAAGGGCAGTATTACTCTGTAAATCAGAACTTACATCGAAGCCATTTCAGCTAGCGAAACAATGATGAAGCCGAACCCAATGAAAGTCCACATATAGGACCAAAATACACCAGCGAGACCACCATTTTCGAGACCTTGTGTGTTTGAGCTAGAGACGAAGCTATTAGTGCCTGACACGATTGGCCACATGCAGATTGCAGACTGCCACTCACATAAGTATAAACTCCCAGGTAGCTTGGAGAACTGCTGAAAAGCTCAACGCTGCTAGAGGTCAAAAATTGCGCTTCGGAGAGGTCAGTTTGTGATGTTCAGATTGCTTCAAAGACGGCCAAATAACACCTTCAATTCCTGTATCTTCCCCATACGTGTCATATCATCCTGATCCTGTGGACTGCCATCCATCCCCGGTAGATCTTTCGCGAGGTGTTCTTCCATCGTGTGAACTCGGTCAAAGGAAGAGATATGATCTTGTAGGTGCGGTCTTTGTGGTGACATCTTGACGAATGATATCAGTCCAATGAGGTGTTAACATATCAAAATTGTTCAGTTATAGAAGAGATGACCTCAAAAGTTAGATATAAATCAAAGGTGAAACAGACAATCTGAAGTTGGAGATACAAGGACACAAAAGAGACTCGATTTTGCCAATTCTGGGCACGCTCGGCTGTTCCGCTGCAGGCATCCCCCAGAGTGATACAGCGACTTGACCTTTGAAGCCGAATTTCTCCCCGCCTATGTCACATAACCCTCGATAAAATCTACAGATGATAATGGGCGCAAGTCCACTTGGCAAGACCTTCAGCGACCATCGGACCGGAATCGGCATAAACTTTTATGGCCGTTGGGACTGTGTTAAAGTGGCACAGCCCGTTTTGATCCATCTATACGGAGTAGTTGAGAAGGAGTCTCGTCCTCATGGGACTAGTAGCTTATCCCTGTCAACTATCCCGGTCGTTGTGTTTGCTTCCATTGATTGTCCCACTTTCCCTCGAAAGGAAGAAGGTAATCTCATCCCCAACGCCATTCCTCGGGTGGTGGCACCCAAATCGATGTCTCAACTGAATTCGTAAACGAAGCTATCTAAACGCCACTCGGGGGTTGGTTTCGCGCTAAGTGTCTCATTGTCAGTTTGGAGCGGTAATTTCATGCTCGATCCCGGCTTCTATCTGCATCTTCCCGCTTGAATGTAAGGAGGGTCAGATTCCCAGCTAGGTTGTACAATGAAATTGGATTTGGAAGTCGTTCCGAGATTGGCCATGTCAGACACGCAAACTGGATTTGGGGCAATTCAAACTGATGCGCCTCTAACGGAATGACATGGGTATCCTAAATACTAAAGTAAAGATCTACAAGAGTCCCGTTACGGTAAGTCTTTTTTTTAGCGTCCTGCGCATACGGCGATCCCCCCCGTGTACCCTGTCAGTTGTAATTGCAACGGCAAATGAGAGTTCGCTATGGAGTACACACGTACCCCCTACCGAGTATATGTATCGTGTTGCAAAGTATTGCTACTATAAGTTACTCGAAATGGGTGTACTTCGTTGTATCGGCACAATGTAAATGTAACAGTGCAACAAACCCTCCGAGAGACAATAACCTACCGAGTACATGCCTGCCCACCAATTTTAGAGTTAACAGAACTTTGCATTTACATATTTGAGGGAGTAATGGAGGACGTATGGGTCCTTAAGGCCATAGCACCCCGAATAATCCGATTTTGTGCCTATGGGAACATTAAGCGCCCAAGTGATCTTCGTAATGGCATGTTGGACAAAACCAATACCTCAGTCCCCATAACTATTAAGTACCTCCAATGTATGGTTCCACCAATAGGGAAAATTAGTTCGAATTTGTTCGAATATTCCGTGGCGCTTGTAAACTATGTATACGGACCACCAGGATCATAGCATCTCACAGAAAGCAAACCTCTCTTCTTCGCGAATCCAAATCAAGCTAATGACGCGCAACTAGAAACCAACAGTATATACATAGCCCATACCCGTGGTTCAGCCAATGGGCCAAGGTCATATCTCAGTTTGAATCCAGGCTGAGCGTGGATGGAGATCTACCATTCGTGATTAGGATGCCCTGCCTCGGTTTGTGAATTTTCTGAGTCAGCCAGCCTGTTTGACTGGAGCTGAGTATATCCTCCATCGAGTCCCTAGGAACAGATCAGGGTATGTTTCTTTCTTTTGGCCATGGCAACTCCATCCCCAGTGCCATCAGGCTTGTCACCTCCGCTGACGGTGGATACCGAAATAAACCATAATGGAGTTATTACAGTCATCGCTTCATTTTCATTATTTTTGGTTCTGGGATCTCTGGGGATTCGTGTGTATTCTGCATACAGTAGAAGAGTCCGTCAGTTGGATGATTTGACTTTCGCGGCGACTGTGGTATGTCTTCCCGTCTCAACTAATGCGGACCCTTTTAGAAGATCTCGGTGACTGACGTTGGATCTAGACTCTTGCCTTGGCACAGGTGTCTGTGGTCTTTGCGCAGATTCATTTTGGTTGGGGAAAATCAAAGTCGTTGATCGGTGATGAAGATTGGAATTCGATCGAGAAGGTAGGTGTCCTTGATCAAGGTCGGGTATCACTTTTGACATCTGCTTTCTAGACTGGGTACAGTGCGGATATCCTCTATATCGCAATATTATCTTCGTCAAAGGCGTCAACCGCACTCTTTTACCGGACCATTACCCTACGTAGCTCGCTATGGATGAGCTACGCTCTTCTGACGGTTACTCTACTCTGTGCCCCTGTGGCTATAGTTTTGCTGGCCGTCCGCTGTGATCGACATCCATGGCATGATATCAGCAAACAATGTTCAGTTCTGGTAGGTCATGGTAACTGCCAATGCTATGTGTCTACTCACTCAGACTCCTCTAGTTCCCCCACTGGCAGGCCGTTACAGCATTGGATATAGCCTTCGAAATGATCCTCTTACTATATCCCATCCGGGCAATCACGAGACTGCAGACGACACTAAGCAACAAAGTCATTGTAATTCTGGTGCTGAGTTGTCGAGTTTTGTACGTTTAAGTTCTCCCCTAGTCAGTTTCTTGCATATTAACAAAGACCTGGTACACCTGCAGCCTTATCCCTATCGGCGCGATCCACCTCCACTACATGAGTCAACAAGTCAATTCAGCAGACCCAACACTCGAGGGAGCCTTTGCTACGGTTGTGGCAGAACTTCACGTGGCATTCAGCGTTCTGGTACTGACGGCGCCATTAATGAAACCATTCGTCGCAGCCTACGTGGACGAGAACGGACTGGCCTATACCGACGACGCAACCAAGTCACGAACCAATCACAAATTCACACCACACTCCGACCGATCGAACGCGACATATCATGGGTCGCGGATGAGTAGTTTTCCGGCAAGAAATCGCATCATGAAGAGCATTGAAATATCGGTGGATCATGAGGATGTGGAGCTTTTGGAGACACGTTGAGGCTCTCAGTGGGAGGGTCGGAACTATACCTTTAATGCATATATCTCATACGAAACACTCGTCGCATTGTGCTCGGCTCTGAAGATTCAGGCTGTCATGAGTGTGGACCTGGCGCGTAGAGTGCGATCATGACTGATTTCAGTATGCGTGACAACCAGATATATCATATCCACAGCAGGTACCTTGTTTGGGCCTAACGTCGGATCCATTCGGGCAATCATGTGGAAACGAGTAAGATCAAGTTTCTAGACGTATTCCGATGAAACCGAGAGCGAATCATTTTTTCACTCACCCGAGTATGTACCACGAAACGTTTCGGTGGGATGTCCATATCGGGATATTATGTGGCGTAATCAAGCGTTTTCGTCGATCAATTGCGCTGTGTTTGGCATTGCTTAACGCACGCCATCCTTCTGAGCGCTGATTTCAGGTATGGATCCTCACCTGGCACAGTGATGGTCATCCCCAGCTTCCATTTCGGAGACTCCGTAGAGCTTCCCCCGCACTATGACCTCATCAATCTACAACCAAATTCCAGGTTGTCCATAATCATTAAGTCTGTCACTCCCAGGAATTGGTTTTCTATCTCTTCGTCTAATCATGACAGTTACCACGATCGCTACAGAGCTCTAAACAGTGACCCCGGCCACTGCAATGGCAGAATCTCACCACACTGCTACTTCAAGTCGTGACATCGACCGGAGTTATTCAATACAAAAAGAAGAGGAGAATCGATCGGAAGATGTAGTCTCTCATCTTGCAGACCCCTTCGGGGATGAAGAATTTGCGGAAATCAAGTATCGCACGTTACAATGGTGGCAATGCGGCATGATCATGATCGCGGAAACCGTCTCCCTCGGTATCCTGTCTCTTCCATCTGCTGTCGCAGTGCTAGGTCTTGCACCGTACGTGTTCTACTACTTCCAGCTAATGTCCAGCATGACAGTATACTGATAGCTTTCCAGTGCAGTCATCCTCATCGTCGGACTGGGTATAGTCGCAACCTATACTGGATATGTCATCGGCCAGTTCAAACTCCGATACCCACAAGTACATAGTATGGGAGACGCTGGGGAGGTGATGTTCCATCCGATGGGCCTAGCCCGCTTTGGAAGGGAGTTCTTAGGAACGGCTCAGTTGCTTTTCCTCATCTTCGTCATGGGTAGTCATATCTTGACTTTCAGTGTCATGATGGATACAATCACAGATCATGGCACCTGCTCGATTGTATTTGGGATCGTCGGATTGATCGTTTCGTTCATCTGTGCCTTGCCCAGGACTCTTCGCAAGGTCTCGTGGTTATCGTTTGCTTGTATGTATATCGATACCTCTTCTACAACGGCCTCCTTGCTAACTATCACAGCTTTCGCAAGTATCCTTGCCGCACTCCTGATTACCATGATCGCCATTGCTATCCAGCGCCCGGGTGACGGCAAGATCGATGCGACTACAACAGTCAGTCTTTCGAAGGGGTTCCTGGCCGTGACAAATATCGTATTTGCTTATGGTGAGTACCTACCAACCGGCCAGATCTTGCGACTAATTGGTATGTAGCTGGGCATGTGGCTTTCTTCGGCTTTATTTCTGAGATGGAGACTCCAACGGACTATCCAAAGACACTATACATGCTCCAGATAACCGATACGAGTATGTATGTAATAGCCGCAGTTGTTATATACATCTACGGTGGGAAGGGTGTTGATTCACCCGCCCTGAGTTCGACAAAGCCTATAACAGCAAAGCTTGCATACGGAATTGCTATTCCTACAGTGAGAGAGCTGGCAAAAGGTCCCTACCTTGGACAAATGGTTCTAACTTGATATTACAGATTGTTATAGCTGGTGTGATCAACGGCCATGTCGCGGCAAAATACATTTACGTCCGCCTATTCCGGGGCACTGATCACATGAAGAAGCGCACATTCTTCTCCATCGGTTCCTGGGTTGTGATTACTTTGGTATTATGGGTGATAGCCTGGATTATTTCCGAGGCAATCCCTGTGTTCAATAACTTGCTGAGTCTGATCGTGAGTGTCGCCGGAAGTTGCAAGTGAGATAGGTACTAACATGGATTCACCGAGTAGACTTCCCTTTTTGCGAGCTGGTTTACCTGTGAGTGATATTCAGTCTATACCAAACCATCGATCATGCTGACCTGCATATAAGATGGCCTAAGTGGTATCTTCTGGTTGTTCCTGAACCGAGGCCAGTATGTGGCTTCCTGGAAAAAGATGGTTCTAACTATCGTCAATCTGGTCATTGTCGGGATTGGTGCTTGCTTGGTATGTCGAATTTTTCAATGCTCGGCCATTGATAATGTTACTAATTCTTATGAAGTGTGGCATGGGCCTCTGGGTGTCAGGGAAGGCAATTCACGATGATTCAAGTGGTGCCAGCTTTTCTTGTGCTGCCAGAAGTGGATGAAGTCTGAAGTCTCGGCGTACAACGTTTTCTAGATGCATACAATTGTCTAGACAGATTCGACTTTCAATCTGGTGAATTCATATCAGTAATATCTTCATCAGGGGTTATTGTTTCCTTGGACACAGTTTATCTTTGAATCCAAAGCTCCTCGACTACACACGGGAGTATATATAAGCAGCAGCACACAATCATGTTTCAAACAAAGACGACCACTTGCTTCAATTTTGGACTGCTTGCAATATGTACTTACATATTTGGACTTCCATTTGAAAATACGTAACGATGTCGTCGCTAATACTACCCACACATGACTCAGCCCTTCATCGATGAATGCCATGACGTGTTGCAAGATCACCCATTGTGGGTTCAAAAAAAAAAAAGGAACAATGGCTGTGAATGCGGTATTTCTCCGGGGTAGATCTACCGGAGTGCTTGCCTTGCGTATGCCAACAGGCTAATGGTGAGCCTTCACTACTCCCAGTTGCTATGCTATACCACGAACGAACACCGGCCCTCAGTTATCATGATCAAAGTGTCTCTGCAATGGCCAACAAAGAGACCCAAACGTCAGTGTCCCCGCAAAGCACCCTGCAATCAGCGCATGATTCAGCTAGCATGCGGGCCATGTTCGACGATGATAACCCATACGACATGGCCGACGCGTTGGAGAGCAACGAGGGATCTGCAGAGAGCAAACCTGATAAATCTCCAAACGAGAAAGAAGACTCGAACGTGGACTGGGACGGCCCAAATGACCCGGTATGGCATCTGATTTCCCTCCTTCGAGTTTGGACAGCTCCTCTAATACGATTCTAGGAGATGCCCAAGAATTTTCCCCGATGGAGAAAGTGGGTGATCACCATAATGCTAGGAATGATGACAATCTGCGTTACTTTCGGGTCTTCGGTTTTCAGCACAGCAACAAAACAAACGGCGAGGAAATTCGGGGTTTCCCCAGAAGTCATGGTGTTAGCTGTCAGTTTGTTCGTCCTGGGCTTCGCTTTTGGCCCCATTGTGTTCGGGCCCTTGTCTGAACTGTACGGACGAAAGCGACCGCTGTTTGTGGGTATGTTTATCTTTGCAATATTTCAGATCCCCGTTGCGGTAGCCCAGAACTTGCAGACTATCTTCATATGTCGCTTTCTGGGAGGAGTTTTCGCCAGTGCACCCCTTGCCGTTGTGAGTTCGTCGCATTGTCTCCATCCGACACTTTCCCTCTCTCTCACCAATTTTCTCTCTGTTTAGGTATCGGGTATACTGGCCGATATGTTCGACCCCGTAGAACGAGGGGTTGCAATGGCCATCTTCGCCGCGGCAACCTTCATCGGTCCAGTCGCTGGACCAATCATTGGCGGGTTCGTAACGATCTCCTACCTAGGCTGGCGTTGGACCGAGTATATCACAGCTATTTGGGCATTCGCCACCGCTGCCATCGCGCTCCTGGTAATTCCCGAGACGTTCGAGCCGACATTACTCGTGCAACGCGCCAAACGACTGCGACACAAAACCAAGAACTGGGCTTTGCATGCAAAGGCAGAAGAGAAGGTAGTGAACTATCGGGATATCGCGGTACGATATCTCCTGCGCCCGTTTCAAATGCTCCTGCAGGAACCCATTCTTCTCCTCCTTACCTTGTATACAGGTTTCATCTATGCATTTCTGTACACATGTTTCGTGGCCTACCCGATCTCTTTTCAAGAAGACCGAGGATGGAATGGTGGCGTGGGAGCATTGCCGTTTGTTGCTGTTATTTGCGGTGTCTTTTGTGCTTGCTTGATTATCATTGCATTTTCATTGACGCGGTATAGAATGTTCATCCTCCTTAATGGCCGGGTTCAGCCAGAGGAGCGGTTGATTCCTATGATTCTTGGAGGTATCCTGTTACCTGTGGGCATGTTTTGGTTTGGCTGGACCTCAAATCCACACATTACTTGGATTCCGCAAGCTGTATCTGGGAGCTTCTTGGGCTCAGGTGTCATGTTGATCTTCTTGCAGGTATCATTATCCAGGCTGGAATAACCAGGGTAAATACTGACTATTATAGGGACTTAACTATATCATCGACGTGTATCCCATGTACGCCAACTCTGCGATCGCAGCCAATGCCTTCTTTCGTTCATGGTTGGGGGCTGGATTTCCTATGTTCGCATCGGCCATGGTGTGTTATGTCCCTTTACCGGCAGTGGAACAATTAGGCTGATCATATTGCAACATAGTTTCACAACCTAGGAGTCGCTTGGGCTATGACTTTGCTAGGTTGTCTTACTGCTGCTTTGTTTCCTGTGCCCATTGTCTTTTACGTATATGGGCCAAAGATACGGTCATGGAGTAGGTTCACGATGAAGGAAGAATAAGATCAAGCTGCGACTTGTTCAGGGCCCAACAGCAGAGTCAAGGGAAGCCTGGAGATAATTTCATCCGACATAGTCTTACATAGTGATATCCGTGACATTGACCAAGTACCGACCGACGTAGTATTATCAAGTGTTGTTCCAGGCCTTATCCGATTTCGGAAGAAAGTCCTCGCTCTAGACCCGAGGCCCCGAGGCCCGGCAGCTATGACTCGGTGTTTATCGTTCTGATTTTATGCAATTCCGATGATCACAGATATGGAATCGTTGCATCAGCCTCGGCTAGCAGTTGCAACATCGACTAATAGACAAATATGCATGACACCACTTCGCGTTATCATGGCCCGAGGCACGAAATGATCGCACTCCATCGGCCAGGTCCGATGTGGGGTAGACCGGCTATGAAGACTGCATGATGTACGGCCTAGCCAATCCCCGGATGTAGTGCAAGTGCAGTTTACCCCGGCTTTTCACCAGGGTTCAGCTAAGCTTCCTGGGCAAACCATGAAGCTTTAATCAAGCATTATAACGTCCCGCGAAGCAGGGATCTGGGGAAATCAAGACTCTTAGCTAATATTATCTTCCCCAGTGACGGGCTCCCACACACTTCTACTCCACTCTCGTTTGAAGACTTGGCCCGATATGTCTTCGGTTCCACATCCTCGCCAATGGGAGTTGCGCTTCTTCCCCCCGGGGTATCCGCCCCACGCACTGCTCGGTTCCACCAGCATCACGATCGTCCGGTGGGCGGCGTTCGCCGTCTAACACTCAGATGAGTGCATATATGATGTTTATATCCAACCTGCAATCGGTTTGGCGGGGCAGTCGGCGTGGCATGATCTTGAAACTCTAGATCTTGAATTGGCTTTCCTTCCTCATACGACCATACGACCATGGCGCCATACTTTGGCCTTCGCGGCCCTTCCCTGAATAGGGCTATCATGTGGCTGGTTGTGTGTCCGGCCTTTGTGACCTATGGATACAATCAAGGTGTGATGGGAGGTCTATTGACCCTGGAATCATTCGCGAAGACCTTTCCGCAGATGAACACTCTCACTGCAACCGATGCAGAGAAAACCTACAACTCGACCATTCAAGGTAAGGCCAGTTACTGTATTCGGTGGGGAGATCAATCACGGATATTTCATATCTCCACTGCTTGACTCCTTGCTCATCATATGTTCTTTCAGGCACGGTGGTCGCACTATATACAGTCGGTGGAATATTCGGTTCGCTATCATGCATTCAGTTCGGTGACAAGCTCGGCCGCCGGAAGGTCATCCTGCTCACCTCCTTCATCTCCATGATTGGCGCTATCCTCATGGCAACATCCTTCTCCCTTCCACAATTCATCGTTGCACGACTCGTCCTCGGATATGGCACCGGCGGTTACGTCGCTACAGTACCCGTCTGGCAGTCCGAGATCTCGAAGCCCAACAAACGTGGCGCTCACGTAGTAACCGACGGTATCTTCATCGGCGCTGGTATCACTTTCTCTCTCTGGATCGACTTCGGATTCTTCTTCGTTAAGACCAACTCGGTTTCCTGGCGATTCCCCTTGGTCTTCCAGGTCCTGCTATCATTAATGGTCATGGGTTTTGTGATGCTCTTCCCCGAATCGCCCCGGTGGCTGGTGAAAAGAGGTCGCACAGAGGAGGCGCGGGAGATCCTGGCGGCGCTGGACGACGTCGACCCGCACTCGGAACAAATCACCCTCGATATCCGCGATATTGAGACCTCCCTAGCCCTTTCCGGAACGGGTTCGTGGAAGGATATGCTGAAGATGGGCGAGCAAAGACTGTTCCACCGCACTGTTCTCGCTTGTATGGGTCAAATGTTCCAGCAGATGTGTGGGATCAATTTGATCACATTCTACGCCACGACCATCTTCGAACAATATCTCAAGCTCAATGCCGTCCAATCTCGTATCCTCGCTGCTTCCATGTGCCTAACACAGCCGCTAGGCGGCTTACTAGCCTATTTCACCATCGACCGTCTCGGTCGCCGCGTGCTAATGCTGTGGAGTGCTGTCGGGATGTCAATCTCGATGGCCATCCTAGCTGGAACAACTTCCCTCCAAAATAACACCGGCAGCTTGGTCTGCGCCGTGGTATTCCTTTTCGTCTTTGAGTTCATATTCACAGTCGGCTACTCCGGCTTAACCTTCCTATACGCCACAGAGGTCGCTCCTCTCCAGTGCCGAGCATCTATTAGCGCCATCTCCGCTGCTGCCGTCTGGACATTCAACTTCCTCCTCGCTGAGGTCACGCCTGTCGGCTTCGCTACCATCGACTGGCAATACTATATTATCTTCGCAGTGCTGAACGCCGCCATCGTGCCCACAGTCTACTTCCTCTTCCCGGAGACCAACGGCCGCACCCTCGAGGAAATCGACGAGATCTTCTTGCAGTCGCGCAACATCTTTGATCCGCCTCGCATTGCTCGCTCGCTTCCCCGTATGCACGTTGCCAACGCTCATGGTGTTGATTCTAAGGAGGTGGGAAGTGGCGATGCCATGGCTGAGAAGCCCAATACGTAAGCCGTTCACGGAGAGACGAAATGAGGGTCCTGCTGGCTTATCGGGATATGTAAATATAATTCCCGACCGTGTCCCTTGAGCGACCGGTCATTATAGATTTATCAAACGAAGTGTTTTTTTTGGTTGCAGGTTATTTCGACCTTTCCATTTGGCATGAATATTTGGGGATAAATAGGCAGATTGGCATCGGCACATCGGACCGATCATGCGACCAGCGTCTCACTCAGTCTCACTTCTGTCTCACTCGAAATTGGCGCCGTTTCAGGCTCTGCAGAGTCTCATCCTGCAGACCCCAGAATCCTTATTTCCGTGACTTATTTGGGGAGGGACCCGTCGATCACTTCCCGGTTTGTCAATTGCCCCTACTGGGGGATGATGTTGAAAAAGTGAAGAAAATGAAGACAATGTACCAAGGCCCCTGATTACTGTTTTGGTAGCGGAATTACACAAACGAGGGCTTTTGAGATTGGCTAAATTCATATCCAAACCCGCCAGATGTCAACGGGTTCCCTTCGAACAAGCCCGGATAGCCCGGGTTTCATGGTCCCCATTGTCTCCGTGTTATTTCCGGTGTCTTACCTGGAGTGTGATATATAACAGCATTCGGAAGGAGTCATCGTTGCTTGCAAGCAACTCATCACACCTCCAAATCGAATACAACGCAAACATACAGTCATCGAACCAAAATGCGGTCTCTTGCATGGCTCCTCTCCCTCCCCATAGTGGCTGAAGCCGGCGAAGTCCTGTGGAGCGGGTTCTTCAACGCCTCCGCGACCGTTGCCGACTTCGACAAATGTAAGGGAGTCTCAACAGTTCCTATTGATCAACACTGACAGACAAGAAGGGTCGTGGTCTAACCAAGTCGGCGATTGGCAGTGGTATATTCACGGCAGTGCCTCGACCGAAACGTACTTGGGACTCTCACCGGATAACAAGAACCCGGCCGATACGAGTGATGAGCAGGGCATCCGGATCACGATCGTAGGTCATGCCTGAAGTTGAAGGGGAGTGGAAGCTGATAGCAGTCAGGACGGCACGTCGTTCTGGAACGGACAAACCATGGAACGATCCGAGATCATCCCCCAGACCAAGGCGGATCTCGGGAGCGGTCATCTGTTCTACCATTTCTCGCTGAAGACAGAAGACACGAATGCGCCGAACCCGAACTTCGAGCATCAGATCGCGTTCTTCGAGGTAACGAGTCCAATACCCAGAGTATCGAACAGACCAATAGCTAACATGTATATCCACCACAGAGCCATTTCACAGAGCTCAAATACGGCACCGCGAGCGGCGCCTCGGGGAAAGACAACACCCTTCGCTGGTGTGTCGGTGGAGTCTCGAAGTGGGAAACAGACTTGGAAGCGGGGAAGTGGTACAACTTCGCCTACGACATCGATTTCGACGCGAAAACTGTTGGATTGTGGGCTTCGAATGGGGCCGATGACCTAAAGCAGGTTGTGTCGGCCGTCAGCGCGTCGACTTCGACAAACTCCGCGGATTGGCATGTTGGCGAGTTGCGCCTCCCTAATGGGGGCTCGGATGCGGCTGCGGAGGACTGGTTTTGGTCTGGCATCTTTGTGGAGAAGGCTCCGATCACTCCTGGTATTGCCGGTCCTGCATGAGACATCAGTTCGAAGTTGCTTGTAATGAGCTCGGTAGGTATTTCCAGGTGATGGCATCAGCCCTCGAGCTGGAAAGAGGACAAACAGATTGCAAACATGACAAACATATCAGACGATCCACTTTACTTTCCACGGTTGGATCTCCCCATGATGTCATCCACTAAACTGGAGGAGACTGGTAGTACTCCATACTACTGATACAGCTCTTTGAATGGGCAGGAATGGAGTCATCAGAAATTATGTGCTCATTTAAATTCATGTAATGTACAAATAGGTATTTACCGCACAGTGTAACCACCGTCAATGAGCAAATCGTTGCCCGTCATGTATGTGCTGGCATCGCTGACCAGGTAAACATAAGCACCCTTGAGTTCCTTTGCATCACCATTGCGACCCATGGGGATCATCGAGTTCCAAAGGTCCTGGACATCCTTCGCCACGAAGTCAGACAATCCGGTGTCAATGTAACCAGGTGAGATGCTGTTAACGCGGGCAAAGTCGCGCCATTCATTGGCCAGCGACCGGGCAAGGTGAATAGTGCCCGCCTTAGCAACATTGTATGAGGTCTGTTCCTGGGGGAAGTTGGCAATGTGGCCTGACATCGAAGAGGTGATGACGAAGCTGCCGGTGCCCCGCTCCTTAAAGTGGGCGCCAACAGCCTTGGCGCAGTGGAAGGTGCCGGTCAGATCGGTGTTGATCACTTCGTTCCAGTCCTCCACAGACCCGTCGAGGATGCCGCTGTCGGCTGTGCGACCGGCGTTCGCAATGAAGGCGTCGATCTTGCCGAAGTCCTTGAGCACGTCTTTCACGAGGGTTTCCACGCTCTCCCAGCTACCCACGTCGCACTTGTACGGCTTGACCTTCACGCCGTATTCTTCGGAGAGTTCCTTGGCGTTCTTCTCGCCGCCCTCCCGGCGGGAGGAGTATGTGATGGCCAGGTCGGCGCCCATCTCGGCGCAGCCGCGGGCGGCTTCGATACCCATGCCTTGGGCTCCGGAAGCTCCGGTTACAACGACGACCTTGCCCTTGAGGCTAAGGAGGTCAAGGAGACGGTCGGCTTTAGGGACGGGGATAGGCATTGTGGTAGATTGGGGTTTGGAGGTTGAGAGAGAGGTATGTTTGGATGGAGGGGTTGGAGGGTTCAAGGATAAGAGAGGAGAACCAGTGTTGTTTGAATATGGTTCTTCAATATCCGGACATCGAGGGCTTTTAAATACGTCTATACCCCTCTCCTAGAGCCATGACTTCATGCCCTCGCACTGACATCAGAGAACCCAGGTAGGTATAGCCGGGTTAGGGACCTCCTGCGCCTGGCTTGATCAGGTTATGTGGTCTCATTTGTTGCAGGCAAGGTTGGCGTATCCAGTAAGAACATCGAATGGTCTCAATCATGACAATCTCGGTGGAGACGCTTGGCGGTCAGTGACATCATGACCTGAACTGAGATTTGTCCAAGGCTCATTCATTCGTTGATTATCAATGATTATGTTTCAGATCGGCATCGGCATCTAATTCTTGCAAATCATGCCAAATAATTCTAGAAGGCTCTTTCATTGATATCGTTTATCCTCGATCAGGACATGCCCAAGGCATCAGCTCTGGCCACGGAACATCGCCCCACTTTGACACGCCAAGGAGGAGTATACAATTGCAACTTGAAGCCCTTTCACGCATCTAATACGAATCTTTCATGGCAGTCCACGGAAGTGCGGTGGGGTCTTGTAGGCTCAAATGCGTAAAAGGAAAAGCTGTCGAAGCCCTAAAAAGTCATGACGGAAACGACAATGCGGAGGAAATCCAAACGTCACATTGACTCAGCAATGCATCAGGAACAAAAGAAATTCCCCGGCCACTTCCAGGGCTGCTAAAAGCCTCTTTTTGTGTTTATTGTCAGTATGGGAGATCAAGCCGCACCAATCCCTCCTACTCAGCCAATCCGAGAAGGTGGACCTATTCAACGATCGTCCACAGCGAGTACCCTGCACCATAACGAGTTTCAAGATTCGTTCTTCTCAAGGTATGCGCAAGTAGCTTGCCTATAACAATTGAGACTCAATTGACCATGTTGTAGAGTCCATTCTTTCTTCCGGCGAGAGACACACATAGGTCATGTCGGGCGTCACCCTTTGCGTGGTAGCCAGGACATCGAGATACATACCTGGAACGGCCCAAATGACCCGGATAATCCGTAAGATGTGAGAAGAATGAGGCACAGCGGGTCTTTGCTGACAATTCAGATTCAATTGGAGCAAAACATATAAATGGGTGCTCACTCTGACGATTTGTTTCATGTCAGTTTCGTCCGATCGTTTCCCATCCAGAGACAATACTGACTCATCCAGTTCAATCCTAACAGGTCTACCGGCGGGATCGTACGGCGCCGGAAACAAATACATGGAACAACGCTTCCATGTCCAAAACGAGCCGTTTCCAAACCTCGCATGGGCTACAACGTCTTGGAATATGGGCGCTGCATTCTGGCCCCTGATCTTTGTCCCATTGACCGAATCTTCGGGGCGTATGCCCGGGTACTTTATCGCATATTTCATTTTGGTCGTCTCACTATTTCCTTCGGCCTTTGCCCAGAACTTTGCTACACTAGTCGTTACTCGATTCTTCGGTGGCGGGGCCTCTTCGGTATCTATCAACATTGTCGGGGGTAGCATCAGTGATGTCTGGTATGGAGCCAATGCTCGGAGCTTACCAATGTCTCTATTTGGATTTACGAGTGTGGTTGGAATAGCCCTGGGTCCATTTATCGGATCAGCGATTCAACAGATTCACAAAAGCGACCCATGGAGATGGTAAGTTATGGTTTCACCCTTGCTTCTAATATGTGGAACTCTGCTGATAAACCGTTAGGATCTTCTACGTTCAGATCATTTACAATGCTGGATTGATTCCGATCTTCTGGCTCATTCTTCGCGAGACCCGTGCAGATGTGATATTAAAGAAACGTGCCAAGAAGCTCCGACAGGAGACCGGCCGTCCTATCTACGCCGAAGCCGATTTGGATACCACCAGCGTCCTGAAGCTTGTGCAGATCTCATTCGAGCGCCCTACACGGATGCTCCTCACAGAACCTGTAGTTATCTTTTTCACTCTGTGGGTCAGCTTCGCGTGGGGAATTCTCTTCCTCTTCTTCTCCAGTGTCGCCCAGACGTTTAGTGCAAACTATGGCTGGGGCACATTCCAGACCGGTCTAGTTCAGCTAGCCATATCGGTCGGAGCTGTGATTGGCACAGTTTTCAATCCTATCCAAGATTGGATCTACCTCAGGTCCGCCCACCGAAATACTGAGCGTCCGGGTAAACCTATCCCAGAAGCCCGGTTGTATACTTCTATACCTGGCAGTCTGTTGTTCGCGAGTGGGCTCTTCTGGTACGGTTGGGCAAGTGTCGGGGACGGTTCTGTCCCGTGGATCGTGCCGGCGCTAGGAATTGGTTGCACTGGGGTGGGAATCTACTCTATCTATATGGCTGTGGTCAACTATTTGACAGATGCATACGAGAAATACGCTGCTTCGGCGTTGTCAGCTGCTTCATTGGGACGCAACTCCTTTGGCGCTTTTCTGCCTCTTGCATCTTTCCAGCTTTTCAACAACCTGGGTTATGGCTGGGCTGGATCGTTGCTTGGCTTTGTTGGACTTGCCCTGTCGGTCGTGCCTGTCGTGCTGGTACTGAAGGGGCCGGCTATTCGTCGGCAAAGTCCATTCATGCGAGAGGCTATGTTTGATCCTGAAGACGACAGTGAAAAGGACCTGGCCTCCGAGAAGACGGATGTGTGATTGGTCACTTTTCTTAAGGGGAATTGGTGGACACGCGTCACCACTGGATGCCTATACACGAAACGAAAGAACTGGGGGATATGGATAACATATATGGATTTCCCCTTGAGCTAGACTCTACGTTTAGATTTATTAAGTTAGTCAGATAGCATTTCATGTACAATTTAAGACGAAAGCGCAAATGAGTCGAGTATGGCTGGCCATGTGGAGTGTATATATATAGGAACATTGTCGAACATCATACTCCGTAAGACTAAATGCGTACATCAGGCTTTGTTGCTGCCTCCAATAGCACGTACTCTATTCGTCATGTGCTAAATTTGGCAATTGCAGCTTCTAAATGTAGTTGGTGGATTTCCCAAATGCAAATTTGCTCTGGATGTTCAGAGGATCCTCAGCCCCACAAGCTTCGTTGCGCCAAGACAAGCATTGTGCTGGTGATAACATCTTCTGACCGCAGTATCGGCTCAAGATATATGCCACGGGCACAATTCCTCTCCAACAAGGTACAGAATTTATCTAGTCAAACTCACGCAAGGTTTAACCCCTTAAGCGAAAAGATCGTGCCGATTAGGACACTTATGGCGCCCAGAAGAGATCCGGGGCTCGGGGCCTGACACTCCGCTTAATCAGCCATGAGCTTCCCCACGGGCAATCCCGAGGTCCTGTAGGGCTATATTGGGAAGTGCCGAAATTTGTTTCCAATTGATGAATGGTGATTCGTCTAGTCTACGCGATCTTCCCTAAAACGAATAAGCTCGTGGAGCAGAGATTGCCAACCACCAGCTTTCATCAATTGTTGACGCGGCGCCAAGCAAGCTTGTGTTGAAGATGCCCCATGCTTGCTCCCACTCAGGTCTAAGCTATTGAATATGCAGTAACGTGGGTAATCTCCCGTGTTGCAGATGGGGGATTTCTTCAGAATGACACGCGTCAGGAGACTACGGAATGAGATATAAATCCAGGCCGTCGCGGCCATGAGTCCAATCGTTCACAAGCCACCAATTCATTCCTAGCTCGTTCAATATGGTCCAGCTTTCCAAATTCCTCGCTGTTGCAGCTGCATGCCTTGCAGCTCCTGCCCTCGCCCACCCGGGAGAGAAGCACGATCCTCATGTCGTGAAGCGTGAGATCCATGCTCGGGATGTTATGGCCGCCCACGCTAAGCGCTCCCTCAATGCTTGCGAGAACACCTTCCACGCCCGCGAGTTGAACAAGCGTAGCATCGCCCGTCGCTCGCAAACCGTCAAGAAGCTCCGCCAGAAGCGCGGGATCACTGCTAGTAAGCCTGGTTCCTAATCTCATCTTCCATGAGACACGCTGACATGTGTATATCAAGATCCCCAGAAATGGCGCCGCGACCTTGCTGCCCTCGAGAAGTGGGAGGCCATCGACCACAACCGCACTGGCATCCTTGATTACAGCCCTGCCACCCCGGAGTCAGTCGTCTTCGGCGCTAACACTAGCGCAGTTCTGACGCCCACTGTCACTGACGGGCCCTACTATGTCTGGGGTGAGGTCGTGCGTCAGAATGTCAAGGAGGAGCTTTACTCCGACGGAGTGGATGTTTTCCTCGAGGTGCAGTACATTGATGTGAACACCTGCAAGCCCGTTCCTGGAGCTGTCGTCGACATCTGGCAAGCCAATGCCACTGGTGTGTACAGGTAAGTTTCTAATGCTCTTCGACATCTAAAGATTGCCATCGAAATTGAAACACATATCTAACCACCCTTACCATGCACAGTGGAATCTCTATATCAGGCAACTACGCCGCAGACGGCTGGGACTCGACATACCTGCGCGGAATCCAGCAGACCGACCGCGACGGCGTCGCAACCTTCGAAAGCATCTTCCCAGGCCACTACGAGGGTCGCGCGACGCACACCCACCTGCTTACCCACCTGAACGCAACCCTCCCTCCCAACAAGACCATCCTGGCCGACACCGGTAGCGTCGCCCACATCGGCCAGCTGTTCTGGAACGAGGTGCTCCGCAGTGCCGTGGAGGACACCTACCCGTACAACACCAACACGCAGGCTATCACCTCCAACGCCGAGGATATGTGGAGTATCTTGCAGGCTGATAGCGCTTACGATCCCTTCCCGGAGTACATTTACCTCGGTGAGGGTCTGGACGATGGATTGTTCGCCTGGATCCAGATTGGAATCAACACTACCGCCGATTACACCGATAACTCGTACTACAGTGTTGCCGCTTTCCACGGTGCTGATGGTGGCTACGCGCTTTCTGATAGCTCGTTCGGTGGTGGTGCTCCGGCTGGTGCCTCTGGTTCTCCTCCTAGTGGCACGGGTATGCCTAGTGCATCCGGGTCGCCTAGTCCCTCTGCTTGAGGACTGGACTAAGGAGGGAATGGACTGAATCAGTCTTCTGGGGAACTTGACAGCTAGGTTGATTCACTAAGGAAAAGTCAAGACCCGCCCCTTGAATCCCAGCGGTGCAGCTGTTGTTAGGCTCTGTATCTAAAAGATTACCCCACCTGTACAAACAAACAGATATTGTACATAGGTCCGTTTGAGCAAATTTTATGCGGACTTTTCGCACATCTATCATTTAGAATTTCCCCGTAAGTAAGACTACTGTGATCTCTAGGAGCGTAGCCAAACCCTGGCATAGGAATTAGGGCGCAATGGAAGTGTACCGAACACGAACAATTGACCCCCTGATCGGGGTACAAAATGGTTGTGGCGGATATAGCGTGTAAATAGACCCGCACGGACGGGATGATTTCGGGAGATCGTGAAAATCATTGAAGCGGGAGTCCAACAAGGCTTTCACGTTTCGATTTGTTGAGCCAAGCCTCTGCACGTAACGCGGATCATTGGCTTTTGTCAAGCGCGCATTTTTGAAGATGGGGTGGGTACATCGTGCTTAGCTCAATGGGGCAGGTCGTTCGTACACATTTAGGGTTCCGGTAATCCAGCCCTGGAGCCTTACGTTTGGATACATCAACCCATTTCCTTCCGGGCGTCCGGGGTAGAGTACGAAGGGCCGCGGCATGGGTAGATTTTCTCATATGATAAAGCACTGAGTTTCACTATCATCGGTAGAAGAACCCCAAAATCCAGAATAAAACTAAGGTTATCGAGTGTTCCATGGTTGGGAGGTTTTGGAGGTGGAAAAGGAATTAAAGTTCAATCCATCTATGGAAGCAATGCGCCCCCCCAAGCACGTTGCGGTTACCGGGATCAATAAGGTTGAACGTAAAACGTCACATCTGCATCTGTTACAAACCCTGCTTCCTGCAGGACCAATGTGGGTTCATTTCACCACCAGGTTCCAGGGTTTTATTCGACTGTTAGAGGACGGGCGGCGCCGGAGTCCGTGAAGAGGAGGAAAGCCGGCAAGCGAAACTCAATGCACGTGTGCCACCACGAGTATCTCCCCATACTCTCCAATTCTTCGGTAAGAACCTTGGAATCGGCCTGCAAGAACAGAATTCTCACCAATTGCAAAATAGGAATCAGGCATACAAATGATACTTACCACATCATAGACATAATATACGTTTTCTTGTCCCTCAAGATGGTTTCATGAAACTTTGGTGGGGAATATTAAGCATACTAAAACAAAAAAAGCAGGTTTCGGCAGACAATCTCTATGTGTCTTTCTGAAGTTATATCCTTCTTCCACATTGATTATATAGAAAATTAGATCAATTAAGCTAGACCTCTACTATATATTAGCCTTCTTTCTCTATCTCTACCTCCTTAGATGGTTGAGAAAAGTCATGTGGTGCCTAACTACCGACTGTATGGGTAGTGGGGCAAACACCGACCTCGGGAGTGTTGGTGCCACAGTTAATAACTCAAATTTCAATAAAGCAAACCCCCTCTAGGCTGCTCGAAATGACCCCAAACTGGCCCGCCTTTTTGGGTCATCTCATGTGGCGATCCATCGAAACAGGACTCGATCCGAAGATCCAGTACTCATCCGCCCCCACTAGCGAGATATTATTGACTGATTGCCGTCTCAAGGGTGGCTCCATTTTCCAGCACCGATTCCCCCTTTGGGACTTTGGGTTGAAAATAGAAAACTTCGGGGTCTAGAGCTAAGGCAAGGTTTATTGAAGTCAGAATAGCCGGCCACATGGGGATCTTCAAATAAAACCACGAGGGAGTTCCCCATTTCCTCTGATTCTCTTTGGCACTTTCTTTCTATAGGTGCGGATGGGATCCCCATGCCCTCTGTTCCTTCACCATGGATAAAATGGAGGTACTTGAGGCGGTCAACGATGACGGCCGGAATAAGGCGATCTTGATCGTCACTTCTGTTTTCTTCGCTATTTCGCTATTGAGCGTTATGCTAAGATGCTTCGTTCGCACTCAAGTCGTTCGGGCTTGGGGCTGGGATGATGGTACTATGGTTATAGCCATGGTGAGCCAACATGCACTTTCCGAAAATCGAACAACGACTAATATCGCACTTTCCCTTATAGGCCCTCAACACGGTCTTCGCAATTTGTGGAATCGTCGGGTGTAAATACGGCCTGGGGAGGAAATTGGCTTATTTCGCTCTACACCCGGACGACTTCCACCGCGCATTGCTGGTACGATCCCAGCTCTAACGTCTGGAACGCAAGCTCACATACTCGCAGTGCTGGTGGACAGGCCAACTCTTCTACGTATTGACCTGCGTCGTCGCTAAGATCTCGATCATCATCGCGCTTCTCCGCATCACCGTCTCCCGCGTGCACGCCTACATCCTCTACGCCGTTATGGCTCTAGCCACCGTCGTTGGTCTCATCTTTTTCTTCTTCACCATGTTCCAATGCTCCCCCGTCGACTTTTTCTGGAACCGGGCACAGCCTAAGGCCAATGGCTCGTGCATTGATAAAAATCTCCTCATCGGTATTGCGTACTTATACAGCGTCGGCGCCGCTATCACCGACCTGACTATTGGATTGCTTCCTGTGGCGCTGATCTGGGACTTGCGCATGAATCGCCGCACCAAGGCTGCCATAGTTGTTATTTTGGGCATCGGTTGCATGTTCGTGGTCCCGAAGCACATGTGTTTAATCTATATGGTGGCAAACGCTAACATCCCTGCAGTGCGAGTGCCGCGGTCATTATTCGCATTCCCTACATCATCACATACAAAGATACCGAATTCCTATGTACGTACCACCTTGTCTAAATTTCGACATTCCCTCAATACGGAGAGTTCCACTAACACCCAGCAGACGCCACTTACCAACTCTCTATCTGGTCCAACGTCGAAGCCGGCATCGGTATCACAGCAGGCTGTCTCACAACTTTCCGCCCCCTGGTCCGCTTCCTCCGCGACAGTTCCTCCGGTGGGCTGAGCCGCACACCAAACTCATTCCCTTATCCAACAACCGCGCTGCTGGCTTTCGCCGCTCCGTGCCATCGCAGCACTTGTCCCGTGACGACTGCCAGCTCTGGACTGGCAGACGGAGCGACGAATACCACGGCGTTACGACGACTATCTCCACGGCGCGACAGAAAGACCTTAGTTCCAGCGAGGAAGATCTGGCTCCATACAGTAACGACAACGACCCCGAGGCTCCCGGGTGGAAGGTTGAGAGGTCTGTTCGCGTGTCCGTGCGTGATTCACGATAGATCTAGGCCCTACAATACTTTTAATCTCATGTATAAATTTATGATAATTCATTTTTTATTTTCCGTCCGAGAATCGCCTGTTTTTCCTTCCTATTAGCACACTATACACTGCAGGGTTTTTATGTAGGAGTGGTGCCATTGCGGGATCATCCGATCGTGTTGCGCTTAAATGGGCCGTTGCGAAGTTCGGCCGAGTTAAGAGCCTGCACTGTACGGAGAATATATGGGTTACCTTGTTAACGGTCCAGACTTCTGTTGCCACTGCCAATTGCATGGCATGTTTATCAGATGCCTATTCATAGGCTCAGTCAATTGCTCCAAAACATGAATTTACTTTCGAGTGGGCTAATAATTGTGGCAAAAGAAATAAAAACAGGCTATCGATTTTGCCAATTCTCCCTATTTTTGGTCTTGTGCGAATTATCGAGTAATAGTCTTGATCTACCTATACCACCAAGATCTGCTGATATTGCCGACGATCCCGCGATGTACTATTTTCATTGCCATTTAGAGCTGCTGCTAGTCAGTTAGTTTTAGCTAAACATGGGAATTCTATGCTCCAGAAGGCCGCTTATGCGGCCAGCTATTCTTGTACTATATAACCTCGGAAGTCAACTATTCATTAAATTCGCTATACGCTACAACATGCTAAGTCAATCACACATCGCATCATAAATAATCTCCTAGGTCATATGCCCATTGTTTATTGATTTCGCTCATTAGGCTCCTGTGCCTTCTCACGCACAAGACCCTCCTGCGACTCAGAAGGCCGAACCGGATAGGGATCGACAACAGTCGAGGCGAACTTGCTTGCCTTGATCTTGCTGGCAAACAGAATATCCAGCTCCGCGTACGTGCGGTCCTTGGCCTCGGGAAGACGGAAGAATGCCCAGACGAAGGCAGCGAGTGCTGTGGCACCCCAGAAGAATCCAGTCTTACCAGACGCATTCCAGGCTGTCGGGTTCATGAAAAATGGCTGCAGCACTTGCGACGCCACGTTAATAATCTGGTATGCTGTGCGCGCGAGGGAAACTGTCAGCGGGCGCAGACGCACGGATGATGTCTCCGAGACAATGGCGTATGCGATCGGGCCGACAGTCAGGGAATAGGTCAAGAGCCAGAAGAAGCAGAGTCCGGCCTGCGCCCACATAATGCCGCTTGCGGATGAGGACACGTCGAGAATACCGATTATGAAGAGTGTTGTAGACAGGATTCCCTGACCCCAGACAAACAACGTGCGGCGGCCGACGCCGGAGATCAGCCACCAGGAGAAACAGGTTCCAACAAAGGCAATTCCAGTGCATCCGACACCGAGCTGGAAGGATTGTTTTGCGGACAGGCCGGCCTGGGTGAAGAAATAAGCAGGTGAGTAGGCGAATGTGCTACCAGACAGAATCTGGCCGACGAAGGCCATGCAGCAGATCTCGGTGCGGCGGAGGTCAACCCCCTTGAAGCAGTCGTAGTAGGTGGTGCCGGCTTCGATCTCGGCTTCGAGCTTGATAGTGTGCACCATCATGGCCAGTTGGCCGTTGATCTGTTCTTCGGTCTTGGTGCCGCCGAGTCGGCGGATACTGCGCTTTGCGTCTTCCAGGCGATCGTGGCGAACGAGCCACCAGGGACTTTCTGGTGCGAGCCAGCAAATAACCATCAAAGGAACGGGCCAAATCCATTGCAAGCCGAAGGGGATACGGAAGCCCCATTCGTCCTTTCGATCGACGAGTCCGTAGAGGACACCGGAGGCGATCAGTTGGCCGATGGCCCAGCACAGGTTGACATAGATGGTGAGGTAACCACGCAGGACGGTTGGGCATACTTCAGATGCATACGCAGGTCCGATGGTGGCGAACACTCCCCATGAGAGCCCACAAAGGACCTGCCCTGCCACGAGTACTCCTGCGGAGTTGGCAAAGAATGTGATGAAGATTAAGCCATTGAGGAATATAAGGGCAACAAACATCACAATTCGGTAACCCCACCTGGACGCACAGTATCCGTTCAAGATACCACCTGCGGTCATGTCAGTCTTTGTCCTGAAATGATAATCGAGAGGAGAACTCACCGAAGATACATCCAACCGTACTGGCCATGCTCAGGCCGGTCTGCCAAGGTGCAGATACCTGCCATCCGATATCACCACCGTAATCCTGTCCATATTTGTGAATAAACGTGGGGTAGGCGAAGAAGTTGGGCATGAGGATTGTATCGTATCCCTCCATGATAATGGTCACGGAGACCAAAACAGACCACATAACAGCCTTGCGGTTCTCACGCAAGGCCTGCATCAGCGTCTGCGAGTGCTCATCGTCGGTAGCCTGTCTGGCCTCGTTGACGGCGCCGTGGCCCAGGGTATCTTCCACATGGTTGACAGCGGTCTTCTCGACGGCAAGCACGGTATCAACAGTGGACGCCATGGTGGGCAACTGGACACTAAGCTTCAGAGGAGGGCAGGGGTACTGCCGTATATATACGTTAATTCTCGGAAGTCCTAACTGCCAGGATCGTCCACATTTACATTAGCGTCCATATTTGCATTAGCGTGCATCTGGGGTTGCGGAGAAAGCAAGGACCATCCTGCGCCGCATCCCCAAACCGCGATCAGCCCATCTGGTATTCAGGCTAATTGATGCTGTAGAGAATGTAGAGAGACATGCCTGAGTCGTGCAAAATCCTTCTCAGCGCGTCTAGACCAACTCTGGAACGAGGGTCTGAAACTTACACCTATCGGCTGGAAGGATATTGGCATGTGAGAATTGCGGGATTCAATTCAGCCGTGAGTGAGGTGACTGTCTGGGGAAACAAAGTTGGGGGAAATACGAGGAGGCCTCTGATTGGACTCGTCTGGTTAGCGCGAACGCCCCCGGAATGTCGAAAATGAAGCCATTCCTTTCCCGTAACGGCCAAACATGCCGAACCTGCATTGCGGGAGAGATGCCCAGAATAAAAATCGAGAATGCTGTCAAGACCTTCCATTTATTGGAGGGATAATATGATAGGTGGCTTGAAGACATCTGTCATGGCCTCTCGGGCCTGCCTGTTGATCTTGGCCCGTCGCACGGGTAATATGGCGACCTCCCCAGTTTCAGACATCCGATGTTGGAACGGTTTGCCTTTAACTTGGGGAATCTGGGGATTTCTTTGTTGTCTCGGATGCTTATGTTAGTTTGGACATGGATCTGCGTCGTGCATTCAGCTTCAAACTTGTAGCATAGGTCTGTCCAATCGCCAGGCGGCTATCCACACTCGTCCCTTCTTTATAGCAGGTGAACGGAATCTGCAATCCTCTCAATCTGGGCTCTCACCAGGAGGACGCAGGACTTTGGCCAATCATAACCAGTTTGGTGATCCAACGAAGTGGGCTTCGACAGGGAATCCCGGTGTAGATGAAGAGTGAGAAACATCCCTGGACTACTCTGTCCGGATGTCTGACAAGCCGTGTAATAACCTGCATCTGATATCTGTCAGAGAGATGACGGTTGATTGAAGAATGGTGAAAGGTACCTAAGGTGAAAAGGTGAACAGTAAATGAATCGTAACCGCAGGTAGGTTTTGTTGACGCGTGACTCCCCTCCGCTTCCCTACCCCCAGAGGAAGGCACGATAGGCAATGACCCCCTTTTGTTCCCAACCCTCTACCTAGACTATGCCTTGACCCTACAGATGACTATATATAGTGGCATCCGAAACACGAGGGATTCCACTAATCTACGTCGCACATCCCATGATTTCCTTCACCGGTCACTAGCACCTATCATGGACAACCTCAACTATTGCCGAGCCGTCGTTTGACTGCTTTCGTCCGGCAGATCACGGGATGCCTAGAAGAAACAAAACCCGACTTCTGCACTGAAGCCCCCGTCTCGAGTCGTTTGGCCTTTACCAGGGCAGCTGGTGATGATACTAAATTCGGCGGAAGGAGCATCGTTGTGTGGGACAAGGGTCTCCGTCTCTGTTAGTGCTGTTTCAGATTTTTTTAGGTCGGCCGCATTTCCCTCGTTTCGATTTCGCAGTATAGGCCTTCCTGGCATGCCCAATTTTTGTGTAGAGGCCCGGCCAATGTTGAGGGATTGAAGATACTAGGGAGATGCCGAGTGTCCTGTTTGGAATTTGTCCTCCAGGATTGTGAGGGCCACTCATACCACCCTGGAAGATGGGGCTGTCAGAAGAGCATCGAACGGCAGAGCGAGGTGGTTGTCAGAGGGCTGGGAGTTGAGAGAGTTTGAGAATAAGTCGTGAAAGTCCTCCATTAGCAGTGTCTCGCCTTCCTTCCACAATGTCCATAATGCCATTTGCTGCACCGCCAGCGTGTCCAGTCCCGACAGCTTTCATCGGTTGTCTTGCTTCTTCTGTCTTGCCCCAAGCGTCCGTAACCACAAGTCCTGGATCCATCTCAACACCTCCTTACCGGACTCCGAATAGTCTGGACTGCGGGTTCCATCAGCTCGGAACTCGTGTAGCGCCATCTTATAATGTATATTCGCTAGCGCTACAGCATACCTCCACGGTTTCCTGGGGTTTCACCCCAAACAGACATATACCACTCATTCTCTTCATTGTATGACAGACATTGCACTTCATAATTTCTAGATGACCTACGGATTTCTAGTGCTTTAAGTCTATCGATCTGCACCATGAAAATTTGATGACAAACTTTTGCGAAGGTACTGTACATGGTGGACATCGCACCACCACCAATATGCAGCCACAGGGGTATAATAACAAGAAACACAACAACCACGCTCATGTAATAAGTCAAAGAAAAATCCAAACAACTCAGCTCCCATCAATCCGAATCAACGTCCTAAACTCATTATCCCGAATACTCGTCTCTGGGATCATCAATCGTGGAACCCAATACGGCTTCATATCCGTAATGCTCACATCCCTCCCGGCTGAATGCACACTCCAATTTGTTTGGTTGTTCGATCCGAGGAACAAGCCATCAACTGGTTCACCGTGATGATAATGTCTGTACGCCTGTACAGGCTCAGCGTCGGGCTTGCCCCAGACCAGTCGCCCCGTGCTGGGGTGGTGGTCTATCCCAACGGCGTGCCAATCCAGGGCGCCGTCACCGGGGCCGGAAAGCACGTATGCTTCGATTGTGTTTAAGAGGCCGTTGCAGCGGAGCTGGGTTTTTAGGTTGTTTTTGTCGCTTACGATTGTGATCTAGATCTCTGTTAGTCGTGGTCTTCTTTATTAGTGCATTTAGGTGCTCATAGATGGACATTAGGAATAAGTAGGAACTTACAAATCCATGCTCGATCGTGTTGGGTCGGTCTTCTCGTTGTCGTGTGATGTCACTACCAGACTCAAAGCCCTCGATGCTGCATAGCCCATCAGGTGAAGTTCCATTGTAGCAGCTGTCGACCTTGATTGTCCAAGGCCCCGCTATCTTCGTGTCATTGTTGTACGACGGCAGCTGGGAGCAGTCTGTGAAGGACTCGATAAAGAGACCTCGCTTCCATGGTTGTGCACTGGCGAGTAGAAATAAGGATGCGAACACAGCACTAGTAAGCATGATGAAGATTGTGGTAGAGGAGGGTACGAAAGAGCGCTCAGTTTTTGCCATCTCGTCGCACGGAGAAGCTGTGAATCTTTATATTTCTTCCTTTGGACCCAGTTCCATGTTTCATAAATCTCATTCCAGTAAATTCTATTCAGAAAAGCAGGAAAAGGGTCCTCGCACTGCAAATTAGGGTTTGCTGCCCATCTCTAGGCTGCAACAAACCAAGCACCAGGGTTCTCCCGAGGCCGGTATAACCCCGCTTAAGAGCAAAGCTCGACGGTTTTGCCTTTTACTATTGGTGGAGAGCTCGGCTCCCAGGGCTGCCTGTTTCTACTGGGGAGGTTTTAGTGGACGTTGAGGTTGTATATCCACATGGTGTGTATCCACATAGCCTACTGGAAAAGGCTTAAGTCAAACTCTAGAATACAATACCCTGCCGTGTCTTAGATCTATTTTAGACCCTGGAATTATCTCTTGAGACATCTGCAAAGCCAAGAGGTCAAAATAGTTAAAATACCCGGTTGTTCACCGATGCCTTGGTTCGCTGGACCCTTGGTGAAACCCTTCTTTCCAAGTCCACGGTCTCACTTTTCCCGCCCACGTGCGTTTTTATTCGTAATATACCTACAACATTGGTACGTCATGAATATCGCGAAAGCCCGGATAGTCTGCACATAGTATATATCTACTACATATGCAGCAATATGCACTGCATTTTAGGCTGTGGATGCAAATTTCCCGACCGGGGTGGCGCTTTATGAGGGCTAAACTAGAATTTCAAAGCCATCCTTCGGGATTTCTGTTGGTGGTTGAGACTGCGGCCTGACTCCATCTATAACAGTCAATATCAGGATAAACAATTCCGGCATATATAGGGATAGTAGATTCATGTCATTCCCGATATATCATTTCAGATCTGAAATGGACCTTCATAAGCGCTTTTCCTAATCTATTTATTAGCTACACTTTTCTTAGCATTAACCAGACAAGCACTGCCGCCATTTCAACCCTAATTGACTCTCTCAAATTTCAACAAAGCCAATAAAAAATCGAAAGGTCTCCTAACGATCCTCAGGCCCCATAGGCCTCTGCCCAGCCCTCTCTACATTCTTTCTCTTCTCCTCTGTGGACATGCTAGGATCATTCTTGATTTGTGCATCCGATGACGTCGGTTCTTCTCCCTCGTGAGTTTCGCTGGCGAGGTCCCTCTGGTTCGCAGGGGAAACTGGGGACTGCGTAGAACGCGTATCGGCGACGTGGGATTGCCGACCTTTCATACCTCGAGATTTGTTGATGGCTTGAGATTCTGGCGAGCTGGAAGCCGGGTCGCTCACGTTAGATTGTTGCGTGCCGGAGCTGGCATAGAATCTTGCCAACGGGGTTTTACCTAGATGTAGATATGCTATTAGCTAAACTCTTTTTCAAGGAGGAAATAGTCTTACACGGCGTCTTTTGAATTGTAATGCGCGGTATCACACGGGCCAGACGGATTGTGTTGATGGCCATATCGATGATATATTTCAATGACTCACGGAGGCGGTTTAGGTAGTGAAGCTATTGCCGGGGGAAACGATGGTTCTGATAACTTTTAACTCTTATTGAAATATCCAGTAGTCGCTACATATTTAATGTCAAAAGCAAGCTCGGTCTTTGCCTCATGATGTAACAACTCTCTCATTCCCACAATCCAGTTAAACGCCCCCTTAAAACAAGGCAGTGGTCCAATGTTTATCCGCAGTCGTGGAGAAATTCAAAAAAAGGTATGGGCCTTATTTCATTATCACTATCAATAAAGGGTAGTTTTATGCATGCCACGGAAGAGCTTAGCGCGCAGCCTGGGAGAACACCGGGACGTAACCAACCAACTAGTGGAAATCAGTTTATACTGGCGAGCAAGCGCTTGTGTACACGGGGGGTTTAAGCTTGAATCCCAGGTATCCATGTCATTCGTAGAGTTTATTTGCGATTTCCCATATCAAATGGACGAAGTCAACGAGAAGTAACGGTACCAAATCAAGCCAATAACAGTGCACCCTGCTTTTGTAGTCTTCACTTGGTCAAAGAGAAAGCGGAAAAGTCACGCGCCGAACATACTCTTTGCGCTCTTCCACCCGGGTAAGGTGTCCGGACCGGCCGGCTTATGCTCCATAAAACCATGATCTTCAGTTCCACAAGTTGGCTCCCCGCCGGTTGTAGTTGTAGGCTTGTCATGGGCTGCCAAATTAGCACGTTGCAGGTACTTGCTCTCATCGCGTGCCTTCTGGTCTTCCAGTCCGAGGAAGCTGCCAGCAGTGCTGGCAGGTTTGGGAGCCTGGTATTCAAGTCACACATCAGCTTCACAATTCATGGCTCTTTAAAAATAATGGTAGATGTAGACACGGCCACATACAGAAATATGCCGCGGTCCCGTCTCTGGTGTCTCAGTCGTTCCGCCCTTGACGAAGCCCGGATCCCCCCAGCCGGATCCTCCACCGACGTTATTTGCAGGCGTGGGTTCAGCGCTGGCACCGCCACTGGTACCAGTCGTGGGATGGTTAATGCTGCTGCTGGAGCCGTCTCCCATTTTGGTGGATTGAGGTTTGAACTTGTATGTGATCTGACGACTCAGTGACTGTGCGAAGGGGACATGCGAAAATATGATCGTGGGCAAACAAGTGGTTCGCAGAAAGGCAATAGACGGTGCTGAGATAGAAAATGGAAGAGAAGTAGAAGTGGTAGAGCCTAACTTACGACTCAGGAGGTGAAAAGACCGTCTCTTACTCTTGTTTGATAGCAACTTGTATATCCGATGTAGCAATGTTGAGACAGTATATGAGAAGTCAAAATCAGACTCGAGGCAGACTAGCACTTCAATTCATTGGAAAACATGTTTCATCTTGCCACCCATGCTACATTGCCAACTTTAGAGCTCATTCGTCTTGGACCACGCGCATGTCGACGTCATCCTGACCCATTTGATATACAGCGGTCTTGGCAAGGTCGGAAAAAGGATTTAGCGACCTCACGTATCGAGATTATCAATCAGGATGCTTTGGAAGAGAGATTTATCAGTACTCCGTACGAAATACGGTGTTGTTGCCACTAGGTGGACGGGAAAGTCATTTGGTTGGTCTAATGGTCAGATGATGCTTAGTTTTACTCAGTGAGCGAAAAACGGCAAGCAGTGCCGACTAAACGGTAAGGGGAATCCATATCCCGCGGCCTAGAATCCTATGTATATGCAGTCTAATAGTCTACTCGCGGGCAAGAAGGCCTTCGGCCTCCTGGGCATCCTCAGCGGGCCCACCATGTGACTTGCCAAGGGTTTCAGCCATAGCCAAACCTTCACGCCGGCCTTTGTCTGCGTTAATCATCCACACGAGAGGAATGGGGAGAATGATCAAAATGGCCATGAAGAAAAATCCACTCCGGATTTGACCGGTCGCATCGACAATACCGCCAACAATAGCCGGTCCAATAAACGAGCTCCCCTTGTCCGTAGCAGCATAAAGGGCGTAGAACGCAGCCTCACTACCCGGGGGAATTAAAAGCCCGAAGAATGACCGGCAGTATGAGGCTAGTCCACCCGACACTACTCCGTGCACAATCGCTAGCGGGAATATCTCCCACGGCTGTTGTAACCCGAACACACCCCAGTTTTTGATGAAGGGGATGTAAGCAAGCAAGCCGTAGAGTGGGATCATCTCAAACAGGGCAATGCACAGGATGATCGTATGGCTAGGCTGCAGCCTGAAGTACCGAGACACTTGTGGCCATAGGAAGGCACCCGTCATGCCGGACAACGTAGCGGTGATCGAGAGCAGTCCGATCAGCGGTGTGCTGAGTTTCAGTTCCGTGCGTGCGAAGAGAATCGCCGTTCCGGAGACAGTGGCCATCGCGTCGGAGAGTAGGAACCATGCTACCAGGAAGATGAGGACTTCGCGCAGTTTGCTGACAACTTTGACGGTCTCCCATAGAGATTTCCAGGCAAACCCGACCAGTCGCAGCCAGGCTCGCCATCTTCCTGTCCTTTTGGTGGAGACTGTATCCAACCGAGGCCCCGGTCGTGTCTTGAGCAAATTACGAGTCACCAAGGTGAATGCGCCCCACCAGATGCCGACCAGGAGCAAGACGAAGCGCATGGGAAGGGTTGCAGATACTTTTGCCAGTTTGGTCTTGGATAATGTGAGGAGCATAATAATGCTGATGATTTGTACAAATACTGCGGCACAATATCCAAGACCGATGCCTCTGGAGGAGATTTTGGTGGATAGCTGAAGCTCCGGTGATGATGAGAGCGGAGCCTTGGTTCCCATTCCACCTTCTAGGGAGCTCTGTGCCTGATCCGATGGCTGCAGTCCATCTAAACTATCATTGTCGGTATCATCCTTGCCCCAAGCGTTCCCTTCCGAGTCACCTTCATCTCGGTCGAAGCTCGACATTTCCGTGCCGTCATCCGCCTTCCCATCTTGCAGAGATGGGTCGTTGGCGACAAGCACTGGCAGGTAAGAGTTCAGGACGACGAATGATGAACCGAGACAGGTCACACCAACGACGACCAAGATCGATCCGATAACGAAGAGTGGTGGCGCAATGAATACGAACAACATGCTGGCTAGCGCACCAGCGAATCCGAATACCATAAGCAACGTTTTGCGGTTGTTCTCTAAACATCCAATCGGAAAAAGTTGACGTTAATTCGTGTCCTTTTTCCGCGCTATACATTCTCAGTCCAGCTTTCTGCAACCATACCGTAATCGGCCAGCGCGCTAAACGATATAAGTGTCAGCGCCTGGATGAGTACTGCCAGCGAGAAGGTGTACATGGCGAAACTGGCTGTGTTGATCTCGAGGCCGAAGACCGGGACCACACATTGGCCATTTTCAGTAGCATTTGTGCTATTCCCTGCGGTTGGTCCGACACAGGGAAGGTGGCTCGTTTGTAGGGTGCCTCTCTCTCGGGCTAATTGTTCCAAAGTGAGGGGCAAGAAAGAGCCTGGTACCATAAGTATTTAGATTTTTAGATTTTGTTTTTGTCCTTTTTTCTAGGGGATGTCGCGTTACGTACCTACACCACAGACCGCAAACACTTCAGCTGCAATGCCGTACGAGTACCATCCTAGAATCTCCCTGCGGCTGGTTGGGGTGGTATCTTCGCCCGCATACCGCGGTGGTCGCTGCTGTACGCCTTCGTCTGGCGACGGGGACTGGAAGGCAGCAGATATATAGGATAGCATGAGGGAAGGGGTTGTCGAAATTCTCGGAATCCCGAAAATCACGAACCCCAGGTACACGCGGATGCGGGCGGAAGGCCCAACAACATTCCTGGTGATGTCATAAGATCGGCAGGGTCTGTACCCCTTTGGGAATAACTTCATTTTCTATAAACATATACAGATGAGCTATATTGTGTATTCTACTTTTAATATTGCTATATTTTGAATAATAACTGTCATAGGATTCTTCGCACATCTTTAGGCTAGGTATAACCTAAGCCCTGGGTGGAACGGGTTCATCCAAAACCACATACCGAAGCCTTCCATGAAGAATATATCTCCAATTCGAGATCAAATAGAACCTTGGTCCCTTGCCCCTTAGGTAGTTGAGGCGAAATCTGACTAATCGCGGCGACGTCAACTTATAGTCACTTTTATTTAACCACAAGAGTGCCCAATATATTTCGCGATTGACTTACCTAGGTAACCTGTGACCCTTCAGCATGCCTGCTTCTGTTTTCCTTCTTGGCCCCGGTTTTATAGGGGGAGAGATTATAGATCTCCTTCTCGTATCAAAATATAAAGTAACAACACTTATCCGTCGCGAATCAGCCGTTGCAGATTATGCCAATTTAGGCGTCGAGACAGTAGTTAGTAATTTGGACGACGCATCAGTGATCAAGGCCCAAGTCGCAGTTAGTGATATTGTCCTCCACACTGCAACTGCAGATCACTTGCCATCCGTGCAAGCAATTATCGATGGCATCAGAGGACGAGCGGCGCAAGGACGAAAAACAATCTACATCCACAATAGCGGAGCAACTTTGCTTGCCGACGCCGTCGAAGGAGAGTATAAGAGTGATACCATATTTGACGATGAGAAACCTGAAGAGATCAACGCGCTCCCGGATTCTGTATCACATCGCCTCATCGACCTAGAAATCATCCGGGCAGGCCAGGAACTGGCCTCCCACGCTAAAATGGCCATTATGATCCCGCCCCTTATCTACGGCGTGACCAATAGGGAGAACCGCTTGTCAATCCAATTGCCGACTCTCGTCCGTTACTCTATCAAACATGGCCATGCTAGTCAGATCGGCAAGGGTCTCGCAGTTTGGAATCAGATACATGTGAAAGACCTTGCCAGGGGATATATGGTTCTCCTTCATTGGATGGAGCGCGCGCCTGCCACCGAGATTGCGCTGAATCCGTACTTCTTCTGTGAAAACGGCCAAGAGTTGTCTTGGGGTGAATGCGCTGCTGAGATTGGCCGTACACTGAAGAGGATAGGGCGTATTGATGAAGCCGCGCCGAAACCCATTCCGAAGGAAAGCTGGGGTGATCTGTTCGGGGAATATTCTGGGATGGTGGTTGGATCGAATGCACGACATAGGGCGAATCGACTGCGGAAATTGGGGTGGGCACCGTTGGAGAAAGACACCTTAGCCTCCTTGGCTGAAGATGAGATTCCAATCATCGCGAAAGAAACCGGGGAGTTCACGGGTTATGCGAGCGTCGTTGCGTCTTAACTGGGAGCACTCAAGCTGGGCCCTTTTTGCTTGGGAAATAACGTCTCGAATAATATCCTATTCTTTCATCTCGTCGTGTAAGTCGTTCGAATAGTAAGATATGACTGTCTCGTGATACAAGGATCGCAACAGAGGAGTGCACAAGCGTTGGCGAAGAACACCTGTTCGTCCCGGAGATTGATTTCAGGCACTAAAACCCGAAGCTTAAATGCTTAAATACATACATGCTCGGGGAGTGTTGCATCACAAACGTTAGAACTTCACAGAAAGGGATCTTCGAGAGATGCCCAGGTGGGAGTCGCACTTGCCGATTCCGGGCCGGTACAGGGCAGCTTCCCAATCGGGCCGCCCTACCCTTCCCCGACAGTCGACATCGCGACTTTTGTTGTTCCTTCATCTTCGCACAAGAACAATTCACCTTCAGTTCCATGAAATTTATGTGCCATGGCGGTTCTCCATTATCTCGAATTCATCATTGGCCGGCTGCTGTACCCAATCCGTGGCCATGATTCGGGCCAAATCATTCATTGCCCGGCCTTCAAAGACCTTCCCGGGCCCAACATGACCCTCGAATCACCCGAAGCCGGCCCCTCGGGCTCCAAGCTTCCTCTCCACTGTACCTGCAAAGCCTCTGATGGCAAAGGTTGTCTTCCTGAGCTTCGCTGGACCGCTCCAAACTGTCGCGAGCAAGTCAAGGAGTATGTGCTCCTATGTGAAGACCTCGATCCACCGATTCCATTCTTCATCTTCCACCATGGCCTCTTCTGGGCAATCCCCACCTCAGTCACCAAGGCCGAAGCGGCTAATGTCCACCCGGAGGAACTCGCTAAGATCTCCCGCCTCACTGTTGCTGGTTGGCGCTTTGTCCCCAACGTGCTCGGATCGCCGTATGTGGGTGCTGGGGCACCCCTTGGCCACGGAAAACATCGCTACGTCTTTACCATTATCGCTCTTAATGAATCGCTGAAGTTCAAGGCTCCTGAGAAAGTTTCCAAGAAGGATATAAAGCGCGCTATGACGGGCAAGGTCATCGGCTGGGCGCAGTGGACTGGCACCTTTGAAAAGCCTTGGCCCAACTAGGTCATCACCATCAGAGCCTCTTTTACACAAGCACAAGCAGCGTGGGACAGACACGAGTGACGGATTTGAATAATGGGTCCAAGGGACTTCGGCACTGGGTGTGTATTTCTTTCCCCTACCTTCACCGGGATCCTTGATGTAAGTATTCTTAAGGAAATTACGTCCTAATGGCAATCTATTCTTTGGCATCGTATTATTCAATGACGTTGCATATTTTCTAACTGATTTTCGCAATCGACACTAGTAGTAGCCCAAGATACCCACACTAGTTCAAAATACCGTGCACATATCAGCGTCAGGTAACAAAGACAATGTGTTTTGATAAGATATATTGTCATCCGAGATTGACACCAAGGCAATGCTTCCTTGTTTGCGTCCAGAAACCCACCGAAAGCTTCAGCTTTCCTATCAAATTGCTTCTTTTCGGCATATTTTCGGAATGGGACATCCTCGTTGAGCGTGATAAGCTCGGAAATTTGGTAGCAACTACGCAGCGGTATAACGGCCAGGGTTCAAAACCCATTTTACTAGGGGATAGTGATGCCTGGATGCCTTAATTAACACCGCCCTCTACACCGCTCTATACAGTGTATTGTAAATCATTCATATAGACATGAAGCTTTTTACACCATACAAACTCATGCATCTCCGATTTTTGGGGTGGTTTACCAGATCTCTCTCTCCAGTCTGAAAATGAAGCCTTTTCCCCCCATACAAATGCATCCATCTCCATTTTTGGGGTGGTTTACCAGAGCTCTCTCTCCAGTATAGAAATGAAGCCTTTTTCTCCCATACAAATGCATGCATCTCCATTTTTGGGGAGGTTTACCAGCCTCCAGCATGAAAATGAAGCCTTTTTCTCCCATACAAATGCATCCATCTCCATTTTTGGGGTGGTTTACCAGAGCTCTCTCTCCAGTATAGAAATGAAGCCTTTTTCTCCCATACAAATGCATGCATCTCCATTTTTGGGGAGGTTTACCAGCCTCCAGCATGAAAATGAAGCCTTTTTCTCCCATACAAATGCATACATCTCCATTTTTGGGTGGTTTACCAGCTCTCTCTCCAGTATAAAAATGACGCTTTTTCCATTGATTCCTAGTTACAAATCCACAAATTTACCTAACCCTCCGTCTCCGCTGGCTCCGCTGTGGTATTGTAACCGGAGATCTAGCCCGCTTCCGCCTCGCTGGCTCTGCCCTCGCCGGCTCTATATCCACTGACTCTACACCTACTAAAGTAGCCGCTTTAGTAGGTGCTGGACTTGGTGTAGTCATATGGAAAGGAGCCTTATCCTCCTATGGATCAGCCTCGAATAAATACGTATCTTTAGACCGCTTCACAACCATATAGAGCTTCGCCTTTTAACCTAGAAGCTTATTAATAAGCTCCTTTATAGTACCGTTAAAGGTATCATCCACTCCCGCTATCTATCGAGGACTATATTTCCCCTTTACGTACTACATCTCCTTAGTAAAGTAACACTTATCTGTCCACCCTAGCCTAAAATCGACGATACTCGGTAGTCTTTAAACAAAGTAATCTCTTATAAAGCTATCAATATCTAAGACCGTTTGTTTAGGACGAAGGTTAACCGAAATCGAAGCTATAAGTAATAATTAGCTTTAGGTTCTAGATTATAATCATAATTATATAGTAAAATATAGATATATATACTATCTAGAATTGGATTTGTCTCTCCTAGTTTCTCTTAGAGATAGAAAATCACTATTATTATAATCTCTTTATTCGCCTCTTTAGCGGCTTTCCGAGTAGCCTCTACTTCCTGATACTTCTTTATATAAGCTAGACGATTGCTATTTACTAAACTGCTAGCGAGGTCGGAGAACCGAGTGCTAATATACTAGACTAGTATTGCTAGCGAAGGCATTGCTAGCGAAGGCATTGCTAGCGAAGGTATTGATCGCGAAGGCATTGCTAGCGAGGGTACTACTAGGGCGGCTACTAATAAAGACGGGGTAGGACTTATAGAGGTTAACTCCTATAAAATGAGCTGTAAGGCTTCCTATATAGCAACCGAGAAAGGTATCTTGATAGATAGTAGAAAGTGAAAGGTATAAATAAGATTAGTATACGTACGTATAGGCTTAGATACTATAATTAATTTAAATCAATCTTAGACCCCCTACGGTCTTTTAATTTTAATCTTAATTTTAATTTCTAATAATATTTCTTATTCACCGAGATATAGTGAATATATCCTAAAATATTATATCATTTACTAGACCGATTTTTAATAACTAGTAAATATAATATTAATAATTTATCTAGCCTTCCGAGATATACTCTTAAGCTATATACTCCTAATCTTTATACCGTTTATCTATATACTCTTCCTTTATATACTCTTTACCTATATCCTAATCTATATACTCCTTATACGGATCCTATTTAGCTATATCTATTGGCTTTATATAAACGTCGAGGATTGGTTCTTAGCCTAAAGCCTAATACTCGTACGCTCGTTCTTATAGCTTTATATATACCGCTTCGAATAGAGACTTAGTATTACTAGTAAACCGTATATCCGGATTCTTAGGGTTAAATAGTATTCCTATTAGTTACTATCCGATCTTAATTAATTACTAGCGACACTAAATAAATGTAGGCGGCGGAAGATATTCCTTAGGATCCTATTCTTATATATCCTTTTAAAGTCTCTATAGAAGCTAGGCCTACTTTGATACTAGATCTTTATTAAGTATACACTTTAGATTATCTACTTTTAGTAAGTAAAAGTTTATCGTAGGCTTTCTTAGGATAAGATAAGTCCGGCGAGTATAAATCTAGATAGGGTAGGCATTCTAGTACGCGGTATATAACTTAACCCGCTATCGAATCATTTATATATAAACTATAAAAAGAGAAATCTAATTAGGAATACTATCTTATATAAAGCGATCTTCGTATTATAGCCTACGAAAAAACCGCTTTTTAAATTAGTATAAATTATAATTAAGCTATAATTTATTTATATAGAAGATTCTTTACTTATATAGAAGAGCCTAGTAGTTACCCTCGATAATATCCTCTACCATACCTTAATACGCTAGTTATTAACATTTCTTCTATAGATCTAGTAGTCCTTTAGTCTAATAGAGGGTGTAGCTAGACGGCGAAGCTTATACTAGCTATTAGCGAGAAGTATAGTCTCTATACCCTGGTTAGATCGGCATTTCCTAGATTAATAATATTAGCTATATAAAAGGAAAGATGATATAAAAGAAAGGTATAGACTAACCTTAGTTAATACCCTCTCTATTTAAACGTCTTAAGACCTTAGCTAAGAACGCTAACTATAGTATGAGCGCTTATACTAATATACACTTAAACGATATACCGAGAGTACCCGTTAATAGTAGTATAAATCTCTATTCTAAAGGGCTCTAGCTTTATATAGCCGTTAATATACTATACGTCGTTCGGTTTTAGAGATATATAGTTAACCCTTTCGCGCTGTGCGTTTAGAAGACGGCTTTTTACCGCTTTAGGTCGGAGGAGGCGTTATACAATTTTAACTTAGGCTCTAAGGTAAATTAGTAATTATATAGTAAATGAAATATATAGTAAATGAAGTGTATAGTAAATGAAGTGTATACTCACTTAGTATAAAATAGCCCTATAGAACGGAGATAGCGGTATAGAGTACGGTAGCTATAGTCCTTAACCTTACCGATAATATTCTTATAGATAAGAATAGCTTATAGATCGTCGAATTATTACTGTCTCTATTTAGGAGAGAGCCGAAGCTTAATATTAAGATTAGCTCGAATCCTCCTAATAGTCCTCTCCGAGGAAGGTCTGCCTTCTATAGCGAGAATTTAGAGAATCTCGTTTATATTATACCGAGATAGAAGAGCTTTAATACGATCTTAAATTTCTACCCTAAGGGTAAGAGTAAGATCACGGCGTATAGGCGGTTGCTAATTACTAAGACATCTCTTTAGTGTACTACGGCTGATATTAATATCGTGCCGTTCTTTAAGGATAGCGCGGATAGTGGTATATAAGGTATCATAAGTAATAAGGTCGAGTATCTCTTCTTTATAGGGTTTAAGATTAATACGAGGGCGCGGTATGGTAGTGGTAAAGAGTAGAAATATTTAGGAGAGAGGTCTAGAAGGGGTTTGTAGGATAATAGCTGGCAAGTTCTAATCTAGACTACCGGCCCTAGTAATTCCGGGCCAGAATTAAACCACCCCAAAAATGGAGATATATGCATTTGTATGGAGTAAAAAGGCTTCATTTTCATGCTGGAGGCTGGTAAACCACCCCAAAAATGGAGATGCATGCATTTGTATGGGGGGAAAAGGCTTCATTTTCAGACTGGAGAGAGAGATCTGGTAAACCACCCCAAAAATGGAGATGTATGAATTTGTATGGGGGAAAAAGGCTTCATTTTCAGACTAGAGAGAGAGATCTGGTAAACCACCCCAAAAACGGAGATGTATGAATTTGTATGGGAGAAAAAGGCTTCATTTTCATACTGGAGGCTGGTAAACCACCCCAAAAATGGAGATGCATGCATTTGTATGGAGTAAAAAGCTTCATGTTTTTACAACGCTACAACGTCAGTAGAATCAGGGTACTTTGATTATTAAGGCATATGTAATAGTAATTCAGGTATCTTATTTTTTCTGCCGTTCCAAAGCAAGGCATTCAGGCACCAACACCCCCAAAAAGCGGGTTTTGAACCCTGGCCGTTATACCGCTGCGTAGTAGCAACAAAGGTTCCATTGCTAGTACTTGGCCAGGCTGTAGACAGGGAGCAAGAGGAAAACAGCCGCGACCAGAAATCATTCGTTCGACATGATATTTACATTCGTGATACCGGTTTTCGTGGTTCCTTTTGAGAATGTGCCACTCAAAAGGTGTCTTAAAATGGTCAGTCGTGAAAATTTCTTGTTTATTGAAAGTTTTTGTGAGACCCAGCTGACCCGAAGGCCTTTTCGAGTGCAACTCAACCCATTTCGGGGAGTTGGTGTTGTCCATTTCGACTCGCCATTCGTCAGATACACTGGGCATGTCTGATAGTCCAATAATTTGCCGGAGACTTTGATATCCGTGGTATCTATCATCTCGGTGATTTATCTGCTTGCAATGGGTTTGCCCATCCATACACCCTCTTGGTCGTTGATATAATCCATCATCTCCAAAGCGATAGCAGACCCTTTCGACTTCTGTCTACACAGGGCCGACTTCGTCGGCGATTTCCACCATGCACACTTCGCAACATACGAAACTCAAGTGGCTTTCTTACAATAACAGGAGATACGGAACTATCTAAACAACCACCACCCTCCTAACCCTCATTAGCTGATGTTAGTACTTGAAAATTTAGAAAATCTCACGAGCTCTCGGGTTCCATTCCGCGTCTACTATATACACACATTCAACCAGCGATCACTCGAAGGTTCGAATAATCGACTGCAGCCGACGATCTGTCTCGTCCGCCATTACCAGGTGCCATCTTGAGGGAGAAGCACACTGGAGATCTTGGTGGATGAAACGGACGATAATTGACAAATGAGATAGGCAACGGCGCATCTGGCTGATGTCCTCCTCTCCCCACACGGAATGTACCCCCCCTTGCACCGAGGTAGTGGCCAATTTGGCCCTCACCTTCAACGCCCGTGCCGCCTTCTCAATCGCCATGACTAATAATGTGAGAACATTAGCCCTGACGTGTGAGGCAAAGCATACTTGACATTGAAGGATGACCACTCCCTGTTGCTGCACCCTTTCTAGGTGGAGCAATGCTGTATTTGGCCCATTCGCCTCCTCCGATCGCACGACTTCACTGAATGCCTGGGCATAGCAATCGCAGTGAAGGGAAGAAGCTTCTTCCGGCAGTACCTCAAGGTCGATCTCTCCTGGAAACAGAGACTGACTGGAATCAGTTTCGGATGGTTCTTGCCAGATTTCATTGGAGGGCAATTCCATGATTCTAGCGGGACCGTCTACTGTTCCTGAGACCTGTATTGCGTTCGGTGCGAGGCTGAAAGGGTAGATCGCACCACCCTGAAAGAGTGACCCCGACTGGGTGCCCGGCGCAGCGGTGTGCACGAATCCTCCAACGGGGGGGTTCATCGACCATCAAACCGATATGGGGAGAATAACACTGTGTGGAATAGTTAATAGGCGGCTCAGGAAATCGGGGACCCCCAAAACTTTCGAATCCGTCAGCTCGCTCAAACGAGCTCTCCAGGCTAGTATCGGCGAATCCTGGATCGAGGTGGTTGCTGGCCTCGTTTGTGCTGACGAACTCCTGGTCCTGGATCCCATCTCCATCTGTCTGGCTTTCTACATATCCCAAACCGTTATCTATCGACACCTATATACCCCATGGATGAAGTCTGTGCTTACCTGAAACATCCGAGAACAACTCTGTGAAACTCGGCCACTGAAAGTCTTCCTCCGGTGGTGTGACCTCAGTGCCGGCCCTGGAGTCGCTCTTGTGCGACTCTTCCCTGTCCCAGGACCCGAGCCGGATGCTGTAGTTGGACTCGGGATCCGACTCGGGACCCTGCGCGCCCTCTGCGCCCTCACTGCGCGGGCTGGCCTCGGTGCCCTCCCCGCAGCTCGTCGAGTCGGACGGTCAACTACCTCCGCCTCTCCCCTGCGCGTCTTTACGCCTGCCCCCGCTGATACCGACCGGTTTGTCTTTCTCTTGGCCGGCCGGCCCAGCGGTTGCGAGATCGAATAGACACACTCATACCCGTGACTTTCGCACCTCTCGCACGGGTAAGTGTGGCTACATCGAATCTTTGCTTGTTGACAGGCGTTACAGGTTGTGCGCATCTTTTGGTTGGGGAGTAGTTGACCGTTAGACTGGGGAGATCTCTTGATAGAGATCTCAGCCATAGATATAAGAACAGGTTTAATTGGGAAGGATGGAAATTGTTGTCCTCTCCAACGTAATGATCAGCGAGTATGGGTTCTCGTTGGTCTTGGATCAATTCGAGGTATTTATATTCATTTCATGATCACCTCCCCCACGCAGTTGATCATCTCTACTGTCTAACAACATAGGACCACGTTTGATTGCGCTCCTGCGCTCATCAGGAAAAGGCGACACTGTTTACCCACACCTCAACGAGGCCCCCTGACAGCAATTGCCGAAACCACGAAAGTTACATGGGTCCTGAACTTTACTACTGACAAATAATTTCGTCCTACCCTCCTTTGGACCTGCGTGCAAGTACCGTACTTGTACTCTGTGGGGTCTTGACTGTGCAAGGATTACCAACCTTATCTCGCCATTCATTAGTGAACAAACTGAGGGTCCAGTATACTTGAGGATGATTTTGGATGCTAACTGAGTTCAGTAACGCTGCCGTAAGGTATTCTCATTTCATGGGGCTCGTATGCTTCCTTACGCCAGATGCCATCCAACCGTTGTTGCACACGAAAACGGCTGTTTCCTTTCTGGAGCAACGTCCTATTCTAGTTGATGACGCGGCGAACAAAATCAGATAAAATTGCAAGGGCATCGTGAGCCAACAGCCATGAAGCCGGACTACAATATCAGCCCGATGCCCGAGAAGCTTCCTCACACCAGGGGCATCCATCAATCCGAACCCACCCGCGCTTCGTTCTACGCTACTCCCAGTCGGAGTATATGTTCACCCGGTAGGACAGTTGCCTGACGATGCTTATCCGGAGACAACAATTGGTGCGTATTTACTACCTGAAAAAAGGGGCATTTGTTTCTAATATCATCTCTTCACTAGGTCAAATGTCGTCCTAGCAACCGTTCCTCGATATACTACACAAATTCCATTGCCATTTCTGCACCGGACTCGTGGCCGTCCAACCTCATCTCATTTCCTGATGATAACCTGACTGGCAATTCTCGTCCAATTCCATCAGCGCACACAAGGCAGCAGACCAAGGCTCGGGACGGCTACGACGTTTAACCTTCGGATTAAACCTTGGCGAAATGGTTATGACAGGGGAAGACTTGAATGGAGGGATAAATGCGTGAGGTTCTGTTAACAACATGCTTGTTGGGAATACGGTTCATATTGTATCTGCTATGTCCTAATCCTTTCTGCTGAAAGCAATTCGATAATCCAATGTTCCCATGCGCGATTTAGCTACCTTTTAATATGTGGTACAATTGACTTCACCCGCTAAATCCCACATGCTATGGCACCGGGGTATATATTATTACCTCAAAGGCAATCTAAGAGCCAAGTGCCAAAAGGCTAAACTATAGTTACGGCCATCACACCCACTGCGAATGCACGTTCCTTTGCCTGATCGCCATGGAAACGTGCTATTGCTTAATTCAATAGAGATATTCTTCCATTGGTTGGTCCCCTCCAACTATGTAGCACTAAGGTTTGCCTCAGAAATACACAAAGGCCGTTGGATTGCTTGCCCATGGGGAATTGTACCACATGTACTCTCCTCTCCGGCGCGGGATCACTTCAGTACAGCATCGTCAGGATGTTATCTCACAATGTCACCGCACATGACATACACAAAAGGTTGTGGATATCATTTCCAAATCTAGTTCGAATGAACTCCATACAAGCAAACCCAGATATGTAAGTAGCCTCTCACATCTTTGGAGACCACATTCGGGCCATCCCAATTAAATTTATCATCCGAAGGGTGCCAAAAGTAGCCTACGAATAATCAATTATATTTCCTAGTCCCTGAACCCTGCTAACTAATAATATAAGCCAACCACAGTGTCCATCTGCCCATGCAGTACCCTAGCTCATGACGACAACCGCCGTCCTAGTGGGACAATCCACGGAACGGAACGAAGTGGTTGTCGCACCCTGAGGCATCGTGGCCGTCTCCCCTTCGGTAGGTTCATGTCTACCAATGAAATAGTTCATGGCAACAGGAGGGACCAACCCCGCCGCCTGCACAAACTTCCTGATATCGAATCCGGCACGGGCGCTAACAGTCTCCGGGAACACATGTGAGAAGCATTCAGGGAATTGATAGGCTGGGGGCTGCGCAAAAAGGAGGTACACGTAACGGTGATGGGTATTTGGTGGTGCACGAGGAGCTATGTACGAGGCTATGGGGTCATGCTTATCTCCGTGGTCCTTGCCAGGAACGAGTATGGATGGAGAGGGATGGCTTTCTGCAATCTACCATGAGATTTGCTTGATACCAGTGTAAGATGACTGATTGGATATGTGTTCCTGGAAGGATGGCGTCGAGGTCGATGAAGAGGATAATGTATTTCTCGTTACACGCGAGGTTCATAGTACTGATCTCTGGAATCATAGTGGTGTCTGGGCTGATGTTAAAGTGTTCGATTCAATGTCTTCCTAATCACATACCTCGAATGTCCACTTCCATACCGGGATCGATCCATTGACCTCCAGGATACCGTATTTGCAGTTGGTGGCTTGGGGTCCAGGGGAAGATCTGGATTATCTCTGTCAGAACGCTAAATAGGAGCGCGAACACTGAGATCATATTGTCTTATGTGAAATCAACCGAGAACAGAATTCGACTACAGTATATTAATCCAACATTCAAATCAAGGGCAATGCCACTCGGCAGGTGGTTCCGATTTATAGACCCGCCTGCCTTACGTGGATTATGGTCTCTCATGTACAGTCCGCCGTTGTGAATCAGTCTCGACTTGTTTCTTACGCCATTCCCAGCCCTGAGCGTAAACCATACTGAGAAGCGGGGTGACAAGAGCAATTGCGCCCGACACAGAACAATATGTCCATTGCACACCTATCCGCCTGATCAGAGGGTTGACCATGGCCGCAGCACCAGCGCCCAGAAAACAGCGCACAAGGTTGTTAGCAGCCATCGCTGTAGCAGGTGTCTCGTAGTACAAGTCGACGATGAGAATGTTCATCACATTATATGCCGCCGTGATACAAAAGCAAATTATAAACACCACCATAAGGGCAACCAAGAGTGGTGGCTTCAGGGGGTATCAGTACGCCGTAGACGACTACTGAGGCAGCTGCAAGTATCTGAAAGGGGGAATCAAAGTCAGCTAATAGAAGGGGCAAGTAAAATGTCTCAGAGCTCAGGGCAACGTACTGTCATTGGCAGGCCAATCTGCAACCTCGCTTGCTCGATGGGAAATCCAATGATATCCTGCTTTTGGTTCTTGTGTACCGTCTGACCGGCGGTCCGTCGAGTTCGCCGGTAGTTCCAGTCAACTAATACTCCGTTGACAGTTGCACTGAGCAATGACCCTAGACCTGCTGGAATGAAGCATAGCCCAATACCAAGGTCGTCTAGATCATAGATTCTTTGGAACAATGCGGGAATTCCAGCTGTGACGGCGTAGTAGCTGCTGAATATAACTCCATTTGCCAAAAGCACCAGTCCCACCGGTCGCTGGAAAAGCAGACGTAGAGTTGAACACGGGTTAGGGACATTCACGCGCCTCTTGGGCACACTTGGCCAAGGTGGGGTCACTGGGGTGGTGGTCCGTAAGTAACTCCAAATGGCTCGATTCCATCCAACCGCAGGAGTCGACCCATTCCCTACAATGCCGCGGCATGTCTCGGGAAAGAAGAGCAGCAGCGGCATGAAGAAAGTACCGGCTGCAATAGCAAGGAACCAAAATATCGCTTCCCAGCCCAGATACTTACTAAGAACACCTCCAAGAATCGGCCCGATGGATGGAGCAAGAATGTTTCCCACGGAGGTGAAGCCCATGTACATACCTCGCTCAGCAGATGTGATAATATCGGCTGCCACTGCGGATGCAAGGGCCACGGTGCCGCTGCTGCCACAACTTTGGACGGCGCGTAGAGCTAAGAGCGCTGGAAAACTGTGTTGTAGAGCGAGAGCGACATTTCCGAATATATATATCGCGAAGCAGAGGATGTATGCGGGTCTGCGACCAGCTTGGTCTGCCAATGATCCCGTTAACATTGGGGCGAGGCCCTGGCATATCTTTGAAGACGGAGTTGTCAGTATATTCCACTAGGATTTGTAGGTTCTTCTTTAGAACATACCATATATGTCGTGATCGTCAGATTAATTTGGGGTGGACTGACTCGTAAGTCCTTTGCAATGGAATTCAAAGCTGGGTAGTAGATATTGGCAGATAGAGGTGAAAAGCTTGAAGCCAGTGCTGCTGTCAAAATAATGAGGCGTTTCTGTGTTGGTGTGAACACGGAATATGACTCGGTGGTAGGATGCAGCAAAGGCGTTTCTTCGTTGACCTCCTCCTGCTGGGGTATTTGTTGAGGGGGATCTTGATTGTTCATGTTGGTCCAAGATAGAGGGCTAAACAGAACTTTCTGCATTTGTTCTGGGCTTGATGGAGAATAAATACCCGGGTCTTTTTGGGCCGTTAAATCAACCGTGATGCCAAAAGGCCGATTACACTTCGAGTGAATAATGTCTGCTACGCTTTTACAGAGCACAAAGATCTTGCTTCTCGAGAAAATTATTACTATAGGCAGATTTCGCTAGTTCTCGTAAGACCGGCGAACATCGGTAGGAATGATCCCTCCTTCGTGAGACTTCCACGCTCCTATATGCTAGGCCTGGGTCCGGAAGTAGGCTCTGCCTGGCCCGTATACAAATGAATAGGTCGAAACAGCTTGCCACGAGTGACTATAGTTCGTCAGTCAAGTCAACGAGCATCCAGTAGCCATTCCTTACCCATGTACTCTCTCCAGTGCGCCATAATACCCATGATGCGATGAGCAAGCATTGCCGCCGGAATCATCTCAGGCTCAAAGCCACTAAATCAGTGTATTGGAACCTACGGTCATAATAAATATGTCACGGCTGCACTTACATTCCAGTAAACACAAAGTTACCGTAGAAGTCCGCATTAGGATACAAGCCCCGTGTACTAAAATACTCGTCTTTCGCAGCGGCCTCCTCGATCGTCTCGGCGACTTTTAATAGCGGTTGATGAACATCAGTTAAATCCTTCAGGATACTTTGGATCGGACGCACGCGTGGGTCCATTCCCTTATAGGTGCGGTGGCCATAGCCGAATAACTTTTGCTTTCCGGCTTTTATTTCTTCGATGAAGGCTGGGACATTGCTCGGTTCTCCAATGTTAAGGAGAGCGCGTTGGGCGGACTCTGTTGCACCAAAGTGTAAGGGTCCGTGGGCGGCAGCCACGGCAGATATCAGACAGGATACCGGGTCAGTCAGGGATGAGGCGGTCACTAGGGCCGTGAAGACACTTAGGGCCATTCCGTGCTCGGCGTTGAGGTTACCAAAGCGGCGGAAGCAGGATATGCGTGTAGGGTCTGGGCGGTTTGTCTTCTGGGTCTACGAGACCGGCCATCGTGAATAGATTCTCGTAGTACGTCTGGTGGAGAGACGGAGACCTCCAGGGAATGCCTAGTCGGTGGGAGCGCACGGCTCCGAAGACAACAGCGTAGGCGGCAACGGTTTGCAGGATGACTTGGTCGGCTCGTTTGATGTCTGTTTGGTAGATTGTCGCATTTGCGGTAGCTGGGATCACATCGGGTATACAGGCCAGGTAGGCGGAAAGGCCGGCTAGAATCAGCGGCAGTGGGCTGCTTGTCCTCCTGTGTAGTCCAATGCTGGTTAGAAACACACTACTGCAGAACACGACCAAGAGGATCATCATACGGAAGATTGAAGATAGTCTGGCGCACAATATCAGGGACCTCTTGCATATACTGTGCCAGCCGCTGGCGTAGCTCTTCACGCTGACTTGCTGTGGGATATGTCCCCCATAGCAGGAGATGGAACATTTCTTCGAACTCGCATCCCCAGAGTTGCTCTAGGGTATACCCTCGATACAGAAGTAGACCGTGTTCATGATCACTAGGCACCAATTAACCAGACATCATGAGCACCTCCGTGGGATTCTCACGAGAAACTGATAGTTGACTGTGTCACGGCCGTATTTTGCAATCCGGGATCATATACACGCAATCCATGGGCGACTTGGTTTGCGCGATTGCTATTGAGCGAAGGCGCCCGGATACCCTGAAGATCGGTCGCCCGTACTGCGTTTTGGTTAATGGGGATCTCATAGTTCACGTTAGTGCGCGAGTCACAGATAAATAGAGTGCCAGTCGACATTTTAAGCAGAATACTACAATAAAATTGAATTGTGGCGTCAAAGTCTCGTCCGGGAATTTCAGTCAAGTGCAAACATTTGTCGCTGAGAACTGACCAGCGTGGATATAATGTGCCCGAAGACACAAAGTAGGTTGTCTCACCTGAAACTTGCCGACAAGAACATATCGGGTACTATTAGCTTCCAACTTGCTCTATATGATTGGCCTACAAGGATTTGGTGTGCACATTTTGACTGGTGCAAGTCACATTAGACTATATCGTTGCATTTGTCATTATCACTCATTATAAGGACTCATAAAAAGCTTTTCTTCACGAACTCGAACTTCCCCTAAAAACCAGCGTTTACTCAGGCATGTGCTTGAAAGGGCGGGCAAGGGATTCCTGGCAGAAAGGAAGCTTGCTGACAGTCCAGATCTCGGTGTCCTACATAGAGCAAGTCAGTCATACCCCAGCGAAGGTTAAATCAAGCCCTAACTTATTGCACTTACAGGCTTCAAGGTCTTCTTGATCTCAGTATCGAGAGTGCCAGCCTTGAGGGCAATGATCTCGGGAGCGGCATCAGGGTCATGAGCGATGGGGGAACCACACTCAGAGCAGAAGATGCGGTGGACAGCATGGCCGGAAGAGCCCTTGCCAGCCCAGCTCTTGACGGGACCGGCAATCTTCAGCTTTTCCTTAGGGACAACAGCGACGAGCGCTATGACAAAAGTCAATAATCGGGTATTTCCTGGAAATTTTACGCAACTAACAGTAGGTCGAGCCACTCTGGCGTTGGCAGTCATCGCAATGGTCATAGGCAGTGATCACAGGGGCGTCAACGTCCACGGTGTACGTGACGGCTTTGCAGAGGCAGTGTCCGGAGAGAGGCATTGTGCGGATTGATTCTTTCAAGGTACTTGGAATTGAGGACCTTTGGAGAGGGGACGGGCGGGTATTTAAGAGATTCTTGTCCCCAACAGTGGAAGGCAAGTTGAGCTGGTCATCTTCATTGATGTGTTAAGTCCCGAGTACTTGCTTTTTCTCTTCGCCAATGCCGGTGGGACGGGTACCTGGTACTTTCCAAGCTACGTCATAGCTACGGAGCTGAGTTTCCATTTGAGCTTTTTCCTCCCCAACTCCACCAAATGCGACTATTTTCTCCAGTTCGGGCAATTCCAATTCCAAATAGAAGTTCCGTCAAAATTTCAAATCAGCTAGTGCTGATTATTGGTTCATATCAGCCCGAAAACTGCAAGGCAATGACAAATTATCATGTCCCGCCATAGCTTCATGCAAGGCGTGGGGCCCCATTTACCCCTCCAAAGGCTCGACAGCCAAGCATGGCACTCATGCCAACTGTCAGTCGATAGTTTTGCGTAATGCTGATCAGACTCCGCAAATCAGCTTTCTTGCGGAGATGCAGCCACTGCGGCTTATCTGTCAGCGATGGCTCATTCTCCGATTCTCCGACCGCTCTCCAATCGGAGCCAACTCGCACTCCTTCCGGATGTGAGCACCCAAGCGGCGTATAAAATGGGTCTGAAGGCAACGAGTTGTGTTATTCAATGTCCCGAGACAGAAATTCCTCGGTGGCCGCAATGTGATGGGTCAAGTTGTCCACACCGAACCTGAGGGATTCATCTGGCGATACGTCGGCTAGCAATTGGCACGGCTTGTAGTGGGTCGTCTCAAATTTTCGATTCAATCATGGCTCCATCCTCGTGAGTCTTGGACTTCCTGGTCGAGCGCGTTCACGCAAGGAGTTGCATGAGGCTCCGAAGTCTATTTTGCGATCTGCGTTGTGATCGATCGCTTCCGACACACAGAGGTGCTGGATATCAGAAACAAGCCTGGACCATGACCCGGTGACCTGGTACATATTTGTCAGTTTATGCAGGCTGTCCAAGCTGAAATCCCGAGGATTCAAACAAAGTTCGTTGAATATCTTGGCAGACGTGCCCATTCAAGGGACAGCGGAATGGCGGGTCAGGGGCCTAGCATTCCAAACCCCCAAAATAGAGGATAGCTTCAGGAATATTCATTGGCCAATACAGATTTTGAGCTTGGGAACCTTTCAATAATACTTTTGTATACGCATCCTATGGCATCAGTACAAGATATGTTCACGGTGGCGATGCCAGCATATGTACACTTTTCGTTGGCACAATATATATCGCGGTATGTTCGGTGCGCCTGTTTTACATGACAGAATGTTAATAGCTCCCATAGCTGCCTCGTCGGGCATTGTCGATCTTGTCCGCTGCACTCTGTACACGCGACTGTCAGCTACCATCACCACAAAGCTCAACATCCCCACTTGCCTGCATCTGAGCTGCCATTCCTCCCCGAGGATTCTGACCGCCATAAACAGTGGCCTCGGCATGTTGTGCGTCACGGGCATCATCCTTGGTGATATATGCAGGCACATCAGCCACAGCTGTGAGTCCCAAAGCGTCGTTACTGTCAGCGATCGACCGAACTTGAGCGGAAATATAGCCGACTCCGGGTGGTTGGTTAAATGCACGTCCCTGTGGGGACCTCGCGTTAGTGATCTCTCACTGATGACCTTTCGCCGGGATTGCCTGACCTCTGTAGCTTGGATTTCTTTGGCGTCTTCTATTGAGATCGCGCTTGATGGTTTCCGCGATACCTCTGCGACCTTGCTTTCGAAATTCATTTGCCGCATAGAAAGACTTTGAGCCGTCGCTATATTCGATCAGTCATGCACTGCTTGCAGATAGAATATAGTTCCTACTCACCAGCTGGTCCACCCCGAGAAGGTCCGCGTCCAGTCAGCGCACTTTCAGCCTGCGCGATGGCCGAAACATCATCCTGCGTTATGCGCTGCCCTCTCTCGGCAGCGAGCTGGATTTCGGCGACGGTAGGAATATCAAAACTCATGACTGCGCGCAAGAAAATGACTTGTCTTGCTGCATTCTGCTTGATCTCACATCTTGTTGTTCTGCTATATACTTCGTCTTTAGATTCGGTGATGTCACGGTGAGGGCATATCAACCGACCGAACTTTGCCTTCTCTCGTCAGTGGTGGGGGCGCGAGCATATCCAGACTTGAATAGAATATTCGACTCTTCGATCGAACAGAAATTGCGGGGGATGCGCGATACCCCCAATTTGCCATGTCGCCTAGAGGATGAACCCCCCTACCACCTCATTCCAAATCATCATCACCCCGTGGAACGATGTCTGGAGTAAAGTAAACGACCATCTACATTTCGTACAACGCAGTGGACAGCATCCGGAGATCTGTGAGGCAGAACAGATTGCTGAAGTGTCGTTGACTGGTCATGTTTTAGTGGTTGGCTCATTCACAACGGGGTAGGGCAGCTTCTGAGCACCGTTCCATGGATGACCTGCTGCAGATTGCCCCTGTCAGTGCCACCACAACCAAACCCAAAAATGAAAGAAAAGGTGTCGAATGAAATTACTCATGACAGGCCAGCTTCCATGCCGCGTCGTCATCGACCGCTCCGGCCGAACGACGGCAACTGGATATCCAACCACGAGATCTTGTGAGTCCCACGTTGCGTGACATGGCAGGATAGCACATTAGACCCTTGTCATGAGTAGCACGCCTCCTTTGAGTCTGTAGAGTTTGATGACTTCGGTAGTGTGAGACACCTGGCTACGAGTTCAGGTCACCGCAATGTACCCTTGCGGAAGGTTCACGGATTTGTTCAGGGTCTTTTGGGTTTTCACCTTGGCAAAGATCCTACATAGGAGATCGTTCAAACCATACGGTAGTCACAGTTACAAGACCCTCTATCGTATGGGTGACAGTGTATTGCCAATCCAAATGTCTTGTAATTTCATAACTTCATTCCACGATATGCCGGTTCTTTTGTCTCACTCCAAGGGTCCCTTTTGATGAAAAGGCCCTGCGGAGTATATACCACTCTATAACCTCGGGTCTGAAAATGTTTCATAAGCAACATCGTGACAAATTCTGCCGAAGGTGTCAAGTCTAACCGTAATATCTCAAGGCATGTATCTAGACATGCTTATCGATTGTCTATAAATTTGGAGTATTTTAATATCGCATGAAGTTAAACCCACTGGATCAGGGAGTTCAACCCTTAGACTTGAAGAAAAGTTTCAATATACAATTCTTATTTTCAGCAAGGGCCTAAGCGTCATCAGAAAGAGGTTATAATTCCATCAGTGGAGGTTACGCTAAACTACCTAGGTTGTCAGGCGATGAGAGGGAATAGCAAGACAACAAATCAAGGATGAAGGATGCCAACCGCTCTTAATTTCGTTTCATCCGGATAGAATGTAGCACTCTAATACTACAGAATCTTCTATCTTCTATCAAGTAGAAGTCTCACTATAGACTCATGGTCGTGGGGTGTAGCTAGCTTAGGCTCTGTTGTTTGAGGATCTACGCCGTGTTCGAGCGATATAGGGATGATATTCCGTCCGCTATCCTTAACAGCTCGATATAATGGCGAAAGGGCATACCATTTTAGATAATCGTCACGATAATGCAGCAAATTTACCACCGCCAGATTCCCTAACTAGTGCCGTAGTGGAGAGGGGTGGGTAGTCAGCCGCCACACTGTTCCCTATATATGGCGAGAAAAACCAAAACCCTACAGAGGACCTTTCTACGTAGGTACTAAACAATTCTTAGTAGGCAGTTGGACGACCTCCATTACGGGAAATAGTCGTGGTCAATTCCGCCAGCGCATGTGTGCGTAGAAGAAATATATATAGAAGCGTTCAAGCAGGCCCCCGTCAAAAACTAAATTTAGTAAGAAAAGACACAGCAAAACGACGCCCGACAGGCCTTCCAAGATGATATCGAGCAAAACACGGCACAATAGGACAAGCCATACCTAGCTAGCAGGCTCGTTAACGCCAAGAAGTGTGTCGTCTTGGCTGGCGTCTTGCGTTGTAGGGCTTGTATTGCTTGGTCGTTTCTAAACCTTATTTCATTCTCGCAAAATAGAAAAGAAAAGGGAGAAAGAAAGAGAAAAGAAGAAGACTGGCTTGGGTCGTCAATGCTCGTTAGGTCTTGTCGGTTCGCTTTTCGTGGCGCTAGACGTAGGGGCTAGAGACTGCGAAGCCCCTAGATCGTTTAGTTAATTTCTTCTTAATAGAATCTGCCCCCAAGCTAGTGCTTCTCGCCAAAACCAGCACAAATTACCTAGCGTGAAGAACTCTCCAGGGCTTCGGCTGTTCTCGATATCTCTAGATTTCTGGGATTTCTGGGATTCATCTTTGATTTGGAATTACATGAAACCCCGAACATCCGTAACGTTTGCCCCTACTCTTTTTCTTCGACTTGTAGACATCTTGACTTTTGTCGAACTCATACTCCATATACTTCTTGATCTTCTATATAATGGAATCTGAAGCATTCGTCAGCGCGTTCCTCGACACATGCGCCGACGGAGATCTTTCAACACCCAAGCACCCATATGCTTGATCTCCTTTGGCCTTAACAGGTTTACAGTTGACTATATAGGGCCATACGACGATTAGTGTCAGGTACCTACATATGTTAGCTAAAGTGAGGCGAAATGAATGCGAAAACATAAGGAGGGGAGATCAGGCTCTCGACGTGTGCCGGCTTAACCGAGACCCTCATACCTAGACCTCGTAACCGCCCGCGAGCCGCGCACTGAGGGTTGCCCCCGAAAAATTTCGCCCACAAACACGACAAGTATAGAAAATTCTATAATAGCATAAGATGTGCAAGTTCTGTTTGTCTTCAAGTTATTGACACCTCGGACACTATGGCAGTAACTCGAAAGCGGTGTGGCTGATTCCATGAGTATCACATGACCCCTTCCCTTCTCGTTCGACCAATCACAAACCCGCCAGCATCCCGTTACCGGGATTGAAGGCTACCACTCTGCCTTTCCCCTGTTTTATGATCAAAAAAAAAAATCGAGTGAAGCCAATAAACAGGGAATTTGAGCACCGTTTTTGTTTTATTTGCTACCTACGAACTCAACTATCAGGTTGTGGTCGCCCAAGGCTCAGAAATGGAGGTGTACGAGCATCTATTAGTCCCCGTTCAAAGAAGTATGCTAAGGTAACCCATACACAGATTACCCAAAAAAGGAAAGAAGGCGTGCACTATGTGCCGCCAGCAAAAGGTACATATGTATTGATGACTTTCCCTTTACAGAGACTGTACTGACTCTAGTAGGCTAAATGCGATGTCTGGCGCGATGAGAGCGTACCGTGTTCCCGATGCCGCAAACGCAATCTCGAGTGCACCATAGATGACAGCTTTACAAGAGAGCATAAGCGTCGGTAAGAGTCTGAGACACCGAGTAAGCCGGAACGAATCCACTTCTTACATATACTTCTCCAAAGCCGATACATCGAACTAGAACACGAGAATGAGCGGTGGCGCCAACTACAAATCTCCCAGCAGTTGAACCCCGATTCCGTGCCGATTGCGTTATCCACAGCGGCAACGGAGCTAGGAGTACCGGCTGTGCTGAAGTCGGATGCTCAATTGGACGATTCGCAGGGTTTGTCGCTGGCATATCCCCAATATCATCTTGCACCAGCGGGCCCCACGCCGGCTCTGATGATGGGAGGGAATGATCCCACAAAGCCCCGTTCACTGAAGAGCGTCACCATCACAGGTGGAGAGGTTGACGACTTGTACCAATTGTAGATGTTCCCAACAGCTCTGGTCAGCTTGTTGCTAACATCTTACAGGTTCTTCCGTCACTATGCCTCGTTCCTTCCAATTCTCGATGCGCAGACCAAGCCGAATGCGTACTTCGCGCAGTCTTCATTCCTCTTTTGGGCCGTCATCGGCGTTGCCAGTCGATCGTATTCCCGCAACCCGACTTTGCAGACTGCGCTGGCCCAGGAAGTCACGGAAATGGCATTCCTGTCGGTCTTGTCGACGTGCGCGCCGTGGTATACCATACAGGGGCTGTTGCTCCTGCTGACTTGGCCGTTCCCCAAGGAGAATCGTCCAGATGTGACATTCCCTCTGAGTGGGATGCTCTTGCATGTAGCGATGCAAAACGGTTTCCATATCCCAATGTCGAGCCATGAATTTTCCCGAGTGAAGATACCGGCGTCGTCAGACTTGGATATGGTCCGACGCTCTGAGCTGTGGGCTCATTGTGTCCTTGTATACCAAAGGTGTGTACTCCTCGTTCAAAGTGTGGCCGAGCGAAATCACCGTGCTGATTCATCGTAGGTCTTGTGTGATCAAAGGACAGTCTCCGCGAAACCTGGTCAGTTTGGCACAGGATACCATCCAACGCCAGGTGCTGTTTGATAAGATCGCTCCACACCTGGTTCAGAAACTCAGATGCCAGGAGGTCGTCGGGAAATGCAGCGAGGAAGTTCTGGAGAATGGAGTTCGTGCCATGTCTCTGGACCAGGAGCTGGCTTTGGACATTTTGTTGCGGAAGTATGAGGGAGAGGTAGATGATATTGCATTGCAGGCAGTAGTCGGTTTGTCTCTGATATGGATCCCCTCGGCAATAGTCCATCCACTAATGCGTATTTCCTTCTTACAGATGACGAGAAGTACCACCTTCTCCTTTGTCGTATGGCAATCCAAAGCTTCCATTTCTACAAGAACCAGACACTCGTCTCTAGTGGTTGTCTTCCGCGTCTTATCGTCACCGCTTGCAACTTGATCGACTATATTCAAGGGTTGGCGGATCGTATGGGATCTCTCTTCATGGCACCTGTTCAAATAACCTTCGGTCTACTCTTGGCTTCGATGTCACTGTTGCGGATTCTTAAAAGCGATTATGCCTCCAGCGGACTCGATACAAGCCGGGCGCAGGCCTCATTCTTCGCCACCATCAATTTGGCCAAGCAAATGTCCACCGACAGAAGCGATACAGCTGCTAAGATGATCACGGTTTTGAATCAATTATGGATTAGCAGCAAGGCATTCCGCAAACCCGATGGCTCGGAATATACCGCACTTCGAATCCGCAGTCGCTTGATCCTTAGTCAGATCTTGGATGCTGTCTGGTGGTGGCGTGATGAATATGACCCAAACGTGCGCGCTAAAATGCAAGGGACGGAGTCTGTTGACGGATCTTCCCGAATCAACATGCCTCCCGGCATCGAGGCAGGGCGTGCTATAATGGGAACAGATCCCACTCTAGACGCCAGGGGGGGTTCTTCCGAGCGCCGGTCCTCTGCAGGGAGAGTTCCAGATCAACGACGATTACCTCACGAACTTCGAGTGGCTGAGTGATGAAATTTTCTCATTCCCTCCAGATGCGTCGTTGCCGAACAACCTACCATGAGCACTGTAGTTTACCTTGGAACCCATACTCAAGGATCCATTTTCCGTTTGAATTTCGCTCTCCGGTCAAACTGAAATGGCATTGTAGAGAGGGGCTACCGGCCACGAAGGGCGTACACCGGTCATACGCCCTTCGTGATCCCAACTAGCTACATATGGAAGCTAACCTCCGGGCCCAATATGTGCTCCAAACCCCGGCATTGCCGGTCTCGGCGCATCGGCAAATTTACCTCTGTACGTCCAAACATCTTCAGCAACATCCTACACGCCCACGAAACGCAGGCCTGGCTCGAGACGTCCAAATAAAGATCTCATCAGCAAGTCTAAGCCACTAGGTCAAGCAACCACGGGAGCAATGCCATGCAGATCGAGTTGAACGCGCGGCCTTACAGCCCGGGGTTATGGATTCTTTAGGTGCCATGTTTAGCACTCCACTTGGCTGATAAGGAAATCGATTGCATACGATCGGGTCAGGAAGCTTAGTTCGGGGAATCTCCGGTGAATTAGATATGGAGTGCCACGAGGGACTCCACCGGTATTCTTTGACAATGCACTATTATTAACTGACAAGCACCCTCGGGATACTCCGTACTCGGTAGATAACTACCTCAACGTGCCATCCATGGGTGACATTGAATTGCCTGTTTATATTGGAGGCGGTCAGCACATAAATCCCCTCTTCAGCCTCGGCTCACCCCTGTCGCGTTCCTCCAGATTTTGCTTTCTGTCTTTGTCACAGCAATTATTTCCATTGGTCAAGATGCTCTCGCAATTTACCCCAGGTAAAGGAAGCTCATATGTCCATACCTAGGTATACCTAGGTACGTACTTGATTTCCTCTGCCGGGGCTTTCCTATCCTAGCCGCCGCCGCTTTTATGAGGGCGCTCAGAGTCAGGCTGAATAGATTTCAGTCCGGGCTCAGACTGCTTAGGGTTTCTATTGAGCACCCAGTCTACACTGAGACCATACCCAGAGAAGTATTCAGCCCCATAGTACTATTTACTCTACGACTACTTTTTGATAGCCCTCAATTTTCACCATAAACCCCCACTACCCGATACACAGAAAAAAGAAGACAAAAAGACATTAGCAAGGTTCAGCAACTCCCACTTCAATAGATACGTGCATCGGGCCTTCTCACTCGGCAGCAGTTATAGGCTATTAATGTATTTGCTTCTTTCCTATAGCAGTGCATTCTTTTACGTATGAGAAATAGAGGTGCTCACAAGGTGTCGGAGTTCAGGCTTAGGGATGCAGTCTGACAGCGGATAATAGACGGTTTACGGGGGAGTGCGTACCTACTCTGAGGGGCTAGTCTAGAAACTATGCTAGGATTAATGGTATAATAACTAATATTTCTCGGCGTCCTACATGATGTAGACCACCAACCGAAACGCTTCTATCGCTTCAGTTGCACAGCCAGACCAGACGTAGTACACCTATAGGAGCAGCTCTACCTCATCAGACTAGTACATCATTACGCCATTAATATAGTGATCTCGGCGTCGTCATTCTATTCAACACCCTAAATTCAGCCTACATATTCCGACAGCTCACTTGCACGCAAATAACCAATCAATTGTTCCACGCTCCGCTCCCAGAGCCTAAATATCCATAACTCCGCGTAGACATCCAGCTCATCCGGGATTATTTCGGACAGCTATTCCGCTCAACGGATTTTGTGACGATACTGGAAGTCTGTACTAGTGGGGGCGCTATTATCATTAAGCTCTTATAATGTACATTCCGAGGTCGTCGTCCTATGCTAATTAACGGCCCAGGAAGTCAGAAACTAATATATTCGTCTAGTAGAAATCAATAAGAACGCCTCGGAATCCTAAGGGAAGCGGAGCTTACATTATATGTTTTGTTGTCTCCGAAGTATGGAGAAGGGCACGGCCAGCGGCAAATTTTAGTAAGGACGTGGAATATAAAAGGTGCCTGCTTTAACGAACTAGGACAGAAAACCTCAAGATCAAACATTTCCTACAGATATAATATTACAGCCTGAATTAAAGTACCTGCCATTTTCCTGAAATTGCTACAATAACCTAAGTAATTCGTCGAGATAAAAAAAAAGTATTTGTTAAATCACGATCATCCGCTTCGCAAATTAATGCACGATTATCAGACTCTTAATAGGTTTTGCCTAGCAATGCCACTGATCTGCCCTAGACCTCTAGCCAAACCTATCCGCATTCGATTGCTCTGCCTCCTGGCTGGTGAGGGTTAGGTCCGATCTTTATTAACTGAGCTGGGACGGAGACTTACTATGACTCTGTCGATCCATCGAGGGCGCTGGCGATTTGGGATGCAACGTCGGTGACCTTAGCTACAGACTCCTGTAACTGAGCCATAGCCCCGGCCAGGCTTTGCTGCTGCCTGTAAGTAAGTGTATACCATATGTCCAAGACGAGTGTAAGACTTACGGCTGTCTGCCCGCTGAAATCAAGAGCCTTAAGCTGGTCATTAAGACTGGCAAACCCACTATCCGTGCTGGAGGCCCATGATTGAATGTTTTGGGACAATTGTCGGACTTGTTCAAGGTTGACAGACATCTGTGGAGCTGGCGCTGGGGCGGCGACTGCCAAGACAGCGAATAAAGTGACGGGGATGATCTTTGAGAAGTGCATCTTGGAATATTGATTGAGATGATGTGTTGTTGTTCTTGTTGATGTTGATGATGCTCGAATCCAACTGTCTCTGAACAGGCTTATATACCGGGATCGGAGCGAGCGAGACTGTCAGCGCCTCCCCTGGAGCTATAATTACCATCCAGGCTATGCTCCTTGAGTAAAGCCTTGGCGGCTTGGCTTGCATGGAAATCTAAGGTGAATATACAGTGGCAGTTTCTCAATGGTTGTGACCTCGTATTCTCCAGGGGCTGAGCCGCCAGGCACGCTCCTTAATCCCAGCCTGGAGTGTCGATCTCAGCCTTGCATTTTCAAGTTTAAGGTGCAAGCGCTAAAGATTTTTAAAATAAAAATAGCAGAGCCCGTTGCGTTAGGACAACGTAATGCAGTCACGCTCCAAGACGATGATGATCATTAGATGTTCTTCGGACTTGGTAGCCGAGGAGATCCTAAGTCGACATTGAGGAATTGAGTGATTGCGGCTAAGGGACTGTTATAAAAATGGGGGGGAAAAGGACTGATCCCTCGAATACGAGGTACCTCTAGGGGAGGACCCCACCAAGCGGGCGGCTACCCCAGAGTTGACTGAGCAATTAACGGAACCAACAGCACCGTAGCCACTACGTGCCTTGAATCGACCCATCAGAGCACCGGTTGCACACGCTTAGGAGCAAGAGAGAGGCCTCTGGCAGACTCGAGAGACGGCAAAAGAAGAATCAATCGGAACCGGCCCTAGGAGGGATTGCAATAGGACACGTGACATAAGCACTAGATCAAACGGACACTGTTCTACGGAAAATCCTAGAAAAGTTCGCGGAGATTGAAACCTCCCAAAGGTACCTCTTTTAAGACGTGCAAGCCAGACATGTGGAGACATCCAGACTACGAGCGGAGATCACGGGGTTGCGCGACGAATCGTGCTACAGGGATGAGGAGCACAATGACGAGATAAAGCAGTATAAGGATGCACTAGTCCGCGTGCAGAGGGAACTAGGGGTAGTTAAACAGACGATGGCAATGGCAACGACAACGGATATAAGGGAATGCACCTGCAGCGGTTACTACGAAGAGCTTCGCGCTGAGCTTCACTCTCTTCGTACCGCCGTGACAAGTCCGAGTACAAGCCGGAGTTGGGCATGGATTGTGTCCTAGCCGTGGGTGTTGTCGGCCTGTACCTGGACGGCCCGCATCGGCCTTGGGCTTCCTGCTGTGACACTAGATCTACGCTCTGCCGGAGTGCACATAAGAGCGCTGGTTGACGACCCTACGCAGGCAGGGGACAAGATCCGTACAGCCCTTCAAGACGACGTGACGATGGCGAGTATTGATATCGTGGGCCTCAACCCCCCTTCGCGAGCTACGGTCAAGGTGTTTGCCGATTCGGACGAAGGCGTCTCAAAGCTTCGCCGGGCAACGTACTGGCTAGACGCATTGCCCGGTGCTCAGCTGCAAGGTGGACAATGGTATCCTGTCAAGTTAAATGATGTCAAGAAGGAAAGCGTCTAAGACGCGTAAGGGAGTCCGCGAGAGGACTTCACATAAACCTTCCAAGATGAGAGTAATGTTACACAGGCCAGAAAGATCGTCTGGCAGGCGGAAAGAAACGATACGGATCCATCCATCCATGAATCCATGGCTATCCACCTGACTAAACAGACAAATGCAGAAACACTTTTGAGCCGGATTGCCATGTGCGCGGGGAATCCGCTTTCTCTGACACGTTCTATAAAAGACAGCGGTCTCTCCGATGCCGTCTAGAAAGCTACGCAAGAAAGTGAAGGCCAAGAAGTGGCGTACATACAACAGGGGTAGTTCGTTCTGTTGGAGCCTCGGTCATGTGACCTGGGTGCCTGGTTTGTCAGGCTAGTAATGCCTGTGTGTTTAACTAACTAACTAGTTACCTCCTTCCTTCTCTCTCAGTCTCTTTCTCTCTCTTCCCTCCCCCAGTCTTCTGTTAGCATAGGCTAATACAGTCTTTCCACTCTGCGCCTTGTTCTCGTGCCGCTATGAAGTTCGCAAAACGATTAGCACGGAGTACTCACAACTCCGTTCCAGTCACGTTTTCACATAACATAATATTAAATGCAATTTCCAGAGAGATATTATTCCCCCTATCACACGATACGCCTCTCATCACTTGACATATCTCTGGCGTTGGGTGTGATCCAATGGGGGATCTCGATTGTCGCCGATTTCAAACCCCCCCTGCATGTCCGTGGGGCCTCCGGTTTGAGACATGCTAGATTCGAACTAGCGCAGCACCGACCCTTTTCGCGTTCTGCTATCCAGTCCATCAAGCAATAGAAAGCCCGCTAGAAAACTCTCCCCACATTTGAGCCCTAGACGGCCCATTCCACAGTGCTTGTATTGTCCTCCGTGACTCAGCTACTAACAATTAGGGACTCCAGGTAACACTGAGAGCCTCAAATTGCCTGAAGATGAGGTAGGACATTTGACAGGGACTCTATTATTACGGGTATCACATAAATTTGACTGATACGCAGAGATAAGAGGCTACTCCCGGCTGTTTCCTCATTTGCAGGGATTCAATCCCGGTATCAGTTGGGGGAATGTCCTTCCCCCCCAAACTGACTATTAACCCCGGTGATGGGCCGACCAGGCTTGAATCAGAGACATCGATTGGCTAACTACCATTTTAGCTGCAAAATTAGTGGCAAAGCTAAGTCAATAACGGCAGGCTCACCCTTCTTCCTCGTCCGGCTTATCACTAACAAGCTCTGAAGGGATTTGCTTCTGTGTCTTGGAATTTCCGTACGGGCTACGTGGTATGGAGTAGACACTCTATGTCTCCAATTACTTTGAAAAGATGTACAATATACTTTACTCTGTACATATGTAGTAACTTCCTGGGTATGTTGCCTTAAATCCCCACATTCCTCTGATTTGAACCCCATAGCACGAACTGTGCTGGATTGCATAGTCCCAGGTAGTCGAAGGTAACCCAAGAAACGCCACCAATTATCTAGATACTCTAGATACACAAGATACGATGAATCTTCTCCGAATTAATGCATAAGCAGTCAACATAAGAGGTCTGTGAGTTATCGCGCGTATTGTTTTGCTTCTTTTTATATGCGCACACCACTTTCCTCCCAAGTACCTGCAGCCACTCACCTCCTCATCTGATCCCTTGTCTCTCTTCCCCCCACTTCTTTGCCTCCCAATCAATTCTCTACCCCATTCGGTTCCATCGCGGGTTACATCCACCCCAGGATAAGCCTACGATATCCTTTTTAGGCGATAAGGCGGGCTTCCGACGGCCTCCTCTTCAACCAGCCTTATATCATATTCCACTCCCCCTTGTTGCTGCTTTCTGTTTCTCATTTCACTCGTCTCCCTGTGAAATTGGCATTGCTCCATACCTTTCAACATGGAGAAGGACGAGTCTATCGCCGTCACCACCGGTGCGATGGTCGACGAGACTGCACCTGATGAGAAGCTCAAGCAGCTGCGTGACCTCAAGAGCCACCATCACTGGGATCCAAACATGCCCGAAGATGTTGTTGAGGAACTCGATGAGGCTTTGCACACATCCGATAAGCGTACCCAGGAGGCCATCGCTCAGGAATTACTCCAAAACTCCCCATACCCCGAGGTTCGGTCCGCCGTCTCCAATGTCGATGAGGGTGGATCTGTGAACACTATTCGCGCCTGGGTAATTGGTCTTGTTTTTGCGACCATCGGTTCTTCCCTCAACATGCTGTTCTCCATGCGCCAGCCCTACATTGTCATCCCCTCATATATTGCACAGGTTGTTGCCTACCCAGTGGGAAAGGCATGGGAAGCGTGGATGCCCAATTACACCTTCCGTGTCTTTGGATACGAAGCTGAACTGAACCCGGGTGTTTTCACCAAGAAAGAACATACAATTGTCGTTATCATGGCAAACGCCACATTCGGTGGTGGCGCCGCCTACGCGACGGATGTCCTCTTGGCTCAGCGTGCCTTTTACGGACAACACTTCGGCTGGGGTTTCGAGATCCTCATGTGTATCTCGACTCAGATGCTGGGCTTCGGCATGGCTGGCTTCTTCACCCGCTTCTTGGTGCAGCCCGCCGCCATGATCTGGCCCTCAACCCTGATCAATACCTCCCTCTTCACTGCACTGCATGATCGCAGCAAGCCGGATCCCAGCAAGGTCGCCGGCTGGAGGATCGGTAAATATCAGATGTTCCTATTCGCTATGATTGGCTCTTTCTGCTGGTACTGGTTCCCCGGCTACATTGCGCCGTTCCTGAGTATCTTTGCCTGGGTCACCTGGATCAAGCCCGAGAACGTGATAGTCAACCAGCTCTTTGGTGGATTCAGTGGCCTCTCGCTTATCCCAATGACATTTGACTGGACCCAGATCTCTGGATTTAACTTCAGTCCCCTGATTGCTCCGTGGTATGCTATCTCCAATACGATGATCGGCATGTTTCTCTGGTTCTGGATTGTCACTCCCGCCATTCACTACTCCAATCTCTTCTACTCTCAGTACCTACCAATGAGCGACTCCAACAGTTACGATAACACCGGTAATGTGTATCAAGTCTCCAAGATCCTTACTCCGGATTTTACCTTTGACACCGAGAAATACTCGAACTACTCCCTCTCTTCCTGTCGACAACATTCATGCTGTCTTATGGGCTGTCGTTTGCCAGTATCATTGCCGTCCTCGTTCAGGCCGGTCTTTTCAACGGCCCGGACATTTGGGCTCGATTCCGTCGCGTCGGAAAGGAAGAAGAAGATGTTCACGGCCGTCTGATGACGCGCTACGCTACCGTTCCCATCTGGTGGTACTTGGGCGTGTTTGTGACCATGACCGCAATTGGCTTTGGTGTTGTACTGGGCTGGCCTACGCACATGAGCTGGTGGTCCTTCATCATTGCCCTGCTCATTTCCGCCATTTGGTTCGTTCCCATTGGCATCGTCAAGGCTGCCACCAACATCGACATCGGCCTCAATGTCATTACTGAGTTCATCATCGGTTACATGCAGCCCGGTAAGCCTATGGCTATGATGCTGTTCAAGACCTACGGCTACATCAGCATGTACCAGGGAATGTACTTCACACAGGATCTGAAAATCGGTAAGTCCCGTCGTCTCCCTGGTGTCGATTTCCTATACTAACCTATTCCACCAGGCCACTACATGAAGATCCCTCCCCGCGTGACTTTCACAGCCCAGATGGTCGCTTGTTTCTGGTCATCCCTGGTGCAGATCGCCACCATGAACTGGGCTCTGGGCGCAATCAAGGGCGTGTGCGACCAGTTCCAGCCTAACCACTTCACCTGTCCCAATGGTCGCGTGTTCTTCAACGCCTCCGTTATCTGGGGTGTCATCGGACCCGCTCGGATGTTCTCCATCGGCCAGCTGTACTCACCCCTGATGTTCTTCTTCCTCGCCGGCGGCCTCCTTCCCATCGCGATCTACATCGGCGCCCGTTTCTTCCCCAAGAGTCCGATCAAGTATCTCAGCGCCCCTATCATCTTCGGTGGTGCTGGTCTGATTTCCCCCCGCCACCCCTCTCAACTATCTCTCCTGGGGTATCGTCGGGTTCGTCTTCAATAAGTACATCCGTGATCGCTGGCGTGGATGGTGGATGCAGTACAACTACGTCCTGTCCGCTGGTCTGGATGTTGGTCTTGCTCTTTGCACCATTCTCATCTTCTTGACTCTCAATTTGACCGATACGAGCTTCCCTGAATGGTGGGGAACAAGGATCGCCAGTAACACCCTGGATGTCGAAGATAAAGCCATTCGGAACCCTATCCCTACGGGTCAGACCTTTGGTCCCCCCAAATGGTAGAAAGTCGGACCTATTTGGTTCCTATTTCCTGCTTAGGAGCAAACTGCGGTCGGGGCTTATTACAGTTCTTTCGTATATTATTCACGTCAGCCACGAATAGTCACGATATCATATCATAGTATTATTATACCATTGATTTTTATTTCTTGACCTTTTCCCATTTTAATATCCAGAGTTCATCCATCTGAGCCTCGACGGGCACCTCATAATACAGCGAGGGACCTAAGTCTTAAACAATCTATATCTTCCGGCTTCTTGTCGCCTTGACTACTTTTCTTGGCTTTTACTGTACACACCAGCAAGGAGGTTTTGTTTTGAAAATCCCGAGATTCAATGCAAAATATATAAAATGACATATGTACACGCCTATCAGATTCCCAATATTTGACAGACGCCCAAATCGAAATCGACAAGCCAAAAAGGAAAGTCATCAGCGACTGCGTGGTAGAACACCTACCCCAAGGCAAGAGATGAACCGACTCAGCCATTCTCATCGAATCATGACAAACAAATGGTGATCCAGACAAAAGCCAAGATCCCATTCCATTCCACCCTAGGTCCAAACTATTTCCATTCATAGAAACACCCTCTTTACAAGGGTGTATTTTTTTTTTTATATCCAAAGTCCAAGACCATCAAACCCGACGACGACGCATACCAACCTGCAAAGCAAGCGGCTTGCGCAAGAATCCCTCACGCGTCTCCATAGGTCCATCCTGGTGCATCTCGAACTCGAATAGTCGGAACACAGTAGCGCAGATAACGAGCAGTTCCATCTCAGCGACGTTACGGCCGACACAAGCGCGAGGACCATGGCTGAATGGGATGAAGGCGGCCTTTTGACGAGCAGTGAGACGCTCGGGACTCCATCGCTCGGGCACGAATTGTTCCGCGTCGGCGCCCCAGATCTCCTTTGAGCGGTGGATCGTGTAACTGGGTACTGAGAGGACGTCGCCGGCTTTGAAGGTGTGGCCGCAGATCACGACGGGGCCGGAGCCGGCGGGGATCTCGCGGGGAAGACCCATTGATGATGTGCTGTGGATGCGCATTGTTTCCCAGATTACCCATTGGAGGCTAGGGTTTGGTTAGTTAGGGTATGTATTTTGTGGGATTGGTGGGTGCGGGCTTACTAGGGGATTTCCTTGACCATGGCGTGCGAGGGAACTTCAATGTCCTTGGGAAGGGTTTCATCCAGGGCCTTGCGCAGCTTGGGGAGAACGTGCGGGGTGGTCATGCACCAGTAGAGGATGGCACAGGCGGTGTTGGAGGTGGTGTCGGAACCGGCGATCAGTTGGGTGAGAGCCTCGGCCGTCAGTTCGGCGCGTTCAAGTCGGTTACCGTTTCCGTCCTTGCCTTCCATAAGGCGGGCGAGCAAATCCACACGAGTGTTGTTGGCCATAACCTCCGGCTTAAGGCGTTCGCTGACACGGGCGATGGCGATACCAGCAAGGTTCTCCACGGCTTCCAAACCTTCGGAGAAGAAGCGGTCGGGGATGTACTTGGCGAAGGGGATGATAGACGGCATGCAGCCCAGGGTGGCGGAAACCTCTCCACGACGGTTCAGAACTTCGACGGCGGCAACATACTTCGGAGGGTCCTTGGGGTCCAGACGCATCTCAGCAATATCCTGGCCCTTCTCGAGCATGCCGAAGGGAGCACCGAAAGCCAGGTCACCGATGATATCGAAGGCCAAGTAGTTGAACCAGTTGAGGGCGTCGAGGCTAACATAGCCGGTCTTGGGGTTACCCTGGAGATCGGACAGGCGATTCCATTGCTTCACGAATTCCTCAATGTTGCCGTGGATATACTGCTCGAATTGGCCAATGGACTTGGCACTGAAAGTGTGGGAAACGGTCTTGCGCTTGCGCGAGTGCTCGGCACGATCACGGGTGTTGAACAAGCCACGGCGAATGGATACAAAGGCATCGTAGAAGTCCCTGGGAGGTTGTCAGTTTCGGCGCAGGTTTTCGGGACTGCGGCATTGACGTACGCTTTCAAGAAACCATTGCCGTGTCCATAAACACCCTGGATAGCTGCATCGTCGGCAATAGAGACTTGGGTAGGTGAGATGCGGACAAGCTTTCCATGTTTCTTGTGGGCCTCGTCGATCGTCAAGTACTTTTGACCCCGGCGGGCCTGCAGGAGGAGCCAGACATTGGTGAACGCGGCAAATCCTGCAGAGGGAATGTCGCGCAGGTGCGACTTTTGCACGTACGGCACCAAATAATAGGCTACAACGAGACCGACAAGAATAATCGGAACATTCTCGAGTGTCACAAGCATGGTGAAGTGTTGTATAGGAGCGTTGAACAAAACAACTCGGGGGAAAAAAAAGGTACCAGCCCAATGCAGAAAGAATAATACCAATCAATAAAATATAGAATGTATGTTCAAATAGAGAACTCAGCTCAGATCCATGACCAAATGCGCGAATCCAACTTATTTATGAAAAGAGGGATGAGTGGTCATCGAATCATCCCCGAGGGTAAGGCAAGGCAACGGGAAGCAATTTCGGTAGTGTGGAGTTTGGACACTGGCGGCGAAGATCCGTGGAGAGTGCCGTCTCAGGACTCCGAACCACCGACATCCACGGGTTCGGTTATTGGCTTGGAGAGTTCAGGCAAATCAACGGTCGCATATTGGCGATGAGTTGCCTCGATTTCCTGTTCCGCGTAAATCATTGGCGGTTGATTTGTTGGAAATTGGAAGTGCGGGGGGGAATCAGCACGAGGTGGTCTTGACGCCTGGTTTATAAGGCCAACATTGATGTCATTGGAAGCCTTGAAAGTCAGGCATATATTTACATAATATCATGCATAAATCACGAGATCGGTGTATAACTTGCATAACTCAATGTGTTCTCGTATGTACCCAGGTAGTATGCCGTATGTACATATCAATTGTTCAAAATATAGATGAATATATATGTACATGAATTATAATGAGGACTCCCTACTTCCCCATCTTTCAATGATGATGACGGGCATGATCATGATGGTGACTCTTACCCATCAACCCATGAGCCCCCAAGAAGTCATTAATCTGCTTATAAGCCCCGGTGGCATTATAGTGCAGATTAATAGCATGGCCGGTGTTGGGATGAACATAGGCAGAGAAAGCACTGGCCGAGGGGAAGACCACCTTCGCAGCAGCAGGAATAGAAGCCGGTTTCCCACCCATGTGCAAACAGTCGCCTCCACAGAACGGCACATCATTCGCACCATCAATGACATAAACAGGTCCTGTGAAGTTGCTCTGCGCCGGCAGACCAGTGATAGTCAAGAGTTCACCGATAGTCATGGGTTTCTTGTTGTCTTCTGCATATCTCAAAAGACCAGTGTCGAAATGGGGTGGGTAAAGGAAGAGGTATATATTGCTGCCCATGTCCGCGCTGTTCAGGTAACCGGCTGCGTAGTCCGAGGTCTTGCAGTTGAGTCGAGCTTGTTGGAAGTTGGCCCCGCTAAGGAACATGGGCATATAGTCGGCGCTTGTCGAGTACCCAGTGAGCACGAGCGCATCGGAAAGCTCTGGGTACATTGCGGACAGGGCGACAGTCTGAGCCGAACCAAATGAATGTCCGACATGAACGACCTTGGCGGGGGTCTTGATATTGGGCATCTTGCCGCCGCGCACCATGCGGGTCAACTGGGCAAGAGCTTCGATCTCCAGGAATGACTGGATCTCGTTCTTTGCGTCGCCATGGGAAGATTTGCCGAGCCCCAGTCGGTCGTAGGAGAGTGTGTGATATCCCCGAGCCAGGACGTAATCCACGTAGGAGTAGTTATAGTCGTTGTATGGCAGATCCCAATATCTATATTTCCATGTCAGACCACTATATACAGAGACCAATCAAGTCGCGAAACTCACGACTTGTCAAAGCCCATTCCATGCGTGAGGATCTGAAGCGTGTAGGCTGAATCCCCAGCGTTGTCCGGCATACAGTATTGGGTCGAGATATTGTAGTGGCCCGACACGGTAGCATAGCCTGACAAGGCTGTTTCTGTTAAATTACTCCCCTGTCTGGTCGCAGAGAGGACGAAGGAAGTAGCGTCAAAGTTGGTCTGGGGCGTGTCGATGTTGTCGAACACGCCGTTGCGAGCCGTGACAGGGAGCTCGACTGTGACATTGTAACAGGTCTTTGCGGCGGCGACACCAGCCGTCAAAGCCCAAAGTCCAATTGTTGGAGTATGCATGGGTGAATCTTGGGTGTATTATCTCTGCACCGAGTCCGAACAAGCACAAAGGGGGCCTCCATTATATAGAATTTTCGCCAAAAAGCTACACCTGCGACAAATACCACCGAAATGCGGCAAGTCCAGTTCGAAAAATTCGGCCCCAAGTGATTTGTCAAGAAGGCTGCGATTGTAAAGTTGAAGTGGAACCCGGCTAACGCAGAGATCGATAGTGCAAAGCCCAGTAAAGGTTGTTGTCCCGTGCTAAGCCCTGGGCCTGAAAGCGTCTTGAACGTTGGAGAGTCTTGTTTTTTGACAATGGACATAGTCCAGCCCTACAAGCACCAATCATCATTTACATTTGATCTGATACCTCCGTCTGAAGGAGGATAAACGGGTAGAAGTTCGCAGTGCTCGCTGCATACTGTCGATCCGAATCAAAATAGGAACGAATTATCGCCCACGATCTCTCAACCTTCTGATCCACTTGGTTCAAGCCCTAAAAATGAGAACACACTCAAACATCGATCACGGATCTCTGCCGAGGTTGGATACCGTAGGTGCTTAATTGTATGCGGTATTCTAGATAATAATTAGATACAAGTGCGAGACTGGACTGTAAATATATATTCTTCAATGTTTAGATACTTATACTACCGCAGTATTAGACAGTATCTCGAACACTAATCTCAACCTTGGGAGAGGAGGGATTTGGAGGGGTTCTCTGAAAAACACTCCCCTGACAAGTGCATTAGCGAGATTATCGATCCAACTGTTGATGTATACCGAAAATCCAAGGCAACGATCTACAAGCGTTCCCAACTTCAAGGACCTAGGCCTTCATTTAGTGGAGTAGTCGATAAGAGTCTGAAACCACTAAAGATGCAAGGAACAGGATCGGAACGAAAGCGAGAAGAACTGTAGCCGTGAAAAGCCGAAATCAAATACAAAATCATGTCGCTATGCAAAATCCCAATGCGATAAATATACTTTGTGCAATCATGTTATTCCGTACGTCGTATGTGCAAGTCGTAGATCACCACCGATCGCCAGTTACGGAAAACAGGCCATTCTTCTTCTTTTCGGCATCCCACCGCTCCATCCACACCTTCATCTGATCCCGGGTTTTCTGGCTGGCAACATTCACCGTTGGAATTATCCGCCCGATACGCAAGGCACAGCAGAACATGGTCAACTCGCGGAACGAACTGTGTTCGCTATAGGGCACGCCAAAGCAGGCGCTCTCTCGCGTGCTGCCGCGCTGCGGGGTGAGGTCTTCACTGGTGTATGGTGACTTCCAGTGTTCGCCGTGCAAAACAGTGGAGACTGGTGGGTTTTGTATGAGCCGCCCGGCTGGTGGGCGATAGTTCCAGCCGGTCGGGCGGAAACCGACGACTCGAGAGAAGTGTGGTTTGAGGCCATCGAGGTACTCTGCCAGTGTGTCGGCCCGGATCTCGAAGAGGGTTTGCATATGCACTTGTGCTTCGTGTGGATTGCTGGTTAGCATCGCGGAGAGCTCGGGGTCTTCCAAGCAGGCGCAGATTCGTTGCTTCGGTGGGGTGGCGAAGATCTTGGATCCAAGTGCTTTGGCAATCCCCATACATATCCGTTCTTTGCCAATACTGTAAGTGCCAATCACTACCAGTAGTCGGCCTCCGACGTGCGAGCTTTTGCCTGGTGCTTTGTTGCTCCCCGTGGCGGCGGAGAGAAATTTGCCCATCAACCCACTTGTACCATTCTTCCCCGTATCAGGTCCGACACCGGCTTCCTGATTCAGACGCACACATAGATCTGCACACGCTGCGATCACATCCTCCTGAGCAGGAAAGCCGTATTTCGGGCTTAGATATGTGGTGTCGAGGTAACATTTGTCGATATGTTGCTGCCTCGGTTTCCCAGTGACCGGGTTTGTCACATTAGGACGTAGGAGCCGATGTTGGACATGAGCGGGAGATGCACGGAAGTCACCACAATGCAGCACCCGCTGGTTATGGGCATTGGGCCCAGCTCCAGCGCTCTTTTCGAAAAGAAAAAGTGAGCTACCGGGACAATGATTTGCGTGTAACATGGTGACCCGTACTCCTCCCGTCTCTGGTACTTCGGTGGTGGATTCAAAATCGACGTCAATTACCCACTTGGGATCAACACGGAGCTGCTGGCGGACAAGGTTGGCAGTAGGTCGACTGCAGTAAATGGGCCCATGGCACCAGGACTTGTTGAGCCCTATATAGTGATCGCTGTGAAAGTGACTGAGAAAGTAGGCTTTACACCCTTCGACAGCCCCGTAGCGGAAAGCATCGACGCATATGGAAAACCCCGGAATAATTTTGTAAAATGGGCAAGTCCGCTGGTAGGCTTGCTTGCCGCGAGAAGACACCTCGTTTGCGGCTGCAGTAGCCCAAGCAGTATCTTCTGCGTTTCCAGCCATCATCTTTGAGAATGCAGAACCTCCAATGGGGTTTTGCTGCGAGTAGGGGTCTCCTTGCGCAGGCCGAGCGATGGCAGCTCGCTCTGCGCGTGTCAGCCCTTTATCGATGTCGGCTGGCTTGGGAGTTGGCTTCACCATGGGCTTAGAAGCAGGTGTGGCCGGGGTAGGGTTGGTTTTGCCATCGAGGCAGTCGTTGACATGCACTGCAATGTCCTATTCTGGGAATCAGCACCTCAATAGACCCGAATGGCAGTGATGGGCACTTACCGTTTCATTAAGATCCTTCAGCTTCATTTGGCAGATAGGGCACGTGCTCACTTCTCCCTCAACATCTTCTACACCCGAACAGTCGTTCAAATACTTGTCAGGATCTACCTCAAGGTCGATTTGCTGCTCTTGTTCCTCGCCCTCCCAAGGCCGATTTCGAAACTCTTCCCCTATAAGCTCGTCTTCTTCTTCTATATCGTCAAAATTTGCGTATTCATCATTATCGGTATTATTCGTGGCAATTCTTACCAGTGGCTGGGGTGTGGGTTCGGAAGTGCGTTGTGTAGCCACTATTGGATCCATTTGCGATGTCTCTTTCGTCACATCCCTGGTGGTAGATGTGCTTTCTTGGAGTTCCCGGTATGCTTCCATGTCATCCTCGCTGTCTGACTCATCGATAAATGGTCCGCTTCGTTTCTGGACCTTTGCGGGTGCAGGTGTTGCTGCTGGTGCTTTTGTAGTCTTCGATTCGGCATCTGATTGTTGTGTCTCGCTGACCGGGCTGTCCGGTGAGTCAACCCTCCGACGCTTGACTGCAGTGTCGCTCTCATTATATCGCTTATCATCCGTCTTCAAGAAGTCTTCATTGTCACCCCAAAAGTCAGGCGTGAGCGATCGCTCTCTTTCACTCGTCACCGCTGTCTGTTCAATCTTCGCCAGTCCCTTTTTATCCTCCAAAAAAAGCCCACCAGTAGCATCATTTCTTGAACTGTTCCCCGTTGGAATGTCGGGGTCGCCCGGCCGCTGCTCGGTGAGCGTGAGCTCGCCGTTGCAAATTGGGTGATCCGAGCCTGGCGAGAAGTGGCGCCCGGGGGCGTGTCGGTCTTCTGGAAGAAACTTAAGATGCTCGAATTGCGCTTTATCGAGGATTGTCTTGTCCCAGAAGAACCTTTGGATGGCGTGGCCCCCTTCTTCGCGTAAGACCCGGCCATTGTGGCTCGGTCACGGAGGGGTAGGAGTCGGCTGCACCGTGCAAGAATCGAGTCGTGGAGAGAGTATAAGAAAGTTTGCACCTGGTCAAAAGTAGTTTGACGTCAGATGAAACGCAAATATGTAGTATGTTAGATGTACAATTTATTCATATTATGTCCACGGTCGCCAGTGAAAATGTCAAGATTACTCGGGTCGAGAGGCGCGAAGAAACTGGATCGCGACACGAAGTCACGTGGTCGTTATTACTCTCCAATCTGGAGGACTACATTCGATTTGAGTATGTTTAGAGCGTTGGGATACACTAAAATGGCCAAAAGAAAGTTGCTGTTCATTATTGCAAAAAAAAAGTCTAACGAGGTATCATGAACAACGCAGCCCAGGTGCCAGCATGAGCTATAGGCAGGTACTCTCCGACGAAATTGCTTTTGCGGCGTATCAGCAGGATTCATGAGCTCGGGAGCGATCCAAGGTCCATTTGGTATCTTGGGCGCATTCGACTGGTATGGGAGTTTCGAATATCCTTCGTTGCATGAACCCGTCTGCACGGTCATCAAATGGATCATCTCAATATTGGGGGCCACATGAAACCCCAGAATTTTGGCCATATAGTCATTTTCTTTGCTGGAGACCACCTAGTGGGAACAACGGTATTGAAGAGCGCGATGCGTGATTTGTCGTAAAATTGGGGCCATGATCGTTTACCGAGCTTTGCCAGCCTGGTTGGCAGCCTCTGTATGATGACTCTATCAGTATTGATTCGAATGGTAATCGATGTCGCAACCCTCGTAGGTATTCCAAGGGAGGCAGGAACGTAGACTGATCTTAAGAACTAAGCTCGGGATGATGCGCAACTCACCTCGCCGTGTGGCATCCTCCAACAACCCCACGTCGACCTCCGACCGAGGCAACATCACGTACCGTACCACACTGCCTCGGATGAACATGTTCTTCACCGAAGACAGGTGAGGGTACTTGGCCAGGTCCAATACTTCGATGTCGTCGAGCTTGATGTTTAGGTATTGGTCGACCGATTTCAGGATTCCACGAATACGGATGTCATTCTTAAGCTCAATGGTGACCGTTTGGTTAGTCAGAGTCTTGAAGAAGCTGCAGTGCAGAATATATTAGTTCCCATCTGTGTAAAATGAGTTTGCGCTTCGCGCCATAGCATACCTGAAGAAAAGCATGGTTGCGGTGAATAGGAAAGCTTGGAGGGGTGCTTGGATGACGAAAGGTGCGCTGGATCAAAACAGCGACTTGTGTTCTGCCGATATTGGACAATGCTGCAGGTTGGATTTGAGAGCTTGAACAATGGGTTTCACGAAATTAGAGACAGGAATGTCGGCGGCGCTCGAGAGTTGGTAAGGTGAGTTGCAAAAGAGGAGCCGTCGGAGGTGGTCACGTGCATATCCCCGTATAAGGCGCCGATTGAGCAAAACCCGATTGAGCCAGAAAACATCCCCATGAAATAAAAGACTCTACAATGTCTTCAAATTTAATTATTTGTGGTTCCTCACACCAACTCTGCACTACGTCCGCTACACGCCGTGAAACATGCTTTGGCCCATTCCCCATTGAACAAGCCTCAAGCGCTATCACACACCGTCTAGTCCTGAAATGAACTTGAATACTCACATTTCGGGAACTGTATTCCCTGATCGAACAGTTTGCATAATGCAGGTTGGCTGAGCGTGTATGAACACATGAACAAGGGCATGGGCCTACCTATCGAACGCCTATCACTTCAAGTCCACCCGGTCTTTCTGATGATACTGATTCCGTTGAGGCTTTATTCAGGCTTTGCAACGATCTGATTTTGACAAGCATCGCAACATGGATATCAAAATCGCACTCAATGACGACACATTTGGCATTAACCTGCTGCTGGACACCAAGAGCTTCCGGATGGATTAGAGAGAAACAAATCCCGTCGATTCTGAGAACTGGGAACGGGACATGACTTGTATTTGGACCTTGGCGCCCAAAGCCAAGATCTCAAGCATCGGCCTCAGGCACTTGAGCACCACCAATATTCTTACCCTAGATCCGCCCGTCATTGGTTTCAATGAGGAAATTCGTCTGAGGGCCCCTGAGGATGTTGTCTTGCTTGATGATATCTTCGAATACTAGACATTTTCACCTTGGGGCCTGTTTGATTGAGACGTCACGTCTGCTGGCACTCGCCAGTTGAACTAATTTCATTTCCGCGTCCATCAAGATATACAGAGACGGGTCAATTTCGGTTACTTTGGGTACATATTTTCTCCGGTCTCTTTCGGTTGTCTATAAAATAGAGGCCTCCTACGCGGAACAAGCTGCTAGAATAACAAGCTGAGACAATCTTTAACTATCCATCGCTCTGCAACATCCCGATGTCCGGTAAGGAACCCCTGCTTACTAGTATTAAGTCGAAACCCAACTTGGTTTGGGAGGTGGTCTATCCTTCAGCACAATGTATATTGTGCTGTTAGTCTGAAACGTAATTGTGGAAACTATATACTTCGTACAATGTATGTAAAGGCACTCCCAATCTCGGAGGATGGCCTAAACCATTCATTATGCCCGGGCATTTCAAGGCCACATGCATATATGTATGTAAGCAGATTCCAATAGATCGTCAGATATATTGCATCTAGGATAGGGAGCGGACAGAGTCTTTTGCTTAGAAAATGGTACTTCCTGACAAAACTATCATTTAGTTGAGATATAATTGGGATACATATGTTTTCATTGAGTTATTGCTCTACACACATTATGATCTTTGGTTCCCGTGGTTGAGTGATGACTTCTAAACTCCTACAGTAGCGCCAACTTCTGGGAAGTATACCCGATAAGAGGGGAAGTGTATGACAGTGGCTCATAACGACATGAGCAAGACTATATGATTTGTAGTTGAATTGGACTTCCGGGCTCTACGCGCCTTTAGGGTCACATCGGTGTAAGCAATTGTAAGCAAGTTGTCAATAGTACATGATCACATTGATATAAGAGGGGGAAAAATGTGACAATGAGGTCAATTAGCACATAATTTCTATTATTATTCCTTGCTAAGAGAGTACATCTCTAGCGTGCAGTAGTATCGTGTACTACATATGTACTCACTTGGATTGGGCCATTTCCCCTCATTTTCCCTCTTTTCTCCCTTCTCTGCCCGATGATCGTCACCTTTTCTTAACGATTCTGGTATCATATGACATTAATTATGATGATTTCCTGCCTGTTTAGGTGCCGGAAAAGTGCATAATTGATGTTCCATCCACCTCGGACGGTCACTAATTTGGCTAAAGATAGTAGTCCGGCGCGTACACTCGACCAATCATCAACCTCTTCACACTGCATCTCACTCTCATCCCACTCCCCGAGCGGTTCGTCACACTATCTATGAACCTCATTCGTCCGTTTTCACATTTTTAAACCTCGTTCACTGGACTCTTGTTCGAAAAATGGCCTTGGCTCTTTGCTCACGGGAGAACCCCCTGTTCAGCGCGACGCGCCCATTTCCTCTCCACCAATAACATCAATATTGGCTACCCTCCAGACCAGGGTTATTGGATGGATTGTGCTCAATCCTGCATTAGTCTCTGTAACGGAGTGACTCTTTCTGAAGAGGGATCGGCTGCTCACTGCACATACCCCGTGGCTGGTGGAAAGCGCCCAATCGACTATAAACCCTTCCCAACTGCCACAACTTCTGTGAAGGCTAGCGTTCTTCGTTTTGTTGCCCTCACTCTCTTATCGGTGCCTATAGCTCTGGTAGCTTTTGCATCTGATTTATTTCCTAGTGTTATCTTGTTATCTTGTTGTCTTGCTTTCTATCTTTCACTTTCACAGACCCGTTGATCGGTGTCATTTCCTACGAGTCGAGATACCCATAGATATTTCCCGTGAGCGAGTCACACAAAACCAACATCCAACAGTTTGATCAGTTGTGCAAGATGACCGACACACTCCGCATCTCGAATGCACGATTTCCGCCACCTCGGCAGGCCCGAGGGACGGTGCTTAATACTATAATGGAGGATACGCGCGAATCTCATTTCGCTCAAACCAGTCCGAAAGGCTCAGCTCCTTCCAGACTTACACCGGCAGCTATCAGCCCGCAGTTGAAACTGCAGACCAGCGGATTGTCAATACCAACACACGCCCGCCTCGCCCGCCTAATGTCGCCTCTCTCAGCCGGGACTACCTCATCCTGCTCAGATACAGAATGGCAGTCCCAGATGGAAGGCTTCAGAGGATACGACGACATGTATGATGCCTCAGATGATGATAGTATTGACGACAATGAGACCGAAATTAGCGATTCATGCTTTTCCCCTGATACGCGGCCATCAAGCTTGATTACACCAATCACCCGGAACTCGGTGACCTCGACTGGGAGTCGGAAGCGGTCTCTGACACTCGACATTCCATCCTCTGCGTTGTGGCCGTCAATGAACGGTTCCCTCAAGGGCTCCCCAGTCCCGCCGACGCCTCCAGCCAAGATACCAGTCTCGCCGGCAGCACTGTCGATGCTCAGTCGTTCCGTGCCTGCATCTTATGCCCCGCCTTCGCTCGATGGTAGTATGACTTCGGACCAAGAATCAGTAATAAGTGCATTGGCTACACCAGACTCTCAATCTCTACCAGACACCAACTGGGATGCACATGATATCCATGTTCGCCGAGATCTGGACGGAAGTGAAAGCGATCTAGACGATGGGGATGCCCATTCAGATATTCAAACTGTCCCCATTGCGATCGAGGCCCCGGATGAGGACTGGCGTCATGTTCTGGGAAGTTTCCCCCGGATTCCCGCTGCTGCCCAGGCATATTCACCCCCACTCTCGCCATCGCCCTCCCCATCCTTTCATATGAATAATGAGCCAGTTCGTGAATATGACGATCTGTACGACGCCCCACGGCCTATTGATCAAGGCGGCCTTCTGCCTAACTCGGCACTATCAATGCTACACCACAGTCACTTGGATGAGACAGCCGACTCGTGGTCCGAGACCTCGGAGGATAAGGGCGAGATGTGGCAACTCCAGCCGCCTCCCAACCGCCCGAGGAGTGCTGACGGGGTGACCCCCGCATCTGAACTGTCTGGATACAGTTTCAGTGACCTGAGCATTCCATCTCCTGGTGGGTTCTTTGCCTCTTTGGCTCCCCGGGCGCGCCACACGTGGTCAATCCCCAACACCAATTACCCACCATCTTCAGCTGCTGCAGAAGGGTTCTACAATCTTCCTTGGCGTCGGGATGAAGGAGAGATTGTCGAGCAGGTACTTGACTGGCCTGAGCGTCCTGTTGACGAAGAGCCAGTCACAGCAGTTCGTGACGAAGAGGCACCGCTTACTGCCATTCGACTATGTGACACACCCACTCGTCGATCTATCTACCAAGATAGCCCCATGAGTGCTGCATTTGATGCAGTTCAAGTTCAGGAGATCCCCCGCTCTGGGAATGGATATGAGTACGACGAATGCTATGACCAAGAGCTACAGGAGCGTGCAGTTGCGAGCCACGACAGGACCAGTATCTGGCTGTCTGCCCAAGCATCATACATGTCCGCTCTCAATGAAACAAATCCCGTTAATGACATTGAGCCTATTCAATCAGCCGAGTCTGATGACGCCGAGACTGAAGCGAAAGACAGCACAGAAGATTCTTCCAAGAAGATGGTGCGATTCGTCGAAGGTGTCCCCGAGTCCCTCAGTCCTCTGCCCCCGGTCCTTGCTAGCAAGGATTCAATTTACTGGCAAGGCTTCCAGTCTATTCGGGAACGGTCAACCAAGACTGACGGGTTTATGCATCGCAACATGCGTTTCGATGCTGTGCAATCCATGCGCCTCGCCATGACCGACTTGCATATCAACTGCTTGCTGGGCAAGTACGAGCTTGTTCGTCCCGAACGTCCTGCATACAAGGGCCCCTTTGCCAAGGCGCCCCGCAATTCGGTGATTACCTCCGAGCTGGCAGAGAAGGCCCAATTTGACAAGGTGGAGAAAGAACAGCTGGTTCTTGCTCAGCTGTCCCAACCCATGTGGGCCATGGATGCCCTCCGGTCTCTCAACGGCGGCAATCTGCTGACAAGCCCTGCCCAGCGCGTGCTTGCACGAGCCTCATCAAAGCCCAAGGCCCCGCAGGGACCACGCAAGCGCAGTCTCCGCATCCTGGATCTTGGTGGTCACTCGTCCTGCGACTGGGCTTGGCAAGCAGCGCACGAGTTCCCAAACGTCAAGGTTTACACCGTCTCCTCCAAGAACCAGACGGTAAACAACGCCATCAAGGGCCCTCCCAACCATCGCCAGCTAACCGTCGCCAATCTGTGGGAGCTGCCCTTTGGCAACAACCAGTTCGATGTCATCTCCGCCCGCTCTTTACCCGCACTCTTGAAGACCGAATGTCCCGCGGACAAGGACCGCGATGAGTACGACCTAGTTCTGAAGGAGTGCATGCGATGCCTCAAGCCAGGCGGTTACCTTGAGTTCCAAGTTCTTGACGCCGAGATCTCGCGGGCAGGCCCGTACGCGACCGCAGCGTCAGTGGAGTTTGCCTTCAACCTGCGCAACCGGGGTTACGACCCATTAGCGTCGAAGAGTTTCGTTGGCCGTCTCCGCAACACCGGATTCGTCGACACGCAACGCGCGTGGATGTTCCTACCGATGGGCACCGAGCCCGTCGAGCAAGAGCCTATGCGTGAGACTCCCGCACCGCGTGTGCAGAGTCATATTGAAGATTATGAGGCGGTGCAGGGGCCGGTTGGTAGTACTGCGGATATTGCCAGTATGACTGGGCTGATCGGGGGGTGGATGTGGGAGCAGTGGTTACTGAAATTGCGAGTGGAAATGGGTCGCGAGCGATCAATGCTGCTTGAGGGTCTTGGCGCGGTGTTTGACGAAGGGAGGAAGAGTGGTGCGGGCTGGACCTGCCTCTCTGGATGGGCTATGAAGCCAAAGAAGAGTTCGGTCTCTTTAGCGTAAGGCTCTATCTAGGGATATTGGTCTATATGTATTTAGCTCTGGCCCTGGTGGCTCGCAATTAATGTAATCACTGGCAATGCTTTATGAGATGTTTTCAAACCCCAGCACAATATATAAAACTATAGATGGCTCCTTCCTTCAGTGGGCTACTCTCACTTCATCCGTACTTCATCCCTTCTTTTCTCCCGCCCGTCTCTAATTCATCGTCGATGTCTTCCATTTACCCTCAAGCCTCTTTGGCTCCCTACCACAGTTCAGACTCGAGTGGTTCACTTTCATCCATCGCCACTTCATCTACATCTGGCCTCCTCCGTTACTCTCGGTTCACCTATATCTTCCTCGAACTCAGGTCGATAGGCTCGACGCTACGACCGCGGAAGGGTTCACCGCAGACGGGCCGCATCTAACACGCCTCTCGGGAACCTGTTTCTGTGTCTCAGGCCCAGGCCGTATACACGATTTGCGGACTTTAACTGCCTTGCATGCAGTACGAGAACGTCTCGGACGTTATTGGATTAGGCACGACCATGCGAGGCCAGCACGAGTTGAGGTTGGTATCCCGGAAATCGATAGCTAATATCAGCGATGCTTCGATTCCGCATTACCTGGACAAAGAGAAACCTGGCCTGAAAAGGTTGGTCGGAGCCTCCACCGTTTAGAAGCCCTCGCTCATGTATGACCTTCCCCAAGGACATGTATTTCACTCGTTCTCACGTAGACGAGAAATGATTGCGATTTCATCACTGCGAGTAAAAGACATTGCAACATATTCTCGGTTTAAAGCACATACAGTGAAAATTTTGACCGAGAGCTGAAAAGGATCAAATCATCTCCTAAGCCTAAAAGTAACCAGATGATGAATCGGTCCCCCAACACCACAGAGATCATGGATTCCATCACCACGCATGATCTGCGTCCGGGGGCGGCGAGAGACATCGCTCATCTACCCATAAATAAGCTGGTCATCAATGGTGAGGAAGTGACCGCTTCGGACAGACGGCGGACCGACGGAGCAATATGTGTGGGGAGTCCAAGAGGACTTCTGGAACCTGCGTGCGCTATACCATGCCCGTCAAGGCATACGCGTAGCAACCATTGCACCAACCCCATTCAAGTCACCAAAGCTTCAACCCGAGGAGCTGACCGACTTTATGCTGACTTTATGCTGCAAAACCTTCGCAGCGCTGGGTTTATCGGAATTGAAACAATTGACTGTGGCCCCGACGAGGATGCCCAAACGTTCTGCTGTCCCATTGCATCAGCCCTCGAACCGTGGCCAAGGACGTCCTCTCCGCTATTGCTCCTCCTCTCCTCCAACATGACCGGCGGGTGGTACGTACCGATCAGGAACGAGTAAGGGTAAAGAAGAAGACGATGCCTATTTGCCAGTATACATACCGAGCAGAGCTCGAAGTCTGGGCAAGCACCATCATTCCAGTAGGAATGTTTATATTAGTTGAGCCAGTCTTTTCAAGTTCTCAAATTTCCAGGTTTCTGTCTTTGCCCTCGTATTTTTATTTTAGTCTGGAGGATGATTGGGAATAGCCGCGAAACATCGAATAAGACTTGAGACGGGCTGTTCAGGTCACAAGACGGCGCCTCTCCCGCATCTGAATTGGAACGAACACGTGGAATGTAGGAATCAAGTGAAGGCACAGAGTAGGGAATTTCAGAGCCATGAGTGCTCTATGTATGTTGTATTTTGCGGATTTATAATCCGAGTTGATACCCGTGGACCCCTGGAGTATTCACAGATTGCATGAGTCATGTCCTTCACTGCAACCCCACTATCTACTCCGGATGGTGTACAATATAGTATACTCTTTCCATGATCTCAAACCAAAATCAAAAACCGGGAACTAGCTTTAAGCCAAATGGTCACATGAGGGTAATACCAGCCTATGCTGTGACAGCATAAAAAATGTTGGGAGTCCAGACAATGTTGACGATACTCCGGAGCAGAGTGCCCCGCTACAAGCACAGACAATGGCCCACCCCCCAAAGCACGACATATCTCTTTGGACAAGCGGTTATTCCAACGGCTATTGAAGTACGGAGTACTCCGTACTGGGCACTGGATTGGAGTATTTGTACCCGATCTTGGAGTTAGAATGATGTGTTGTAAGCCGATCGGCGAAGGGGAGATTAGCTATAATGCGTTGTACATATAGTCAGACGACTGATCACCAAGCCAATAGTAAGACATATATAAAGTGGTACAAGCAGTCAGTCAGGATTCAAGAAATATATACAGCATATATATATATATATATACATCGATGCAAGACTGCTAAGGAATAGCTACCGGGATTCCAATGGGAGTTGAAAGGCGAACCTGTACGGAGAACATTTCCTGATTGGCTGCAGCACTGAATTCGGCGGCTTCGCTGCAGATTCCAGGCGATACCTATTTCATCTTAGATCGGACTATAAGCCCAGTTAAGCCCCTGTCTATCAAGGTCAGCAGACTTGAATATTTTCTCCCGGCATCACCTAAATAGGTTATCCAGAATGCAAGGTCTTGTGCCGATCCTCCTTTTTCAGATCATCTGAGAATGAGCTTCAACATGTACATTTGGTAGATAATTAAGAGATACTAAGGACATAGGACATTTGAAGTCAAGATGGCCCGTAGATTGAGTCTAACACGTGAGAGCCAGAGCCCTTATCGTTTGCATCATGACTCTACAAAGGAGGAGAGGGGTGTTCTGGACTTTAAATAATTAAAGATTCGAAGGATAAAAGATTAAATAGATTAAAAGGCAATCAAAGAACAAGGAAAAAGGCACACTAACAGTATATTTTAGTATATTTCTGGATTTACGGTGAACCGGGCATATCCACTCTTCGCCACTGATGTAAACAGCCCAGAGCTTCAGATCTACTTTTTTTTTCCTTTATAACCCCTCCACCCCTCCAGACTCCCTTTTCCAATCCCTTCACTCCACTCCCCATACATACATACACATAATGGCGCCGCCCGCTATCATCGCTCCCTCCATTCTCAGCGCCAACTTCGCCGATCTGGGCCATGACTGCTCCAAGAAGATGGAGCAGGGCGCCGACTGGCTGCACGTCGACATTATGGACGGCCACTTCGTGCCCAATATGACCATCGGCTGCCCCGTCGTATCCCAAATCCGCGGCTGCGTCGACCGTCCCTCCGAACCCTGCGGTCGTGGCACTTTCGATTGCCACATGATGATCATGGAAGTGAGTTATAGACTTCCCACATACCCGCATCATTCCGGCACGTCATGAGCTCTCCCCGCTGACAATTGTGCTTCGTTACAGCCGCATAAATGGGTCGTGGAGTTTAAGAAGGCCGGTTGCGATCTCTACTGCTTCCACTACGAGGCTGCGGTTTCCTCCGTCGCGGCGACCGATCCTACAGATAAAGAAACCACCGCTCGTACCAGTCCCAAGCAATTGATTCGCTATATACACGAGCAGGGTATGCAGGCTGGTATCGCGATTAAGCCCGATACCCCCGTCGATGTGTTGTGGGATATTATTGAGAGCGAGGACCCCGCGGAACGACCAGACGTGAGTGATTTCCTTTTTTTTCCTTGTTTCAGGTCCTTTGTGGACAGATTTCCGTTTCTTCCACGCCGTGTTGATTCAATTGCAATTGTACTAACGACGTTTCACAGATGGTCCTGGTCATGACCGTGCACCCCGGTTTCGGAGGTCAGAAATTCATGGCCTCCGAGCTCCCCAAGGTCGCCGCCCTGCGTGCGCGCTGCCCCGACCTGAACATTGAAGTCGACGGCGGTCTCGGTCTGGGTACTATTGACCAGGCTGCCGATGCAGGCGCTAACGTGATCGTTGCTGGCTCAGCGATCTTCGGCGCACAGGATCCCGGCGACGTCATCGCGAAGCTGCGCGAGGCTGTCCAGAAGCGTCGCGGCGCGGAGCAGTAGAGGGGACGGGGTACATAGCACAAAACGGGGTTTGGGAGTTTCGTTTTTGGCCTCATTTATGGGTGTTCAGTTTTATTTCCTTATTTATTTTCGCTTTTATATTATACATTCTTAATCACGAGTTATGAATGGCATCTACATGTGGGAGCTAACTGTCCACGCTTCCAAAAGTTATTTACATTTTCATACTGTTGGTACGAAAAAATCGATTGTAACCTTGTCAGGCATTCTTGATGTACAGATGTCATAATCATCGAATTCGTGAACAGCAACTCCCTCCACCCATAGATGTAGTCGCCTACTCCGCCGACTTGCCTGCGGGAGCCAGCCCTGCCTTGGTATCATCCTTCGCATCTTCCGTCTCCTTGGCACCGGTAGTCTCCTCCTTCTTAGGCTCCGACTTGATCTCTTGAGGCGCCACAGCCGTCGCAATCACTTCAGCAATAGCATTGCCCTTAGGCTCATTGGGTTCCATAAGCGCTTCCTTATTCTCCACAGCCACATCGTCGATCGGACTCGGTACCTCCTCAATCGACTCGGTCTTCGCCTTATTCGCAGCCTCTTTACGCAGAGCATCAAGATCGCCCGTAGGCTCCGCAGAGACGGACTTCCTAATCTCGCGCACTGCCTGTTCCTGATCCGCGTTCTCGAGTGACGACACCCCGGACGAGCGATGGTGTCCAACCAATCCGAGCACCTCTGCATTATCCGCGTGGAAGTTTGCCGATGATACGGCCGCTTGTTCGGGGACTAGGCTCGGGCGTTTCATGGTCTGGGGTGAATCCGGTGCGGCGTCTGGCAATTCGGGGGCGACCGAGCCACGGTGTGCGCGGTTGGAAACAGGTACCTCTGTATCCTGTTCTTTCGATTCTTTCTTATCGTCTGTCTTGGTCTTCGCTTTCGAGGCAGCCTCAGAGCTAGCCTGGCGCAGAGCTAGCACGGCCGTATCATCCTTCTTCTCTTCGGGCTTGGTAACGGGAGGGGTTTGGATCTTGATCGTAGAGGGTTTGGGGGTGGTGGGCGTGGGCTCGGTTTTGGTCTCTGTCGCTGCTGGGATAGGATTGCTGGTGGCGGGCATTCCGCCCAGGTCCTGCACGCTGTTTACTACCATACGTAATTCTCCGAACTCGTTCCATTCTTCGATCTGCTCCAGATCCTACACGTCGGGGTTAGCGCTGCGATCATGGTATAATAGAGCTGCGTTGGAATCTCGCGTCCATGCGAGCGGCTGTCACATACTCCCACAATATCGCCGTATTTCACCAATCCTGGAAGCTTCTTGCCCTTGGAGCGTCGGCCCCACAGCTTACGGGCGGCTTCGTCGGTGGCGACATCAATGGCGCGGAAGGGGAGCTTGTTCGCTTTGAGGATTGTCTCGATTCGGGCGGTCGCGGTAACGATGTGCGATGACCCCGCGGTCAGGGAAGTGTAGAGGTAGAGGGTTGAGTCTGACATGGTGGAGGTGTGATGAAGGTGGAATCGATGAGGGTTGAGGATGGGGGAGGGTGGGAAAGGGTCTTTGGAGGAAGTTTCAATTCATTCAGGGGTTAGTCTCGTCTTCGTTTGAGCATCTACTGGAGCAAAATAAATTATTTACCCCCTGGAGGATTTATTATGACGTGGCTAGGGTATCACGTGCTGGTTAAGTACTCTATTTCACAGCAAGATTCTCCCCCTTATATACTCATTATGTCCTCTATGATGTACCCCTATTCCCCTCATTTAACAATCTCCCCACAGTACGAGCCGTTCCATAACTATCTGCCCTGGAAAATGGGCCCAGTGTGGCAACTTGACGTCAGATCCAGTATTGTAAGTATCCGGAATATTCTGGATTTCGGTTTCAGTCTGGAACAGGTCTATAATGTATACACCCTAGGTAAAGACGAGATAGTCCAAAGAACATGTGCCATGCATAGGGCACCTGTCACAGGTTCATCAAGCACCATTATCTGGACTAAGCTCTGAGTGCATGGTCAGCATGTCTACCCATGTCATCGGCACTTAAGAGTTGGGTAACAAGTTTTAGCAATGTCAACTTGAGAGCTTTTGGGCACTTCTAGTACTTGCGGAAGTTTCACCATGCTATTCATATATATCATATATATCTACGGAGTATGTATCAGGTAGTTTCAGGTGGTTTCAGGAGATCTTCCAAGGTTTATCGATCTCTGGTAATTCAATGTACTATGGGTGATGTTTCAATATCCTGGATTGGAAGATTATTTGGTGAAATAATTGCCAACATACTCCGTACAACGATCCGACTTGCCATCGTATAGCAGGAAAACGCCATTTGCTTCCCGGGAGCACACTGTCTGAGAGTACCCAACAGCCCGATATATTCTGCATCTCTTTAGTATAGTCACCAGCATGCGACATGCGATATAGATAGTGTGCACCTGTACTATCCTTGTAATGGGAAGGAAGAATATATCAAATCAGCACCAGACGTCCCTATGTTATATCAGGAATATATATGCAATATATATCCACGGCACTCCGGAGGTCTGAAGAGCCTCAAAACACGCGTCCTCTAGAGGCGCAGCGATAGATATAATCAAGCAAACCGATCATGTTAATAGACAAAGAAAATTAACTCGAACATCCCGTCTGCTTGAGAATTGGGACATGGAGCTTGCATCGCATCTTGATCTGTGCTGACATATACTTCCCGGGTCATGAAACGCTGCACCACAACTGATTCGGCGTCTGGAATCTATTACTATTGGGGCCAGTTCATTTCTAGCGCTCGTCGGCAATTCAGCTGAGCTATCCAATGTCACAGGATCGACATAGTGAAGCAGGCTGCATCTGCATGCGTTTAAATCCCGGGGAGGGTAGGAGTGTGGTTGCGAGGTACAGAAGAAATATACGGACCAGCAAGATACAAATTCTCCAGCCGTTATAATCCGAGTCCAACCCTCCTGTGAGCTCGGGGAGTCAATACTATCAGCTGAGGCTTAGGTATGAGTAGAATACTTACGTTGTATACTAACTCAATATAGGTTTCCCGTTTCAGTGCCATGCATTGGGCTGGCTTCTGCTCGTGCACACTCTCTAGGAGTTTATAGCCTATCATCCAAGGTGGCTCATCTTCGATGTTTTCCTAGTCTCACGTGTGATCTATCCTATTCAAGATAGCCTCTGGGCGCAGGCATCAGCTCTGAAGCTCTGAGCATTAATGCAGGGGCAAAGCTCATCAGCGTCTGGGCCATGTGACGCGCGCAGACCCAGGCGATCTCTTGACATCGATAGTACATTAAATAAGCAACTGAGGACCCCGTGCTCTGCCTATCCTTTTTTGACATAAAATAAATTTATGTCAGGGGGCAACTTTTGGAGGATTCGAGTAGACGGTGAGAGCGTAAAACGTGTCGAATGTTGGGACGACTCCTAGGCCACCCTGTGGGCGATAGACCATGAAACCAAAATTCGCCCATTCGACGGGAGTTATCTGCTTGTCTCGGACGGGGAAAATTGTACATCGTACTCCGTACATCAAAATTGACGACTATAGTGAAGGATTTCCCTCTTAGGCAAAAATGCCCAGCCCGGCGATCCTTATTGACCCCGTACAATGTATCCGTAGGCCATGTTGTGTCCAGTCCCATGAAAGTCCATCCTGAAACAGAGATTGACGTAACTGATCATCCTAACTCACAACGGAATCGAGACACAGAGTAATCCGTACTTTGTCTCTTTCTCACGAGTCCGAGATTGCCGCTGAGTCTAAGGAAACTAATTCCAGTAGGTAGTAGTCGCTAACGTCCTCGATGATCATCGTCATTATGGAGCAATAAATGTCCAACCATTATCCGATCAGGAGATTGATCCAACGAAAACCGTGGAGCCTCCGTACTAGTCTCGCACCAGTAAACCGAGTTTATCCCAAACGGTCTCCGTACAGCTCATCACGTGGAGGGGACGATCCATCGCTAGTGTCTTGCAGAGTCAGGAGTTGAAAGAAAGAGACCATTATTGGGCACATCTGGTAAGCCAAAAATAACTCCAGGTGTTCGAACCCCCAACAAACAATAGCAAACTGCTTTATAGGGGGCTATCCCTGAGCCACAACCATAACTGGGAACCGTGGGACTGGTGCGGGAGTGACCCACGGTAACACGTGAATCGAACCGTTTTTGTGTGACCACTCTATTTCCTCGGGATTTCTATATTACCTCATTAACGAGTGTGCTATTATTGTTGCTAGTCATCTCTCGTCGGGCATTGGGCGCTGAACTAGGGAGCCAAACAGCATCTGCAGGATGCCCCAGCTGCCACACCAGTCGACGTGGCAGTCTTCGACGCGCCCGAGCGATCTTGGTCCGACCGTAGTAAATGGGTCCTGGGAGTCTCGGGATATGGCTGTGCTAGACGGAAAAATGGGCTGTTTTGCGGTCTCTTTCGGGCTCCCGCTGTAGGCGCTTGATCCTCGAGGGAATAGTGACTTGTTTATGTATTGTGCCATGTACTCCAGTCTACATGCATCAGGTCACTTTTCGTAAACAAAGCAACGATGCATCTGCTGGCTCGGGTCACGTTCGGGGTGATCCGGTTCGCTGCCTCGCTTTCGTTCTTTTTTTTTCTCGGACGTCTGCAGCTTCTGAGCCAACAGGCCCTCGCTTCTAGGAGTAATTGACTCTGTCACCCGGGTATATGCCTTTGGGGAGATGGCTTTGCTGATTGCTGACCTCCACACGGATAAACTTTGAGACCATAGTATTAGAGAAATAGGAGGGAAAATAGCGAAAGGAGAAACACATCACTACCCGAACATCCAAGGTTCCAGACCGATGATCGACTTACATGTCTCTTGGAGTATAGTAGTCTTTGCTAAGTGCCAATTCTCGTATCTCAGTTTGTGGGGAGTGTCCTTCAACGTCGACCGGAACTTTTGTCCTTTTCTCTTTTATCTACTCGTCTGCCCAATTTACATCTGCTTCTTCTCCCAACTTGTGATATCATTGTCTTGTCGTTTTTCTTCCCCGACCATTTACTATACAACGGAGTACATTTATCTCAACGCAGATCATCTTCACCTTGATTGCATTGATAAGATCTGCTATTCCACCCACCATCAGCTTCGATTTAAGTTTCATTTTTACTACTGCGCTCCATATATATGTACGACTTTCTCGCCTGTTATTGAAAAGTATGCGCTGACTGTTCGCAGAAATACAACCCACCTTTCTCTATCCATTTGATTACTGATAGACAGTTACTTCCCCGGCCATTGTGACGAGGACCCCACCACCATGACTGTCCATCTGGATGACAAGCTGTTCACCAGTGCCATCTCCGGATACCGCGAAGCATTTTTGGTCCAACACTCCCACCTCTCGGAATCTCAACGAAATCAGCTTTGGATTGAACAGCTGAGTCGGTTCATCCCGGCCTCGAACGACGGGGATACCAACTGGCAGCACGCTGGAAGCCTGGGGAAACGAACTCGACAGGATGCGACACCACGGACATTGCCATGTTCTGATTCGGGTCTTCCTCAGGCAAAACGGAGAGCCACCGTATGTGTGACCTTGGTTACTTGCTCCAATCTTCTCTGCTCCACCCCTCTCGCGCTCTCGTCTCCTAATCTCAATCGCCATTCGTCCTTGGATTGACAATTGGCAGACCCCGGATCTTTCAGTCGACCTAACCCGCGACTTATCCCACGTCTCCTCCCCTGACCTACTTTGGAATGGCGCTGCCTTCTCGGGACATGGCTCCTACCGACACACGCCCATGGAGCGCTCCCAGAGCCAGCAAATACCGGTCTCCTACCAGCACCAGCCAGACGGTGCCATCATAGGTAAACGCCAATCCTTCGGCCCGGTACGGACCCATCGTCGCCTCGACCATTTCGGAGTTTCGCCATCCGAGTACACCAAGTATTTGGACGCCTCTCCCGGTCAACCCTCTGACTCGGCCTTGACTTTCGGACTCGCAAATAATGGACAAATCGGACCGTCTTTCCCTCAATACCCTGACCGGACGTCCCCCTGGACCGACCAGGCCCCACCAGCTGCACCAGAGATGTCTCGCAGCAACACTACCGACTCCTTAATCGGCGGAATCAACATGTTCCGCCTCGACTCGACCGGACCATCTCAATATCAAGAACCGACCAGCTCCATCTCGCCAGAGTGGGTGCCAACATCCACCTCCTGCTTGCCGTATCAAGACCCCTTTCTCTCCCCTTTGTACCCTGACCTAGATCCCACATCGTCTTCCCGGTTCTCCCAACAATCTCCCTTCCCTCATCCGTCATTCTCAGCATCCGCTCCCCCAACCACCTCCTTCCACTACCCAATGCCCCACAATAATCTCCCCCTCGACTCAGTGGAGATGAAACCTTCCGACTCCATCGAGAGCAATGACTTGGCGACACAGCGCTCTCGCGCCGCGCGCCGCACCAAAGAGCAAATCGCCCAGGCTGCACGTCCCATTGCTCCAAAAGTCGAGTCCGCGGAAAGCAGCATGTCCCAGCTCGACTCCCACAAGATGCTCCGCATCTCCTCAGCAGACGGCACCACAAAGGAAGTCGCCGCTATCCCCAAGGCCTCTGTGCGACGACCCCCGCGACCAAAGACATACTGTAGCATGTGCACAGATCATCCAGATGGCTTCCACGGCGAACACGAGCTGCGCCGTCATATCGACCGCGTGCACGCCTCCGTCCGCACAGTCTGGGTCTGCAAGGATATCTCGCCTGGCAAGTACTTCCTTGCGAATTGCAAGGCTTGTCGCAATGGGAAGCGCTACGGTGCCAATTATAATGCTGCTGCACATCTGCGACGCACGCATTTCAATCCCTGCGAGCGAGGCCGTGGAGGCCGCGGGAAAGATAGCGAGAAGCGCGGTGGCAAGGGTGGAGGTAACCAGCCTAGCATGGATGTCTTGAAACATTGGATGATTGCCGCCGAGGAGGTCACCGATGAAGCGGCTGGCGGTGGTTCTAACTCGAGGCTTCTGATTCGCAATCCTAGTCGTGTTTCGACTAGGGACCCTGGATATCAGCTTGCTGTCGCTGCTTGTGGCCTGGTGGAGAGTCAGCCTCCCTATGTTGTGGAGTCAGCTCTGCTGAGGGAGTCTGACCAATTCCCCGAGTTTCCTGATGCGCCGTTTGAGTTTGATTTTGAGCTGGACTTTCTCGACAATGAGGGGTCGACGGATTCTCCGTTCTCCGGTTCGCAGTCATCCTACATGCCTGATATTGATTCGTATGTCAAGTGAGCGATCGTAGTCTGTTTCGTCTTTTGTTTTCTTTATTGTGTGTTATTTTGCGATTGTTAATCCAGATCATCGTTTGATCAGGTTCGTGTACTGTACTTTGGGATGTGATGCATGGTCACATGTGCAGTCTCTGGTGGTTAGTGGGATTGGATCTTCTTTTCGACTTGGACATATTTTCTTTGGCGATATATTATATATTTCGTGAGATAATGCCTGGTTGAGACCAGGTCTGAAGCAGTACTGACAGTGAGAAGCTCGAACTAATCCTTGAGAATGAATGGAACTTGAAGGTGCCACAACGTTGCAATTGAGAAGACCTGAGACATTCAAGTACGGTATTCAGCCTTGTACTTGTAGCTGGTACACGCGTCCGTATGTTCCGTGGTATGAGGGCCCAAGTACCAGGTACTGCCCAGGCAGCAACAATACGGGCGGTCTAATGCCAAGAGGCCTGGGCAGCGGTCAAATGATGTGAGTGGCTGAACACTTGTCAAAGCGGGGCCCCGTGTTACCCGGTGGCTGGTCCTCAACCAATAGAATGTCACCCATGGAATGCAATTTGTGGCTGACTGCGTTAGTTCGGCGATAGGGCTGGCACACTGTGGCTGACAGGTCGAAGGGGAATCCTGTGGCCTAAGTACTCAGTGGGTACCGGGATGGTTTTATGGCCTCCGGTATTAGGTATGAAGATGTAATTGTTCCTATGGTTTGTGGGTATGAAATGAATTGATTGGATTGAAAATCCACTCTTCCACCCAAATATAAGTGAAAAATCCTCAGAATCAATATTTACTAACAAACTCGGTTCATGTGGAGAAGAAGGGGAAAGGGGAAAAGACTAAAAAGCTACTTCGGAGTTACCTCAGCCCTGAAGTCTTGGCAGACAAACTTCTCCTATCGGGCGCACCGGCAAAGTACCCCCAAGTACCCCGACAATTTCCTTTTCTGCAATACAACCTCCATAAAGTGAGTTACCTAAATTTTTCTCCTTGTTTCTGACACTCTTAACTTCCCCATCTTCATCAACTTCACCTTCCTCTCTGTTCTCTCGCTTCACTCACTTACCCCGGTGGCTCAGCACAGCCTCCTCTTTCAACCAATCTCCGTCTCTGCATTGTCCCAGGTACGTGGATTTAACCGCCGTGGCGGCCATCCCGCCACTGTTGACCCTAGTCTCATCACAAAGGCGCCGCAAGGCCCTATAATGTTGATTGTTATCATTGTTATCACGGCGCTAATTCGTTCCCTTTGAGTTTAGACGTTTATCTCCCGTCGCTATGTCCTATCCGCAGCAGCCCCCTCCGCAAGGATATCCCCAGCCGGCGTAAGTCCTCTCTTTCAACACAATACTCGAATTTTGCCGCCCTATTGGGGCCAAATCATTCAAGATGCCGCAGCTGAGACTGATCGGCTTCTGTGCGCTTTGCGACCGTGGAAGTTCCAATCTGGTCTACAGCGAGCTTACGTCTTGATCGAGATGCTGAACATGGTTCTGATCAATTTATAAATACAGATATGGCTACCCCCGCAGGACGGCTACCAACAAGGCTATCCGCCCCAGGGCCAGTATGGCCCTCCCCCGGGACAGGTCAGTCTTGATATCGGCGCCTCACGTGCTCTACATACCATACTAACTGGTGTATAGGGGGGATACTACCCTCCGCAACCACAGATGCAACCTCAGCCACAGCCACAGCCAGAGAAGAAGGATAGGGGATGTCTCATGGGCTGGTAAGGATCAATATCGCGAGGGAAAATGGGAACTACGCTAACATGAGTGTTTTCTTTTTCTTTCAGTCTGATGGCGATGTGTTGTTGCTTCTTGTGCGAAGAGAGTTGCGAATGCTGCCTTGATTGCTGCGATGTCTGCTGCTAAGCTCTACGATCAATGCCATCGACGATACCTTTCTTCTTGCTGGCGTTGGAATTTCTCGATACGCTCCGCAGTGTTCTGGGACAGACTACTGCGCTCTTTCAATTGCAATAATTTATTTTCGTCTGCTACATTGGGCCTTTTCTTTTCTGAACACAGTGGTTCTCTTCAATATTTGTTCATCGCATTCAAGGTTGATGGACTCAAAAATTATCCATGCCTTGCTTAGATACATGTGCATATGTACTGAATGCATGAGAACATGATTCTATTCCGAGGTTAGGACTCTTCATTGTATCATTAAATATCACATGTAGGTAGCTATATAGAAACAGCCTATGTATGGTTCCAACCTTCGAAGGTTACACCAGATGCCGGTGAGCTTTAACCTAATCTTTATTTTATATATACTAAGACTGGCAGCGTCTCTAGGGCCCAGTTTTTTCAATACTCTCGAATTATTTCAAGATCCCTTTTTTTTTTCAAGCGTTTATTTAGCTTGGCGAAGTATTTTTGTCGCCGTTCAGTACCTAGGCTATATGACATTGACGCTGTGTTTATTTATGGAAGATTGGGTGATCTACAATAATATGGAGGCGCAGGGCTTGGTCTAAGCCAGTCTCGGGAGTGATTGGCAGGGAGCCAGTCTCCCTCCTGTGTCTAAGCGCCTTGTTCCATTCCATGCATTGCTGTCAAGCCAAGTGAAAGAAAGATTGTCTGAAACATTAATCCACAGAGCCCCCGATAATGTGGATGTCTATTTATCGAATTTTATTCCCTATTATTCAGCCATTTTGATCTTGTGTCTGGTCGTTTGGTGGCTCAACGAACCGTAATATATATTGGCATCGTTATGGCTACGGGAATTGGACCAAGCCCACTTGATACCAATGGATTGTGTCTCTTGTCTCTAGATGGTGGAGGCGTGAGGGGATTGTCAAGTCTACTGATATTGAAAGGCATGATGGCACAACTCAATTCAGAGCGAGAGGACAGCCAAGTCCTCAAGCCTTGTGATGTCTTCGACTTGATTGGCGGTACCAGCACAGGAGGGTGTGTATTGACAAAAGAGGTAGCGAAAGCTGGGCTGACATATGAGACGCAAATATTTAGACTGATCGCTATAATGTTAGGACGGCTAGAAATGGGTGTCGACGAGTGCACCCTTGCATACACCGAATTGATGGAATCGGTCTTCAGCGAGAAAATTAACAATGTTCCAGTTGATTGGTCTGGTAACATTGTATCGCAATACGATAGCAAGAAGCTCAAAAAGGCCATTGAGAATGTTATCACCCGGGCTGGCTTGTCGCCAACCGACCTGATGAATGATGGGAAGCCCCGTCGCTCTAAAACCTTTGTCTGCACAACCTCGAAAGACACTTTGCAAGTCACACGACTTCGAAGCTACCCTGTGCCGAATGAGACTACGTTACCGGCGACGATTTGTGAAGCAGCATTGGCAACGTCTGCCGCGACCAGATTTTTCGATTCGGTTTCAATCGGCAACCACCACTTTGTGGACGGTGCGTTCGGTGCCAACAACCCCATTGAGGAATTAGAAGAAGAAGCGGCCGATATATGGTGCACGACTAGCCGAGGTCTGAAGCCATTAGTGAAATGTTTGGTCTCTGTTGGAACTGGCAATCCCGCACAACTTCCCATGGATGATAATGTGCTTAAGTTTCTTTCAAAGACATTGGTTAGATTAGCGACGAAGCCTGAGAGCACGGAGCGTCGGTTCATGGCTCGATGGAGCAACGAGGCAAAAAGAAAACGTTACTTCCGTTTCAACGTCGAACAAGGACTGCAGGAAGTTCATATGACCGCATATGAGAAGCAAAGTGTTATTGAATCTGCGACATATGCTTATCTGCATCATTCCTCCCAGAAAGTGCGCGTTCGGGACTGCATTCTGAATCTATCTGCCAAGGAAGGTAGTACTTGAACCTGAGAATGTCTACATTGTTGTTACGAGATGCTGACAGCTTGCAGGAAAGACAAGCATTGACTTTGAAACAATCATACGTGTAAGATATGGATATAGCATTATCGAAAAGAATTTTCTTCTTGGCATGCTGAATACTGAATGTCTGGTACCTAGGAACATGGAGCTCGACTTGCTCGCCATCGAATCCTGCAAACCGTCCATTCCTCAGATGATCCTCTTCGCCACGGCAAAGCCTCAGGCTGGTTTGTTCCATTTGAGAGAAACCCTCGCTATGTAGACCGTGAGGTAGTGGGCAAGGTAAAACGCCGACTATTTGTCAAGAACCGAGCCGAGCGATTCGCTATTTTTGGCCTTGGAGGTATAGGCAAGACACAAATTGCCCTGGAGCTTGCATATCAGACAAGAGAGCTGTATCCAGACTGTGCCATATTCTGGCTCCCCGCAGTCGATATGGAAAGTCTCCAACAAGCATACCAGACGGTGGCCGACCATCTTGGAATCAGCCTCGATGACAAGAAGGTGGATGCGAAGAGCCTCGTCAAAGACCATCTAAGCAAGCCAAGCACCGGGCGATGGCTGTTGATCTTTGACAACGCTGACGATATTGATATGTGGATCGAAAACAAGGATTCGAAAGCTGAAGGGCTGAGAGACTACCTGCCCACGAGTGACCAAGGTGCCATTGTCTTTACCACTCGAAGTAACAAAGTGGCTCAGTACCTTGCTGCAACCGATGTTGTTCAAATCTCTGAAATGGACGAGCACAAAGCTATTCATGTATTGCGAAACTCTTTAGTTGACAAGGAAGCCCTCAACGATACCGAAAGTACTCGAAAGCTCCTCAGACGGTTGACCTTTCTTCCTTTGGCTATTGTGCAAGCTGCTTCTTTTGTCAACGAAAACAGAATCACGCTAGCCAGCTACGTTCAGCTTTTGGATGGGCAGGAACAGAACGCCATTGATTTACTGAGTGAGGACTTCGAGGACGAAGGTCGATATAAAAGCATTCGGAACCCTGTCGCGACTACCTGGCTCACATCCTTTGAGCAAATTCGACGACAGAGTCGCCTCGCTACGGACTATCTCTGTTTTATGGCCTGCGTGAAAGAGAAGGATATCTTGATCTCACTTTTCCCTCCAGCACCGATAGTCGAACAGCAAAAGGCGATCGGTATCCTCAGCTCCTATTCCTTCGTACGCATGAGGCATGAAGACTCTCGCCTCGATATGCATCGTTTGGTTCACCTCGCAACAAGGAACTGGCTACAGTCAGTCGGTTCACTCCGGGAATGGCAACTGCACGTATTGCATTGCTTAGCTGCGCGTTTCCCCCTGGTTGACCCTTTGAATCGGAGCCAACGGCGAGCGGCAATACCTCATGCTCTCCAGATACTCAATCTCACCGCGAGCGAAAATCAGCTTCCCGCTTGGCTGCACGTTTTACAATCGGTAGCCACATGTCACATTGGAGACGGAAGATACAGAGAAGCCGAGAAGCTGTTCAGCGAAGCTCTCGAAATTTCGGAGACTTTGTATGGTCCTGAAAATCTATATACACTATCTGTTCGTACCGGACTGGCGGATAGCTACTCGATCCAAGGCAAATCAGCGAAAGCGATCAAACTATCCAAGGAGGTAATAGAAAAGATAACAAATATCTATGGACCTGAGAGCCTCGAAGCTACCCGAGCTCTTTTCCACTTATCGCGCGTATACCGCGAAAAGGGTGATCATTACAAGTCACAAGAGCTTTGCAGGAAAGCCATCCCGCGCTTCCTGAAAGATGTTGGGCCGGGCTCTGCTGAGACAATGGATGCGATCTATACCCTAATCATGACCTATATCTCCCATGGACAGTTCTCGGATGCGACGGCATTATCTTTACAATCATTGGATATAAACAAAAAGGTAGTTGGGGCAGACCATCCTCGAACGACCGGGATTATGATTGGAATGGCCTGGATGTACATGGAGCAATGGCGACTAAAAGAGGCCGAGGCGTTGTTAACAGAAGCACTTGAGATTCGGAAACGCACATATGGGCCTGAACATCCTGAAACAATCAACACAATGATGTCGCTAGTTAGGGTATGGGAGTGCCGGGGTCAACGCAAAAAGGCCATTGCTCTGCGGACAGAGTGTATTCATATCAGTAGTCAATTGCATGGTTCAGATCATTGGGTTACCGCGAGCTTTCGCGCAGAATTAGAGGAATTGACGAACCCCAAGTGAGTTTTTCATTACTGCGCTGGAATCTGTGACCCGAGATACTGACACGATTGTGTAAGAACACTCCATTCCTTCATGAAAACGCATTTTACTACCTTCCGGCGTGCGGACATGCTGTTGGAACGGAGGACCCGATATCCCAAAGTCCAGATACTGGGTCGCTGGGCTTCTCGACCGGCGAAAAAAGGACCCACTGCTTCGCGAGATCCAAGAAGCAGTGAAGGGCATGTCCATCGACAGAAAAGTTTCGAGTGGTGCAGTCGCTCTAATTGATGGCCAGGCAGCCGAAAAGGATGGCTTCCCGAGATCATCCAAATAAGTCTCCCGATAATCTGTTTGAGGGCACATATGATTTCAAGACTTGTGCCTTTATCCTCTATACGACTTCAATAAATTTCCACCATCGTCCAAATTTGTCCTTTTCTGTATATAGTTTTGAGGCAAGAATGTGAATTAGAAGCAAATTTTATGCCCTGTCATTGAAATATGCTCGGAGTGGAAGAAAATATTTCGAGCAATCTGAGTGCCCGGAGTCCATTCAATCATATAACCTAAGCAATTTCTCAAAGTCTATGTGGGTACTTGGATTCTTGCGCAATTAGCGAGACGAGCAAAGCAAATTCTATGATTTACGATGGGTAAGACGAGTAATGGCCCATACTTGGTGTAGAATTTGTTGAGACCATCCCATCCTACATGGATGCCTTGTTATAGTGGCAGACTGAGCGCTTGTTTACCAATGCAGGGATCTTTCCTGCTTAACTAGTTTGAATAGTAAGAGTTTCTTCCTCCTATATCTCCCTAGTCGCATGTAACCCCAAGAGGATTTCAAGGTTGTCAAAGCCAATTTTGAAACCTGGAAGAGCCATGGTTGAAACCAACGCATTTTTCTAGGGTTAAAGCTATTATCAGCCGTGCGCACTGAGCTTAGAAAAGTTTGGAGCATCCTTTTTTATAGTGGTTCTATTCTGTCATCTAAACATGCAATACTTCTGCTTTAGATTTGATATAAGGCTATGACTAAAGTAGTAAAAAGCATTTCTACCCACCTAAACAATACAAATCACCGTGACTAGTTTAGCTATGATGTCTCGGTTGAGGGCCGAAGAGACATACAAACTGCCAGCCAGTCTTTTCAAACTCGTTTTTAGGCAACCAGGTACCGGGAGTAGCATTATTCTATGCCTAAGTCTCATTAACAAACACCCCTAGTAGTGGGGCCTACATCAACTCTACCATGTCGACAAGTGATCACCAATCCTAGCTCGGGTCAACTGACGACCCTAAATACCGCACTACACGCCCCTATATAGAGGTCCTATAGCAACTATTCTTAAACACGATTAATTTAACCACCGTAGTCAGAGAACTAAGCTTATACGGTTTTATATATAACGATACGCTACGGGCCCTCTAGTGACTAGTCTATAAGGCGGCTGCCGACTTTCCTTTAAGCCATTCCTTATTACTAGCCCTCTCGGTTAAAGCGGAAAAATTCGATTCATAGCTACCTAAGTCGGAACCTAAAGATATACCACGGAAATGGTTAGGCTACTTCGGGAGTATATAGCGCGAAAAATAAGATATAATCTTACCCTATATATCATCTAGATAGATAGTGTCTGTATCTAAGTTAGCTATTAGATAGATCAATATAAATACCTACTTAGTAAGACTACTAGCTACAGCTTCTTTCAGCCGAGGCGCAAAGCTTCGCCCTTTAGGTCTAAGCTTATTAAAAAGGTATCTAGAGGTGGACCCGATAAAGTATAAGGAGGGAAGACGTCGGATATAGTCTAGGGTTTAGAGAGAGTCACTATAGTATAAGATAGATGTATCAAAATTATTGGCAGCCGATGTATACGCCGCTATATAATGGATCATCTATGCTGGAGGGTTGATATGGGAGGATGATCGACCCGACAGTCCTAAGTACATTCAGAGAGTTCTACCCGGTAAAACAGACCTTTACCTAGGTAGGATAGAAGCCACGGATTTACGGAGGGGACGATGGTAGCTGTGGAAGGAACGGTTCTTATTCACAGCAGAATACGGGGATACCAGCCGGGGTGCCCAGCAAGTTTCACCGAAGGCAGGGCAGATAATAAGCGAATGAGTTTTAAAAAAACTTTCGAGGTCTACGGGTTGGGAGAATCCGTCTAAGTGGCTGCCTGATTTGTCAGGGTAGTAACGCCTGCTTGTTTACCTCCCCGATCACATATCAGTCTTCCTCAGTCTCTCTCTCTTCTTCTCTCTCCTCCCCAGTCTTTGCTAGTCTATTTAGTACAGATCTTGACCTTGCCTCTTGTTCTCGTTCGCCAACAGTTATAAAGAAAGTCGCCGGCACTATTCCTCCCGCCAACATGCGCCCCGAAGCCTGCAGATCCCCCGCAAAATAACCCCACAGTTTCGTCACTGTCGGGCAGGTCGGGCTGTTGATCAACCGATGGCCATTCCAAAAGTATCCCAAGAGACCCCGCAATACACTCATTTCCTAGGTCTGGTCTTGTTTATCCCGAGAAGTTGAAGGCCATAAGATCCCGATTGGCCTTGTTTAGTCCAAAATGCTAAATATGCTTTGCGCCGGAGATTTGGTCATTGAGTAAATATAAGAACCAGTGGTTCTCCAAATGAATTCACAGAAAGCAATCTGTCGGGATCTCCGAGTCCATCGCCATGCATTTTGCTGCCTTGCTTCTGGCTCCGGCTTTGGTCGCTGCATCTTCCAATATCCCATATGAGCAGTATATTTTGGCTCCGGAATCTCGCGACTTGATCCCACCGTCTGTCCATAGTGTCAACGGCTCTGTAACTAGAGCGAAGTCCCTTACACAATCGTCTGGCGGTGAGGCCACATTCTATGGTGTTTCATCCGTGACCTACGACTTCGGTAAGAATGTGGCAGGCCTCGTGTCTCTTGATGTACGCTCATCCTCGTCCTCATCTGCATTCTTGGGTGTCACATTCTCCGAGTCAAGTCTATACATCAGCAACCAAGCAAGCGATGCCACCGCTGACGCTGGCTTGGACACTCCTCTATGGTTCAACGTCGGCAAGGGTGCCGGAGAGTACACCCAGAGGAGAAATATCTCCGTGGTGGATTCCGCTACTTGACAGTCGTCAGTAACACCACAGCCACCGTATCGCTCAAAAGCCTTCGCGTGAAGTTCACCGCAGCCCCAGACCAGGACTTGCGTGCCTACACTGGGTACTTCCACTCGGATGACGAGCTCATTAACAAAATTTGGTATGCCGGTGCATACACCAACCAGCTGGCCACTATCAATCCCAAGCACGGAAACTCGCTGGTGCACCTTGGTGCAATCAGCTCCGACGACGATATTCATCTTCCTCAGACTGATACCTGGTGGAACAATTATACTATCACTAACGGGAGCAGCACGACCACCGACGGTGCCAAGCGTGACCGTCTTGTTTGGCCAGGTGATATGTCCATTGCTCTTGAGAGTATTGCTGTCAGTACTGGTGATCTGTACAGTGTCCGCACGGCGTTGGAATCCTTGTTTGTCCTGCAGAAGTCTAATGGACAACTTCCTTACGCCGGAAAAGGGTTCCTCCCGTCCGTGAGCTACACTTACCACCTGCACAGTCTCATCGGTGCCTCTTACTTGTACCGTTTCTCAGGTGACAAAATCTGGCTATCCAACCACTGGTCACAGTACAAGCGCGGCCTGGAATGGGCTATCAGCAGTGTCGATGAGACCGGTTTGGCCAACATCACCTCGTCATCTGATTGGCTACGCTTTGGAATGGGAGCTCATGTAAGTATACCATCATCTTGACCTCCCATGATATCTCATGCTAACAACTCATGCAGAACATCGAAGCAAACGCAATCCTCTACTTCGTCCTCCAAGACGCCCAATTCCTCGCAACCGAACTAAATGATAAGACGGCCCTAGCATACTGGAGCAAAACAGCAACAAAACTGAAAATAGCCGCCAACGAAAAGCTCTGGGATGCCTCCAGCGGCCTCTACTTTGACAACGAAACTACAACGATGCACCCGCAAGACGGCAACGCCTGGGCCATAAAGGCAAACCTAACCCAATCAACCGCGCAAGCCGTCCAAGTCTCAAACGCTTTAAAGTCCCGCTGGGGCAAATACGGCGCACCAGCACCCGAAGCCGGCAAAACGGTTTCACCCTTCATCAGCGGCTTCGAATTGCAAGGTCACTATCTTGCCAACAAACCCGACTCGGCCCTCGACCTCATGCGTCTCGAGTGGGGGATTCATGCTCAATGACCCTCGCATGACACAGTCTACTTTTATTGAAGGCTATTCAACAGATGGATCACTGCATTATGCGCCTTATACGAATGATGCGCGCGTTTCGCATGCGCATGGTTGGTCAACCGGTCCGACATATGCGCTTACGGCTTATGCGGCTGGTATTCAGTTGACTGGTGCTGGGGGGGTCGACTTGGGTTATTGCGCCCCAGGTCGGCGACTTGACATTTGTTGATGCTGGCTTTGAGACTGCGAAAGGCAAGTTCTCAACCTCTTTCCGTGGCAATGGGAAGGGTGTGGGCAAGTTTGCTTTTGTTACGCCTGCCAACACTACTGGTGAATTTGTGCTTGCTGGTGCTAGGGGCAGTCTTGTTTCTAAGAGTGGCCAGCGGGTTAAGCTTGTTAATGGCAAGGCTAGTGGGCTGAAGGGTGGCAGTTGGAAGTTGAGGAGTGACTAGTCTGATGGTATTTAGCGTGTATAGTTTCAAGACTCAAATGAATTCTCTTTGTTACATCCTGCAATGCAATTATGTCTGTGGAAACTTTAGCTGACTATTTGCTCGGCAAAAACGTATAAGAGAGAATATCCTATTGAGTAAGTACCTAGGTACACAATCACAATCACAAAGCAGAAACATCTCTAACAACATCGATGAAATAATCCCACTGCAACCCCTGGACTTCAGCCTCACTCCATCCCAGACCAAGAAATACTTTCTCAATGTTCCTTTTTCTCTTCGAATCCCGGGATATAACATAGCTCTTACCTTTCGTTTTATATGGAGCAACTCTTGCGCCATTCGGCCATAAAATTTGAGCCATAGCATCACAGGGCCTTTCCTTTCTGAACCACGGACCCAAGTGAGATTGACTCAAAAGAGCCCTCTTGACAGAACCAAGTTCGAAAGTTGCTCCGTGTTTTAGAAGAACTTCCGCTGCCTTGGCATCTTTTTGTCGCACCGCGTCCTCAAACGGAGTGGTTTTCGCCCACTCCGGTCCATCAGGGGCTGCCCCTTGCTTGAGAAGATTTTCCAAGATCTCCAGTCTATTTGGGATTGGCGCTTTATTTATGACGAGATGTAGTCGCCCATTGGGCCAATAGGCCGAGCTTGTCCGCATATTCATATTCAGTCGACCACTGGTAGACAGCCATTTGACGGTCACCAAAAAGCCATGGTTGACGGCCTCTCTGAAGATATGAGGCACCAGGGGGACATCGCTGAACTTAGCTTCCCATTCATCCTGAATGAGACCCAAGATCTCCGGAGTTCCAGAAGCAAGTGCCTGTGTAATAGCCGGGTTCACATTCATCACCTTTCGGTAATCAATCATTGCAGGAACTCGATCCACCTCTTCAGCCCATCCATATCGCCCTCCCTGACCATGCGCCTCGTATGATGCTTCCACCTCCCAAGCAATTCGTCAGGGAGACTTTCCATATATCAAGGTGAAAAGATGTTGAAGTATCTCCTTCGATCCGTTGCTGATGCCCAATTCCAGAGGCGGGCCCCTAAAAACGCGAGATGACTTTACGAGTTGTTCCAGACTAGATTGTTGATCCCAGATGAATGGCATCCCTACTTGATGCCCTCTTCTGATCGCGTTGACAATAAACGCAATATCCATTCTCGTGCAAACGGGCCGCGCGAGATAGCCACGATATGGATTTCCCCAAGGCGGCGAAAAATCGAACTTTGGCTCTGCGGTTTTCCAATACTTCCAGCGCGCCTTTGAGCTACCACATAGCCATGCATGAAAAAGGACCCTGATGTAGGCATCGGTCTCTTCCGGCGTCCTCCCATGTGGAATGGCAAGTACTTCATCAACAAGGCCCGACCATACAGATGGTTCTCGGGGGTGTTCCCCGGCTTTATAATATAAAGAAAGACGCCTCACTCGATGTTCAAGATCGTTACTTGATGCCAGATCGGAATCGGGTCCGAAGCCGAGAAACCCGTCGTTCTGCTGGATTGATTCGGTCACTATAGCTTTGATCTCACTCGCGAAGAAGCCTATATGTGTTAAACGTGGACTTGACGAGATGTTTCGGTTGGCGTACTATTCACCGCTCTGGCTCTCCAGAAATCTGGAAATGCGATGATTTTGAATGCCTCGAGGAGGATTTGCGTTTGTATCTCTGCGGGCAAGTACAGCTTTGCTGACATGTCTCAACCTGTTCTTTCGAATGACAATATATACAAGATATGATATGACAATGGGAGATGTTTTCTGGTGAGTCACTGCTCGAGATTTAACCGGACGCTTGGCGTTCTAGTGTCTTACTAGGGCCTCTCGGGACTATATGAGGCTAAGTCCCCCGGTTTAGCGTTGATGCTTTAATACACCAAAGAACAAAGTGTTTGAGTGTTATTCTGTTGGCAGGCCAAAGATGACATGAGTAGAAAGAAGAGTCTCTAGTTTCCAACACTTTTACGCAACACCCCATATCTAGTGCAGGTAAAAATATAGAACACCATAAAATTCAGTTTACAAGGTAGGCCACTCCATCTGAATAGTTTCCAAATTACCAGGGCCCCTAAAATCCTCCAGAATATCTGCCTGCTCGCTTAAAAGTACCCGGTCAGCCTGCGACTCTCCAATCTTAGCCAAATCCCTCCAACGCTGTAGATCCTCCGGAGTCCGCTTATCACCACGAGCAGCCTCATTCTGCGTCCAATGTCCCTTTGAAAAAGCAAGTAAAGTTGTAATACGTTTGTTTGGGATATCGTAAACAAGCGAACAGATTGTGCCTGTCTCTTCCAGCCAGTTACACTGCCATAGTTCTCCAGGACGAATGCACTGGTATGTTGCAGTTTGGAAGTTCTTTCGGCCGGCCATCGGACCACCATGGATGGCGTAGACGATGCGATCCTCGTTGTAGAACCACATTTCGTAGCGCCATTTCTCGGGCTTGCCATGTGTGTCTTTTGCGGCGTAGTCGTAGATCATGTGGCGGTCTCGGATGTCGACGTCGAAGGTTGAGCCTTCTAGAGATGGTAGGACTGGCATTTTAATGCTGCCTTTGATGGGGAATGGCGGTATAGAGAGTATGAAATATATGTAGTTCGAGTGGTTGTTTTGGAGACTTTAGAGAGTGAGTTACAGATGAAGGGGTAATCAGCATCTTAAAACAAAACAGTTCCAAAACCTTAAATTTATGTGGTAAATTCGCAGCAGCTCCTGCGAGGATTGTTGACGCAGACCTACCCAGCGAAGCACCTTTTTCGCGAGGTGGCAGCGAGGGAGCACGTCCTTACATACACAGGACTCATTGGCGGTGAGGGAGCAGAAGCCTTACATCACTGGGCTCGTGGTAGCGATAAGCCGTGGTCACGGAAGCTCTCAAGCCCATCGGCAAAAGAGGGACACGATGCATCATAGTCTGAAGAACGAAGTCCTGATTTCCTTAGGCTCGGAATCCAGCTCCTTTTATGTGTTTCTGGCTACGTGTTGCGCACATGCCAGAATTACTGTCTCGTTGATAGGCGTTGAAGTGATTAAACTATGAAATGATGTTTTGGAGACTTTATGACTGACAGGCACGCTCGATTGTACCTGAGGTTGGCCGGTGTGCCAAGTACCCTTTAGTCTCGCTAGAATCAATCTTGATTTTTGATGCGCTTTAACATGCATTTGGAAATCAAACTATTCTGACGTCTCCGCCAGTAGCTTGGCCTTAATCCAACGGTCATAGCAAATGCCATCAAGCCCCGCTTAGCATTGAAAATTTGGTGAACTGGAACTCCTCCAGACTACCTTCGGTTGCCCAAATATCAAGCACCCCGTTAAATCGACCGGTAGGGGCGGGTTGAGCCCCTCCATTAGTGGGGACAATTTCAATGCAGCGTGCTCCCGGCATATTTGAAGTACTTTCGAGGTCTGCAATTGGGAAGTACAGCGATGACGAAGGGACCACGCGGACAACAGGCGAAATTTCAATCCATCCTTTGTTGTCGCGAGCCGGACACTGTGTGTAGGTCCTGCAGAGCGCGGTGCCATCCTTACGAACCCTTAGAAGGGTCAATGCGGCTCCAGTGCTGGTCTGTATGTGAATGGCATCAATGGCATCATCTTTTGACTTTGCTGGCACGGGATGACTCCACGACAGGGCCGGCAGGTTCGGCTTCCAATTGACGTCGAAGAATATTCCTAGAGGCAGATAGTAACCATCGGTCACTTTAATATGCCACGGTAGTGGGCTATACTGCTGGTAAGTACCAGGTTCGGCGGCGACCAGCAGCGTGGACCACTGATGCTCCTGGAGTAGATTCATAAAGAAGACAGACTTGACCCGGTCCATGTCCGGCTTTTGTTCATACCAGGGTGTGAAGTCCCCTAAGTCCAGTGCTCCCAACAATGCCCAGCACTGATCCTCCTCCGCACTGTACTTCCGCGAAAACTTCCCGGCTAGGATATACAACGGGGACTTCTTGGTGTAGGCGATCAGACCTGAGCGCAGGAGGCGAGAGAGGAAGTCTGCGACACGATAGTAGTTCTGGTTTGAGGCATGGATGTACTGAACTACCAGGTCGTATTGAGCATCATCATTCGGCTCACTGAGCGTCATGAAAGCTTTGGCGATGCGTATTGCGAATGTTGTAAGACCGGCTGTGAGGTCAATTACGGACGCCTGGCCTTGGTTGTGAAGGAAACGTTCGTCACCTAGTGTCGTACCTTCGTGATCCAGCAAAATAGTTTCATTGAGAAGAACCCCCTCCTGTAGTGTCCAGCCAGAGGTCAACGAAGGCTCATCTTTCTGAATCTGGCAGAGTAGGTCATCAACCTCATCCAGGTACTCAGGGAGGGCCTTCTTTGGCAGCTTGTTCTTCAGCAACGTTTCGATCGAAGAGTCTGTACCCCAACGCGTTCAAGAGTCCATCGTGCGATGCGGCATCTCCAACGAGCCCGACGACGTTGGCAAAGAGATCACCAAGGCCTTCCGCTCGGTTGTCAAAGGCGACCTTGCACATGGAATAAGCACTGTAGTCCAAGACGGCATCGGGGTGCTTGTTGGTTCATATGAAGGAAACAAGTCGACACTGACTAGCTAGTGAGTTCAAGAAAGGCTCTTGATGTTCTGTATACTAACCACGTTCTCTCATTGGCACATGACAGTACCATCACGACTGGAGATCTCGGGGGTATCCAACGCATTGACATTCAAATGTTTGCTTGGAGGTACTCGTCTAAGCAACTATTAGAAGTCACGAAAGACATGATTGCCGTGACTGTCATCATCTCGTCCGTGGACCCCAAACACGTCACGGACTTTTCCATTCGAACCTTGGTCCAAGAACAATATGGGAATCTTGAACTGGAGCAGCAAAAAGCCATCCTTAAGACAATTCTGGATGCGAAAAAGGAATCATCAACACGAAGGTAAATGGGTTGGTGTGACGTTGAAATGGATAATGTCATGGCAGGCGATCCATTTGATTGATGCCTTGTTTGTCAGGCCTCACATCTTTGCTAGCCTCTTGCACATCTTCTCTATCTTTCTCTCTCCCCTCCTGGCCCTTGCTGCCAGATCAGATACTTTTTTAACTGTAAGTGTATCTGATGGTTGAGAAGGTAAATTCATCACTCCACGTATTATATTAATTACTAAAAGAAAAACAGGCGAGCTGGGCACTGCCTCGGAGTGGAGGATATGCGGAGAAAGGCGCGCGGATTTACCCGTCAATCACATCTCACATCGCCAGTCCTGTTGATCAACTACCCCTCAACCGCAGCCAAGGTGGAGAGGCGTCTCTTGGATGCGGCACTGTCTCAAATCAACATGAAGAACCGGAAATTGCTTAGGGTTTAAGCCTCGGCGTTTCTCCTGCCAAGAACCTGCTGAAGTCTTGCATGATCCACTGCAAGGAACAGACCATTACAACATGCGTCGGCCTTGCTTGTGCCAATGTTTCCTGAGACAGTTTTCTCGCGGGCAATACCTCTTAGTGTATGCACCCCTCATGGGGATTTACCTAATTAGGAATGAAGTGTCGCTATCGCGGTCGCTGTCGGCCGATCGTCCTGTCCAAAGGAAGAGGCAAAGTGATGCTCGTCAAACCCCTCATGGAGATTTACTTCATCGGGAAGGAAGTGTCGGTATTACGATCGCTGTCGGCAATTCTGCCCAAATGAATAGATCATGTTATTCTGAACCCCTCAGACGTCACCTCGATCTATCCGGGTGAATCGGAGCACAATGAGGAGCACGAGTAATTATCCGGTATGGCACCCGCTAGGCGACTGAACTACTTACCTATAAATATCCGCTACAGCGCGTCCTTTACTCATACACTATATTCCGAATAGCATTGGCGAGTTGAAACAGCCAGCTGCGGACTGATCACAGCAAAATGCTGCACAAATATCTTCTTCTGCCGCTTTTGGCGTCATATGGTGCCGCTGTCACCATTTCCGTAGCGAAATCTGGGGGCAATGCCACATCGGGTCTGCAATATGGTGCGATGGAAGAGGTATGTTGAGCTTCTTGTCTACTGCAGTATTGGATCTAATTCAAAGTCCAGGAAATCAACCACTGTGGAGAAGGAGGTCTCTATGCCGAATTGATCCGCAACAGAGCCTTCCAGGGGAGTAAGAAGTTCCCTTCGTCGCTGGAGGCCTGGTCTGCTGTTGGTGACTCATCGCTGTCCCTGAAGAACCTCACCGACCCACTGTCAACCGCCCTCCCCACTTCGGTTAATGTCAAGGGTTCTGGCACAGCTGGGTTGAGTAATGTGGGTTTCTGGGGCATTGATGTCCGTCCTCAGAAGTATTCCGGGTCATTCTACGTGAAAGGTTCCTATGAAGGCTCCTTCACGGCCTCTCTCCTCTCTTCCAGCGGCAAGGTTCTCGCCACTACCAAGGTTGCCTCAAAGAGTGTTGCAGACGATTGGGTGCAACATGAGTTTGTTCTTACTTCCAAAGAAAAGGCTTCCGATACCAAGAATACGTTCTCGCTGACCTTTGATGGCTCGGTAAGATTTGACTCGGAACTTGCCACGGCGCCTGGGCTAATTGTTTCTAGAAAGCATCAAGTGGCTCGCTTGACTTTAACCTCATCAGCTTATTCCCTCCTACGTGGAATGATCGTCCCAACGGTATGCGCCGAGACTTGATGCAAGCCATGGCTGATATGGGACCTGTAAGTTGAAGTTTACCATTGGCTCTGAATAGCGTCGAGGATCAGAGACTAATAAACTAGACATTCCTTCGCTTCCCTGGTGGAAATAACATGGAGGGTGATACCATCGAAGGCCGCTGGAAGTGGAACGAGACTATTGGACCACTCAAGGACCGACCCGGTCGTGCAACCACCTGGCAATACCAGGAGACCCTTGGATTGGGTTTGGTCGAGTACATGGAGTGGTGCGACGACCTTGGCATGGAGCCCAGTGAGTACATCGTTTTGCTACGCGATACTTTACCAAGCTGACAAGACCTGTCTAGTCTTGGGAGTTTACGCCGGACTTGGTCTAAGCGGGGAAATTGTCCCCGAAGCCGACCTCGATTTCTATGTGCAAGATGCGCTCAACGAGATCGAGTTCTTGACCGGCTCTGTGGACACAGAGTACGGTGCGCTACGCGCCAAAGTTGGACACCCAGAGCCGTGGAAAATTCGCTATGTCGAGGTTGGAAACGAGGATATGCTGAGCAACGGCCTAGAATCGTACAGGGCCTACCGGTTCAAGGCATTCTATGACGCTATCACGGCTAAGTACCCCGATATCCAGGTCCTTGCGTCTACTATCGATTTGACAATTCCCGGAACTGCAGGTGGTGATTACCATCTGTACGATACTCCGGATAACTTCGTCAGCAAGTTCAACATGTTTGACAGTTTTGCGCCTGAGCATCCTATCTTGCTCGGTAAGTAACTTAACAAATTTACGAGGCCATAACTAACACACGTCAAGGTGAGATTGCCGCTACGTCGCCATTGAACGGAGAGGAAATCGACTGGAATGATACCCATTTCTCCCTGTATCCTTGGTGGATCGGCACCGTTGCCGAGGCTGTGTTCCTTATTGGCGCAGAGCGCAACGCAGACAGGGTTATTGGAAGTACCTACGTGAGTCGCTTCAACTTGCACCATCCAGACGAGAGCTGATGGAGAAATAGGCCCCCTTCATGATGAACTTGGACGCCTACCAATGGTCCCCAACCATGCTCTCCTTCAACGCGGATCCAGACCAGACAGCTCGATCAACTAGCTGGCACGCGTGGACTGTATGTTGCACTATTCACCAGACCCCGAGAGTACACTACTAATGAGACCCAAATGTAGCTGTTCAACCACAACATCATGACAAACACCCTCCCAGCAACTTCCCCTGACGCCTTCGGTCCTCTGTACTATGTGACTGGTCAGAACAGCAAGACGGACTCGCACGTCTTCAAGGGAGCAGTATACAACAGCACATCGGACGTGCCTGTATCACTGACATTCGAGGGTGTCGGCCGTGGCACCAAGGCGGACTTGACCATCCTAACTGCACCAGATCCATTTGCGATGAACGAGGTGGGCGGATCGAACATGGTCAACAGCAAGACCACCCAGATCAAGGCTGGCAAGAAGGGCGAGTTCTCTTTCAAGCTGCCCAACCTGAGTGTTGCGGTTCTTACTACCAACTAAAGCATCATCAAATATGCATTAGTCGGAGGGAGGCTTGCGCATACATAGCATTATCACAATCAAATATATTGTGTCCAGACTTTCGGATGTAGTTTCTTCGATCTCCATCGCTTTAATCCCTGTGCTCGCTTCACTCCACTGGAATTAAACATGACAAGCGTCAAATCTCCTGGATCCGAAATTTATCCGGTGTGACCCCTGATTCCGCCAATCCGCAGCCTTCAAACCCCCAGATTCATTCAGAACGGAATGATGTGCTTGAGGTTCGGCATGAAATCCAAATCCATTCGGTACAACAGAGTCCGGTCACTCGTAGGAACCAGCACCACATCCGCCATGCAAACAGTATCTCCAACGGAATAAGTCCCTGCTTCATGAACAGGCCCTCGTAGGGTCGAAGTCCGCCAGAAAGACCTGCTTTCTGAAGTCATTCACGTCCTCGATAATCCCAGGAATAGCCGTGCTATACGGAGTTGGTGGTAGGTTGTGCATCAATTGCGAGGATGTTCACCAGATTGCGCACCTGGACTGATCTAGTCAAAGGATTTTGCGAGATCGATCAGATATTCGTTGAGGCTGAATGATCCAGCCTTACTATTTGTATTGTCAACCCGCCATATTCTATGCTCTAAGCTATATCCTTCCAATATCTACCACCTGTCGCATTGAGCATCAGTGCTCTGGACTGTGCGGTCACCTTTCAATCTACTTCCGCCCATTCCCACCTCCATTTCTCGATCAACGCGGGTTGAGCGCCAGGCGCCAATCCATCCGGTCTGGGCGTGATGGTTGACCTCACCATAAGCACCACGCCTCTCCCTATACTCCTATGGGGATCCTTCGGGGTGTGGAGTCGTATTGCTTACTTTCCGCCCGCACGCTCCAAACCCTTTCCACGGGTAAAGATAGAAGCGACGGTCGCGATAAAAGCAAAGATCGCCGAGGCCATGAAAGAGAGTCTGATCCCGCGGTAGTACACCAGTCGAGCGGCCATTTGCACATCCGGAGGGAGATCATAAATAGCCGAGACCGAGTGGCGGATCTCATCGATTACCTAAGAAAAAGCGAGTATACTGGTCAGCAAAGCCTGTTCAGGTGCTCGTTATCATCAAACGGCGAAGGAATTGTACTTTCCATTTGTCTGGTATTCCACTCAAGGCCTCCCCGAGGCCTGAGTTAAGTGTATTCTGCATAATGGTGGCGGTCACTGCGACGCCCCATACGGTTCCGAGGGAGCGGATGAGGTAGACGGTTGAGGCGGAGACGGCGTGATCTGCATAGGACATTGTTAGCAGACTTGTTTGGCAAGTGGCTCGGTCGTTGGTATATTTGGGTAATGGGGCCGGTAACAAATGGAAGGATGGGAAAGGTATCTTACCGGCGTGGTCGAAGGCTGCTAGGAATGTGAAGAGGATTCCGGGGTACACCATCCCTGACCCAGATTGGCGGGAATAACATAGGCGAAATACTTCCATTGCGAGTCGTTGAATCGAAGGAGTGTGACAAGCACATTGCCCACGAACATCAGGGCCGCGCCGACGCGCACAATGGAGGCCAGTCTGCCCCAGCGTGACATGATGATTCCCGCTAATAGTCCACCTAGTGGGGTGAACAGACAGGGAACCACCAGTCGGGTACCAGCCTTGCTAGGCGAATCGAGGAGTATCACCTGGAACATGAGAGGCAGAGTAAAGAGGTACTGAATAGGTCGCGTCAGTTGTGATGCTCATAAGATTGGTGGAACGAGCGAACTTACTGCGTAGGCTGCCATTCCGACACAAACGTTGGCGATCTGCGTGGAAACAGCGAGCTGTCCTCGCAGCATCTTCAAAGGAATCAAAGGTGCGGCAGTGGTTTTCGCTTCAACGGCGACAAACGCAGCTAGTAATAACACACTAGAGACCAATGGCAGAATTACCCACATATGTGTCCAAGGGAGAATGTTGCCCCCCCAGGCTGAGCCCGACCAGTTGAACCGAGAGAGCCAGAATGAGCAGACAAGCGCCCAGAACATCAATTTGGCGCCAAATTCCTTGGGCTTGCCGATCTGTGGAAGACTCAGTGTGCCGCGGCGGGAACTTCAACACGATGTAGCCCATGATTAAAGCAAACAAAGAGACTGGGACCTGGAGCAGGAAGCACCAGCGCCATCCGATCGAGTCAACGATGGCACCTCCGAAAGAAGCACCGCAGATGGCTCCGAAGCCGTATGAGACGTTCTGAATTGCCTGGTACATGCCGCGTTGGCGGAAGGGAATGAGATCCGAGTTGATGATTGTTGCTAGGAGACTTGTTAGTGATTGATTCGGAAGTTGAAAAATCATTAGCCTACCCATAGTCATTAATCCTCCGCCTCCGATGCCCGTCAAGGCGCGCATGATGTTCAAAAAGATTACATTGCGGGCCACGCCACATCCGAGACAACCAACCATGAAGGTGATGGTTGCAGTGAAGAAACAAGACCGGCGACCGAGGATATCGGAGAACCGGCCATAGAGAGGCTGAAACGCTGTGCTTGTGATCAAGTACGAGGTTGTTAGCCACGAAGCAGTGTTCGCGGCGTTGAACTCGGAACTGATCACAGCATAGGTTGAGGCAGTGATGGTGCCGTCAAACCCGCCAAGAAATACATTGGCCATGATTGCTGTTACACTGTCAAATTATGCTTGACGACGTATGGACTTTGATTTGACTTACCGATTTGGATCAGTAGGAATCCTGGCGGTGGGGTCCAAGTCGCAGGACCTGGATCCGACTGCAATAACGGTTGCTCTTCGATTTCTTGCGCAGACAATCTTTCGGCTTCATTGTCGTTTGGCATCCCTGTCGAGACACTTTCATTCGGATTCAATCCCATTATCTCAAATGTTCAGATCACAAATTCGTGATTCACAATGTGACGAAAGAAATGTTTGGCCGAATGTCGAAAACTTGAAATTTCAGAAGCGGGCACTCGATCGGGAAATGGCAGCGGATTATCCCCGCCGCCAAGCACGACATGGCATTCCACCATGACATGATCAACTTGGAATATGTCCACCGATGGCCGCAGTTGAGGACTGTCAGCTCGTAAATTATAATGGTATATCGTATTGTTGTATGTATTAAAATGGACACTATGCAACAGGCTAATACATTCGTACGGTCCTATATATTTCGCCAAGTATTTAATACTATGCCCATAAAACAACTACACACACCATTGCGTGTATGTAAGTGATCTCTTAGGAGCCTAAAACCAAGATAGAGAGGCAGGAGCTGCTTCGGAGTACTCAGTTCAATGTTGACATCGAGGGCTCGGGGCTATACACAGTAACACACTAAGAACCGACCCACGTCAAAATGAAAAAAAAAGGACTTCCTATAACACTCTCAACTGCTTTGACTATCTCCAGGATTCATCATGGAAGCAAAATCCCCTTCCGGTCACTCTCCCGGATTGGCCCAGCAAAAGCAAAAAACCAGACCACCCTCTAGGTCGCATATTAGAACCCCTTGGCTTTTACAGACATCCAATCTTGTATGTTCCCTGTTCTAACCCTTGGGTGGGACACTGCTAAACTTCATTCTGAAGGTTCACACTTTGTCTTTTCGCATATTCCTATGTATCTATTTACTCTCGTTTGTCGTCAATATTGCGATGCAGACTCGTGTCGTTATCACCGCTGGAACATGATGTCTGTTTTATCGCTCTTTTTGTTCACTTGTGCGATATGGGGTCAGGGCGTTCAAAAGCTTGCGGCGGAAAACAAGCAATGGGAGGAATCTGCGGTAAGAAGTGAGAAAATACCGGTGTCTGCCTCTTAGGACAGTATACTAGTAGTGATACCGTAATAATTTACGACAGGGTGGTCGACAATTGTGGCCAATGGTGGACATACCCGAAGTAGTTTAGCAGACACATGTGTGTGTCGAAGGTAAAAATGGTAATCCTTTTCCTATTTAAACGAGGGGCTGCCTGTGGTTTTCTTTTTTCCCTTCATTTTACACTCGAATTCAAACAAGTCAAAGAGACTCAGTGCAGAGTACCCATCTAAGGTTAATGTACCCTATCATGCACATAATGATGAGCATCATGGAAACTGATCGCTGGCCCAGTACTTATCATGAAGCTCCTCGAAGTCATCGCCTGTACCGCAGCGCTGTTGCCGCTCGCCGCAGCAGACTGGCAGTTCAAATCCCGAACCGACCTGGCCCCGCCTCGTCTGAACATCACCATCCAGGCGACAAAGGATGTCGAGAAGGGTTACCTCTTCATCGCGCCTTTCCCGGGCCAATGGGCTGAGCCGCAGTTTCACGGTCCACGCCAGGAAGCTCCGTATATTGTTCGGGATGACGGTGAGCTCGTCTGGTCTGGTTATACCTACTTCTCCATCTGGGCCGCCAACTTCCAGAAGGCCAGATGGAATGGTCAGGATGTGCTGTTCAGCTTTGAGGGTGACCATAACCCAGCCTATGGCCACGGTCATGGTCATGCTACCATCCTGAATCAGCGCTATGAGACCGTTCGGGAGCTCCGCGCTGGTAACCATAAGCTCATGGATAAGCATGAATTCCATATATTCGATGAGAAGACTGCTTTGCTCCAGGTCTATCAGCCTGTGCCCAGGGATCTGTCTCGCTGGGGTGCCGGCGCTGACCAGCAGTGGATTGTCGATGCCATTTTCCAGGGTATGTGGGTTGTCGAAGATACGAAGAGCTAATGCTAATTCGCAGTAGAGTTGGATCTCGGGACCGGAGAACTGCTGTTTGAGTGGTCCAGCCTCGAACATGTCTCTCCCGATGGTAAGCTAACTACTTTGAACGCTTATAATGGGCTAGTCTAACATCTTGCAGAGGCGATCCTCCCTCTAAACCCGGGACAAGCGGGTGCGGGCTACAACTCATCCGACGCATGGGACTACTTCCATATCAACTCTGTGGACAAGGATGCCGAAGGCAACTACCTGATTTCCGCACGGGATGCTTGCGCAGTTCACAAGATTAACGGCACCACTGGAGAAATCATCTGGCGGCTGGGTGGTCTACGCTCGGACTTTGAGCTCGGTCCCAACGTCAAGTTCTGCTTCCAGCATCACGCACGCTTTGTCGAGCAGGGCGATAATGAGGAAATCATCTCGCTGTTCGACAACTCCGCTCATGGAACAGAGAACCACCGCGGCAAAGAGGTCCACACTCACCCTTTCTCGCAGGGGAAGGTCATTTCCGTCAATACTGCCACCTGGACCGCGAAGATTGTTCAAGCCTTCCAGCCTCCCGATGGACTCCTCGCCAAGTCCCAAGGCAGCACCCAACTTCTACCCAACGGCAATGCCCTGGTCAACTGGGGCTCCGAGGGAGCCATGACTGAGTTCCGGGCGGACAGTACACCGATTTTCCACGCCTACATGGACTCAGGACTGCTGGGTGAGGGTGTTCAGAACTATCGGGCATTCCGGTACAACTGGACTGGCCTTCCGACAGAAGAACCCGCCATTGTGGCTGAGAAGACCCACTCAGGCACTGAGATCTTTGTTTCGTGGAATGGTGATACTGAGACTGCGGTTTGGCGATTCTATGCCGTTACGGATGGATTTGGGTCCCGGGAGTTCTTGGGCGAGGCTACACGCACTGGATTTGAAACATCATTCATGCTGGCTGGTCACTCATACCAACACTTTGCGGCTGAGGCTGTCTCGGCTCGTGGTCGTGTCTTGACTACGACTCGTGTTGTTCATATCCAGAACGCAGTGCGTCCGTATGGCAGTGTTCTTGCCGGGTCCGAGAGTCGCGGCTCTTGGACACAGTTGATCCTTGAGGCGTAGACGAAGACAGGTCCGGGTACTAGGTTATAGAGGGGAATAAGATGGACTAAGGTGTTGATGTGACAAGGTGCATCCCGGAACTTCCGAGTCCTCATTTATGCCATTGTCTGAACTGCAACTTAACAAACTGTGAAGCGGAGAAGACGTGTAAAAAGGCTGCCTACGATACTACCAAAAAGGACCAAGAAGATATAAGAAGACTCCCTGAGGAGACTTCATATGTGTATTGAGGAAATTATTTATTATACTTCGTTATGTCAACTGTCCTTTAGTATCTAGGATCTTATACAACGTATGGGGCTTCTTAATATATGTTGGAGAATCCCCCTAGATGAGGGATGATTCTTTATGACATGCAGACTGAGCCCTTTCTTTGTCAGTTTACTAAATCCTTTGTTAAATCAGGCTTTATAAAGGGCCTTCTTTTGATAAATTGAATACCACAGTTTTTTCTTCTTGATTTTCCCTTGTAGTGTCGTAGCCCTCAACAATATATAAGGGCTGATAGTTGGGTGACTGTAGCCGCAGTCACCTAGGTATTGTTGCTGCTCTTCTATGTTATATTGATTCATTTATACTGTACCTAGGTATGGAACAGTGTCACATGATTCATAATCCTTCCGATTGAGATACTATAAGGATCGTATGGTTTTCATCGGATAGCTCTAGCTAGCAGATATATATAGTCTAATTATATAATAAGAAGTCCTCGCTTCCTAGCCAATGAAAACCATTTTTACTTTCTATACGCCTAGGCTACTTCCTAGGCTTTAGTGGCCTTAGATAGGTCTACTTCCTATTAGCTACCTAAGGTAGCTAGGGTAATACAAACCCTATAAACCCTTCGGGGCGATATCCCTCCCTACTTACTATAAGATACCGCCCTTAGTATTATCTATATAAAGCTATATATATTTCTAAATCGGGTAATTTATTATTTTTTAATATAAAGAGGCTCTATTCTAATACTTTCTAGGTACTAAAAGCTTTTTATATTACTTAGGAAGCTATATAAATCCTACTTACTAGAGGTAGATATCGTTTATCCTAGTAAAAGGGAAGTAAAAGGTAAATAAAGGGGCTTTCTATATAAAAACCCTAGCTTTCCCTTTTAGAAAACCTTATCTTTTTTCTTTTTTTAGATATCTACTAAAGTCCTATCTAAAGTTATACCTATTTTTTATTCTATATATTACCTATTTCTCTATTTTATAGCCCTTTCTTTTACTAACAGATAGGCCTTTCTTACTTATCTTATTAATCGAGAAGCTAAACTAACTTATTTATTAATAGGTTTAGGATAGCTTTCCTTAATATAAACTCTAGTTTTTAGGACCTTTAGGCTACTTTTAGAGCTATTATTAACTTATTTAGTAGTAAGAAATAAAGTAAGCTCTCCTCTCCCCCTATAAATAAGTCTATCTTTTCTAAAAGTAAAGATAATAATATTAATAATAAGATTAGTAAGTATCTCCGCTTTTCTATCTTTTTTAGCTTATAACTAACTTACTGGCTTACTATAGTTAAATTTATTAATATCGATAGGACCGACCTTACTCGCTTCTCTCCTAGTTTTAACGATAATTTTAATATTATTGTTAAAAGCCTTCTATCTAGCCTTTACTAGCGGCTTATAACCGCTACCTTTATAAAAGATATCTAAAATTTTAATTAGCCTATAGTAGATAGTAAATTATAAATATAGGATATAGGTTCGGAGAATTCTAACTATATTATAAAAGCGTTTAACTAGGTTATTAGCTTTACTCTTTTAATAGAGGAAGCCTATTTATATTACTAAAGTTCCTCTTTTACTACCTTCTCTTCTTACTAGGTCTTTATATTTTCTTTAGGTAGTTAGGGTAAAGTTATTTACTTTAGGTCTTATATAAACTACTTATTTTCTAATAGTAACTTCCTACTACTCTTTTTATATCGATTAATCTTCCGCTACCCTCTAGTTCCTCTAAATCTATATTACCGCTTCCTAATACCCCTTTACTCCTTTTTCTATTCCTATCCTACTTTATCTAAATATTTACCTATAAAGAATTGCGTTTTGCTATTTGGCTACCTTCTTTGGCCGCAGGTGAGGCCGAAAATGGCCGTCTTTCAGCAACCTCCCTCCGCCACGCTCCCGCCTCCTTCGACCACGTACCATACCACTCACCACTTCATGCCTTAGGCTACTATTTCGTGCCCGCTGATATCCTTAGTTCCTTAAGGGCTTATTAGTAGCTCTACCACACCTACTAGGGAGGAGGGCGCCAAAATAGCCTCCTTTAGTACTATACTAGCTGCACTCTAGCTAGCTCCTAGCCGCTATAGCTATAAATATCCCCTTCCCACCCATTCTCTATCTAACACTATCCTCATTTCGACCTAAATACCACTCTAAAAATCTTCCTCTAATCTTCCGTCGTACTTTCTTCTATTTAGTCGTATCGTGCGTTAATATACCTCGAGCTCTAAGGTAGTTCCTTCGCACGCTCGGCGAAATTGATTAGCTATATATCGTTAGAGGACGCCTAATATTAGTAATTATAGAATTATAAGCGAATCCTTTTATACCTCTCCTATCGATACCTATAATAATAAACCGTTCGAGCCTGATTCTTTTAAGACTAATCTTACTAAGCCGGAGCGCTCCCTCCAATAGATCGAATAATTACTTAGAAGAAGCTAAGCCTAAAGATTAGAATAAAATTATTACTAATAGACCTATTAAGTATAGAATATATTTACTAGGCCCGATATTAAATACCCGATAATAATACGGATAAGGATCTAGCCTAAATACTAGAGGATTATAGCCGATCTAATAAAATAAAGAAGTTAAAACTTCGACTAAAAGAGCGTTAGTCTTAGTAAATAATTAGGATATCGTTAAAAGCTTATACTATCTTAATATTAACTAACTAACTTACCTTATTTTAGGTACTACTAAATAAAAGTAATAGAACTATCTACTAATTATAAATAGGGGGTTATAGAGGATATACTATATAAGGTATTACTAAATAATATATACCGATTTTTTAATTAGTATCTAAAGCTAGAGTATAGTCCCGATAGTCGCTACTAGAAAGACTATATAAAGGCTAGCTATTGGAGCAGTCACGTGATCAGCATGTGATCTGTCACGTGACAGCCCGGGTCCCAGGACTTCCAGTAGTTAGTGCAGATAGCTTCCTCTCTCTCTTCTTTTCCTCTCCAGAGTCCAATACAATTTCCCCTGTATCATTTCATCCCTGCGTAGCCTTCTATCTCGCTGACACTAGCGCCCTTAAAGCGGATTAGAAGTACTTCCGAATTTACTACTAATAAGTTACTAAAACTAAGATAAATAAAGAGATAGATAAGGCCGTTTATATAGTTTATTTTCGACCTCCCTCCCGATTGTTTATAGGAGGCTTACGCTAATAAAGATTAATAGGGTATAAGATATTTAGTAGATAAACGCGGTCTAGATAAATAACTATATGTAAATATCCTAGTATATATCGAAGATATGATTCTATTTAATAAGATAATCCTTTAAATACGGGAGAAGCGATTCTATTTAGGGTTTTAGCGTATTATCCTATATCTATATAACACTATTAGGTTATTTACTATTAACCAAAAATAGGTAATACTTAACCTTTAGTTTAAGTATCTACAAATATCGCTCTAGTAGGATCTATATAGAGGATTTCCTAAGCCGATAATAGAACTCGAACCTTAGTTTATAAAAAGCGTCTTAGGTATATCGAAGCTATAGGTGGCACCCGATACTATATACCTACCTATCCTAAGGCTTATTTCCTATAAGCAGACTGACTGGTTAATATTAATTAGAAATATATTTATGCTACCTAAAATTGTCTATAGGTGTTAGAAGGCTACGGAGAAATGAAAATGATACAGGGGAAACTGTATTGGACTCTGGAGAGGAAAAGAAGAGAGAGGAAGCTATCTGCACTAACTACTGGAAGTCCTAGGACCTGGGCTGTCACGTGACAATCACATGCTAATCACGTGACAGCTCCAACACATATGATTGTCACGTGACAGTCTGGGTCCCAGGACTTCTAGTAGTTAGTGTAGATAGCTTCCTCTCTCTCTTCTTTTCCTCTCTAGAGTCTAATACAGTTTCCCCTATATCATTTCATTCCTACGTAGCCTTCTATCTCGCTAATAGGTTATAAGGCCCTTACTCGAGGACCCCGAGTACCTAAATTAATAGTTTTTCTAGCTAATTAGAATTTTTACTATATTTATAGGACGCGTACCGGCCTATCCTATAGTAGCCCTATATACCGGATTATCGAATCTATATTTTTTAATAAGATCTTCGAAGATATCGCTCTTAAGATCTCTATTTTTTTTCGATAGATTTTATATAATAGTGATTCTTACCTTATTAGAGTACGATAGTAAAAACTCTATATCGCGACCGAAAAGATCGGACTATAGTAAACTATTTCTCTAAAACTCGATAATCGATTTAACTCTCGATATTATACTAGTCTATCAAGACTAATTCTATAAACTAGCTAAGATAGCTAATTCTAATAATATTTTTGATACTAGTAAAGATTTATTATACTCTCTCTTTATAACTTATTAATAAACTATATAACTTTGGAATCTCCTCAATATTGTTGTAATTCCAGATAAGGTTAATTGCTCCTTCCTATAAGAAATTCATAGAGTGATATACAATAATGCCGATATTTCTCATGCCGAGGTTTCATTATTGGGTAATTACAGCCTTTATGGTCAGTGGCAATTGCTCCTGCCTAGCTGTCCATCGGTCGCTATACGAGGTTTACGTTAAAGAAGAGGAATAGGACCGGGGGTAGGGGTAAGCCCTAAGGTAATAGCCAACTTGTCTACTCTCTGGGTGGTGCTTCCTGTTCTAGTTATGTGAATATGCCAAGATGCCGAGCGTTTCAAGAAAAGCAACATGATCTAATGGTAACCTGCCGTTGTTCAGCTGAAGGGGCCAAGGCAGCGGTCGCGCGACTTTGGTGGTACTCACCCAGCTTCTCACCCTGTCTATAGCGCACTCACCCTTGTCACCCCAGGTCCCGAGACCGTAAAGCGGCCCTCACCCATTTCTCATCCGGGCGGCACCCACCGAACTATTGACCGTGTATAAGCCATATATTGCCACACGCCGGTGAGTTAGTAGTTGGGTGGGTGACCACCAGCGAATCCTCACTGTTGTTTTTGCTGTTTTTTTTTTTTCTATTTTTACAACAGTAATGTTCGCTTTGGAACTGACATTGCAAGATTGGAACGAAAGCGTTTTTGGCGATTTGTCCATCATCGTGATGTGGGATGGACGGATATAGAATAGGATACTAAGTAGGATACGGCAAAGCTTCTGTAGTGGGGCCCGGCCCCCGCAGACCGTTCGGGCCCAACTCTATTCTTATCTGGCATAAAGCCATCTCCGTCTTGGCAACGACAGATCATCTCATTCCACCAATCGACAGTAGAGAGATCTTCTTTGTGATCGATCTAAATATGTGTTAAACGAATCCCAGTATTTTCAACGCTTTCGTAAGTTTGATGTCATGACTACTACTAAGATAGGCCAGAATGCATCACATATTGGACGAGAGAAGGGTTTGGTACATGAAGTATGTTGCTCGGATACTGGCTTTTGTACGAAGTCTCCGTGCAAAGAACCTAAATCCTTCCCGCAGTTGGCTTTAGCACCAATGAATGACAATTTAGATCGGCCTAGACGCTATATTCGTGTCGGAAGCAGCAGTAGTGATGATCCTTACTTTTCACCTTTGTTCTTGGTACTAGTGTCGATTAGCCAAGGTCTCATGGCAGAGATATTATTAGGCCACAGGTTTTGCCACTAGGCCTTGCATATAAAGCGAGTGAAGATTCATATGGGCTCAATTTATGAAGACGGCAACAGACTCAATTCTCTGCTATCTTGAAACATTCATATCGGCTAATTTCTACCTTGTTTATCTACTTTCAACTTCTATTGTTAATTTTTCCTTCAATATGAAGTCGCCATTCTATATTCTTGCTGTGCTTCTTCCCCTAGCTACGAACTTAGCCCTTGCAACGCCGGTTGCGGAACCGAGCTCTGATTCCCTCGAGGAGAGACACAGAGGTAATGACAAGGGCTACAAAGATCACCATGAATACGATGACCACCATAGATACGGTGACGAGAACGCTTGTGAGGTCAAGTACTCTTACCCCTACTACAAGTATCCTTGCAACTCAAGCCCCACCAACGGCACGTCTACTCTGGGTGCTACCTTCACCTCCTTTTGCAAGTATCAGTGAGTTTGATATACCTGTCAATTCTTGTTAAAAAGCTTATAACAAACCCAATAGGAATGGCGATTCTGGAATCTGGTACAGTGCGCCAAAAGGCTGGGTTAAGGAAGGCGATAAGCCTCGAAGGTGCGGTATGTAATTTCCTGCCAAGGATTCAGAGATCAAGGAAACAGACTAATCAATTATTAGCGGGCGCATCAAACCCATGCCCTGTGTGAGCTCACATTTGCGAGCTCCGTTCGCAAAGAGGGATAGCGAGGGAATCTCGTTGGCGATGATTTTCGTTGCTTTGTTTCGTTGCTTTGTTTCGTTGCTTTGTTTCGTTGCTTTGTTTCGTTGCTTCATTTCGTTGCTCTGTTTTGTTGCTCTGTTTCGTTGCTTTCGTTGCTTTGTTCCGTTTCTTCACGCCTGTTGCATGTATTGTGCCTAGTTATAATAAGGAAAATCAGAAAAATCCTGATTACATCAGGGAAAACGAAGTCCAATCAGCCAATTAATTTAGGACGCTCAGTAGATAATAATCAATAATCTACTTAAGCGCAAGTCCTTCTAGGGTATTCAAGGCCCAAGAAGACGGTTCTGAGGAAATCACGTCCATAGGAGCGAGCATGGTCCACGGGTATGAGGGTGGGAAGAGTTAGTCAGCATAGCCACCCCGGGGGCCCCTTCTTATGTTATGCCTCTTGAGACACCTGTAATGTTAATGCTAAATGCCAAGCAATGCCGGAAAATGCCCTCACTTGTTCTTCTAGCACCACCGCCCAACACCCAAGGAAGGGGGCACTTACAACAAAGCGTAAATTGTTCCTGCGGTCAGGTTGAACCTTATTACGCTTTGCTCCCGCTTTCGTTCTCGGTTCCGCTTTCGCTCTCGCTTTCGCTCTCGCCTATATTCTTGGCGTTACGTAGGAAGCCAAGAAACGGGGATTTGAAGCTTGCTAGTGATACAGAGGCTTCAAGAGACAGGAGCTCATAACCAGATCAATGCAAATGTAGGATTCTCTGAGGAAGTGATAGATGCGAGAAGAAGACAGAAACGAGCTAGAGAGGAGACTAACATGTGTCAAGTCACCTTCATTTCCAGCCATCTTTGAAGGATGAAATGCTGTTTTATCAAAACGTTGTGAGGCTGCGAGGCATACTGTAGCCAACGCACACTTTTTCTATGGGTTCGGGGGCTGAGCCCTGAGAGAATCGCAATACTCACCAGCAATTGAGTTAGGCATTTTATAAATGTATGCATCACCATACTGCATTTCCTCGATGTCCATCTGAAAGCAGGATGCTGCAACTGCGATTGGCCCCCTTGAAACGTTGTTTGGCTGCATCCTATTGCAGATGGTCATTTGTTTTTGACCGCTTTCGTCATCAGCTCAGTAACTCTACGCCAAGCTTCCAGTGTGGAGTCTATTCTCGGACTCCGTAGAGAATATTAATAGAGCGAGACAGCCGATAACAGAGGGTTGGGCGGTGGTCGCGTCAACCTAGATAGCCCTGACCACAAGTCCCATGTGGCCTATCCTACCCAGGAGTACGACAACGGACCCTGCCCTGCAACCCACCCAGTGCGATTATCTCAATTTCCTACGAGGTCACTTGGCACACCGAGCAGTTTGCGGACATGTGGTATGGCGACAACCAGCCATTTGTGTCTTCCTTTGGTGATCCCACTGGCTATGGCTTGCATGTTGACTTCGTGGGTAACCCGAGACCCTTGGTCTGAAACACCGTTACTGACGTTATTCTGTCACTGTAGCTTAATGGCTGGGATATAGACGTTCTCCAAGACGCGATCAACACCTGCCATGACGGGGCCGGTGATATCAGGCAGTGTGAGTCCATTACCATGCAGCCCGACTGGGTTACAGACGGCTGCATTGTCGAGCGCTCAATCAACGAGCGGATCGACGGATGGCTTGATGCTCTCGCCGGCTGCGATCCCATTCAGGGAGGCCCACAGGATGCCGGGGTTGTGACGGCATGCGGTGCGCCCACCGAGATTGGCGAGTCTCTGCATTACTACACCGACCTCACCGGGAGCCGCAGATGCGAGTGGATCGGATGCACCCAGGATAATGTTGGCGGCCAGCGTATCCTGGTTGGTTCGTCTTCCGGGTTCTCTGACATGACCCCGGCCACATGCGTTGAGAAATGCATTGCCGACGGCTATAATATTGCTGGTGTGGAGAATGCGCATGAGTCCTTCTGTGGCAGCACCGTCGCCCCGACAGGTTGCCCAAGGTCACTCCAATGGGCAACTGCCTAATGCCGTGCGCTGGTGACGGCCTCCAGAACTGTGGGAGGTATGGGTTCATCGGCCTGTATCAGAAATGTGAGGGCGGGTGCAGCAACCTCCAGTACCCCGTGGTACCTCACTAACACCGTGAACATCATGCAGGGCCTACAAGGGTTAGGAATAATTGGCAAGCTGGCCGAGAGAAGAGTAGCGGGCGCTTTGACGCCGTTGGTTTCGATTTCCTGGGTATTTTCTACACAGCGTTCCAACTGTCATTCATTGTTACTGATGTAACTACACACTCGCTTGAATGGAACATTTGATTCTATCTTGCGGATCTCCGTATTATCTGAGAAGGATTACCCAGGTCCCAGGGTCTGTACAGTTTTGAGTCTTATTCTTTTCGATGGCAGAGGCTGGTACTAAGTATCCTCATCTGACGGCGGGAGGACAATTTCTCCCGACCAGAGCTTGCATTCCATCGTTGCCTTAGTGGAGGAGCGCCCAGATTCTTGGGCCCGCTTGTATCAGAAAACTATTAATTTAGGTACTTAGAGTCCTCGAGTAAGGGCCTTATAACCTATTAGCGAGAGAGAAGGCTATATAGGAATGAAATGATATAGGGGAAACTGTATTAGACTCTAGAGAGGAAAAGAAGAGAAAGAGGAAGCTATCTGCACTAAACTGGAAGTCGCGGGCTGTCACGTGACAGATCACATGCTAATCATGTGACTGCTCCAACAAATATAGACTATAACTTATTAGGGCAATCCTGATCTTATATAATCCTATTATATAAGATTATATAAGATATATTAGTAGGGTTATACTTATCCTAAATAGGAAGTAAGGTTAGAATAGAGATCGGAATAAATTAAGAAGTTAGTTATATTTTTTAGAGGTAGAAATCAGGCATGCTTTTATAACCTTTTTAGGAGGCAAATCTGAGATAATCTATGATATCTTTATGATATCTTTATTATCTCACTATTATACTAGGAGGTTCTCTATATTATTAATCTTACTATATAGTATATATCCAGGATAGTACTGGTAAGATAAATATAGTTTTTCTTCCCTCCATAGTATGCCTTACTAATATAATATATACACTATTATACCAACATTACTCTATATATTTAAAATATAATTTGAAAACTTATAAAAGCTTACTTTTCTATCTATAGTCGGTTTATAGCTACTAATTAATCTATTTTTTATATATTATATTATTGTAAAATATATATATATTTCTCCGATTAAGGCTAATATAGATAAGAGTAATAGGATTAGTAGAAGATTAAAAGGCTAAAGGAAATTAGTATTAATAGTACTAAAAAGCTTAATTATAAATTAGCTATTAGATAAGATTAGAGTTTAAGAAAAGGGAATAAAATAGCTAAGATTATCTATATCCCTATCGAAAAAGCGTAGATAAGAAGTTAGAATACTAGCTTTAAGATATAACTATTATAAAGATAAATACTATAATAGATATAAAAGGGATAATTAAAAGGAGTATATACTGATAAAAAAGGGAGATTCAGATAATATATATCTAAATCCTATAGTAAAGTAGATAGATTAAAAGATATAAAATATAAGATTAAATAACTAGCTATATGAGCTATATTTAAATAGGTCCGACTTAATAGAATCTAATAGAACCTACTTAAAATTAAGACCTATTAAAACCTATTATCGATTACTAATCTAAAATTACAAAATGCATAGGATCAATAGATCCTCCGGTATGCCGGTATGCCAATGCATCTACTCCGACAACAATATCATCCAGAAGGCGCGACGTCCCTACCAGCGAGTATAAACAGTCTAGGAAAAAGAAGGAGATCAGCAGCCCAATAAATTGCCGATTCCTCTACGATTGAGAGTCACACAATATGCATTTCCGCCACTACGTCCCTAGGGAAAAACTTTACATAGTCGACTTTCTACAATAGTTCGGGGTTGTATCGCACACCGTTCGCGCTATTTACACTCCATGCTCACCCGACCTAATAGAGGCTCACGCACCTGCGTGACTGTTTATAAGTTTTAACATTCTGGGAAAAAATCAAACTAAGCAAGAGAAAAAGAATTTCGTTTAACTATGTATCATGTTTGATGACATAAAGACACATATTTCATGCAAAAGAATATGTCTACAAATCAAGAGCATCACTGCGAGACACACCCTTAGGGTCTAGTGCAGGTGCCTCACCGACAGCAACAACACGAAGGCAAACCCGGGGCTCATCGTAATCGTAAGTAGCAGTATGATAGACAGCACGGTTATCGAACACGGCCAGATCATTGACCTCCCACTTGACACGGGCCTAAAGATAATCAAGTCAGATATGGTCACATAAAGTATGTTGGAGTTCGAAGAATGCTTACCTGAAGATCATGATTGTCGGTAATCAATTTCATTAGGTAACTCTTGATATGCTCGCTTTCATCTGGAGCCAGTCCATTCACAGTTTGCAGATGATGACCAACACCAAAGATGGATTTCCATCCGGTAACCGGGTTCGTTCTGACAATGGGATGCTCAGCGGTCAGCGACTGGTCAACATTCTGGGGATGGCCTCTGGCGACCTGGTAGAGGTGAGCATGGTCAGGGTTAGGACTGTAGCCAACGGGGAGAAAGTGCCGGTAAGAGTTTCCAGGAAAGCTCTCCAGGGGGGACTGATACGGTCGTAGACCTCGTGGGCGCTGGCGAAAACAGTATCACCACCGGTTGAAGGGCGAACTTTGTTGATTAGAGTGGTGTAGTCGGATGTGATGCGCTCAAAGGCGATATCCGAGTGCCAGCCATCGGCAACACTTTGTTTCTTCAACGTCTTCTTGCCAGTCACCACGCCGCTCTGCTTGGAAAGCATGTTTTCTGGGTTGCGGGCAATTGTAGACATTTCCAGATCAGGCTTCTCGCCCTCTTTGTGGACGGTGTGATTGCTATGGTTGTTAATATGTGATCTCATGGCTTGAATGGTGGATACATACATGGGGTGGATATGAATACCAGACTCTTCAGGCTTGCCAGTCAATTGTCCAAGACGATGGGTGAAGAACTTTTGCTGGTCTGCAGTGAGGTTCTTCTGGTCACGGAAGACGACGACTCCACGGTGGGAGACTGAGAGTAGTGAGTTTTCATTCTGATTTGGAGCCAGAGTCAATGGATGCTCACTGGTAATAGCTAGATCACGAAGGAGCTCGTCCGCGTTGGGAGCGTTAAGGACCTCAGCCAGATCAATGCCATTATACACTCGACCGAGAGTTCGAGTGAGGTCCTCGTACTTCCAGTGGTCAATGGAATTGCCCAACTCAAGGGGAGCAGGGAAAGAAGTGATAAAGTCTTCGATGGGCATTTTGAGATAGGATGGAGTTTTGAAAACTATAGATTGAGTAGAAGAGAGAGAATATGATGAGATGATCTGAGAGTTTAGTGGGCTACCAGGGTGGCCTTTATATGTTTTTTGTCATCCTCTGAATCACTAAGCAGTCTGCTAAAACCCCTCCAAAGAAGAAAAGAAAAGGAACTCAATCACCAACTCGAGTGTACCCCACCCCAGGTAATCGGAGGATGGCGATAGAGAGGGCACGTGTGTTGGGATATGGCTGAATCTAGACATTGACGTTACCTGCCCGCAGATCGCGGACCATAAACCTGGCCGATATCCCGGCATAAGGGACGGGATGAGACATTCTGCATGAAATCCTCATACCCGAAGGAGTTGGAGTAGCATTCAAGATATCTACATTGATTGCATACCTCTAATTCGGTTAGCGTTGAAATGCCATGTATGTCTCATTACAATACCAATTACCAATATTGTATAACGCCGTTACTGGCGATACATGCGCTCTTATATCCGATATCGGGAGATTAAAGACCACGCCGAGATAAATTGCCCAGTACGGAGTACTGCCGTCAACCATCAACCATCAACCATCAGCAGCGGGTTCCGCAGCAGATCATATAAGACTCTTCACCGTGGAGCAACTAAATTGGATGAAGACTGCATCTTTATCTTCTCTTCCAACAATTGGTTTCATCACTTTCTTTCACTTTACGCGGAACCCAAATTGTTCTCCTTGATTATGGCCACCAGCACCGCCAAAGGGCCCCCCGTTGTTGTGCATGACCAAACTAATCTGCTGCCCCGCACACAGCTCCTGGTTGTATTTGGTACTCTCGCCGTCGCGTTTCTTATTGCTTATGCAGATCAGAACGGAGTGGGCGTGGCCTTACCCATTATCGCCCGGGATCTGAATGCGCGAGATACAATCAGTTGGGCGGGTACTTCCTCTATGATCGCGAATACAGTGTTCCAGGTACTGTACGGACGCCTGTCTGATATATTTGGCCGCAAAAAAGTGTATCTGTCTGCGGTACTGCTGCTTGCCATTGCGGACATTCTCTGTGCAACTGCGCAGACTGCATGGGCCTTCTACCTGTTTCGTGGCCTGGCAGGTGTTGCCACCGGTGGAATCAACTCATTGACAATGATGATTGTATCCGATATCGTTACTTTACAGGAACGTGGCCGATACCAGGGCATCTTGGGCAGTTGTATCGGACTAGGCAATACGATTGGTCCGTTTCTGTCATCTGCCTTTGCGCAACACGCTACTTGGCGCGGGTTTTTCTATCTGATCAGCCCTCTAATGCTGCTCTGCACTGTGGGTTCATTTTTCCTGCTGCCTTCCTCCATGCCCAAAGGGAACGGCCTTGCGAGAGCGAAATTGATCGACATTTGGGGCTTAGTATCTGGATCCATCGCAATCATGTGTATATTGATCCCCATTTCTGGAGGTGGGTCCTACTTCACCTGGGACTCTACTTTCGTTATCGCTATGCTTGCCATCGGTGGCGTGGCCGCGATTGCATTCATCCTGGTGGAGTGGAAGGTTGCCAAGCTGCCAATGGTACCTTGTGAGTTTACGCTATTCACGCTGCAGAAAATCCTTTTTGGGCAGCGCCGGAGAGCTAATTATAAGTTCAGTATCCATGTTTCGCACCCCTGCCGTGGCGGCCATTTTGCTGCAGAATCTCCTCTTCGGCTATTGCTATTACGCCGAGCTATATTTCCTACCCCTGTATTTTGAGAACGTGCGCGGGGTGACTCCTCTGGTATCTGCAGCTCTCCTCGTACCTTTGGTGATCTCACAGATGATATTCTCCGTTTGCTCCGGATTCTACATCTCGCATTACTCGCGTTACGGGGAAGTGATCTGGTTTGGTTTCATCTGTTGGACAGTGTACGTGGCCCGAATTTCCTTTTCTTCTTTTTCTCCTCTGCTTATATGTGGCATACAGTGGAGCAAGTGTACTCTGCACCCTGAAGCAAGACACTTCTCTAGGAGTGATCATCGTGGCCCAAATCATCCTCGGTGTTGGCGTCGGCAATGTATTCCAACCCTGCCTAATCGCCATCCAAGCACATTCACCGAAGGATCTGCGCGCTGTGATCATCTCCAATCGCAACTTCTTCCGTGCCCTTGGCGGTGCCATCGGCTTGGCATGTTCCAGTCTTGTACTCCAGACCTCCTTTGGCAAGGCACTCCCAGCTGATCTTAGCTATCTCAGTAAGAGCAGTTATGTGCTGCCCTCGCTCAGTGACTTCTCTACAGCGGACCAGAATGCTATCCGGGCTGCGTATGCCCAGGGCAGTCGCACTGTGTTTATCTCCATGGCGCCTATAATGGGCTTCTGTCTGGTCATCTGTGTATTCATTCGAGACCAGGGGTTGCAGCGAAAGGAGGAGATTGTGACCCCGCAGCCTATACCGACTATGGAAGATACCACATCTAGTGCGGAAAAGGGTGTCCTGAAGAATTGATCAAATACAAGTGCGTGTGGGGCTGGATAGATAGAGGAACAAAGGAGGGAATCCCGGAAATGGCCGTATTCACAGCGGGTAAATTTGATAAATTACTACTTTTATCTAACCGAAAATAAATCATTGAGAAGAATTTATTTAACCATATACCGTGTTATATTTAATGCAAATTTTATACTATCAAATAGTTTGTAAGGATGGGATTGGACATTGCAATCATGGATAAAACTTCGGCTTCATGTCAAAAACAAAAGTACAGTCATTTTATTACTTTGACCAGATCAAAGACCCTGGTCTCTCGTCTCTCTAATTATGGCCTAGTAGGGCTATCTCTTAGGTTGACACTTTATTCCCGGATGAAACATCATGCACGGCCGGCCCACCATCCGTAAGCACTAGAGTGAATCTCCAATTTAATATTTGCATATAATGATGAATAATCATTTACTCTATGTCTCAGCCAAGCTATACTATTTTTTGAAATAAGAAACACTATACCAACTTCTCATTGTTGATATAAAGTGACCTAAAAAGCTGTATTTAGTTCGTTATATCAAGATTTTACTGTTGCCTGTTTATCTTGAACTTATAGAAATGATCGCAAAGATTGGAAACAGAGCAAACGATAAGACAAAAACAAAATAAACATAGGCAGATGAATAGATAGATAGACAAGGGCCGGTGATTTGACGGATACAGTTCATGCTCGTTTGCGCGCTAGGACCAAAGCACTGCCCCATTCCACATCAACCTCGATGGCCTTCCAATCCACACTGTTTCGGGATCCTTCTCCGCGTAATCCGGGCTCCGCCTCCCGAATAGCATCCATCATCCGGTCAATCACATCGCCGTCACCACTTCTATGCTCTCCACGACGTTTCTGGTGCGGGAACTGCTGCTGCCACTTGTGGAATGAGCTCCACGTGCGCATGTACTCCTCCATTGCGCCTAGAGTCATACGGGCACTCATGAAGCGTGTACCCTGGCCACTGCCGATACCCTGCGTACTAGGTTCGTATTCAATGCGCGTGGTATCATACCATTCAGCAGCGGGGGGTACCACAGCTCGCAGCTTCTCCTGTACAATGCGTCGTCCAGGCTGCTGCCAGTAGCTTCCCAGGAGGTCTGGATCTTTCTGGTAGGCAAAGTGCTCGATGATCTCACTCGCTTTGGGATGCGACACCAAAACGTGGTCCTTGTACCCCCAAAATGCCAACGTACCCCCGGGCTGCATAATGCGCGCCAGCTCGGGCCACAGCTTCGGGTAGTTGAACCAATGGGATGCCTGCGCGGCAGTCACAAGGTTGACCCGTCGGTCAGACAAAAACGGGGAAGACTCTGCTGCAGCTTGATGGAACCTCACGTTGGGATAGGTTGCGGAGGAAGACGTTGAGATTTCACGGGCTTGGGCTATCATCCCCGCCGAGGGATCGGTACCGATCACAGAGTCAAAGTGAGGGGACAACTCGCGAGGTACCAGACCGTGCCCGGTGCCAAGGTCTACAGCCAGCGTGCGCCCGGCATCCGGAGAGGCCTGGTGGAAAGACAGGACTGCTTTGTACAGTTCAGCTGGGTAGGTGGGTCGAAAAGCCGCGTAGCCTTTGTGGCCAAAGGACTTGCTTCTATTTCGAACTGGTTAGAACTGATTGATACGCTTTCTCAAAGAACTCAAAAGAGACACACAGGCCAAACCGAGAACGGGAGACTCACAAGAAAGACGCCATGATTCGTACGCAATCGTTGGGGAGCGTGGGGGAGGGTTTTTTTTTCAAGCAGTAAAGAGGGCCCAATTTGATAGGGAATTATTTAACGAGGAGCAGATGAGAAAGTCAAAGAGAAAGGGATAACACGTATACGGAGTGCTAGCCTCCGAATACGCTTCACGGCGATCCCGATCCTGATCCTTCGCGCCGTCCGGAGTGGATTCGGGTGCCCGTGTGGGTCCGGTGGAGAAATGTTACGTTGAGAGGAACCCCTAAAAGTATATTTGTTGGGACCTTTTTCGCGGGATCTCCCGTCCCGTCCAGCCCTGTGCCGGAAATATAAGTATCTCCGTTCGCCGAGCCAATCACAAGCGTACTCATTATTAAGCGGAAGGAAACCAAGAACGAATCAAATATCCGGTACCTGAATTGTATGAAGAAACGTATGTCCCGTAATACAGAATACAGAATACTCCGTAATACAGAATACTCAGGTGTTATGATACGAGGCCCGTCACATTAGGGACACAATTGCACTATTGAAAAGGATCCCCGAGATTTTTCAACGAAAAGCAAAGTTGATCGACTTGATCCTCTTGCTATATATAGCCTCACATATTTTCTCGATAATACAACAAACTTCCTTTTGCTTTACAACAATCTATCCGAATCAAATTGCTGATCATCTTTTCACAAGGTCAGCTGAGTATACGAGCCCTAGATAATCGTGTATATACTAACCCGGTTGAATAAAAGGTACGCGCTTGGACCATTTTGGCTGTTTGAAATGCAAGTAGTATCCCCGCTTCTATCAAAACACTCTTCGCTCATTCTGTAAAGTGCTTCGCCATCACTCGATCATAAAAACAATCCATAATGGCTACTATGAGACAGCCGGTGCACGGCAAGACCATCTCAGCGGCACCTGTGACCACGGCCTTCTATGGTATGAATTCCAAAAATCATCATATGAGTCGTGCTAAAGTCTAGATTTATGTGCAGGCGCATTGGCAGGCATGATGGAGGCATTAGTCTGCCACCCACTGGGTAACCTAGTGCCCTTGGACAAAATAATGTGCTCCATACCCATTAAAGCTGACCAATATTAGATACTATCAAAGTCAACATGCAAACCAAGAACACGACAGCAACCCTACTCCCACAGAGACCCGGAGGTATGAGACGACATCTTTCGCATATTTCTAGCGCAGTCGACCCTAACAGAAAATGAGGGCCGTTTCAGACCAAACGTTGGTGAGAACAATACAGTCAATATATCATCAGTCCCCAACGTCATTCTATCGCGGCCTTGGAGCAGTTCTTCTAGGAATCGTGCCCAAAATGGCCATTCGATTCACCAGTTTCGAAACATACAAGGCTATCCTCAAGAGACCCGACGAGAAAGCTCTCACCTCGGGAAGGTTACTTCTTGGTAGGTTGAGCACAGGATCTTAAAAATGAGAGAATAATATCCTGATGTCGTTTATCAATTTAGCCGGTTTAGCTGCAGGAATTACAGAAGCAGTCCTTGTTGTAACCCCAACAGAGGTTCTGAAAATTCGCTTACAGACTACAAAGCCACAAGGTGGTGTACCTGGTGCCGTGGCCGTCGGATACAGAAATACGCCAGAGGCGCTGTACACCATTGTACGGACCGAGGGTGTCAAGGTTTTATGGACCGGCATAGGATTGACAGCGGCTCGACAAGGGACAAACCAAGCTGGTGAGTGTCAAATTTTTGCTTTCCAATCCACTTGTTATAAGGGTTTTTATTCTGATGTTTGTGCAATCCAGTGAATTTCTTCGCCTACACGAGAATCCGTCAGGCTCTGGTGGACAACCAGCCGCACTACCATTCTTCTGGTCTACCATCCTGGCAGACTGGCCTGAATGGCTTTCTAGCCGGATCGCTTGGTCCTTTGGCCAATGCTCCAATTGACACATTAAGTATGTTATATCTACAAATGTATAAAAAGCATCGCTGATGATTCTTTAGAAACTCGGATTCAGAAAAGTGGAAACAGAGGAAATGAATCGGAGCTGTCTCGCCTCCTTCACACGTTCCAGGATATTGTGCGTCAGGATGGTTACAGGGCTCTGTATAAAGGGATTCTGCCCCGCGTGTTGCGAGTGGGCATTGGTCAGGCTGTTACCTTTAGCACGTATGAGGCGTTGCGAAGATGGTTGTGATAGATACGGGCGTTGAACCCGAATTATCACACCGGAGCCGATACCGTCTTGGCTCTGGGGAATCAGATGGAAGAATGCTTGTGATATTCAGTTGATCCGTAAATTATACCAATTCCACCAATAGACTTCGCCCATAAAGAGCCATTTAAACGTTCTAAGGCGTGCTCGAACAAGCCGTGCTGATGAAACTCCATGTTTGACGAGCAATTTAATCCTCGGATTGCCAATAGGATTTCATCCGGCTTTGCCCAGCTGGGAGATACCAGCAGAAGCCACTAAAACCAACGCGAACGGTGATAGGACCGGACCGGGTGAAACCTCACAGAAAGACTGATCTGGGCAGGATGCCCGGTCATGGTGGATACATGGTGGATACTGACGAAACCTAACGTACTTTTGACATTGTCAGCAGAGGGTCCCACTCCCAGAGGGACTAGGCTTGGCGTGTTGTGCGGATCCGTTCCAATTTAGCTTAAAAGCTTGAGATACGTAGACTAAAGTCTATTCTATAAGGTGCTGTCCCCACTGTCATAATAGGTAGTGGACACGATAACAGGGTATTGATTTCCATCTGTTTCAACACCATACCGAGTTCATCTATACAATCATACGTACATTCCCATGTTGGAGTGAGCGTTAATCGGCGTTTGCAATATCCGAGATCGGCAATTTCACTTCCCCCTCCCTTAATGCATTTCGAAGGTGTTCTGAATAAATATAAGTACTGTGACATGACGCTTCTCATCTGACGCTCAGCCCCAGCTCGCGTTACCAGGGAGTACTCATTTTCAGAAACACACAAAAACCGGGTCCAGCTTTATCATGGATCTTACATTGCAGCCTGGCGACAGCTTCCCGGACAATGTCGTATTCCAGCAAGATCCCCATCTCCCTATCTCTCATAGTCAAGCTTGTATGTAATGCTAACAACCGCTCCTCAATTCCAGATACATACCCTGGACAGAGGAAACGAGCTCTGTAACCTCGTGTGGGATTGCGATCCCTTACAATGCTTCGAAAGAATGGTCTGATAAAAAGGTCATTTTGGTTTCCGTCCCTGGTATACTCTTCCCTCACTTGCAGTCGTTCCTACGTTACCTGCATGCAGAAAACTAATTGACCCCATCTTCAATAGGCGCCTTTACCCGGACATGCTCCGGCCTTCACCTCCCCAATTACATTGACAATCTTGCCGCACTCAAGGAAAAAGGTGTCGATTTGGTGGCGATTATTTCCTTCAACGATGCAAATGTCATGAGTGGCTGGGGGAAAGCAAATAATGTTACGAATAACGATATTGTATGGCTTATGAGACAATGGGCAAATAATACGCCGCTAACACACTGGACGCCAGATATTCCTCTCTGATCCAAATGTCGGGTTCTCAAAGAGTATTAATTGGGCAGAACCATCGGGTCAGCGGGGACTTCGTTATGCCATTGTCATCGACCATGGAAAGGTTGTCTATGCACAGAAAGAGACCGAACGGGGCATGATCCAGGTAGTATTTCCCCTGTCATTTCTGTCACGATTTCCGGCATTGAGTATAGGGCTAATCCAAGATGTTCTTCTGCGCAGAACTTGGGAGTCAAATCCGTTCTTCCGTATTTGTAGATTCAATGGTTGTCTAGTTTGTTGGCCCAGATTGATTTAAGGGGAATTGAGAGTATAAGGGCCTGATTTGTGACCCCATTGATTATACTCGAGAGTTGACTTGAATTACGTACCTACTGTTATGAATGCCCGGATGCCTTAGGCATCACCCCTCCATAGTCTAGATACTTTGTATGGGAGCTCGCTCCACTCTCTTCCCAATACAACTCTCTCCTCTCTGCATCTTGAATCCTACATACTGTAGGCTTCACCACCTACACAGAGAATCTCAAATCTTGGAGTTATACAAAGTCCCACTTTCCATTCCCATTATTACAAAATAACAATCTGGCCAAAAAGAGATAAAAATATATGGTAACAGGAATATACTATTGCCTTTTAGACAATTATTACTTTGGAATCTAGGTTAGGACAATTTGCTTGTCCAAAGTCTAGGTACCATACATTGGAGCAGGGATTGAAACTGATATTCTCAAAGTCTAGACCCAAGACTCCCCCTTGCGAAGCTCCCTCCCAATCGTGATAGGATAGAGAGCCAGACCCTTACAGTACCACCCCCAGATGGCAAATAAAGCTGAATGCATCGGGCTTACGATCATCAAAATTCGCAGAGACTTGCGGCAATTTGAAACTATATAGTAGTCGTTACGCTGCAAGCTTTCAAAACGGGCAAAAGCCAGCCAGAGCCCAGTTCACGACAATTATTAAACGTTTACTAAAAATACAATAGAGATTAAATTTTCGCCTTTAGTGCAACCAGGCTTAATATCTTCGATGCATACCCATGCTAATCGCTATGTGAATTTGCCAATCATCAGGTTCAACCAATCTCACCCTTCCTCTCAAAGAAAGATAATCAGAGTCATGCTCGATACATAAGTCCCCTTCAAACGGATTCTTGAAACATCCAGCGGTGACCGAGGGCGACCTGGATTTCTCATATATCTGTATCTGCTCAACAGGTACTCCACGTTGCCAGAATTGATGCTCCGTCCCCAGCATGGATTTTCAACATGAAAGCCCACTTCTTCCAGATCGAGAATGACGATACGATCATGGCAAACTAGAAAGTTGTCGGGTTCTCATCATTATACTTGGCTTTGCATTCCCACAGAGCATACAATGCTTCCTCAAGATAAGTTTCAATATCCTTATCAATATCAGCTTGGGCAACTTCGTACAGAGTTCTCCTGCCACATTAGAGAGAAAAAGCGCACGGCGGCCACAGAAAGATCCTTAGCCAAGAACAGTTGGAATCACGGTCCCTTGAAGCGACTGCAGATTGTCGTAGGCGTCAATCTCTTTTTTTGAAATGACCGAAAACCTTCGTTCTTTTTTAGTTTGACGATAACCGATTTGGGAAGCACAGAGGTTGTATTGTGTTCAAGCTCTAGACTATAAACCGTGGGATCGGATGATGGACCCAATGGCTGAGCCGGTTTTGAAACTATTATGGTATCTATCAGCTGGATTATCTAGAGGTGTGAAAGATTAGTGATCTCTTCTGATGAACCGGTAACTTGACTCACATTTGAAGGTTCCATGCTAGGCCAAAGAGGGCAGTTCTCATCCTCTACGAGGCCGAGGCCTACATGGGTTGTGGTGAGTAGGTTCTTGGCGTACTTTGTTTGTGTTGAATACAGAAACAGAGTCTGTATAGAATGTATGTTGAGACAAAAATAATACTATGAAAAGTACTATGAATGTGAAAATTCCAATTGTATACTGCAGAAAGTAAATGAATGATTTGTCTATCTTCTTCATACATGGAAAAGAGCATCTATTTATGCTCCTTTTTCGTATACCCCCATTATGGTAGAACAGAAAAGACTCGGTGGGAAACAGGACTCGGTGAACAACAACAACAAGAAGAAGCAAAAACTGACTGAAAGCAGGCTCAATTGGAATACCGAAGCGCTGATGCAGTGAGATAACGACCTGTATACTGAGGACAGCAATGTCATGATCAAACTGCATATAGCCAAGGGAGCCAGGCTTCTTCTGGCAGGAGCCTGAGTGCAGATCCTTCGTGTATGGGATCTGCATTGTTGATGCCGAATTAGGGTTAGCGTTGCATCATGAAAAAGGCCAGTATTAATGAGAATTAACTGGGATTTTCAACACTAATATCTTAAAATATACTCCGACTATAATAGAGTAAAAAAGTATTTTAGGATATCCTATTTAATAGACTGAATATATAATTTCTTATAGAGGTATACTAAGGATATCTATAGCCTTCGAATATAAGCGTTAGATTCTACTCTTCCGATCTTTAAAGGCCTTACGCTATTTCTTTATTTCTCTATTTAGGCACACTTAGCGGAGCTATAGCTAGTGACTATTTCACTAAAGCGTACCTTATATATCCCGATTATTTAGAGTCACTAGAATAAAATCCTATCGTAGTTGTTTCGACCTTTTGATTAATAGGTTATAATAAATTCGACTGCCTTCCTCTTATCTCTAGACTTCGGCAAAACCCATTTTGGGTTGGAATCTCCGACCCAAAACCAAATGGGTTAAACCTAATAACCCAATAATAACCCATTTGAACCCATTTTTGTATAAAAGTTCATAAAATTCATAAAATCCAAGCCTTAGCATTTTTAAACATACTTTTTTAGTAGTATAAAATGCTTTTTATATAAATTTGTTTTTGTTTTATAATTAAGTTACTATACTAGATATATATATTTAAATCTTTGAATTTCAACCATATAAAATTTTTGTTTGTTTTGTTTGCACTATATTGGGGCCCCAATGGGTTACCTAATGGGTTTTGGGTTATTAGTTATAACCCAAAACCCATCATTGGGTCGAAGCAATGGACCCAAAACCCATTTTGGGTTGGGTTGGGTTGGGTTCGGGTTATAGTGGGTCGTGCCGAAGTCTACTTATTTCTCTATACCTATTAACTTTTCGTGCGTCTTATCACGCGAACAAGTCACTATCATGGAAGAGACCTCAAATCTCGACTGCAGGCCCTCAACTTTGTCTGTCTCCGCCTTGGATGCTATTATTGAATGGTACCGTACAGCTGACCACTAGAGGCTACTTCAATCTTGATTTCAGCTGAAATCACCAAAGCCGAACAGCCCACCTAAAGTCCAAGGCAGGGAGTGACCGGTCAAAATGCCAAAGAACAAAGGCAATCCCGCACAAAGGCACAGTTGGAGGCCGTGAAGAAGCGCAAGGACGAAAAGCAAGCCCACGCAAAGGCACAGCAAGAGGCCGTGAGGAAGCTCAAGGATGAAAAGAGAGCCAGCGGTTTTCTAGACCTGCAAGATTGCAATCAATATGGAAGTCTCTGTGCTTTTCAACGGCGCATGTATGTGCTACGCATTCCGAGGCGACTATACTGGATGTTCATTCATGGGCAGGGTCCGGGGCTGGGCGCTACAGGTCTTTGTGACCCATGCCCCAGCGTATGAGCTAAGACATGGGGTGCTGAAGGGCATGGTGGCTAGCGATTATGACGAACTACATGCTTTGGGCCAAGAAGCATAAGATCGTGCAATATGATTCCTGTGGGGGTAGATGGACCGGAAAGTCTTTATGGTAGCCTCAAATCTACAACACATGCGCAAATCCTGCTTTTGAGGATATCTGGATCTTCGTCCGTATCTTATGATCCGCGTACATTATTTTAAAGGATGCGTCGATGTCGGAATGCTCAGGAGGACCCTCTGGATGGCATGTATGATGCTCCCGAGGATCCCCCAGAGGATCCCCCTAAGGATTCCTTCCCGGCATCTCGAGGATTTCATTTTCCAGCCCCTTCAACATTGTGGGAATCGGCCGGAAGAAAAGTCAGAGTTTGTTATGGATAACGCATCCTTTTATTATTCAGAGAGCATCGAACAGATGTGCCTAGGCGCAGGGGTTAAATTAATACACCTGCCACCGTATTCACCTGATTCTAACCCGAGTAAAGAGTTCTTCGCAGAGCAAAAGGCGTTCATCAAGCGAAAATTGGAAATTATGTGAGGACGACCCCAGTCAAGGCTTCTGTGGGTTCTTAGAATGGTGTGTTGACACTGTGGGATGCGCGAGAGAAAATCGCCAAAGTCCGTTTACGACATGCACGCCTGACGATCGAGGAGCTAGGACTTTGAGTAGATCTGATTCCTTCCTGAAAGCCTGCAGACCTCAACATAGTCTTGAAGGCTATTCGACGCATGCACAGCGATTTTAGAAAACAGTTTACCCCTCAGACACTCACACTCTGTTTGCCGGCCTGTAACAGAGACAACGCTAGTCTAGATGCAGCTACTTCGTAAACTGTACTGATTTGTAAGTGGGCAGTATTTTACCACTTGCCCCAATAAGGGTTCAGCTTGTTTCGGGCACAGGCCGACAAACAAACTATTGATACACTCGGGGCTCTACATACCAGTTTTCAATAGTGCACCCCCAGCCCCGAGCCACGCTATAGCTGACAGTGTAGGATTCATAGTCATGGTAAACCGTAGACGAGGATAATAAGTGCGTCAAGCCGGAAAAGCATTAAAGGCACCACTGTCTTTCAAGCTTGAAATAACCACCGGCACTACGCGACATCGGACTGGCTCAACCCGGAGCTGCCGTGCTATGAATCGCTCGCCCCGCTATGATAGAACTTGTAGACCATTTATTAGAGTTTGCTTAGTTACAGCCCCTAATAGGGAGGAATTCGCTAATTTGACGACCCTTTAGGGAATTTTTATTTATTTAATTATTTATTTTATCTTAGTTGTGGAACGAACTTGGAACTTATTGTGGGGACACGCTGACGGTTAGAATGGAGCCGAGTCAGCGCTGACATCGCAGGGGCCCGTTGGGGATCACGCCGAAGAAGATTTTGGGAAACATAGCATTTTCAAGGGGCTTCGTGTGGTCTGACTCGAGCGTCCCTTGGCCCACCAACTTGGCTGGCAATGGACACGCCGACACGGTATGGTTTTGCGAGCTACGTATTGGAATCTGCTGATTAGGTTCCAGCATTCCTTGCTCGGTTACATCCTAAAATATAAGTATTTTTCTTCGTTTTATTCACGCGGAGTAATTCAATGGCAATCATTCATGGTTCCTCTTGTATTGTACTTCTACTACCAAATGGTCCTTCTCACACATATATTTGGATTATTTTGTCTATGACTACAATTGAACTGATCAATCAATCCAGGCAGGGTGAGAGCAGTGGCGATGCTGGATTAATATTGGGCCTAGAACGAATTCGTGAGAGTGCTGAGGCGAAGCTGGTTTCGGTGGAGATGAGAATTATTTACATGTTTATTCATCATCCCGAATGATGGTTTATTAAGCTTAGATCAGTCTGCCCAGGTGAGTTTTTCACGACTTGGGTCATGTTCCGCAGTGGTCGGGTGGCTTGGTGTGACGTACTAATAAAGTAGGCGTTATAAAAAGCGGTCAGGCTAAAAGTGGATCCCGAAGTACTCGAGGACAAATACTTATGTCACACCACTGCACCTCATCAATCTAGCTTGCCTTATTAGCAGCAGAGGCAAAAATCAGAAATGTAAAAAGGACAAAAGGGCTGAAAACTTCCAAGGGACCATAGGACAGGCTACGAATTCAATGAGTATCAAGGAGCCATCTTCCACAACACCAAAGCCACGCCACCCGAGTTTGATTCGCTCTGTCAGGCAAAAGCTTAATAATACATAATTTGTCACCAAGTAATGTTTAATGTTCTCCGGGGCTTGATATATATGATTACTGGTTTTTTCGTCGGAGTGTTGATTCATACTTCCGGGTGAGGCCAGCGTTATGGATCAGTCAAACCTAATATTCTAATGGTCATGTCGGTATCGTGCGCCGTACATCAGTACTTAAAAAGCGCATTCTGCGGTGAACGTACCCTAGTTTACTCTTACAATTTTTCAGATCCCTCACTGGCCTATTCCTTTAATACACTCGCCTCTTCTCCTAATACACTTGCCTCTGAACCACTATGGCAGCTCAACAAATTTCCAAAATTTTTGTCGTTGGCGGGACCGGCGCCCAGGCATACCAGTCATCTCGAGTCTAGTGCGCGACAAGAAGTACCAGGTCAGAGTGCTCACTCGCTCTCAAAATTCCGCTCGTGCTACATACTTGGCATCTCTTGGAAACGTCGAATTCATGGAAGGCACCTTTGCTAGTGAATCCGATCTCCGTCAAGGCTATCAAGGCTGCGACGGCGCATTTATCAACATCGATGGGTTCAATTCCGGCGAGAAAACTGAGATGTACTGGGCAATCCGCGCTTACGAGCTCGCCCTTGAAGCAGGCATAAAGTTCTTTGTCTACGGAAACCTGGACTACGGCTATAAGAAGAGCGGATACGATCCAAAGTTCCGCTGCGGTCATTACGACGGAAAAGGAAGGATTGCTGAGTGGGTTCTTTACCAAAACCAATTCAACCATGACCGTATGAAGGCCTCAGTTTTAACATCTGGTCCTTATATCGACATGACTATTGCAAATGTGACACCGATGACGCCGACGGTGGAAGATGGGATTGTTACTTGGCGGGTGCCGCTTGGTTCAGGCGCCGTACCCCATGTCTCGCTCGAGGATTGTGGGTACTATGCCCGATGGCAGTTCGATAACATTGATAAAGCGAATGGGCTTGACCTTGCAGTTGCAATTGAACATGTTCATTATGAGGATCTCGCTCGCGCCTTTAAAAACGTCACAGGCCATCCGGCGCGCTTCATCGATGTGGACATGGATACATACTGGGCGACAGGGCCGATGAGCATGGCTGCCAACTTGGGAAGTGGTTACAACTCTGATCCCAGTGACCCTGCTTTTATGACGGTCCGACAGAACTTTACCGGATTTTGGAATCTGTGGAAGCATTCTGGTCGTAACCAGGGGATGATCAAGAGAGACTACAAGCTGCTTGACGAAATCCATCCAAACAGGATCAGAACTGCCGAGCAGTGGTTTCGCGAGATGAATGCCAAGGGAATCGATGACGGTAGTGGTTCTTTGTGGGAAAGGATACAGCCGGAGAATTTGAAGCCTATATTGAAGATGGGTGAAGATGGGATGCAAGGCCGACTCTGAATTTATGGGCTCTGCTACTGCAGGGTGCCCGTTATTGCAGGATAAACTGGATAAAATCTAGTCCCATGAGTACAACAAATCGAAAGTCAAGGGTATTTAGCAAAATGGACAGAACCTTGCGTCTTATGACAGAAATCAATGGTATACGAGCGTACAGGGTAAAATCACAATGGTAAAATTCTCTAACTAACTAAAAACAACAATGGCCCGTATTTGACAATCTAGTAGGACACATAATTAGTAAGCAATTTGCATAGTCTAAAATCATATGATTTAATGGTATTGGACTGGGTAATCTAGGTAATCGGTCTATTTTCTAACACACCCCCCAACTTTTAAAGCTATTTATAAATGTTTTAAGAGCTACTAGTCCGATCTTCCTAGGGTATAATTAGATATCTGATTTCTTTTATCCCGAGTAGATATCTAAAAGCCTACTGCTTCTGCCTCGGTAGGATCTTTATAAGTCTATCTACCGGTATCTCTACTATAGGAATCTAATATATATTAGTGCGGCTAGTATACACTTCCTATTTTATCTAAAGCCTATTAATATTAATATATCGAAGCTTTATATATATAGTAGCGCCTTCCTTTATTAGTAGATTAACGGTCTACTAGTTATCGTATATAATTAATATCGGATAAAAGGGTTTAAACCCTAAAGACTCGAGGACTCGGCGCTACTATTAGACGGTTTTACCTACTTTAGAGAGAGCTAAAAGCTCTACTTTAGTAGTAGAAGTTATAATAGTCTTCTATTTTAAAGCTTTCTAGTTAATAGGACTATTATAGAGCTTATAAATATAGCCCTCTAAGCTCTTCCGATCTCTATTATCTCTAAAAGATATATCGCTTATAAATTTAATAGATTTTACTATAAGCTATAGGTTAGAATTAGAATTATTATCTTTTATCTAAACTCTATATTTAATTATATAGTAGCGGGTTTAATAGAGATATTAGATAACTCTATTAATTATATCTAGATACTTTGGACTAGGGTTTAGTAGAAATTTAGCTAGCTTATTAGTGGCCTTTACTATATCTAGTTTAGTAATAGTAGTAGTATATTAAGCTAATCCTACTTTAGCTTAAAATCTATAGATCTAGCTTACTATAGTAATACTATTAAAAGGAAGTAAAGGCTTAATATTTAGTAGTATATTAACCCTCTAGTTTATAATTAGACTATATCTTACTATTATACTCTTAATATAGCTATCTTAATAAAGCTAGAGCTTTTTATTAGTCCGATCTTTTATAATATATATATTAAGAAACTAGCTTATATTAAATTCTCGGAGCTTTTAGTGGTTTTTTATCTAATTATCTAGTTAAATAGCCTACTCTATATAGTCTAGGTAGTTTATAATAATAATATTATTAATATAGAAGAAAACGATAATCCTAATCTTAATAAAAATATATAGATCTTCTAATAGCGGGGTAAGGCCTAGTTTTACTAGTACCCTAGTAGCTTCTTACTACTATAGATATAGAGATATCCGAAGTCTATATAGCGTACGGTATAGTATCTAGCACTAGCCTAGTTTTTTAAATCCGGGGGGATAGCGAGTATAAACCTTATCTTATAAAGCTAAGTTTAGAAATGTATTATTAATATCTCGCTATATTATATCGAGATTAAATATAGTAACTAATATAAAAACTGTTTTTACTATTTTCACTACTAGTGTAGTAGCTCTCTTTTCTTCCGGTATTATCTACTAAAGATCTCCCTATACGTAGATTCTAGCTTTAGACTTATCGAGAACACTATCGGTATCAAATTTTGTTGGAGCAGTCACGTGATTAGCATGCGATTGTCACGTGACAGCCCGGGTCCCAGGACTTCTAGTTTAGTGTAGATAGCTTCCTCTCTCTCTTCTTTTCCTCTCCAGAGTCCAATACAGTTTCCCCTATATCATTTCATTCCTACGTAGCCTTCTCTCTCGCTAATAGGTTATAAGGCCCTTGCTTAAGGACTCCGAGCACCTAAATCAATAGTTTTTCTAGCTAATTAGAATTTTTAATTTTTACTATATTTATAGGACGCGTACCGGCCTATCCTATAGTAGCCCTATATATACCGGATTAGCGAATCCGTATTAATAATAAGATCTTCGAAGATATCGCTCTTAAGATCTCTATTTTTCTCTAAGGATTCTTACCTTATTAGAGTACGACTATAAAAACTTTATATTATAACCGAAATCGGACCGCGGAACTACTTCTCTAAGACTTAATAAACGATTCGATTCTTAATACTATACTAGTCTATCGAGACTAATTCTATAAACTAGCTAAAATAGCTAATTCTAACGATATTTTCGACGCTAGTAAAGGCTTATTATACTCTCTTCTTATATCTTATTAAAACCTATAAAACCCTATTTATTTAAAGTAGTATTAGTAATAGCCGGCTTTTTATATAAAAAGACTATATATATAAATAACTAACCTTCTAAAAGAGAAGGAGATTAAATTAAATAAAGGTATTAAACTACTTTTTAATAGAAGTAACCTTACTCGATAGAAAGGATAAATCGAGAACGGATTTAGTATAGTCTATATCGATAAAGTAGCCGATTATAAACTATTATAACTAAACGAATAAAATAAGAATTATAATATCTAAAAATATTAATTAAAGATCGCTTATAGATAGATTAAAAGCCTACTTAATTAGGAGATTATTATAATTCTTAAAGGACAGAGTAGAAGCCTTTCTATATTATACTAATAATATAATATATAAAGTAGAGATATTTATTTATAGTACGAAAATCATAGATAATATTAGATATAAAGTAATTAAATTCTATAAAATAAAGAGATTAGACTTTAGTAGCGCGGATACCTATATTATAGTATATTAGATATAATATAACTAGTTTAGACTTTATAAAGTAGAGTTATACCCTTTTAAAGCTATATTTATTATACTTTATAATTTAGAAGAAGAACTAGATTTAGTTAAATTTACTTACTAAACTATAAAAGATACTATCTTAGATAGTATTATAAAAGACGTTTTTAATAATATATATAAGAAGCTTATTATCGAAGCTTATAATATACCTATTTTATCCTTATCGACTTTAAATATATTAATAAATATAGTTTATAAAAATAATAATAATTAGTATAGTAGAGGTTAAGAATATAGATATAGTAGTAGAGGCTATAGCGGAGGTTTATATAATTTAAATAATAAATTAGATTAGAAAGATTAACCTCGATTTAAAAATAGTCTATTAAAGAGTAAATCTATTAATAAATAGACTAAATAATAGCGGAAGAAATAGCCTTAGTATATTAATAGGGGTAAATATATATATTATAGGATCGAGAGATATCCTATAAAGATATATTATTATCTTATAGAAGACTTTATTTTCGAAGGCTAGAGGCCTAATAATAAAATCTAAAGCTATATAATAGTAAAAAGGATATCTTTTAATAATAATAACGATAATAATAATAATAAAAGTAAAGGTAAAGCTAGTATCGTTTATATAAATACCGCTCGCTCTATAAATAATATATAGATATTAGATAGCTAAGCTTCGAGGACTATTATAGATTACTATAAGGATTTTTATAAATATATTAAATATAAACTTAAGGAGATACTATATAGCTATATAAATACTAATAGTAATATCTAATTTATAATTATATATAGAAAAGCTTTAATTTAAATTAATACTTTAATAAGTAAAGTAAGAATAATTCTTATTACTATCTATTATAATATAATAACCCGAGATAGACTACTTTTAATAAATAATCTTAAAATAGATTATAGGATTTTCTATAACCTAATTATATTAATATTTATATATAAGAATTATAAAGAAGTTAGCTTAATTAAGAAAGTTAGCGGATTTCTATAGATTAATAGACTATTTTATTATAAAATAAAAAGCGAAGTAGAAAATAAAATATAGAAATATATTTATATATAAAAGATATACTTTTATAAGTCTAATTTAGGTTTAGATATAGATTTATATAATAAAGAAGAACTTAATAAAGTTAATAAATTAGTTTCGATATATAAGATTTATAGATATCTAGGCTATATTAGTAGACTATATATTAAAGCTTCTTTAGCTAATATAATCTTTCTTAATAAAGAAGACTAAATAGAGCTTTATAATTTTAATTATAAGGCTTACTAGCTTAGTAAAGTAAAGAAAAAGATCTTAAAAGATAAGTAATAATATATTAAAAAACTAGGTATAAAATTTTATACTAATATCTAAATAATAAATCCCTCTAGCTTTAATAGTAAGAAATATTAAGTACTAATTATCGATAATTATACTCGATATATTAAAGGCCTTTATTTTCGAATAAAAGATAAAATTATAGACTATATAATTAAATTTTATAAATAATAAAAGCTTTTTAAAGGTTAATATCTAGCTATCTAATAAATCGATAGTAGAATAGAGTTTTATAAATTTTAGATATAAATAGAGAATAAAGATATAATTTTTAAGTTTATACCTATTTATATACTAGAACTAAATAGTATTATTAAATATATAAGAGATTATATTAACTAGATTTAGCGTATAATAAATATAGATATTAAACTTTTAGATATACTTTAGCTATCCTATATAAATATAGTAATCTATATTTATAATAGACTAATTAACCCTAAAACTAGTAAGACCCTAATCTTTATTTAGTAAAAAAGCCTTAGTTTAAAAAAGATAAAAGTTAATTTAAAATATCTATATATATAAGGATCTATTATATTTATTTATATTCTAAAGGAGATTTATATATAGTTAGAGAAATTAAAAGCCTATATATTCTATAGCTACCTAATTAGATATAAAGAGGAAAATAGCTATATTTTTAAAGTATAGAATTTAGTTATAAAAGAGATTCTATATTCGCGAGATATTATCTTTCCTAATAAACTTAATAAGAATAAAAGATCGGATAATAACTAGAAAGAGGGTATTTTACTAGCT